AGGCAGTACTCTGGTGGATGATGGAATACAAAAAGGCTTACACCGAATACCTGAGTAGACAAACCACACCAGAGAATCTCTTTATTATAATAACAAAAAAATTCAAAACAATAATCAGAATAGCTAAATATAATTATTAGAGACATATTATAAATAATATCTTTAGTGATAAGAATCTATACAAAATAGTTGACTAGCACAAGCTTGCCCCGAATCTCAAAAGTCCCCTAATCATTTCAAATAGAGTAATGATAGAAGATATAATAGAAAAAGCCGAAATACTCAGAATAGAGATTCTGGATCGTTTCAATACAGAAAATAATCTGGAATATAACCCACTGGAAAATCAATAGAAAAAAAGCAAGTATTTACCCTAGAACTCCTGATTTATACTAAAAAAAGTCAAAGTAAACGTTATTGGAATATCTAATATATTCTTAGGAATTGACCAAGTAACAATCAGAATCCTTAAGGCTTATTGGAATTATCTCAAAGATTCATTAAGATAGCTTTATTAGAAATATCTTGAATATAACTATTTCCCGAAAACCTAAAAGTTAGTTAAAGTAGTTATACTACCCAAAATCGGGAAAAAGGATATGATATCCGCAAGGTTATAAAGACCCATCGCTTTATTCTTTTATATAGAAAAAGGTTTGGAAAGAATAATTACTAAATGATTAGGCTGGATAACCTTAAAGCATAGTATTATTAGTCTTTAATATAGTGGAGCCCTGCCCAAATGTTTTGTAATAGACTTGGTAGTATTCTTTATATATAATATGGAAACAGTATTAGCTATTGGGAAGAAAGTGATTATGGTTACTATGGATATGTAAGGCGTCTTCGATGTATTGCTTAAAAAACGATTCTTTGCTAGAATAATGAAACAAGGCTGATCTAAGGACTTACTTCTGCTAATTGATTCTTTTCTGATAGAAAGGAAAGTCAGAGTACAGCTAAAGCAAATTATAATCAGAGAATACCTAGTAATCTATAGAATCTCTTAAGGCTCTCTTTTGTTACCAGTTTTGTATATACTGTATTTGGTAGAGCTACTCTCAGAAAACATTTTCCTCAGATTCAGGTATATAGATAATATATACTTATACAGAATATCCAAAACTTTAGAGGAAAATATTAGACACTTCATTATAGATATATAAGATATCATAAAGTAGAAAACAAATAATTGTATTGTTTTTGTCCCGGAAAAGCTGGAAATAATCTATATCTTCATAGATAATAGCAATATAATATTTGTTATCAAAATAAATAAAGAATTTATGATACACCTGATAATAGTTATAAAAACAAATACCTATTCAATACTAAAATAATTGGGAATGTAGTTCAACAGAAAACTGAACTTTCGTAAGCATATTACTAAATATATAAATAAAGCCAAGGCAATAGCAAAGCATATATAAAGCCTAGTCAAAGTTATACAAGATTTTCTAATATATATTATATATAAAACAATAATTATATACATATTTCCTTCATTTTTATACGGGATTAAAGCCTGGTATGGAAATAGATTCAAAGCTGTGCGAAAACTAAAACTAGGATAAACAAAGGTTAGTGCCTGTTTTGGCTGGTATGTGATACAAATCGAAAAGGTTTTTATAATAATAATATAAGGAATTATATTAATCTGGAAAACCATACCAATAACTGCCCTCTACTGTGAAACAGGTCTTCCCTCAGTTATGGCAGTCTTCGAAGAAGCTAAACTGAGGTTTGCTTTATGTTTCCAAAGTATAGATACAACCCATTCGCTTACAAAAAGAATCGAATCCCTTATGATTGTCAAAGAACGAGATACAGGCAAAAGACAAAGAGCGAAGATCAAAATCCAATGATTTGGTTTTCTTATCCCCCCAATCCCAAGGTTTACACTCGAGTTATTATAGTACATACCTAACTGCCGAATAGATCCAATGGAAGGGATCGATAAGAAAACAACTACAAAAGCCTTTAATATCTGGTAGGAAAACCTATCAGATATAAATATTACTATCTTTTCGGATAGATCGGAAAATCATATGAAAGGAAAACATATTGTGGGTTACGGGTATATAATATACCTAGACAAGAACCAGATATTGATAGATTCCAGCTTTATTAATACCCAGTCCCACGTCTTCGATATGGAAGTTATTGAAGCATAAAAAGGCCTGGAATATACCCTTAAGGATACCAGATACACTAATCAGAAAATCTGGATGTGTATCAACAACACCTCGGTTATTTAGGGTATAAGGACCAATGCCTTTATGTTATTACAATAAGCATTCAACAACTATCACAGAGCTATAAAAGACAACAACATTCGTGTCAAATGGTCACCAGGGCATAAAAACATTGAGGGAAACGAGACGGCTGACTATCTAGCTGATTTTGGTGTCAAAAAACCTAGTTGGGATACTGAACCAGTATCTCAATTTATCTATAGTGAGGTAAGATCGATCATACGTATCCTAAAAGAAAAGGTTTGTTAATAATAATGGATATTATATAAACCTGTCTTTTTGCTGTAATACAAATAATGGGATCTGATATATAAAGTCAAACTATTGCTAAAGCTTTTATTCCTACAAGTAGTTCTATATAGACTGATAGTTATCTGAACTTCATATAGAAATTTCGGATAATATCACAGGAAATTCGGGTACATAGGGGATACGGAATACTTCTGCAAAAGGCCTAAAACCCCTATCCACCTGGTTCACTACTGGAAGGCAAAAGACATATTTGAATAATGGCCAAACAAGCCCTCCACACTATTATCAATAAATGAGGAAAGTATCCAATACCTATGTCAAATCTTAAATAACCTTATAAACTTTGCAAAGCTACTAAAACTTACGAAATTCTACAAAGATATATACCCAAAGTAAAGGGCTGTAAACTTGCATTCTACAAACAAACAACCTAAAACCCTGCGATAATACATATCCACTATCAGGATTGATTCGCAATGTACAACACAAAAGAAACCACCAACTTTCTTTGCAAAGTATATACAAAGAAACAAACTTATCAATAGGTATAAAAAACCCGATTGAACACTAATAGGATATACAAAAAGCATATCCGTAAAACGTTTCCTGGAGTATAACGAATATTCGAACAACTATACCAAAAGTAGCCTATTGAACTGCCCAGTATATGCAACAGCAAGCTTACAAACGAGGGTACAATTGCCTATACCAGGCAAAACAGTAGGACCACCTCAACCGGCGGAGGAGAGAATACACAAATTGGAAGGTAACACACAATTACCGGGAATGGCTGTAAGGCTTTCACTTTTCTTTCTAAGGCACTCTCATTTCATGTATTGTAAGACCATGGCTTAGAACATCTGCATACCCCTAGGGAGGTTCTGAGGGCAGCCACAAAAGCTGCTCTCCTGATGTAAAATAATACTACTACTACTACTACTCCTATGATTTCACACCTACTTTCACTCCTTTATAATATCAGATTCAAATCTGTATTAGATATTGTAATTATATACCATAAAAACGTAATAATATAATTCTTTTAAAAACAAAGATTAATATTATAAAATATAATAAAAACCAAGATAATTATAACAAATAAAGAAACAAAAAAGATTACTTGAATAAAGAAATTTGTTATAGATTTAAAAGGAAGAATTAAAATAAATCTATTTATTTCTATATTCTTTTATAATAACAAAAATGATATTGATTAAATATAAGAGAATAAGTTCTATATCGAAGTCAGGTGTATTACTATTTATTGATATTATATTCGCAATAATAAAATTGATAATAACAAATTTCGAATTCTATAGATCCTTGGAGCAAATTAAATAATGAATATATTAATAAAGGCTTTGTTTATACCAAAATTCAAATAACATTTAAAGAGTTTAGAGCTAGTTGCTTAAGATTGGTCAAAATAAAATAACTCTGATTATTTAATAAAGTTACAAATATTATTTACAAACTATTTTTTTCAAAATAGAATATCAAAAGAGCACTTTTGATTATTTTGATTAAGAAAACAGAAAATCTCGAAGGAATTAAGGCATTTTTGTATTATAATATATTTATTATAAAATAATCAAACTTTATAAGAGATTAGATATTACGATATTATTTGTTATTATAAAAATTAACAAAACCCTAGAGTTTAGTCAAGAATAGAATCCAGATATATAGTTTAATAATATTTCGTAATTAGTTATTCTAATCAATAAAGGAATATTGGAAATATAATCTAGATTTATACAAGGTTATATGATATAGCTTATATGATATTGTCTATATGTATATGCCTTACACATTTATATATATATCTAATATTATTAGAATACCTCTAAGGATATATACAATATTACTACTATTATACCTATTATAATCTTAGTGATATTCCAATAAGTATAATTATTTTTCTTTTATATATCTTTGAAATAGAAAAATAGATTTCTATATTCTTTCCTTTTAGATATCTTTTCTTGTTTTAGCTTTTTATACTATTAATCGATTTTTGGAATATCCTATAAATTAATATTAGAGGCAACTGAATAACAAAAGTATATTACTTAATTGACTAACTAAAATAATGAAGTAAAGCAATAGGACAAGATAAGAAATAATAACTTGAAAATAATAATTCAAAGTTTGTATATATGTTTTATTCATTAATAGAACACGCTATTCGCGTATGAGTTCTATCTTGGACACATCTACGAATGGGGTAGACCAAATGATTAATATCTTATCTCCAGTACGTTCGTACTAAGCCAAAATGTTGTTTGACTCCTGATCAAGACACCCCCTTACACGCCATCAAGCCCTTTTTAGTCACATAGATCCCTCAGCAACCCGCAATTCATGTTCTTCAATCCCCAAAAATGTGTGTACCAACCCTCTCCCCACATCCTCTCCATTTACTGTATCCAGAAACATTGCCTCACCCTCGCTACCCACAGGCGTATTACTCAATAATTCCTCATGTCAGCTCTACTTGAAACCCCGAGCACGCATAGCGTCACTGATTCTCTGGTATTTACTGTCCTCTACATCTTCCAACGATTTCAATAATTTTTCGTTGATCCCCGTTTGATGTTTTATGGCAGAGATCACAACGCCTACTCTCTCAACTGTGCATAATACATTAGTTACACTGATGTCATCAACTTATCAATGAAATAGCTGAAAACTCACCGAGTGCTTTTGGGTTCTTCTCCTCATCATCATCTTCACCATCATCCGGACTTGTATTTCCACTCGCTTCATCACTTGTATATCGAGAGTCGAACAGTTTATCCATAAGCGACTTTCGCAAATCAACCCACGTCGCAATATTGGTAGATCGGGTCTCGCGGTCTTCAATCAGTCCCGAGACAAGCTCTTTCATCATAAGTACTATTCGTAAGAGCTTTTTCCTAGACATAGGCTTTTCACCGTCTTTGCTCTCCAGAGTTTTGAGGGCTTTCCCAAGTTGAATCTGTGCCACGTAATCGTCGTATGTATCAGCCTCGATGTCTGATAATTTAACACCGTGTCCGCCAATTGGATTATTTCTATTGATGAGATAGCGATTGGGATCGGAGCTATGACGATTGCTATCTGGGAGGTCGACGGTGATGTGTTGTTCTGTTCTTGTATCGGATCTGGATGGGATATCTGGATCGACTGGTGTGTTTGCGATGAGTGTTTGGATGATTAATGTCTCCATGCCTGTGCTCTTGCGGTTAGTTGTCGCAAGTACTAAGGGGAATAGTTTGAAGTCCTGTGGTGACTTACGTTCGCCTCTGATAGGGGCTGGTTGTTTCATCTTGTTGATGATGAAGTTCGTTTGATACTGCTAGGACTGGTTGTTAGCAGGTATTTTGCTATCTAATTTATGCGAGATTCAAGAAAAGAAGATAATCTCTCATGAGAAGCCTCCGCAAAGGATGTATAACTAGATTGAGATGCATGTGCAGAAGGTACAAGGAGTCTTTACTTACTCGTACCACCGAATTCCTGGATGATTTAGATGTTAACCTGTTACTCTCAAACGGTCGATCGAAATGTCTTTGTGATTCGAGTTGGACCTTGATATCGTGGTGTCTTGATTTTGGGCTTGAGAATAAGAGTGTAATGTTGTAAGAAGAAGATCATGGACACGATCGAGATGATGAAGTGATATACATATGTACCCAGTTCCATCACGGCTAGCCGTACTGTGATGTTGGTGCTGTACCGGTGTTATCCTACGGTTTGACATTATGAGCGCGTGTACGTTGCGATTGATCGCGCTTTCAATGAATTCAGGGAAAGAATTCTGCCCTCACTTAGTATTAGTGTACGTTCGCTTGTGCTGAGATGATCTGTGAAGTAAGATCTTCATGTCATATGTGTATGATATGAGAGTCTATCGCCATAGTTAGTTCGAACTACTCGAGTATGATTCTTGAGTACCGGTGCTAATCGTCGGCTCGAAGTATACCTGGCAGTCTTCTGAGAGAGTGTTGACTTGAAGAAATGGGAATAGTGACCGATCGTAGTGTATTCTAGCCGTACTACAGGGCGAGTGCTGCAGCTCGTAGAGTCGCTGGGAGAGGCTTTCGGTTATTTTGAGGTACAGTTACGATGGTTTTCATACCGAAAATGCTATCAGTAGTTCGATATGTGGTAGTTTGAAGCGTGTATGTCGGTTACTATGATGCCAGTGAACTTTGCTTTTCATAGATCTAAATACGATGCAGATTCGTCAAAATATGTCTATATATTGGCATATTGGTAAATTCCTACCCCTATGTCTAGCCGAAATGGCACGATTTCTTGCAAATAGCTAGATGCTACCAGTCTTCATCACATAATTTGACTTAAGTAATAGTTAATGACACACTAGTAAATTCCAACGTGGATAGACCTGTAGCAAATTCAATACGGGGAATTCACACTTGACTTCTAGCTGCACAATATCTGCCTGGCGGATTTGAGCTCACCAATATATTTCCATATAACGCCTGGTTCCTACACCTGTTTCTAAAACTATGGCAGCTACTGTTTCCTTAAGCACCCACAATATCCCATTGAATGCGCAGAATTTTATCATGCTTCATTTGAATCCCAGCAAGCCTTTTTGCCAGTCTCTCTGTCAATCTCTTTGCTTCGACGCCAATAGCTTCATTCTGTGGCTGCGGTTTCTCAGCAACCACCAATATCAATATCGCTACGTATCAGATCAAAACTGTCGTCCACCTCGCGTTTGAGCTTGCTAAATTCATGATCGATCAAAGTCAATACACCTTGACGTATTTTGGCCGATATATTGGGAAATATTGTGCTATTGGTGATTTGCTTTGTGACGATTGATATTTGACGTGCCTTCATGTCCTTGCCTGGTCTGAAGTTGATTAAAGAGGTTGCTGGGTTTCTGGATTATGGAAGAATACTGACCTCCTTCACTGCCGGCTTCACGATAAGTTGGAATCATCTCCATGGCAATATAGGACAACGCATTTGTTTCTTCAACATATTGTCGAATTGTTCTGTAGGGGAAGAATCAAGAAAAGCAATACAAAAATAAGATTATGTTACTATACCTTAGATGTCTCGTGAATTCTTGCTGGATGAGTCGTTCAGTAACGTGTCGGTTTCGAGCTTCGATGAAGAGCCGCAGCTTTCTATGATTTTATCAGAAACGAAATCTGTATTTGGAAAGTATGGGGACTCGCTTGCACTCAAGCTCTTCTTTCAATCTTTTGTCACCTTTACGCTTTGCGTCATTAATGGCCTTATCAATTGCACTTATCTCACTGACAGATATCTCTTTCCCCTCACCAACAAATGTTCTCTTTGCTATCTTCTCGTTGATGTCCTGGGCCGAATAAGTGATGTTAACAGTCTCTACACTCCACAAAAGTACATACCTCCGATCTTGTACATATCACAGCCAGTTTGAAGTTGATGTTCTCACCCTCAGACTACTCCCATGCAACAGGGACGTGGCGCTTGAGTTCATTGTATAATGCTTACTTGAGAGTTGCATGAGTAATGACTCGAGATATTTTGGTTACGATGAAGACATGATTACAATTCTGTACTTTTGTGTTGCTCGAACACGTGCTAGATTGGTGTCTTGCAAGCCTTGAAATCTTGGTCAGTTAATCACAGTAGAGCGTGACGTTGAACGTACCTGGCGATCTGCGCGTACTACGCCCGTCTTTAATACTTCGGCATCAAGATAAACGCGAATTATCTTTGTGAATGGCCAGAGCTTGTCCTCCATGAAGACGCTAGTTAATTCTTGACATTCATCCGAGGGTCCGCCGTTGCTTTCCACAGACCAGAATCATCGTCTGAAAGTAAACCAATATCTTGAATCCATTCTAACAACTGGTCCCTTACCCTCTCGAATGCTCCTTCTGAATTGTCGCTTAAAAAGTGAACATTGAAATCTTTCTGCTGACTGAATAGTGCTTCTAGAGCCAACCACGCTACCTCTGATTCTCTTTCGATACGCTGTTGTTCGTCTGACTCATGCTGATCTCCTTCAATATCCAGCACTAGGAGAAGCACTTGTCGGAAGCTTCACAGCAACTCTTCTATCATCTCCCGACGCTCCGAATTGGAAAGATATTCGGCTTCGATTGAAAATGGTTCAAGGGTGTTCGCGTTCTTTTGCCTGTATTCTGTGACCACTGAAGTACAAGCGGCACCGTCATCGCCCTGAAGAATCGATTAACATCTACTCGTAATGAGACATAACCATACTCACTGTTCTAACTAGTTCTACCACATGTAGGAGAGAATTGATCAAACTGCTCTTTCCTATGAGAGAGTTAGAAACTTTGGTATATCATACAAAAACTATGTTGTATATGTGCACTCGCCTTCGCCCGAAGCGCTCAACATGGCAATGGTCCTAGTACTCGATATACAGACTGAGCTAATCTCATTCGTATCATTCAGTAGTCTTTGGAAATTTGAGTCATTTCCAAACGTCTTCGCCAGTTTTCCCATCTCCTGTGCCACCACAGTTGCGGCACTGTAGCTTCTCCTTAGAACGGACTGAAATTCTTTGGTAAAATAAAGTTCGGCCGGAGATTCTTCATTTTTGACTAGATAATCTGCGTCATCATCCGGAGTCGGTAGCAAAGGACTTGCCGGAAGATCTTCGGGAGTGGCTAGATTCTAGGTTGAGGTTATCAATAACCCGCACTTCAACACCATCAGGCAAAACTGGATTTTGAGAATCTTCCACGACCTCTGGAATATGTTCTAAGTTGTCGTCGGCTAGTATCTTTTCTTCCGGTTCTAATGTCTGCAGAGGCTGAGGCAATTCGTGGTCTGGTGTCACAATAATCTTCACAACTCTGTTCCGGCTCGGTATAGCCGGACTTTGTTTCCCTCCCAGAAATGCAGGAGTTTCGAATCACTCTGCAAAGACTCCAGATCTAGCCGTAGGAGAGCTAGATATACTATCGACTTGTGTCTTTGGGCCGTCGGTTCTCACAATCTGATCGTTTGCAATTGTGGACTCGTCTGTTGAACTCTTTGGTGTTGCGGCGTGATCATCTACTTTACTACTGGAAGAAGGTCTAGATTGCAAGCATGGCCTGTCTTGGAATAATTGTATGTTCCTTGATATGATTGGAAGTAGTGCAATCTGACGTGGAGGATGCTGATTCGAAGTATTGGAAAATGCCATTGTTGCTTCTAACCATCACGATATCAATATGAAGACAACATAAAATGAACAGCAAGTCAAAGATACATGCATGATGGAGATGATTGATTGTAGCTATATGCACGAAGTATTCTCATCCTGTACGCCTCACATTGCATCGGTTGCAGCACGATTTGATATAATGCAGCCCTTCAAGTATCTTCGGACCAATCAGAGCTATCGAACATCGCGTTATCTTTCCAAAAAGACCCCTGAGATTTAAACGAGGCAGAGCGCGCCGGAAAATACTACCATGCAGGGGTCCATAATTAGAACAAGGTGTTGGTACTTGGAGTTGCTCGAGTTATCGTGAAATCATTTGCTATCGGTTTCTGATGCTTCAAGGTAGACCGGGTGTACCTTGGTTCCCATGGGAAGTGCTAAAACATTACAGAGCTCTTCGATCCGGAAACCCAATGCTTTCAATCTGTCCATAAAAGCTGAAACCATGCAATACCGAAGACTGTACCGAGACCCCTCGCGTTTGATCTTAGACAAAGTATTTCAAGGACAGGCTTCGCAGGATCTTGTATGGGTATGAGAATGAGGAAAAGCGGCTAGGCGCCTTTTCATACAGCCTTGTAAACTTCAGAAGTCTCGAGTAGTAAGACTGGCAGGTCTAAGGAGACAAATACCCATAATTATCAGAGACATTCAGCACCCCTCGTGCGACTTATTAGGTTGACTCATTCTCGTTCATTACATATTTCAGATGTTTCATCTATCCTAACAAATCAAAAGTTAAAGGTGCATCCCCAACATCTATAACTTCTTGCCGTAGCTTAAAATTTCAAGCATCTGGGTGTCGACTCTGTCGAGCGAGGTGGAAGTTTGTATGGTTTATGGTACTTGGGATTGATTCATTCCCGACTGAGAGGAAAAATATTCAACATTTGATTCAGTAGTGCTGTTCTATCATTAGTTGTGACCAGAAACTCATCTAGGACAATGGGTCATAATTCATCCCTATCGTCTCCTTTAGCAAAAGCTGGAAATCAATTGTTAGGACATCCCGAGAAATTAGTTCTATAAGACGGTTCACATATTTTTCGAGCAATGGTATGGTGGAATGGCGGAACTCCCGAGAATATCTATTTCGTCACCCCTCTATGACATTCCCCAAGCTCTACCATCGTGCTGTAAATATTCTCTTGAGAAAAGAAATGACAAGTAAAAAGGAGTTAAACGTCAAAAGTACAGTATACGAAAGGAACCTACATATCTACCGAACTTTTGAGGATCTCACTCGGGAATTTCACATAAATCAATCGATGTAATAACAGAATCTGGAAAATATCTTATTGGAGTTTATAAAGAACCGTGGATCAACGGATCAACGAATGACCGAAGATTTGTGCATACCAGCTCCCTATATCCCAAACGAAAGCTTCAACAGAAAGCACTCCCCAGATTGACCGAAACAGAAAATTGATCTCAAAATCGTTTCTTTAACGTCATATATCAATGAATCTCCTTAAGACTCCTGTTTCCTCCATCATTTGTGCCCAGACCATCACAATTCCTTGATAACAACATTCCTCCCCAATGACCTATCTCTCAAGTACAAATGCACCATTGATACGCCATCATAATCCATCTCAACGAAATAATCAAAGACCATTACTAGGGGGATTAACACCAAGTACACGATACATGTACTTCTGCTTTCTCAGAGCATTGACACACTCTAGGTTTTTCCGAAACATTTCATGATTTCCATCTGGTCGGTGCCATATTTGTTTTTCGAGGACGTTAGCACTATGATCGATTGCATCTTCCCCCACCAAGGCACCTTCGATATCCTTGACTTTCTGTTCCATCCAGCTGAGACGAAGGTTCAAATCATTGATAGTTGCTTCTTGATCTTTGATGATGGTGGTCAGATCATCCATTGGTGTTGTGACCTTTGAAGAACGTTTGGGTATGATGAAGCGAAATGGCTTGGTGAGTGAGAGTGTCTTCGTGGGAGACTTGTTGCTACTGTGATATGTAATAGTTAGCGATACTAGCACATCAAGGATCTTAGTGGGGGACTAACCGGTCCATCTTGGTTGATATGCGTAAGGTTTGATATTGCTCGTTCTGTTGCTTTAGAATGTCTGTTGGATTGTTTGTAGGAAAGTATGTCCAGAATTTTTTAGAGATGGACTGGATAAAAACCGCCTTTTAAATCTATTTCACATCTGGGTACGGCGACAACTAGTGTACGGCATTACAATATCCTCTCTGCAAACAGTATGGGTCGATCAGCCGTACTATATAGCTAGTATACTTAATTTTGTATGTGAACCCAATAACCCATCAGCTGTATTATACATATCAATGCAGGTATGTTTAAATAATTTTCCATAAATGGTATAAATGTTTATTAGGTAAGATTCACTTAATCTATGACCTAGAGGAGGTAGGCTCTTGAGCTCCATCTCCGTCAATCAAAGTCACCCACTCAAAACGATTCCTGTCTATAGGTAATACACGAAACAGAAAGATCTTACCTGAAGTTACAACTTGTAGATATCATGTCATATCAACAATACCTTTAACTCATGGGGAAATTTTCCGATCTTATTTAGCAACTTATCGTTTTCATCCGTCTATTATGATCTTCTCCCATAGGTCTTGATTTTGTGCCAAAAGTATTTGAGCTTTATACCCGTCCCTTAAGTCCCTAAGTACTCTCATCGTCTGAATCATTACAATTTCTGTGCTTGCGTACCTTGACGCTATTTATTAATGTGAGTGCGCGCTCATTAACTGTAGTGTAGTCAGTATTATGAGCCAGTCGGGAAACTGGCAGTTTGAATATCATAAATAAAATCGATTAATGATTGAATTCGATAAACTATACTTTTACTTGAAACATCAGTTTCTAATTCAACTAACTGTTTGAATTTGTTAAACTAAACTGATTGCGAGTTTGATTTGTCAGACTAAAAGAACTGCTCGAATCAGTACACTGGTTTAACTGGCCAACTATTGACTACATTGATTAGTCCTTATTAGGGGTGTTCCTTGGCACAAAATAATTGCCTGCTTTGTATCAAATAGATGATATCAGGATACCCAGTTTCTTCCACCACCATTTTGATCACGCCCGCGAGGTGCATAATCATGGTCATAGTCTCGATTGAGTCATAAAAGTTAAGCATCAGCTCGATTTGAAAAAGTAGATGTTCTCACCGTGGGATACTCCCGAAGCATATATAGAACAAGCTAATGGATAACTCACTAACTTATTAATAAGAATCGGAAATCATTTACATATATCTGTACAAGTAATTCCTCCTCGAAATTTGCCATGGCCATACTAGTACGGCTATCGTTTCTTAAATCTAGATTTTCTATAATCTCATGGACACTCACTTACTCCAACATAACATACCCCAGGTTATTCATTTAAAGCTACTCAAGACTACTTACTATTACCACCAATAGATAATCCTACCAAATTGTAAACTCTTGTTTGGCTAAGCAGTCAATACACGACCGTCGCGACGTCACCGAAAATTCCGATGAAGAAATAGTGAAGAAGGTTCCTAAATATGCGCTCGATTTGAAGAATTAGATACTGGCAAAGATAGCAAAAGATGAAAATAGTAAAGAATACCGAATAGAGTATCGTTTAACGAAAACCTAAGGCCTAAAGTATCTATGAAGACAAGAAAAAAACCATATAGCAGATCACCTGGCACTTATTATTTTTGATGTGTAAGTAACCTGCCAATTCGATTAAGATGTCTAATTTCGTGTTGGTGTAACAGCCAATACATTTTTTTTATGTTTTTAAATTTCGTTACTCGATGATCACACTAGTGCAGTGAGGGTCTGGCTACTTGATTCTCGTTCGTCAGTCGAGGAGTACTGTGAATAGCAGAATCGCCAGTTCACACCCGGCCGGTAGTGAGATATTTCGCCAAGACGCTTAAACACCAGCGCTTCATAAATAGAGCGATAGGAAAATAGTCCCTTGGATAAGCAAAAAAAAACGAATCTAGTTCCAGTTTTAGGTACTCAATTAAAACATATAGGATATTGCACAAGTCTCCTAGTAGTAGTAGTGAATAGTAATACTATCCTTAAATCTTGAGATGAGTAGGTTTAATGAGTTCTCGGTACATCGGGTAATCCTCGGATTAGGATGTCGTCTCGTGTAGCCCGTAGAATAGTTGCATGCATGCCTGTGTAGTGCGTTCGTTCACTTCACTTCACTATTTGGTATCGATTATCTCCAATTCACAACGATTAGTCTAATCTAATTAGTGTGCCAGACTGCCAGTTCAACTAGTCAACTACTGCCCACCCCGTGTCTAACAGACAGGACTGGCACTGCTTCCTGGAATGAAAAATCCAAGATATAACAGTGAACAGCCCTAACTTCTAAGCCGATAAACTCCACATTCTTATTCCTACAAGGCTGCTGTGCTGATGAGTCATGAAATCAACGATCAACGACCAGCGACCATCAAAGCCGCAAACCCAATTGTAATTACCGAGTATATTACACAAGATACGAATACAAGCCCTCTATACTCCATTTCATTTCATCCCCAAGTCTATCCCCATCTCTATCCTCATCCTCATCTCCAACCCCCCAAATCCAATCCCCCAAATCCAATCCCAACAACCAATCCAACAATCAACACCAACACCAACAAATCTCTCACCCCCAAGTCTCAAATGTACTATCTCAAACATACCATCCCAAACCAAGACATCAGTCCAGTCCAGTCCAGTCCCTCAAGCCTCCCATTTTCATTCCATGATCTAAGTTCCAAGCTCTAACGCTAAGAACGAGGAATTCTCACTTCTTTATGGATTCTTTTATTTTTTTCACTTACCATCCTATCCCATCAACTCAATACATACATACTCGTACATACATACATACCCAACCCTTTCTTTCACACTCATCCTTCCATCCATACCGTCTGCAAAACTAAAACACTCCTCTAGTCACTAGTCACTAGTCACTAGTCACTGCCTCACTCCTAGCCTATAAAACCTAAAACATCAATAATTGGGATCGGAAAAAAAATGTATATGATGAAATAGGTAGGACATTCATTCATATATCATGAACAGCTAGCTATGCATATCTCTCGTCTCTTTCCTCTCTCCCTCGCCATCGGAGTCCCTCTCATCTCCCGTCTACTCCCAATTATTCATCGCACGACCACTTGTCTATCCCACCCAAACCTCCATTCTTTTCCCCTTCCCTTCCACTCTTGCCTTCCCCACCCCCATCCCCATTCCCCATTCCCACCCTCTCATCTCAACTACCCTTCGCAAACGTCTCTGAACCACCCAATTCCCACCATCCCAAATATCACCACCCAAATACCACTCATCACCCAACAAACCCCCATCATATCAAAAAGCAAGGAAACAGAAAAACCTCCTCAAAAAATCACAACATGCTCCCCGAGCACTCTTATATCAAAAACCTCAATCCAATCCAATCCATCTCTCCATAAAATTAAAGGCCCGCTTTCATTAAATAGAAGCTCGAAAAAACAGAAAGAAAGCACAAGATACACACTATTCATACAAGCCATACAAAGAAAAAGAGTTAAAGGAAGAAGCTCGAAAATAATTTTCGATTCTATGTACAATTCCCTCGTTCTCACCATATCATCTCCGCGTTTTTGGTATCCATAAAAAGCAGAGCACTTACTAATCACTACAATGATATACAAAAAACCATGTCCTCCCTTCCAATCCCGCACCTTCTTTACTCCATTATTTACTCCCTTCCTGATCGCTGCGATCTATCAACCACCCCAACAAAATTACCGTGTGACGGTATTCCTTTGACCAACCGTCTCATCCCCCAAGTCCACCTTGAACTCCACCAAATTAATAGTATTTCCACCTCCCATCGACACATTCATGGCGGCTAGGTTCTCGAAGCTTTGTTGATTGAAAAACTTTTGGAGCTGTCCCTGTGCTGTGACTGCATTATCCAAATTTTCCTGCTGCAAAACAAAAAGTACTGTGACTCTTGCAAAGTCGAGGACTTCCTGCGTGATAGTAAAGACAGCTGTCGGATCAATCGTGGAAGTCGTTAGAGTGGCGGAAGTAGTTTTTGTTGTGGTCGGAGAAGAAGTTGTAGACGGCGACGCAATAGAAGACGATGCGGAGAAAATAGTTGAAGTGGCTTGAGACTGTGAGGAAGTGGACGTTGCTTGAGCGGTGGAAGAGTCTACCGAGATGATATACGTAGAGATGAAAGTCGAGTCTGGGCTTATAATTGCGCGGATCTTGATCTTTGTAGGGTCTGGCGGTGTATCCCGTTTCGGCTTATTGGCCGTGGAAGGTGTTGCTTCAGCACTTGCATCCCCTATTCTTTCATCGCTTCCATCAAAAGTAACAAGCGAATTTTCCGACGCACAACTCAAGTTCCCGGTGTTGAATCTCGCCAGAATGGTATTTTCGAATAAGGGAATCGAAAAATTGGTTTGAGCTGCCGAAATAAGTCGAGGTATCGAATCGCCAATAGTGATATTCGCGGTAGTGCCTGATGATGTAGTTGTGCAACCTGTACTTCCTGCAACTGTGCATGTGCTTCCTGTAAATCCATTTGTGCATATGCAAGAACAAACACCGTTGTCACTGTAAGAAGTTCCACCGTTTTGGCAGGCAGTTGAAGTACCCGCGGCGCAGCTTTGTGCTGGGGTGACGGTTGCGGCTTTACTTGTGGCGGGTTTGTCAATTACAAGAAATTTAAGAGGTACGACGACGGCGGCCGCAATTATTATGAGTAAGATTATTAAAACGACAATGAACCCCCAACAAGGTAGACCGCAACACTTCCTTTGTTTCTTTCCACTTTTGACAGATTTTGGATCATTTGGATCGTATTCCGGCCAAGTTGATAAAGGTCGTGGAGTGTCGCGAACAGGCGTCTCATGACCAGGAGGTGGAAAGGCTGATAACATTCCAGAGAGAGTAGAACCTCGTCTGTCATAATTAGGTGTGTCATAATTAGGTGTGTCATAATTAGGTGAAACTGGAATTTGTTAGAGCTTGTATTATAAAAGAAGTATGAACAGCACTCACGTTCGATTTCTTTCTCATTTGGGAAGTCCCTGTCGCTTGGAAAATCATCCAGACCCATTCGACTTGCTGGTCTTCTACCACGATCCATCATCGATGCTAATCTTGTTGCTCTCCTAATCAAATCCGGCAAACTTGTCAAACTGCCTCTCGCTTCTGCCTCCCTCACTGCATCGATATTGAGACGTGGTGGTCGACGAATTGCTGATAACCTACTGAAAGGTCCTCCCTCGTTTGCAAAAGATGATTTCGTCCTACTCGTGTCACTAGGTAAGGCACTTGCGGCTTGGTATGCTCCGAGCATAGCATTTGCGCCCGGGCTCTTTGTTCCATCTCGTGAAGGCAAATCGGTCATCACCACCATGGCATTCGTTGGAACTGACGCGTCAGAATTTGATGGAGTAGGGTCAATAAGACCAGTACCACCAGCTAAAGGTGAGTTTGGGTTCCCAGGAATCGGCCATTGTGCTGATCTTTGAGCTTCTACTGGACTCAGTATTGAGTGTTGTAATGGTGTTGGCCCTAGTCTTCTGGTATCGGGTGGCATTGACAATGCAGCAAGTCGTGCTGGATCGATCTGACCTGAAGATCGTGTTGTGATCATAGAGGGTCTCGCTCGTTTGCCAATACTAGCACTTCTAATCAATCCTTGATCGTCGTTGTCATATGATCCTCTGGATTCCCGACCTTCCGAGACTGCATCGAACCGTCTATCATCTTCATAATCATCATCGTCCTCATCGTCCTCATCGGACCGATAATAGCCGGGCGATTCTGGTCCCCAACTCGAAGGTATAGCTGCACTCGATGCATATGAACTATGTGAACCAGCAAGTGTCCGTGGACTGAGGCCCAAGCCCTCTGATACCTCTGGAATTGGGGAAACGAAAGAAGCTTGTGAATAATATGATGAAGCGCCTCTCCTAGAAGTTGGAGGTGGCCCTAGATTAGCACTTTTCCTGCCTGCCGGCACAACAGCTGGTATCGGAACAGGGAAGTCAGGTATTGTACCAACGGATGAAACGGTCGAACGACGGGATGATGACGTTAGTGGCGATTGCATTGATGGAAAGCTTGGATCGAAGTCGTTATCTTGATTCCGTGGCGAGCCACGAGGTTGTGGTAGTGGAAATAAATTTTGTGATTGTGGAGGTTGTTGGGGTTGGTATTGAAATGTTGGAGTAATGTCTTGTATTCTAGACGCATCAAGGATCGAAGGCACATGACTAGGTCTTGGTGGTCTTTGGGGAGGTGGGCCGCGATTAGGAGGAGCTTGATACTGTTGAGGTTCTCGACCAGAGTTTGTTCCCATCAATGGCCATTGCGGCGCTACTTGAGTAGGTCGAGAAATCGTCATGCCGACAGCACTTTGAGCACCGGTTATTGGCATTCCTGGTGGACCTTGGTGTCTTGCTCTTGGCGGAATTGGAATATCGTTCAGCGACGAAGGATCGTAAGGTCTTGGTGCAGGTATCGGTTCGGTAGGCCTACCTGCTGCCGCTCTTTCTCTTGCTCTTTTCACTGATCCACCCCTAGTCGGCGCATCCCGTTGTTGTTGACTCATCTGATAGAAATATCACGCTGGTCGTACTATCAAATGGAATGATGTTTAGGTACCGCAAATTCGGGACCAATATCCAATCACTCGGATCCTTCCGTGTATTATTTCGTTTGTATCTGCATGAAGCCGTTCCGTTTAGATTATAATTTCCGCAGTCGTATGGGTCCGTTTTCCAAGCCTTCACGAGTGATGAACGCTTCGTGAATTCGTCCTAGAATATGCCGCGCCACAATAAATTTAAACCAGCGATTGAAAATGAGTATCGAAATTTCTTGAAATGATGTTGAAGTTGAGCCTTGAGGTTAGAATGATACAAAATTGCCAAAGAGTGTAATTTCGGTTCACTGGGAACCGATCGAAAGAATAAAGAGTAATCGAATGTCTATTGGACCAAGGTATGCTTTCGCATATCAGGATTTGAAGGTGATTCGCGTGGAGTGAATAGAAAAGGCCAATCAAGGCAATTTGTAGAGTTGAGGGTGCACTTTCAAGTTGGCAATTCCGAAGAGTTAATACTACGCAATCACAATCAATTAGTGACTATCGCCAGCGACAAACAACCTGCGCGCAATGGAAGAGAGAAGCACGATCGAGCCAGAGGCAAAAGATTGACTGGAGAAGAAGAGGGTCCATATGGTAAGATACACGATAGCCTCGTTATCAACTCTCAAGGACTACGAGTATTAGCTGACACGAAACCACACGTAGATAGTATGCCTCCGTGAATAACTGGGACCAGTAAAGACGGTATGGGGATAATCCCCTTCAGCCAAATCGTCACAAACGAACAGCATGGCCGAAAATCCGCAAAATGGCATACAGACAATCGTCAAATATGTTGAAATCGTTCACATACATTTGGTGTTTCGTAAGCCTGCGCGGAACTTGCATACGGTATGAAGCCTTCCCTCAATTATTCTTTCTTGTCTCCAGATATCGTCAAAAACTTCCTGAAGTCGATTGAAGAATGTATAAACCCCCTCGTCGACCTCAAACGTTCACTTCTTCAACCTGCTTGTTATGGGAGAAGCCCGTCTCTCCAAGTACAAATTGGAAGGTTGTATGGCTGTATTTATTTTGATAAGGGATTTGCTTGCATGTGGAAGCTTTCGAAGCTGGCAGATATTCTTTGGTTGTTTCAGAATCGGGATCCTATCACCAACCTACTTTATCCAAAGAAAAATGAGCTTCGAGCCCTTTGGTCGATCAGGCAACGCTGAAGCACAAGTCTTGGGGTATGAATTTAAAGAAAGTTATCGGCAATAAAATGAAGCCACAGGAAGTCGAATTGGATCGAGTTCGAGTTCGAGTTCGAAGAAAGACTGTGATTGAGAAAGTAACTTGGGATTCGGTAGATAACTTTGACAAGACAGGAAGGAAGGATCTACAATATCATTCGAGCCACACCAATTGTTTGAACCAGTCAGCAAAAGATAATGAGTCTGATAGATAATTACATCAATTGGGGGGGAAGGGGACCTCTTCCTGATGGGTACAATGCATACAGTACTTTTTCTTCCACAATTGAGGGGATGAGAGAATGAATGCAGTACCCGTACCGTACATCCATTCAACTCATCAATTTGACAATTTTACTGGCTGGCTGACGGACATGAATCTTGCAGAAGGCCTTCAATCTGGACAAAGTTTCTCCCTATATCGGGACCTTGTCCTCCGAATTATCCATGATCCATACCATTTGACCTTGGACAACCACCTCCCTACGATTCTTTCCCTTGCGCATGCATGGTGAAAGACATTCGAGGGAAAAATAGGTTGAATGTGGAAAGGTTAAAGTTGCAAGGGATCGTGGGATCGTTTTTGTTTACTGGGTCGTCAAAAGGGTCTCGAGAGGATTGTGCGGGTCACAGCAATTTACCGGGGCTAAGAAAGTTGTAGTAGTTTTAGGTCTTTTTTGAGATCTTCATCTTTTAACAACATATATATCTTCATCTGATTGGTTTATGAGTTGAGTTGGTGGTGCGCACAACCAGCCATCAGCCATCCCAGCCATGCATTTTGGAAGTCTTAGTTACTTTCACATAATGGTTAAAGCGGCAGCATTCTTTATCTTGGTACATGGCAATCCAATAGTGTATCTGTCTATACCTGGAAATGTGATACAATACTCATGGCCGCTTTTAGTACTCATCTTCATTATCTTAGTCACCATTTATCAAACCATTCAGTCTACAACTCCCTCCAGCTTCCTGCCAGTGTCATCCCCTTTTAGCCCATTACATTAAGTGAGGAAGACGGCACATCAATACCGGTATCAGCAACAAACAGATGATATCTTACTTGGGAGCTCCATACGTACTCATCAGAATCAGAAATAGTCAAACAGACAGACATATACACGGTATAATGGCTTGTTACTCAACTCCACACCAGCGAAACGCTTGGAGGTAATGACCGTGAACGGTCAACGACTCAACAGTGGACACAGCAAAACAGGTTCTTTTTGATGTTATCTTCTCAGTGATCACATCCTTTCGAATATATCACCACTTCTACAGATGAGACCTTTTCCCGTTCATCACACCCATCAAAATCCTACCAATCCCATTACTCCTTTACCCATGCCTCCCTCGTGGTATCCCCCATCCTAACTAGTCCAAGCAATCTCATTCCACTGTTTCAGATTGAAAAGGTCCCAATTCCGCCTCGCTGCGGGATCCAGGATTACATAAAATCCGAGGGTTACCAGGGGCCAAAACCCCATCTTTAACCAACAAATCAAATCTTTCCAACCTTCTGCGAAAGGCCAGACAGGCATCTACCAAATATTCCTTCCTTCTTGTTTCTTTTTCTTCACAATACAATTTTCGTATCTCGCCATTTTTCTTTTCGTCCGAAGTATCATCAGTTCAGGAGGTTGGGATTCTTAGGTCAGCTCGAGATCTTGCATTGGCGACTTGCTTGCAGGAAAGACATCGAGAAAAATATGCAGGTACGCCCATAAACTCGAGGGGAAAAGAAAAGGTGCAGTTCAGTATGTACAAGCTCAGATTTTCATCACACCGTCTTTCCGGAAGTGACAAGTCTAATAAGAGCTCAGGTAATACGAGATCGTGTCTCTTTCTCCTACTTCTCACTGAAATCTCCGCGCTCGTCGTCCTCACATTGATTACTATTTATCTAACGTTTTCTTTGACCTTGCGCAACTTCATCGAGAACAATTTCCCTAGCGCACAGCTCCATTCTACTCGCGTGAAATACCTCAGGGGCTAATATGGCGTTAGTACCCGAATCAAGCGCCCCTAAGACACCCCCCTGGCGATAAGCGGGGCTTTGTTTGCTATATTTACCTTTGCATTCAATGTACAAAATTGTCTCCTCGGTTTCCAATTTATTGCCAAATCGGCCTAGATTTTAACTTTCGGGGCCTTCATAGCGTCATGGTGGAGTTGAATTTGGGGAAGACGGATACGAATTGATGAAGGAGAGGAACGGAGAAACTTCTTTGGTTCTGTGGAACTTTGAAATGCAAGTAGCTCTTCTTCGATCCGCGAGTGCGATACGTGTTTGGATTTGTTTTGTTTATTTTGCTGCCTGTCCTTCTCCTGAAATTTTGCATGAAAAATCATACTTTCCGAAATTGCATGTCGGCATAACGAGCCCTGGAAATTTGCAAGTAGTACTTCTCCACATTTACTCCAAAGGTTTCCTCTTAACTCCTCCCATCGCTCCGAGAAAGAAATAAACATTATGCCGACATGGCGATCTTGAGTATCGAGACTCCAGCTAAAGATCCATTTTTTATTATACAGTGGAACATAGTTGCCAGCACAGTGGGCGAGTCCTTCGTCCATTTCGGCAGTGGTTCGAGGTTGCTGCTGTGCTGCGTTGACCAGTGTCCCACGAATTACATGGCGACATCCCACGCTGTCGTGGGACATGAAATTTGATCCTTTGGATCGGCTTTCGATGCAGATACCGTGTTGGTCCTACCATTTCCACCGGCATATATGTATGTCTCATCCTTACTCGTATCTCCGTATCACCTCTACTTTGAGCCTCGCAATTGTTATTGCAGTGAGAATTTTGGTGATACCGATCACGTTTATTGTAGTGTTAGTATCAAGGTGCCACGGACGTCAAATGTATCTCCTACTATTCATCACACGTGGTTTAACGTCTAGCCAAACGTTTGGTGATACAGCACTGTGCAATTTTAGCAATGTCCTTTTGCTCCGCGTGAACTATTGATCCTTACACCAAGTCTGGTTATATCACTGTCCTCGGTGAACTAGAATGTTAACGAGGTAGGCGGTGCCATGGATACGATTACACAGTATGAATCCTCCCGCATCATTATCAAACATGGCAAGTTTTACCATGGCCACTGCAGGATTATTACTCATTTATTTGACAATATCTGCATTGTGAATCTGAGCCACGATAATTAGCGAGAAGCAGTCTTCGGTACCCATTTCCCGGTTTTTAAGGTCTAACATCCTGCCGGCTCACCGAGATGATTCAAGTCCTCTTTTTTGAAAGTTTGAAATCAATTCTGGCCAGGATGCCGCAGAGTTCAAGTACGTAGTTTGAGTCTCTGACCCATGTATGATCTATCTTCTCTTCAGAGTGAAGTCGAGACGAGAAACTTGATAACTTCTCTTGCACGCTGTGACTGTTTATATTGAAGAAATATGAGCCATAATAAAAGAGGGAGATTTTCCTGCATTTTCCAAATTCCATCCGATATGCGCGTCAGCTCCCTAATGTACTGCTCTTTTAAGCTGTTTGGCATTTGTTTGAGGGTTTCTAGATTGATTTGAGGTTCTCGTTGACACATACTTACGTAGTATAGTGTTTGTAATTTATAGTTGACCATTGAAAGTTAGAAACCTAGTAGCCAAAATGATATTGAAAGATTGCAGCATGTTGTGAGTTGTGCGAATGGAGGGTTTGGGGCTTTGCAATGTAAGTGAAAAAGGGAGAAATACATATAATCACTTCGCTATGGCAGTGAGAGTAGAAAATATTTGAGTTCGAACTATTTCTTTCTATTGGCGGAGATGAGGATCTGTAAGTAATTACTACCGGTATCTGATATGTGATTCGATATTCTTATTAATGTAAAATAGCACGCTCAATTGCTATATAGTACGAGTAGAACGATTGTTTGTCTCTCTGAATTAGTTCCAGATCTTGTCCTTTAAATTTATTCGGTTGGCAACGCGTATAATGTTTGCAAATGCCTATTATCTCACGCCAGCGGTGTCTTGATCATCATGAGTAGATAGATATTCAGCAGTACAGAAACCTCAAACATGATTGCATGCAAGCTTTTAAGTTTGTGGCTACCCTTTCTCTTCGAACCTCATCCTGTAGCATTCCATTCAGACTCCGAAGCGCAGTCTGAAAGTTATGTATTCTGTTGAAAGGAATCGGCACGTTTAACGCCTTGAGAGTATAGGAAGCCAATTCAGCACTATGTTCAAGCAAGACATCACCCATATCCACTTCATCACCTACCACTATACCCCACACTCATCTTCATCTTCATCTTCATCTTCATTTTCATCCCCATCCCTATCCCCCTATCCCATCACACTCCACCCACTCCAATCATCCTTATTCCCTTCACTCTTCTACCTCCTATCATCTCAATAACTCCCCCCCTCCCTACTCCCTCTCCCTTCCTCTATTCCCACTATTCTCTCCTCCCCACCCCTATCTCATCACCAGGGTATCCAATGATCCAGACTGCAATCCAACAATAAGATATTCTTGATTACTGAATATAATTGATTCGATGTTGTTTAGTAAACCTTGTACCATTTATGTATCATTCATTGTTGGAATTGATATAGACATTAAAAGGTACTGAGAGAACGGAATGAATAACACGCTCTGATAATTCTAGTGAGAAAGGAAAGTATAATTAGAAGTTCGTCTTGCATCTGCATGTATCGGGTCGCATCCCACCTGCGTATACTCCTACTTTGCATCCGTGCGAAATACCCATTCCTTTACCTGACAGGAATAGACCATATGATTGAGTGAACAAATTACCTAGTTTTAGTCCTTCAGTAATTTGATAACGAACCGAATACTGCTCTCTAATGCAAAAAAACCGGGGCGAGTTTGTGTTTGTAGAAAAGCGAAGACGACTGAACAGATTTTGTGGATAGACTACTCAGAAGTCGAGTATAAGTATGAGGAAAATTGTTGCCAGCGGAGGCCCATAAGAAGAGTGCTCATATTTTCAAGGCCGGCAGAAGGACTTGCTTGGTGCTTGGGATATAAAGGCATGACTGGCATGGGAGCAAGAGACATTGACAACTAAGAGATTTCGGAGAATGAGTATGGCGATGACCGTGGACGAAAGGTGGAGGTGATGAAGCCTGAAGGAAAGTGGTGCCGTGTCCTATGAAAAGGAGAGAGATGTAGAAGAACTCTGAGAATGAATTCCGGGGAGGATTAGATAATGAGTATCTGGTTTAGATAATATACAGAATGGAGGTTAAATCTAGAAAGAGATTTATGAGGAGTGAGACTTCGTTCGCTAAGGTAAGACAACGGATGGATATATTATACGGTATATCTGATCTGATGCCATGAAGTGAAGTCAAGGCGAAGAATTCACAAATACTTCTGTGTGGTCTCCTCAAAATCAAACTCGTCGATATCCCTATCACTCTTGAATCCGTACGTATCGAGACAGAAAGTAGCTCTAGTCTTGTACCCAACACGGAAGATCATCTTCCTGCCCTAAAACGGGTATCGATACATGCATGATTCTTTGGTCTCTTTCAGATATAAGTTGCATCCTGCAATGCCATCTATTAATAGAGAATCTACAGAAGTTCATACTGCTAGTTTGTATAATACTCGAATGTATGCACTGGCAAGCGGGAAAAACGAAACTTTCGCGTCATAAAAAGCAAGATTATTCGGCCACAGCTTGGGCATAAGTGAACAGACAGATAGATACAAGATCAAATACAACAACGCAAGGAAGGAAAGGTATTATAGATCAATAATCTGTGCCTCGTCTTGATGTGGCCATCCAAAGATACTATACTCAGGTACCTACCTATGTACTCTACTGGATTTCATCATTAGATTTGAGGGAGATCAAGTCTAGAGGTGGTAGGTATAGTATGGGTATGTCGGGTAAAACACCAGTACCCCCACCAAGCAAGCGGACCGAGCCAACCGAGCCGAACATCGATTATCCGAAACCTCGATTGGCCAACCGCGCGTATCCCTCTCTTTTTTTCCTCTCCATCTACCTACATCAACGACGTAGTCGCCATATTAATGGAACTTATTAAACCCAAATTAAGTCATTGATACCGACATGACTTTCAAATTAGAATCATCATTCATCGTATACTTTTAAAAATAAATCTCCGGCCCCACAACAAGCCTAGCGCAAGGCTGACCCTCGTTTGTCATCATGTCTCTCCTTATCTCCATCTATCCAGATTACTGATATGCGTTATCGAATCCCCCTCAAAAATGCACCATGTATTTTCTCGAAATCCGTCTTCTTTTCATATTCACATCCGTTTCTTTTCGTGTAGATCCGTAGCTTCCTCTTTACAATTTCGCGGATTTTCGTCAGATATTAGAAGTATGTCCGGACAGAATGGAATCAATGGTGTGAATGGAACTCCAAACGGCGTAACCCCCGCAGAGGGACCTGGACCTAGGAAACTTAAAATATTAATGTTGCATGGCATGTACCCTATTTATTCCCTCTCCCCGTCCCCTCCCCTCCTCCCCAATCCAAACCCTCAATCTAACAACCCACAGGCTACACGCAATCCGGCCCAACCTTCAACTCCAAAACCAAAGCCCTCACCAAACTCCTCACACGGCAATTCCCCCCCACACACCCCATCTACCCCGGCGGCATCCAGCTACTCTACCCCACAGCCCCCATCCCACTCCTCCCCAGCGATATCCCCGGCTACACTCCCTCCTCCCCATCCTCTCCCTCTTCCCTCGCCCCTCCATCCGCCTACGGATGGTGGAAACGTGAAACCGGCGGTTCCCGCTACGCCTTCATCGATCAAGGCCTCTCAACCATCGCGACCAGCATCCGCGACGCCGGCGGAATCGACGGAGTAATTGGATTTTCGCAGGGGGCATGCGCCGCATTTTTCGTCGCAAGTCTATTAGAAGGGAATCGGGAGAGTGCATTTGCGCTGCAGGGAGTGAAGACGCCTGAAACGGCACTTGCATACCCCGAATTTTTTACCTCGCTCAAGCGCGATTTGAATCATCCGCCGCTTAAATTTTGTGTATCTTATTCTGGATTCTATGCGCCGTATGAGGGGTACACGGCGTTTTACCAGCCAGCATTGAAAACGCGGGTTTTGCATGTTATTGGGACTTTGGATACGGTGGTGGATGAGCATAGGAGTATGGCGCTCGTGGAAGCGAGTGAGGAGGGGAGTAGGGAGGTATTATATCATCCGGGAGGACACTTTGTGCCGATGGGGAAGGAGTTTGGGAATGTGGCTGTGGGGTTCATAGTTAAGTGTTTGAAGGAGAAGAAGGTGGCTGTGGAGGAGAGGGTCGAGGATATGGATGTGCCGTTTTAAGAGGGGGTGGAAGTAAGTACTTGGACGGGTTATATGTTCATCAATAGATTTACAGGAATATAGACACGTAGATGAGGGCATAAAGGATTCATATCATTTAGGATCTAGACTAATTGTACAAAGCTGTAGGTATCATTAATGGCATAATAGAAAAGAACATTAATCCTAGACCTTTCCTGAATCCTTTGGTGATTTGGTTGGTTGAATTCTAGCCATCATTTCCTCCTTAGTGATCAAATGATCAATTGTCTCCAATAAACCCAACAAGCTCTTCATGTTTCCGCTCCACTCATTAAGGACATCATCCGCATCTCTTGGTTTAGCGAAGTTGACGATACGAGCAGGCCTATCAATCTTGGCGAACACAGTCTTAGCAGTGACCAATTCGCTGATGTATTTCTCCGTCTCGTCTTCGGTCAAATCAAGAAGTTGAGTCAATCGAGGCATTTGAATTCTGGTATAGTATTTGGCAACAACTCGAACGTTGTGTTCAATGACACGTTTGCGTAAATCTTCCCAACGTTTGTTTGCCTTGAGGTCGGCGGATTGACCTTGTGAAACATCGAAAATATCAGTACTGCAGAGGTGTGGTCCAAATATCTTTGATACTTCGGGCCATCGCATAAGTTCGGGAATGGTGAATAGCTTGAGGAGTTGAGCATCGAGTGAGACTTGGCTATTACGGGTGTCTTTGTGTACGCGGTGGAGGAGATCGGATTGTTCGTTATCGTAAGGAGCTAAGATGACATAGTAGATGATTCTTTGCAACACCTATAAACGTTAGTGTCTGCCGGAGAAGAGTGAAAGGGTAAGACTAACGGAATGCAGCTTGTGAGGGTCCTCTTCGACAGCTTCCGTATCAAGAACCTGTCTATAATGCTTGCAGACATCAAGATACTTGTCATCATGCTTTGCCAAGGTAATTTGATGCTCGTAGTATGTCAACTTAAGATCAGTAACATCATCCTCCTTTGGCTCTGGAACATCCTCTCCCTTCTTTCTTCTCTTCTCTCGATCCTCTGCTTCCTTTACTAATTCATCTGGAGTCTTCTTTGGCTTCCTTGACAAATATTTGGTACTGATCTTCCGACTCAATATTCCAGCTTGTGTCCAGTCATTATTCTCTATACATAATGCGACTTGTGCCAAGATGAATTCTGTCTTTTCTCTCCTCTCCATAGATCCAAATGTCTCCACTTGCAACTCGCACAAGATGTCTGTTGCAGATTTGAGATCACCCTGTTCCTTCTTGATATTGGAAAGAATTCTTGTGACGCGGGCACGCTCAACTTCGACGAAGATTTTCCCCTCCGTGACTGTTCGTAAAGTCTCGATGACGGTAAGCTTCGTTTCGAGATTTGGCGTCGAATCCAAAAACTCCATCACCACCTGTACCATCTTTGTTGTAGCTTGTTTGATTTGGCCATGTTTCTTCGATAGTAGCAGAACTTGTTCATTCAATAAACTCCAATCGCTAGCGTTTTTGCAAATGGTGACAATTGCGACGAGGATTCGAGATGTCGATGCAAGATCTGATGCCTGTTGTAAATGTTAATGGCGTACGCCAGTGTCAAAAGTATTTCCGGTCTGACCTGTCTTGTTTGTTTCTCCAATGCCGTAAGTTTCTCAATAGCACCCTGAACATTTGTCTGATGAATTGAAACAAGTTAGCCAAGTCCACGGATGGTTCCAATCGTGAAGAAGTATATACCTGTGCAAGCTGCTCAGCTTCTGGAAGCTGTTTGTCAACCTCATTGGAGAAGTCCTTGTCTGGCTTACGAATATGTTCTTCCGGCATTATGGCAGATGATAATTTGATTGAGACGGAGGGTATCAATTCAACAAATAATTGCAAATAATACGGAAAATTGTAGTTGTGGTGTGAAGAAGATGAGAAGTTGAGGAGTTGTCTGAGAGTTCTAGGTTGTCAACCTTGACGCGGCAACTTATTGAAGCTTAGATTCGCTTTTGGTTTGTTTGGACCACCGGAATATGAGGGACAGGACCACAGCCTCATCGCGCTTACTTAATCAATCTCGCGCGTGTATTCATGACTGTCAACAGAACATCATCGGTTTTGATGATCCGGTCAAAATAGGATCAATAGGTAACTGTTGCACTTCTGGGAGTTCCTAACAATACTTAGGGACTTTCATAATGACTGTAACATGTGCTTGCATAACTCAAATCATTTTGAGACTTTGAGGGAAGCAATGTTCACCCCTTTCACAAGCCAGCAGCGTACTCATGCTTTGACTGGAATTTATAATAGTTTATTGGACCATCAAATGCCCTAAAGGTACTCTGCTGTTGCTGTACATTGAGCTCGGGCAATCGAAGTTTCCTAGCAGCTGTAAACTAAGAACTTGGCAAGATAGTCCAGATTCTAGACACAGGTGCCATCTAACATGGCGATTAAAAGCCGGACCCGCTAAACTTGCATACTGCGAAAATACTCTCTAGTTCACATCCACATGGCCATAGTCTTAAGTATAATCTAGTAGATTTCAACACTTCAAAGCTGTGATAACCTTCAAGGGATCCATCCCACCGTGGGGCTCACAGTTTTATCTCAGCGTTAGAGGGACTCCGAAACCACCCAAACTCAGATGTTGTAGGGGCATGTCCACCTCTACCGTGAAGTAGTTGTGTCCAAATAGATATTTGTGCAAGTTAGTCTCTCTAGAGTTTGCTGGCACAAAATCTGCAGATTGTTCAAGTATATTGAAAGTGAAAGGTGAGTAGACTTGCAAGTATCTTCGTGATTGCCATTACTACTACCCATTAGTAAGCCGGTTGTTATGTTATTGATCTAATCCATTTCTATGATTACTAACCATGGAGTTTTAGCGTGAAGTGTTTCCAATATTTAGTCATTACAGTCTGTTATATAATTAAAGAGGTGAAGAGTAAAAAACCACACAAACGCGAGAGTTGGCACCATGGCTCAGGTGGTTTAATGCTGCAACTCAACGAATAAAAAGGAACTCCTTGAGGCTTCTCTGCAGTTCTTCTCACAATCCGACAAAATCGACAACCCCGACATGTGAGTTTCTTTGAAATGAACACACTGAGTCGGGCATAATTACTCAGTATACGACAATTTCTTTTGATCTTTTTTATCTTTTTTGGTCTTATTTGTCTTTTCTGGATCCTCCTTCTTTCGTTTAAAGTGGGGCTGTCGAAGTAGAAGCGAGATTACGCGACTGCGCGACTACGTGATAGGCTAAGCGACCTGATTTGATCGCCTCTTAATGAATCTCAATCACTGTACAGAGATTCCTACAACAGAGAAAAATGCCGTCAGTCCACAGTCACAGAATTCTCTTTTCATACCTGGTTTAACTACGCGGAGTGGTCAAGTCGTCCATTGTAACGGGAAATCTGCTATCCATAAATACGATCTCACGCGATGTCTGCTGTTCGAGTAAGCAAAGGCAGCAGAGAGTTAAACGAGAAGGAGCTGCGCGGAAAATTCTTGAACCAGCTGAAAGCGTTTGCAACTGTTTGAAATCCAACCTCAAACCTCAAACCATCGCGCTCGTTGAAACGAAATATCAAACCAATTTTATACACCCGAGTATAGTGCTAAGAACCACTGATGCGACTGCAGCAATCTTATACCACGGGAAGTACGCACACGGTAGGATTTCTATCATTGTTCGTCTGTACACATGCTGAGCTTGAACCTTTAGCTTCGTGTCCAATCCGCTACCAAGAAGTGAGTGCGATCGAATGATTCGGTGAGTGAAGTCAAGTCCGCCTTGAGTGGTATCGGGTGCTATACCTGGGATTTTGTGCGGGAGACTGATCATGAATGCAGCATTGAACTACTGCTTGCCAAGAGCCAGTAAGTCGATTGTTGCTCCCAAAATCTGTACGAACCAGGCCCTATTAATAAGTATCATGTACATGATCTATGCCTAATGATGCTCAGCACGAAGTACAAGTAACGAGGAATCAGCTTCTGAGCTTCGGAAACGAAAATTGCCACAATTTCGCATATCAATCATAGACTAATTCGAGAACATACTGCGCGCTGCGACGCTACAAAAGGCGGAGGATGGCTGGTTTGGGGGTTCTTTTAGGCAAACGATTTCAAATAATCTAGTGGATTAAGATATTTCAGCAGCAACAAGTTCCAAATATCACAGCCCACTTGGTCCAACTGGCGCGTCTTTGTCAAGTCGATTGGGGCCAAAGCTCTCCGCAACCTTTGGCGATTATCTGCTAAGGTCAAACAAGAATGAATCTTAATCTCAGCAACTCGTCTCGCCGTTGCATTGTCAATTTGGTTCACTCGAGTCTGCCAAAAAGTTGGAAGAATCCGGCGAATCACTAACCCATCTTCTATACACTGCTAAGGATTTGATCAAGCTACTTATCGAGGACTATGAGCCCAAAGTAGATGGTGCAGAGATTTTCAATTCCGGATCTCTGCGACTTGTTTCTCGAGGACTGTCGATCCGGATATTTCAGGCTTCAGATCATTTCAACTCATCACTGGAATTTTGGATGATGTAGGATTATCACCGTCATCATTCTTTAAGTCAAAGAAGCTTTTAGGCCCCTTTTTTGAGCGATCAAGCCTCATATTGGCAGTCTCTCGTTTGGCCATGTCTCGTGCGATGGATGTTCAAAATGTCATTTTAAGCAGACGATTTTGAATGTACTGGGAAACCCGCCCCAAGATTTGGAACAATACAGATGACGTCGTTGAAAGGAATTACATCGGTGGTACTTGCAGAGGCACTGGAAGGCTTGGAAGCAAATGCGAAGATGAGGCCCATGAGGGGGAGGGTGATTCATGGCTACCAGAAAAGTTGAGCCCATGATCTTGAAAATGAAGATTCATTATCTGATAAATTATCAGATAATGAGATAATCTACAACATTTAAATAGACTTATTGGAGGTATCAATAAAGAGTGCGGAATTATTACATGAATGTAAGTTGCCATTGCTGGCAATCATTCACGCGTGGGACAGACAGCGGAACAGTTTAAATTTTGAGTCATTGCGTGACCGGAAATGTGTTACATGTTTTGTCATGATAATTTCTTTGGAACTAGATACGTTTGGCAATTTGAAAATACCAACAAATAATCGCCATATACACTTTAGATCTTATAATAACTCTTCCATCTCTCAAAGTGAGGTGTGTGTCCCTAATTGTGTCTACGAGTAGTCCTTCACATTATCGAAGACTCACCCCTCATACCCCCAAATGACCCCTAACTCGTACTCATATACCCTCACGAATATGTTGCTACATTTCTTATCTCGCTAATACTCCTTTGACCGCACCTTGATCACGAACTCAGAGTAGTTCCCCACCCCTTAATCAACGGTACTAATTCCCCACAATGACTCCTCTCCCATTTAACATATCTCTTGCTTCCCCAGAAACTCCACGCCACAGCATTCGTCTCTTCTCTATCGTAACCTGGAACATTGGGCTGGCTGAGATGGTTCGGATTGTCCATACAGTGCTATGATAGATTGATATACGTTGAAATATTTGTTTGTATGAGTGGGAGGTTGTGATAGAAAGTGGCTCGTTGTTTGGTAGTTTGGTAGGATGTTTGAGATTGGGGTTGAAGAAGAATTGGTCGTAAAAGATACATTTATGCGGATACTCCATCTTGAAACCCTTCTTATTAGACGACCATATTTAGCTTTTCGCGCAGACCATGATGCCTGGATTGCAACAACTTAGGTCTCGTCCGAGAAATGTAGCCTTTGATAAGATCGACAGGCCAGAATAATGTTGAGGCCAGAAGTTTGAACTTGTAACTGAAAAGTCTTCATGTTGCCTATTATAAGGAGGTAATCGGTGACGAGGTGTTTATTGGACCCCCTCACCATCACAGTAGTCATTTCCCTGTGTCTATGATACAGGCTGAGATAGACCCTAGAGTCATAGGCAATCTCGAGGTCGTTTAACGGTTGGTTGCCGTTTAGTCGTTCTTACTTGGTTTGATAGACCGGTGCCAGGTCTTTGAGGTCGATTGAAACCAAAGTAGGTGTAAATGAGTCCAGAAAATGATATTTTTCATCAACGTAGACTCGACGAATTCTGGCGTGAATCCTCACCTCTCCTTCAAGCAAATCCTCAAATGTTTCGGAGTTTGTTCCAGGTGAATGTACCGAAAGGGAATTGAGGAAAGCCCAAGTACTTGTAAAACACTTAAATACTCCAGCCTATATTCGTTCCATCCGTCCTGGTTGAAACAAGAGCTTCATGTCATCTCCATAAGTTGACCATGTGTCCAGTCTTCGTAGTTTGGTGCGATCCCGTTCTTGATATCTTCAAGCTCCCAAGCCAAAAGTTCCTTTCGTTTTATCAAGATATGGGATAGTGGTGCAGCTTGTTTGATTCCCATAACGTCCGAGATGACTCTCAGTCTCCCAGCTACCCAGTGGCACATCATATCTGAGACTATGGGCGTACAAGCTGCCGTGTACAGAGGCCATAACAACAAGTTACCACTAACTGCTTTAGCACTGTTCAATGTCACTTCTCCACCCTCCGTGTATCCGAGCATAAACGGGACACTAGCACATATATCATGTGAAAGTTGAATGACAGTTGTGATTGATGTCTCCAATTGGGAATCAGAGAAGGCAGGGTTTCCCGTCTCCAGTCCAACTAATTCGGGCTGGGTATTCTTTAGATGCGTAAGCTGAACATATATAATCTCGTTGACGAGGATTCGGACACATCGATAGTGGTTCCAGAGTGCAGCTGCCCAGACACTATCATAAACGTGATAATGATCTGAAAAAACATCATCAGACCTTTGCCTCAAAGTTATTGTTTTATAGAACCAGGACTCGGACGGATAGGTGAATGCCCACTCCACGAGCTTAGAATCAACCGCGAGAGCCGCTATGATGATGTTTTCAGCATTACTGTAATCATGAAAGGAAGACATCGTCGCACGCAAATCGCAAAACTGCATCGCTTGTTCCGAGAGAATTGTAGCGTGAGCATCGTTCGGTGATTGAAACTGAAGTGTATATCTTGACCAATCCCGAATGAATGGCGGGATAGCAACATGGCGTTGTATACAGTTCGTGATCTGGAAGAATTGTTAGCAGCGGATTCAACATTGAACCAGGGAATAACGCACAACTTGAGCCCTGAGATGAAGAAATAAATGGCGGTCTATGGAGGTTTTAAGACACTGCTTCCCTCTCAGTTGCATCAGTGATGAGGCCCCAATTATATGCTTGGTCCAAGACTGCATTGATTGAGGGCCTGTACAAGTATTTGTCTATTGAGTTATTAGTGTTGTGAAACTTCATGCTTGTCACTGAAGGCTCACCTCATAGAGTCCCAATAGCATCACTGCCACAAGGGTTTGATCTGTTCGGGCTTCCTCTTCGTTTCTCAGACGCGAACTAACGAGTCTTAAAGCAGAATTGTACTTTTTGTGTGCTTGAAATTGGAGATCCGGAGCTTTCCAAAAGTTCGCTAAACCAACCATGCCAAGAGATTCAATGCTATCAGCTAAAGCAGGGCCGATGAGTTCATTGCCATATATGTCGTGTAGATATTGGAAACAACCACTGGTCGAGTTATCCTCTAGAACATAATTCCGGAAAAAGTAACAAGTAGCTTGCTCAGCTGATGAAGTAGAAAGCTCGAGTGTGAACGGTGTAGTCTGCATCACAAGCTGCATTGTGGATTCATCCGTCAACTGAGGATCTATAGGAATCTCGAGTGTGTCGTTTGATGCTTTCGTTTTCCGTCTCGATACCACCATTCGAGCATCATTTTGAATTCGACGTTTATTAGCGTAGTGTTGCGTTTGGTCGCGGAACATCATGTCTGCTTCAGTTCTATACCCTGTGCAGCTACGGCCAGCACGAACACATTGCGAACATGATGGTGTCAGAGTGTCACACTAGACAAGTCAATGACTGAGTAGATTCTGATGCGAAGTGCTTACTCACCTTGGTCCTGCGAAGTCTACACTCGGCGCAAGCTTTACTTGGCTTACCACAATAAACCATTTCGCGAGATTATTGAAGTCGTGGATAAGGTTAGTGTTTGAGGAAACTATGGAGTCTGGGACTCTCTTATATAGAGCAATGGGGAAGACGTTGAGCAGTCTACTTGAAACTCTTGTTTAGTAGGGACGGCTTGGGAAGAAACATCGATTACACCGGACCATGAGAACGAATAGATTGAAGTTATTTACTTGTACCGCTGTCACCTTGCTCATGACAAGGGGTGGAATGAAGATCCTTATTCGTCATCTAGCTACTAAGACACTTTGTAAGGTTCTCATCTGGTCGTATATGTATGAAAGATCGGCAATGCAGGCGAAGCTTGATTCTTCTTGGAAGTGAGTTGTTATAGAATAAAATAAAAGACCCGGAACATTTAATTGCTTGTTCTCACGTAAGCCGACTAGGATTATATAATCACAAGCTTTTCCTTTTTGGGTATCCTCAGCGTAGTGCCATTGATTACTCAGCCCCTTAGTGCCGCTCAGCTCTTTATCGCCAACTAAGGAACAACCCACCCCTTACTGCAATGAACACCTCACTCGTTCCATTGTCCGACTAGTCAGTTTCCGAAAATGATGCAGGAATCAATTCCTTCTACTGAGTACCATCCAATACTCAACTGGTGGTTTTGCAAAATATCGTCTGAGCCAAGTTTTTACAATGATGGATCTCACTCCTGCAATCGTTCAAATCACATGGATCTCCACAACGAAGTATTCCTATCAGCGATTGCTCTCGCTCTATTTTGACAATAAGGAGCGATGGTACGAAGTTTCTACCCAGGTATCCCTTTATTACCAGCAATGCTACTACTCATCACTTTCCATTTCAAACCTTTTTCTTATTGTGTCGATTCATCATCAGCCTTGCAAGTGGTAAGTAATGCATGCCAGTGCGTGCCCCATCGTGGGGAAGATGGCTATTCAACTACCATCACTCTCCTGGTTTATGATGCGGCGAGCATAGCATAGAGGTCATTCTCGCATTAATATAAGAGAGATTTGTCCAGTCAATTCTGTTCTCATCTTCACAGATAAATTTCACACTATTTATTCCTTATCCTTATCCTCAAAAGCTTCCTATACAATCTTCCAAACTTCAGCCATCATGATATCAACTGAAAAGGGCATCGCATATGCAGAAATTGTGGCATATGCCATCGCATTACCAATCGCTATCTTCGTGATCTTCTCTCAAGGATTCAAGAAGAAGCTTGGATGGGTATACCTTGGATTATTCTCCACCATCCGAATCGCCGGTGCAATATATCAGATTCGAAGCATACATAACCCAGAGAATACCAGTGACACGGAATGGTCGATTATTCTGCAGTCTGTGGGCATATCACCTTTATTTATGGCTACATTTGGATTGCTTTCCAGGACGTATGTCAGAACTGTATGATGATCTTATGAGAAAGGCAAGCTAACATAAGATGATAGTACGGACTTGATCTCTGGTTATGCGAGAGCTGACACTTACGAAATGCAGAATGGAGGGGACTACAAGGCCAGCCGTACAAAATCCAGCTCTTCACGAAGTTGTTTCATCTTATTGATGCACATTCCCACGATGATTGCTTTGGCGCTCTGCATTGTTGGTGGGATCCGAGAATTCAGTGATAGTTCTTCCAAGATCTCCTCCGGCAAAACCCTCACCAAGATAGGAATCGCCATCTACGTAGTGGTGTACATTGTCCAAATTTTTCTGGTCATCATTACATTCAAGGATTACTACAAAGTTCCCGCTGGAAACGCCCGAGTATTTTGGGCCGTCGTTCTCGCCAATCCTTTCTTGGCCGTGAGGTTGTTCTACAGTGTTATGTCCGCTTTCACTTCTATCAAGTCGTTCTCAATTCTTGACGGGTCACCATTGGTGAGGCTGTTTGTAGCTATCATCGAAGAATTTGTCGTAGTCATTTTGTATTTACTTGCGGGTGTAACGGCGCCCAGGCTTGACAGATGAGAGTGTATAGACTGAGGTTGGCACCAGAATGCAGGATATTGTTTTATGAGCGACGAAGAGTTTCGTCTGAGGTATCCATGGGCGAGCTTATCTCATTCAATTATTTGTTGCTTTTCGCATGGGTTTGCAATTTTATCTACATATTGAATTTGTTTGGAGACATATGTCATCACCCTCAGAGAATTTTGTGTTATACTTGTCTTTCATGCTGTGCCCTATTACAATCAACGCACAATTAAAATTTGATTCAACCAGAATGTTTACTAGCCTACAGAACCTCACTTGTGTACTTACTGAAATGATTTCACGCTCAAGGTACACAACTTCAAGATACAATTCGTACCTGAATTTTCCCCTTATTTGCTTTGGAGGAACGACTATGAAACACGTAGGAATTTGAGCCCCGCCATCAGAGTAACAAGCGATGATGGTTACCAAAACGGGTAACCAGTGAGTAGCGTGTTTGAAGTCCACCAAAGGATTATTCCCACAATAGTAATTCCGTAGTAATGATTACACAATTGCGCTCTTCATTCCTAATCGGGAAATTGTTTCGCAAATATCGCTACGAGGTATATCGACATATGAGACGATGAAGACTGCTCAAACAGATATTATTGCGTATCATTCCACTTGTTGCGGAAAAGATTTCGCCCCTTTGATACTTCATCCTCTTTCGCTTGTCTTGGTATTGATTGCGCCTTGGGTTGCAGCGTTTTCAAATGAAATGACACGTTGAATTGCCTAGTAACCTTTGATATAAAGCTTCTACTCACATCCCCATCGTTGTGAATACACACCTTTCTCAAGCACACATTCAAGTAGATTTCCTTTCCTTCAATATACTCCCTTCATATTGTACATTGATTTCCTAGTATTCCAGGATACACCGAAAGCATGGGAAAACTCGTTGGGCTCATTAGCTCGGGCATTGGTCTCGCGATGGAAGCCAAAACTTCCTACTCTTCGAGTAACAAGACTTACAGCAAAGATGCGGACCGTGGATCTGACACAAACTTATCTCAAGGTCTGTTTAGCACTCTGATTTGGCTATACTGGCGCTGACCTATAATAGTTTCTCGTCGTACCCCGTCTAAAGCATATCAATCTAGCAATGACGACCAAGCATATCGAGATCTTCAAGTCTACGCAGATTATCAGAATACCCTTTCTGATCGCATAAGTGACGACATGCAGAGAGATGAACATTATCGAGAATATTTAGCGGCGAGTCCTCGAACTCAATCGACTAGGAGCACACACGAGCGCGACGTTTCTTTCTACGCCCACGAGCTACCAAGTCAAAGGAATCAACCAGCGCGAGGACTTTCTTGTCCTGTGATACTTCCACAACGAAGACCTGAAGCTCAGAGTCGAGGAATTATCCGAGCATATTCTCTTGAGTTGGCGGACTGTGGCATTGATGAAGACACTTTCTTGGACTTCATTGATGATTTCAATGAAGCTCATAAAGTAAGCTTCAACTTATGCATATCCTTTTCAAATACTGACTTAGACAAAGGCATCTCCGTATCTCGATGCTGTCAACGTTGCAGCCCAAGGTGTTGGCTTTGCACCAGGTATCACTCCGATGGTCGTATCCATGGTCGTTCCAATTGCAGTCAGAGCCGCTAAAGGTTACCAAACGCAAAGACAGTAAGTCAATCAATTTTGATCCTTTCAATAAGAGCTAGCTAATTTTTACCCAAGGTCCACCTCTTTTCTCGACCGCGCCAATGCAGAACTTTTCATTCCACATGGTCTCTTTGCAATGGTTCTAACATTCAAACCCAGTCAGACTCAAGACCCACATGGAGCACCTGGCGAAGTCCAACTTCCACTTTCTGCCCCCCTCATCTACCCCGAAGATGATCGACGTGCCCAACAAACTGGCTTCAAGAAAATGGGGCACTTCATTGCAGATTATGGGGATCGAAGGGCCCAGGCTCGATATGTATGTTACGTCTTTGCAGTTGTAAGACGTTCGCTAACAAATAATAGGCATACAGCAACCCAGACTCAACTCTCGCTAGTCCCTTACCAAAATTCGAAAGCCGTTGGGGCGACCCAAATCACGCCGCCAATAGCGGTGGACTAAAAAGCCTACTCACCGGTGTCCCAAACGACAAGAGCGCCCGGAAACAAGAAAGACAAGACCGCAAACAAGATAAAAAGGGACGTCGTCGCAGAAGAAGCTCAAGTAGTGGTTCAGCAAGAAGGGGTGGACTCATAAGCAGCGCACTTGGAGCCGTTGGCGATGCTAGCGGAAGGAAAAGTAATCCAGGAGGGGGAAGACCAACTTTGATTGGGGCAGCAAGAGGAATGGTCAATGGACCGGGAAAACAAGATCAAAGTATCATCAAAGGAATTAGAGGTATAGGGATGCAGACTGATATCCTGTACTTGATGATCACCAATAATAGCGAAGACCGTTCATCGATTCCATCGACCCGTTCTCAAACACCATCAACATCAACATACACCTCACCACCATTCCCACCCTTTCCACCTGCCCAAACACAACCTACAAAATCAGAGGTGGATAATTGGTCCAAATCTCAAGCGCGAGATCAACAGCTCATCTATCCCATCTCATACCCAGACCGCACATTGGTTTATCCCGCCCAACAACAACAAAAACAACAAAATAATAATCCGTATACCGGTATGGGTATGGGTATGGCTATGGGTAGACAAGATCAAGTAGCATCTCCGTCTAGTTCTCGCATGGGATATGTCGATCATCATGATGCTCCGCCGCCGGCTTATAGAGAAGCGATGCCTACGAGATATTATGACCGCATGAGACAACATGATGAGGAGTTTTATGTACCTACTCTTTGATTGTTTGTCTGAGATGGTTGGTTTCTGTTTGTTGGTTTGATTTGGGGGTGTTTTGGAATTGGGGTTTGGATTTGGGGGGTGTTTGTGGGTGTATACTTTACTTTACTTTACTTTGCTACAATTTAACCTCTTACTTGATCCATATTTACCAGTACAGACTCTGCTTTATAACCAAGTAGTTGCGAGTTATTTTACTTTACTTCATGAAGTAACTTCACATTGCTATAATGCCACCTCAACAGTCGTGTCTTGTCCTCTGTAATATGTATAAAGCATAAAGCATAAAGCATGAAGCATGAAGTATAACACAGGTCCAATCAATCTACAGCACCATAAGAACTTCCATCCAAACATATAATTCTCAATTCTCAATTCTCCCTACTCGTACTGTAGATTCCGCCACAAACAAACCATCTCGCAAACGCAATTGACGCTAATCCTACCAACCCTTCGAAGAGTTTTATTATGATGATCTTTCCTTTCATTTCCTTCGCATCACAATCTACCACATACATTGGTACCCTTCGTCAAAGCTAAGGCCAAGCATGCTAATTACGACCTTCGGAGTTCCGGGGGTGAACTGCTGATTATAGTTTCACGACTATCCCCCTTCAAGTTCCCTCTCAATCTTTTTCCACTCCTGCTTTTGTTTCTTTGTCCATAGGTATCTCTAATTATAATTGTTGGTATCAACGGGAACACCTTTCAGATCTACGATGGTAGAAAGTCCGACGGGTGTTCAGTGTTGATATCAATAAAAAGCTTGTTGATTACTATTCTACATGATGGAGACTATATGTGTATTGAAGCCCTTTCGCTAAGGCTTGCCCTAGCCCTTCGATAGTACGGTGCCAGTACTCCGGTACAGTAGATGACTATACCGACAATAATTATCATCGTAATGATTCTTTTTGCTTGCGTTCTATCAATACATCACGCGTACCGGTATCTGCTTTTAATATCATATCACATCACATCACCTTACACAACTTCAGTCTTCAACCCTCTTCTTTATATACGAGTAGTTCTCTCGAATGGTAAATAAATTGTGGATTGTGGGTGAAACTAGAAGAAACCTATCTACATACATCAGATTAGGGAACCTCTAACTTCCTAATCTACTACACCAGCAGCCCCCATCATCCCCCCGTCCCCCCCCAAAACCAAAATAAAAAACCAACATTCACAACTTCGGCACCTCCCCCAACAAACTAAAAGTCTCCCACCTCACCCCCTCACCACCCTCCACACCCCTGTACATCCCGCCCAACCCCCACCTCCATCCCCCTCCCCATCATCCGTCTCAACAACCTCCTCAGTCTCCGCCACCACCCCCCACCCCCTAACCAGCGCCCTCCAATAACAAGCCTCCGCCGCCGGCGCAATATGCTTCACAAACAACACTCTCTGTCTCTCCGCAATCCCAGCCGCAATCTCCGGATGAATCCGTAAATACACAATCGTAGTTTCCAGATCCGACCAATCGGGGTTCCACAAATATGATATTTACATCGGTTGGAGCGTAGGTTATGGGCCAGCGGGAGGCTGGGTTGTTTTGGTTTTTGGGGGTGTTGTAAGTTCTGGAGCTGGGAAGAGTGTGCTGGAGAATAGGGGACGTATGAGGTGAGTGGTGTGGAGGAGGTAGGTGGAGGGTGGGGTGAGGATGATGGATGCGCAGGCTTGGTCACCGTGGTAGAGGAGACGACCGGAGTAGGTTATACCCTGAGTGTTGTAGCGAAAGTTCATTGTTTAGTTATTTATGGCCAGTATGTCTACCGAATTATATATACGCCGAGATGATTATATAAATCGTATAATTGTGAGGAGCTATAAATTGTAATAAAAGACATCTACATACCTCTGTATAAACGATATACTTGTACCTACAAAAATCCTCTATTCGAATAGCATTTTCGGCACTTTCGCCATTAGTGTTACACCTCAGTTGCTTCTATATCTGCCCACTCCTTCCCTTACCCTTGAGAATTAAACTCGGTCGCAGATCTTTGTTACCGACTGTATTGAACGAGCCCGTTCCTCTCCATACTGCTTTATCAATTTTCTCGATCCATGTTGTATTCTTCTCTATGCGCTCTATTTTAGATAATGCCTCATCAATCGACCCAATAAAAGATATCGGCCATGACCAAAAACTAAAGTGCGGCATAACCCAATAATTACCGTTTTCGATACGAGGATCGTTCGATCTTGAGAACGCCCAGGAGTTGTTCATAGGCGTATCGAGTATATTGAGTGCGAAAATGATGTTTGGAAGGGGAGACGGCGAGGTAATAACCGCACGATGCAGTTGATGAGGAACAGAATTCCGCTCCTGTGATATAGATATCAGACGATGTACGAACGACATATAGAAGAAAAGAGACACACCTGGAGCATATTCTGAGCAGGGTTCGTGTCCGTGGAAATGATGTAGAGCTAGATCTGCCAGTCAATACATATAGCCAGCATACTAAGATCTTGAGAGGTCAAATAGGACCTTTCCATTCTTATTCTTCCTTGTACAAGCCCAGTATGGTGATCCGGTTGTTTCTTCAAAGGGAACGATCCTCTCGCCACCGCATCGTCAATTTCCTTCGTCAAGCCTGGAAAGGTTGCCACGCATTGGTCCTCTGTTAAAGAGAGCGACTGAAGAATATCCGCAGAAGGCTTCTGCTCATCGATTGAGACCTGAAGAATTGATGATCGCCGATTCTGATTCATAGACTGCGCATTATATATGTAGATACAAACAAGAACCGTCAATAGAATAATGCCAATGTGAATTGGGCTTTTGGAACGGTACGCCATGCTTCATGATAGACAAGTGACAACTTGCCAGATTATGAACGTACTTCATGACGATCTTGATAACTGAAGACGTTTCATGGTGAACAAGGTTGGCACGGGAAGTGGAAAAAAGGGAAACAGGAACTCGCGCCGACAAGCCCTATTCAGCGGTGAGTGTAAATGTCTTGCGTCAATCCGGGTGATTTGAACAACTATGCCAAACGACAATTCTAGATACTATTAAATTATTATACACTAGTAAATTGTTTTATGTTGTTGCAGTTATGTGTACCAAACAGAGTAGGGAGGGAGGGGTATTAACCTCATAACGTGACCATTTCCAAGCCCCCGAAACCAACCTTTTTACAACGTTGACAATTCCATTGATATCTCCTTCATATATAATGATCTACCCACCTTACTCTCCATTAATTCTTCGAGTATATCGGCAATCATGCAAATATACCGGTATCACACCGAATCAATCAATACATTCAACAAAACCTCTTCCTAGACACCACCCAAAGACGAGTAGTTATTTTGGGGTTTTCTTGGTCGAGATGATAAGAAGTTGCGTTTGAAGAAGGAATATCCAGTTTGTTTAAGATATACATAAACTGCACCAATCTCACATTTTGTGTAATCAAACAATGTGTAGTATGGGTATACTGTATTCTTCATTGAAACTTCCTCCACCTCCAATTATACACAAACGAGAAGGAAGAAATATGAAGAGAAATGCCTCATAAATACATCATGGACATCCGCATATTAACAAAAAGAGAAATAAATAAGCAAAGCTAAAGAAAGTTCTTTTGAAAAACGCCCAATACTAAGCATGTGCATCCTCGTGACATGGCTATTGTCTACTTTTACACTATACAATGCTCTGCTCCTTCGTTCGTATGCCATCCGAGATACCAAACTCTCCTCTATCTCCTAGGTCTTTTATCATGGCCACCTTCTCTGAGACCATCCGCGTCACTTCTTCTCTTCCTGCCACTACTCCCATCGTCGCGCATACCTCTTCCATCGCGGTCACCTCTATCGGATCTATCCGATCGTTGGTTTCGTCGGTCCCCTCTATCCCCTCCTCTATTATCAGGAGCGTTCGGCCAGTTACCAATACCGGCATTAGCTTCATGTTGATCACGTTGAGAATCGCGATCTCCACCATGAGTATCCCGGCGACTATTATCCCTGTCACGATGTTCTCTTTCTCCCCTTCCACCCCCACTTCCAACCCCAGCTAACAAGTCTCTGCTTGCCGAAGGATCTCCTCTCAAGTGCCTGTCAGGATCTCTGGGCTCTCTATCACCTCCACGGCTCCTATGTTCACCCCTGGATGGGCGTTCCTCTTCCGGGAGGCCAGCACGTTTTTGGTCCCTGTTGCGATCAGTAGGTGAAGTTCGACGACTACGCGTAGACCGATCATTTCTTGAACCACGGTCTCCTCGATCGCCGCGACCGCGGTCATCATTGCTCAACGCGTTATTGCCGATAAGATCAGCACGAGCAGGATTAACCAGGTCTCTTCCAGAATCTCTAGCTTGTGCGGGGGCCGGACCTGGAGGGGGTGGGGGTGGTGGAGGTGGTAGGATTGGTGTAGGAGGACCAGAAATTGGAGTCTGTGGTTGACCACCTTGACGTCTTCCACGTCGTTCTTGACCTTGTGGATGCTTGGTCTCTTCAAGCATACGATTGATATTGTTGATCAGATTTGGTTGTCTTATACCACGAGGTGCACGCTCGTTTGAGGAGGCAGGTCCAGTTGGTGCCCCATTCATCCGAGAAATTGGACTGTTTTGAGCTTGAGACTTGGGGCCAAGAGGCGCGATTTGGGTTTGTAGAGGTGGTGCAGTTGGTCTTGAACGTGAGTTTTCCTGTTGAGGCGGTGGTGGGTTTGCTGGTGCTGCTTGACCGCCAAAGCTCCTTATTCTATCTGGGTGCATTCCACTAGAGACTGTAGCGGCCACTGGTGGTGCTTGTACAGGTGGTTGAATAGGTTGTGGACCCAAATGTTTCAATCGATCTGGATGGACTCCTGATGTTGGAGTTGTTACAACGAGCGTCGCCGGCAAGATGGCGTGTGTAGATGTCGTTGGTTCAATTTGTCCTGGGCCTAACCGTCGCGGGTGCCGACCACCAGAAGGACCTGTGGGAGGTTGCTTATCTGGACTTGGCGGCCGAGGGATATCAACTATGGGAGCATTCGGCAACCTTCCATCACGTCGAACTTGCGGCACGTTCGTCATTCGATTGTTGCCGCGGTTCCTGTCACGAGGCCCAGAGGGGATATCTGGTTGCTGATTCAAACGACCAAAGTTGGGATCTACTTGTGGCCTATTAAGCCTGCCATGATCAAGATCCACGGGACGCGGTGAAGGTTGTGATTGCTGAAAGGAAGTAGTATCTCTTGATCTTTCTAGCGGAGGCGCTCGGTCGTTCGCTCGATCTGCTGGCCTTTCTCCTTTTGGCCCTGCCGGTGGTGGCGCAATATCATCAGGACGACCTCTTGGGGAATCGTGGGGATCGATGGGTGCGTTTCGATTGGATCTATCTTCACGTCTTGGGTGTTGATGATCTTTCTCCGAATCGTGCCGTCTCGGAAGTGGTGAAGTATGCCTTGATTGACGATCTCTGGTATCATCTCTGGGTCGACGAGGTGAGTCGGAACGTGATGGTTCATTTCCACCAGACATAAGAGCGGCTCGCTCAGGATTAATCAACTCCTGTCTCTCTGGGTTCACTAAGGCCAATCGTTCAGGGTTGATTGCCGAGCCACGGTCCGAAATAACCGAAGCTTTTGGTGGGGGAATGGCTGCCTCACGAGACAGACGACCACCATTTTCAGGAGTGTGTTGTCCGTTCGATGGTGCCCGATCTGCGCCATCTCTCCCTGGCTCGGCATTCCATCTTGTATCCAAATCTGCTCGAGGACGCTCACGTTCATTGTTTGGTGCTCGATCGTTGTTTCTGAAATCTCTTGGTGGTGTATCCATGGCCCGTCTGTCGCCTGGTGGGAAGTCACGGCCACGATCCCTAGTCCTATCCCGAACCATCTCTGTCACTCTGGGATCTCGTATGTCTCGTCTGTCATCGGTCCTAGTCGGGTGACGATCCATCATTTGGCGACCAGGTATGGGAGCATCAGGTCTATTAGGTAGATTATGGTTTGAGGGCATGTTTCTTTGCAGGTCAGGTCGTGCTGGTATGCTTGCTGGCGTTGGAGTGGACGCTGAAGCTCTGGCTGCATTTTCGCGCAAGATCTTTTCACGTCTTAACAAGATCTCCGACTTTTTGCCTGCATTGGGTGCCGACGCAACTCTATCTTTGGCACTAGCACTATCAGAGGGCGCTTCCTTCAACCTATTGCCTTTATTAGCTGCAGAGGCCAATTTTGCATCATCAACTTCGCCGTCCTCGACTTCAATTGTTGTGAGCGCTTTTGGCGTAGAGGCTCCCATAGAGCTTCAAAGAGTTAGCTTGAGATACAAATTAGGTTGGGGCACTAACTTAGCTCCAGTCTGGGGCTTGAATTCAGGGGCTGTGGGTTTCAGAGTTATTTTCGCAGTAGTACCTTGTTGAGAAGCATCCGATGCAGGGCTACTGTTCGATTGTACAGGGCTCTCCTATAATGGTGTTAGTCTTATCAAATCACAACTTTCGCTTTTACTGACCAGGCTATATCCAAACGCTTGAACCATAACCCATGACTTGGACTTCTTTTTGAGCTGAACCAAGATGGCATTACCAGCAAGAGAAAGATCCTCTCGTGCCCCCTTTTCTCGAATAACAATGGTCTCGAGCTGCTTCACAAAATTATTGCCCATGAAGTTAACAGCTGGGAATACATCAACAACCGACTTAAGAATGGTCATAGCGTTTCGAACGTGCATCCATTCTGTTCCTTCAAAACAATCACGCAGAGCCCCATTTAGCTTTTGGTGCCATGAATACAAAATGTTTTTGAAGCCAACTTTACCGTCATGCTCGAGTAAGCCTTTTACAGTTCCATCCGCATCAATAGCTTTAGCAAAGCCTGGGAGATTCTTGCTTGTTCCCCACGCCTCTTTCTCGTATACTGCCTGATCGCCATGCCAGCGGGCCAGATCGGTCAAGACCAATCTCAGAAAGCGGCCTAAATTCTCTGCCTCACGAACTGTGCATGTGAAAATCATTGAACGTAAGCGGTTTGATCTGAAAAGCCTGCCATATAGCGAGAGGGTCCGGAAGTTGGGTGTGCCGTTGTCGTGTAGGAACTTAATCATCCGGAAAGAGAAATCTGCATCGCTAGGAGAGAGCAGTAATCGTGGAAGTAAACATCGTTCAAGAAACGAGTCACTAACGAGATCGCCCTTGACATTGCTGAACCATAGGCTTTTGCGTTTTAGAAGACGGCTTTTCTTTCCTGAAAAGGCCCCGACTTGTTTACCGAATTCTGCCAGTAAATTCTCCCTGGTTGTAGCCAACGCTTTCTTAGTCTCTTCCTTTCTTGCCATTCCAGCCCTAGTCATGTCTGTACGGTCCTTCATTACATCTCCTTGTTCTTTGAGCAGGTGAGAAATCTCGGCTTCGTAGCTGTGGCTAGGAATAGCCAGATCGCTTAGGGTAGAACTCCAGAACACAACATAAAATTCAGAAGTGAGGAAAGCCCAAGAACCTTCGGGTAGAACCTCTTCGACGGTGTTGATGTAGGGTAGCAATAGCTCGTGTAGCGGGTCCGCTTCTGGTATAGCTACTTCGGAAGGCGAGCCTACTTCCTTAATATCTGACATCTGTATGTCGTCTTTCGGGGTAGATATGCCGTTCACTGCAATCGATCCCTCGATTGAAGAAATTTGAGTATTGCCATTCATGCCAACGTCACCTTCTGCATCTACCTCTGGAGCTGTAATTTCCGCTGATGATGGTGAAGACTTCGCACTACCATTGAGGTTGGATGATAATAACTTAGAGATGCGATGTGAAATACTTGGACGCCCAATCATGAAAGCAAGTGTGGGATCCAAGCCAAAATCTTTCATGAGTTCGGAAATTCCTGGGACAAGATCATCGAACTCTTCAATCGTGAGGTTGCTGCGAAGAAGGTCAAGGAATTGGAAGAGAATCAATTGGGTGTCGTCAACCATCGTAGCTAGTAGTTTAATAGGTGCCTCATCATCCGAAACAGTATAGATGGCCGATTGTCTATGCTGTGCAATCGATAGCAAAAGTTGCCCACCTAACTTAGTATCAGTCAAGCCCCTCATCAGTCGCTTCGCTGTCTTTAGGGATTCGTATCGCTTGTCTTGGAGGTTGATTAATGTCTGGCGTCTCAGGAGCTCGCCCCCAGTCATGGCAGCGAGTTGAGAGTCGGTGAAATCGGTATCTGGCACAATTCCGGACATTTGAGCAATGAGCTCTTTGAGAATGACCAAATCGGTAGAGTTGCCCCGATGGAGTTGATCATTAACATACTGAATGAGCGGGATCAAGTTCATAATAGAATACCTCTTGAAGACTTTGCCGGAGAATCTTGACAATGCTAGAAGCCATTTACTTGGCAGAAGTGCGAATTCGGCATCGTTCCGGTTCCTATCCTTTCCTCCTAATGAACTCAACAACGACCATACCAAAACATCGTATCCTAGGTCGGTAAAATACTTGCCGCACTCAACGACGACTTCTGTCAAGTTGGTATACGCTTCAATCTGACCCAAAGCAACACTAAAAACTACACCCGGCGATGCATATGCAATCTTCGCTAGATTCCGTGCCATTACAGTGAGATTGGTCATACTAATCCTCTTCATAGTACTTATGGTCTCAGATTTGGTCTTAGCAAAGGCAGCTCTCATTGGTGGCAACCGAGAGATCTGACCTTCAAACCATTCTGCATAGATGGAATATCGGATGGATAGAGGATAGAAGCGAAGCATGCCGTATACTTCATTGACGACACTAGTATTTGCTTTAGTCAAGCTCAGTGCTGGAACAAGGAGGCGCTTAAGAAGATCTTGCCATCGGTCGAAATTATGAGATGAGCGATCTTCTGCAAGACTTTGTGTGCCGATCCTGGCTAGTTTTGACAACAAAGTGGCATCTTTACCAATATTGACACCAGAGTAATTGAGTAAAGATCCACAGAGGGTGAATAAATCATCCACGGTGTGACAGACAGGTACATTATCTGCCCACTCATCCCAGTAAAATCTATATGCATTGTTCTCGTTTGTGTCAAATTTGTCCGGAAAAGGCCATCGTAATTGTTTTCGAGGAGGTATGGCGAGTAAACGTACTGAGCCCTTTGGCATACCAGTTTGATCCGGATCGAGAACTTTCTTGCTTGGGCAGTCGGGTACAGCTGAAGTGGTTGGTCGACTCATACTAAAGACGTCCTGGATGGAATGGTTCAGGATACGATGTATCAGATCAAGAAGTTCGGGGTATGCCTCTGGTAGCCAAGGGAAGCGGCCGAGTATGAAGAGGGCTTCGGGAATCGCTCCAATTGTTAGGAGACAGGTGAGAAGTTGTACCTTTTGGTCTGAAGGTTCGTCCAACTTTTCTTTGTCGTCAACCTCAGCTGTTGGTTTCCCAGAAGCATCGGTCTTGGTGGTTGCGATTTCACGAGTTCGTCCCCCACTTGGTAGAGTATCATCTACCAGGGCCCCAGCCATCATCAATGCATTCATCGTGCCTCCACGACTAGCCTTTTCCTTTTCCTCCATCTCCTTCATCCTGGCATCGCGAACCGCTTCCATATCCTCGTCTAGGGGCCACAGGTGAGGGTATAAATCTTTGAGTGAGATGAATCCGATCTTGATTAGCAATGCAGTCAGATATATCAAATTCGCAGGGAGTACGTCCTCATTATCTCGAGCAGCCGAGGTGTAAAAGCGTAGTTTGAACCCAAGTAACTGAGCTGCTGTTCGATTTCCGGACGGCGGATAAGTTCCCGTGGCTTTGATCCACAGGTGATCTGCATCAAGTTTTGCATCATCCTCCTCTTTGAGGAGCCTTTGTTTAATTTCGGCATCAGCAGCCTGCCTACCTCCAAGCTCAAAGAACGCTTCAATCCCAACTTCACGAGCCCGATCCCAGAATAGTTTGTCGCGCTCCAACCGTTGGCTCTTAGAAATTTCTTCCTCTTCGTCAGTTGAAGTCCAACCAGGAGCGCTTGGTAAAGCCCATGGTGGAAGACCGCCGCATCGAGCTACCTTGTCAAGGTCAAATTCGCCGCTTCTCGGCCACCAAGAACTAGCCCGAAGAAGTTTGATAAAGAAACGGAAGTGTTTTATTAGGACTGCCGCAAACACATCCAATGTAATATCGAGAACTCTTCCCACATCTAAATCGAATGTTCCTATGAGGCCTTTTACCTTCTCAAAAGCATCCTCAATCACCTCGCTTGTAGGTGGTTCACTTCCACTAGTTGTAAAAAGCTCTGTAACCAATTTTGAATATCCTTCGGTTTCCTCCCTCAGAAGATTGTAGTTTGCCTGTCTATAAAGAAGATGGGTGGCTTGTCGAATTCCCATGCGTGTGAAGGTATCTCTTGTGAGCCCGAGATTTAAGAGAAGGGCAGCGTCCAACTTCTGTCGCATAACATTTGCTGATATTCCTGTCGAGAAAACAAATGTTCGAAGCGCCGCATTCGGTGATTTCAAATCTTCTAATTCGCACATCATCGACAGAGAATCAAGAAATAAAGTTTGCGGTTCCAAAGTGCCGGGGGTATTGTCTGTTAGTGAACTATCTGGCCCCAAGATTTCTTTGATGCAAGAGCCCGCATCTGCGCCATCGATCCGGCCATCAAGAGTAGAGCGGATGAATTCTTGAAAAACCGTAGCCAAATCCATTGTATCTTCATCCTGACGAGCTTGAACGCCCTTCTCTACCACCTCTTGTCGGCCACTTGTATTCCATGAGGACATTTGATCGTCGGAAAGGAAAACGTAATCGAATGGCGCAGGGTCGGGGTTCCAACTGGGACTGATCATATCGTTGGTGGACATTGGAGTTGGAGTTTGCGCTGGAGTCTGAGTAGCACTCGATGGTCTGGGAGGTGGAGACATAGTTCCTGGTGTTGGAGTGGCTCTGGTAGCTATGGAGAGGTTACTAGGATCGCTCGAATTACTCGAATTGTTCGCAGTGCGGCCATCGTTTCTACGTCCTCTACCTCCACCCTGGTTACCTTGACCTCCCCTACTGCTCCTTCTGTTACTGCCCTCGCGCATACCAGAATCTCTTTCATGCTGCCCTAAAGAAGTATTTCCTGGTCGATGAGGTGAAGGTCGAGGCTCACCCTGGTCTACGGAATTTCTGTCATTCCTCTTTCTCTTCCCTGCTGGAGCCATCTCCAAATCTATCAAAAAATGCTCAACGTTATGCGTACATGTGTGTTAAATGACTGATAACGGCAAAGAAGCGTCTGCGATTTGCGATTCTCGATTTGGTATGTGTCAGTGTTGACTCGTAGGCTGAGTTTTTGTCGAAATCGATATTGTTAGATGATGAGATTGTGTGCGACAATGAAATTAGAGCGTTTAAATATTTTTGATTTTTGATTTCAACCTCAAGTGAATATCTTCAATTGACGATATGAATTAATTAGACATCTTCAGAGTTCCCAAGCAATAATGAAAGGTTTCCCGCGTTCGCGTGAGATAGATCGATATCCACTAGGCCGTATTAATATATTTAGTGTTTACAGTAAATGGTAGTACCTGACATATAAATAAATTCCGTCCCCCCGACATAGAAAGAATTCAACAAGTTCATTCATTGTGACTGGCTCTTGATGACGTTTTTTGATCTGTCCCCTCCTTTAGTCTTCTAGAAAGATATAAAATATAATACAACTCCTCAATTTTTCCTTAATAAACTATATCTCAGCAATCAATCTATCTCGCAATGACTTCTTCATTAGAATTTGGCGGTTCTGCGAGAACGGAATTAGAAACACCAACACCAAGATACGGTCAGTAATTATATCTCCAATGATTTGCACAAAATACCCCTCAATCCCCCAATAGAAGCAGTGACTGAATACTACAAGAAAGAACGCAGCAACAACCTGAAAACCCTTTTGCATCTCTCATACCCGACCAAACTATCGCGATAATCCCATCCTTCACTTTAGAGTCTGGCGAAACTTTACACAATATCCCCTTGGCATATAGTACCAGAGGAAAGCTTTCACCCAATCGCGACAATGCCATGGTCATCTGCCATGCGTTGACGGGCAGTGCGGATGTCAGCGACTGGTGGGGCCCTCTTCTCGGCGGACCTGGCAGAGCCTTTGATATATCCAGATTCTTTGTGATATGCATGAATAGTTTGGGAAGCCCGTACGGAAGTGCAAGTCCAGTCACTTGCAAGAATGGAGATCCAAACAATGAGAGATATGGTCCCGAGTTCCCTTTGACTACTATCCGAGATGACGTCAAGTATGTAGCCAACCATCTACTAGCGAGGCACAAGACTGACTTACTTCAGTGTTCATAAGCTTCTTCTAGATGACTTGGGAGTTCGACAAGTGGCAGCTGTTGTAGGAGGATCTATGGGAGGCATGTTAGTTTTGGAATGGGCATACTTCGGCAAGGACTACGTTCGATCTATTGTTCCAATTGCAACATCCAGCCGACATAGCGCATGGGGTATCAGTTGGGGAGAAGCCCAAAGACAAAGCATTTATGCGGATCCCAAATACGATGACGGCTATTACCCATTTTCGAACCCTCCAACAGCAGGTCTCGGTGCGGCACGCATGTCTGCGTTGCTCACATATAGAAGTCGGAATTCATTCGAGGCAAGGTTTGGACGGAACATACCCGATGCTTCCAAGAAACAGACCATTAGCGAAGGCCAGCAGCCCACTACAGCATCGGATATAAACCGAGCAATTCATAATGATGGACACAGACAAACAAGGTCACCAATAACTTCGAGGTCTGGAAGTTCCGCTGCACTTTCAACTATGGTCAGTGAAAATATAACCGCAAATGGTGGTAATCCGGCAAACTTCACAGACCCCCAATTCCATGGCGCAACTCCCTCCTCATCCCCACCACCAGAGCGCGCCCCGCTTCCCAAGCGCAAATCGACTTCTCACTACTTCTCTGCGCAGTCATATCTTCGTTACCAAGGTGAGAAGTTTGTCAAGCGTTTTGATGGAAATTGTTATATTGCCATAACTCGCAAACTTGATACCCATGATGTTTCCAGATATCGAGTTTCAGCAGATTCACAGGATCCTATTGCTGAAGCTCTTTCACAAATTCAACAACCAACCTTGGTACTCGGTATTGAAAGTGATGGACTTTTCACATTTGATGAACAAAAGGAGATTGCAGCTTCCGTTCCAAATGCACGTCTCAAGAAGATTGAATCTCCTGAAGGTCATGATGCATTCTTACTACAGTTTGAACAAGTCAACCAGCACATTCTAGATTTCTTGAATGAAGTGTTACCCGATATCATGGAAGCGCCTGGCATTGAAGGAGTAGAAGCTGAAGATGGAGTAGGGGCTGTCACAAGGAGCAGTACTTTTGGAGAGGCGGAAGTGGATGATATTACAGCATGGTAAATTTGGCATCACTGCAAATGTATATAATATTTATAGAAGTCTGCCACTTGTGAGGTTCATCCGCGCCTATATATTTACACTTAATGGTCAGCATCGTCCGTCTATTTTTCATTCCTCACCCAACCTTCTTTTGACGTTATACTCATATAATGAATGATATATTTCAGATATTAAATCATTCATTATATGAGTACCTACCTACCTAGGTAGTATCTCAAAAACGCAAAACCATGTATGTAGTGGGAGATTTTCCGTTGCCTTTCTTTACCTTCCTTTTGATTGTCTATTGTCTATTGTCTATCTACCTAGTATTAGTATTTTACACATACTGGGTATTGAATTTGGAGTTTGGAATTTTGGAATTTTGGAATTTACTCTCGAGTAGTCGAGTACATTTCATTTCATTTCATTTCATTTCATAATTAATCTCCAGTCGTAAGTACTGAGTATAATAAGTAGTAATTTGCTGACTTTACCTAACCTCCTAGGTTACCTAGGTTACCTACTTTTTAATGAGTGGGAAGTGGGGAGTGGGAAGTGGGAAGTTGGAAGTGGGATGTTGTAAGTTGTGGAAGAGGTTCTTTATATACGACTAGGTAGTAGGTAGGTACATTGGATGTGGAAGTTGAAGGGATTAGCTGTGAGGAGGGAAGGAAGGAGGATGGGGGGGAGGGAAGAAGGAGGGAAGGAGGGAGGGAGGAGAGGGAGAGGGAAGAAGGAGGGAAGGAGGGAAGGAGGGAGGGAGGAGAGGGAGAGGGAAGAAGGAGGGAGGGAGGGAGGGAGGAGGGAGAGGGAGAGGGAGGATGGGTGTTCTTGATTGAGGGGTTTGAGGGGCAGGACTCGTTTCTGTGGAATCATACAATAAATATCTACTCGAGTATAGTATATTGATATCGTATACAGACTCCAGAGCAGTCACAGAGGGAGGGTAAAGTAAATACTGAAGCGATGAAGAATAGGTACCTAGGTAGATAGGTGGACTGTATACCTAGGTATGTAGAATTAATCCCTATATATTTAAGTATTTAAGTATTAGTATTAGTATTAGTATTAGTATAAGTATTAGTATTGGTATTAGTATGTACCTGTTATAATCATCGTCGCTACCTCCATCGTATTCGTGTCACACAATATTGAAGGGGACCTGTCTTCGTCGTGGTGATTGTCATTGATTGAATGATTGATCGAAGGTATTAAGTATTTTAGTAAGGAATTGATGTTTGGATACTGAGTAGATAGAGGGATTGAGTTGAGAGATGTCGCTACCTCCATATATATATATAGCCATGCGTACTGAGTAAGAATTTTGGTAGGGAATCAATTCCATGATATAGATTTCTAAGAGGTACCTACATACATGAATACCGATAATAGAGATGCGCATCATAGTACTACTCGAGTACTACTACTAATTACCTACCTAGGTATCTACGTCATTAAAATTTTAGTGTGAGCGTGGGGGGGAGCGGGAGCATGAGTACCGGTACTGGGAGGCTATGATCTTGGAAAGGAGAGGAGGGGAGAGGATCGTCAATGAACTGAACTATAATTAATTGATTAATAGCTTCCTGATGGATGTTCTTATTGTTATTGTTATTCGGTACCCGGTGTGGATTTTATGGATTTTTATAGATATTAGAGTTTCTCTACTCTTTTCTCCCTTGATCTTCAACCCCTCGATCGACCCGGAAAACTCTCTTTCGTTTTGGTTGCTTCTGATGCTAGGTATGTTGTAGTGTAGAGAGTAGATACCGTATGTCCTCAGCTTATTGACAACTATCTACAGTACAGTACCACGGTTTTAGGGTAGGTACTCGTAAATGATGTGGTTTAGCTTGGGATTTTGGGTTTTGGGACTGGTTTGAGTTTTTAGGTACGATATACTTATACAGTGTACTCGAGTACCATTACAACGGTTCGGTTCGGTCCGATGCGGTTTGATGGCTGCTGTGTACTTAGCAATACAACACACGTCTTGCTTCGTACAATATAGAGTAGTACGAAAATAGAAATATTTATCGGGTTTCAATTAATCACTGGTATTTCAAATTCGAATATTCTATTTCTTGAAGATGATGTTCGTCTGGAGACATTTTAACATTGATCGTTGTTTGGAGTGACAAATTGATATCAATACCTAGTACCGGGTATTCATGTCGCCAGAAAGTCCGCAACTCGGGAACTAAGTATATCCAGGTACGTGCTGGTCTACCCGAGTTATGGACAGTAGCTTCCAACTTGCTGAGTCTAGTTCTATGGGTCGATAGCTAGCTAGTGTATGTCTTGCTTGGTCTTGAACCCTAATAAAAGTCTTGACCTCATCGTATGTAATGATGAGTTTCCTCTGTACCTACCATACCGGCCGGTATGAGGAGTCTGGGTTATGAGATGAGCTTGTTTTTCATTTCATTACCAAAAGGCAATACTGAGTACATGTGTCACAATCTATTTTCATGTCTTTAATTGTGTCTTCAATTATATCTTCAATTTGTAGAAAGAGGGGGTTTGGACTCTTGAAGGAAGAGAAAATAGAGTTTGAAAAAGTCTTGGGTTCATTCTTTTTGTTATTAGGTGTTTATATTTATAAGTGAGTGTTTAACATTTATATAAATTTTATAGGCATTTTTCGAAGGGATTATTATGATAATATACTCGAGTAGTAATCAATCAATATATGCTTAATATTATACCGCTGAACTATAGCAGAAACGTACCTTCCTTTCTTCCTATCTACTCATATACAGCACGATCTACAGAGTACTCGAGTACGTACCGGTATATCCTATATCTTTATCAATACAGAAAAGACATTCTTTATCATCCTAGGTAAACTAGATAGATAACTTAACTATTCATAGACTACTGAGTATAATATTTGGTAATTGGGGGATCAACTAAAGACAGACTAGGTTTGAGGTGGCTAAGAAAAGGAAGGCGAGATCACTTTAGGTTTTTGCTAGAGTACCGGTATCAATACCTTTACATTCCATTCCCTTAAAAGTTGCCATCTCCGCCATCTCTATATTCTTTCTTACAACTCGAGCATATAAAAACCTCATCAAAATCCTAGATGCAATACAATACAATACAATACAATACAACACACACACAACCCACTACCGGTACAGCACAATACAATAACACATACGTATCTAATACAAGTACCGAATAACTCCTATACAACACGACAAAGGAAAGGAAAGACCTCGTCATGTGCAATTAATGAACACCTACCTACCTACCTACCTACCTACCTACCTACCTACCTAACCTTTTACTCTTTTTACATACCTAGTAGTACTTATACTGGAGTAAATTCTTATACAATAACCTTTTTCCCCCTGGTCACCAATTCGAAGTTCGAACCTTCTTGACGACCGTCCATTTTTCATATTTTTACCTCATATATTTTATTGATTTTTGAACTCTCTCTCCTTTTGTTCTTTCTTCCTTAATTCACCTTTTCCACCTACAAAGGATACTACTACTTGACTAGTGGTTCTTTTACTCAAATCACTTCCTTTTCCTTACATCACTCGCGCAACCCGAGTGCTGTGCATGAATTGCATTGCATGATTGAATCATCAACCACAACAATACAACCCATTTATGTCAAATATTTTTGGACCAGCCACGATGGAATCAATTATCCTCCCTTCACCGGGTCTTCACGATGTAATTGAAAACCTACAAGATACTCCCGATAAATCAAATGCAACCAAAAACCGAGCACGATTGGCTTCGTTTTCCACAAGTCGAGATTCGAGTATTTCATGGGGTCGACGACATCACCATGGTTCTTGGTTACATTCCTTAGGATGTGCTAGCATTATGAGTCTCTGTCCTTTGATTGTTATATTTTATTGGATTGCACTCGCACGATTTGAAGGTTCTTTGACTTCCGCATACAAATCAATGGCATCGGTGGGACCTGTCAATTTCTTATGGTACCATGCACCACGAGGCAACCTAAGAACGAATATTGGGTATGGAACTTGGCTATTATTCCAAGCAGGTCTTTACCAATTCTTACCCACCAAATTGAGCACCGGTCAACTCACTCCAGCGGGAAATCTTCTCAAATATCGTACGAATGGTCTCTCGGCTTGGATTGTCACTCATGCTTTGTTTCTCATCTCATCATACTGCGGACTCTTGGATCCGGCAATTCTGGCCAAACATTGGCAAGCATTACTGGTCTCGGTGAATGTCTATGGGTTCCTGTTATCTGGGTTTGCCTACTTGAAAGCTCACATGAGTCCAACTCATGAAGGGGATCGAAAATTCAGTGGTGAGTTTGGTTGATGATGGGACTCTTGGTATTTGATATTGACACGTGACAGGTTCCATTTTGTACGATATGTACATGGGAATCGAATTGAATCCGAGATTCGGAAGGTACTTTGACTTTAAATTGTTCCATAACGGTCGACCTGGGATCATTGCTTGGACTCTCATGTATGTCAAAATTGAATCACCGTGATCGCATGTGGAAATCTGCACTATCATACCTGCTCAAGCCTACAATCCCCTTCTAACCTTAATACAGTGATATGTCCTTCATCGCGTATCAATATCAACTGCATGGCTACATTACCAATTCTATCATTTTGAGCACTTTTCTTCATAGTCTCTATGTTGTGGATTTCTTCATCAACGAAGATTGGTACCTTCGAACCATTGACATCTGTCATGATCACTTCGGGTTTTATCTTGCATGGGGATCTATGGTGTGGTTACCATCCATGTATACCCTCCAGACGCAATATCTCTCAAGAAACCCTCACTCTCTATCACCTCTTAGCGCCATGATGATCTTTACCTCGGGCGTCAGTGGCTACATCCTCTTCCGCAGCGTCAATCACCAAAAAGATCTCGTTCGTCGCACTAAAGGAAACTGTCAACTTTGGGGTGCCCCAGCCGATGTTCTACACGTCACTTATCGCACCAAAGATGGTAAGAAACATGATAGTATACTTCTTTGCTCCGGTTGGTGGGGTATGGCTCGACATGTTAACTATCTTGGTGACTTGATCCTGTCCTATTCCATGTGCGCGGCTTGTGGTACCAAGAATTTGTTACCGTGGACATATGCGATTTTCATGACGATCTTGTTGATTCATCGCTGCTGGCGGGATGAGGAGAGGTGCTCGAAGAAATATGGGAAGGGCTGGGAAAGTTATTGTGAGAAGGTTAGATGGGTTATCGTGCCGGGTATTTATTAGATGGAGGAAGTGGATTGATGGGTGGAGGTGTTGTGTTACCTGGAAGGTATCAGTTAATGGATCATTTTGGGTCTGGAGTATAAAATGGAATGGAATGGGTGGTCACGGTGGAATGTTCATTCTATGGATGGCGTTTTTATACGTATATGATGGTGAAGTCATCATGTAATGGCTGGGGATAAAGGGATTCATTTGGAGATTGGAGAGTGGAGAGTGGAGAGTGGGTTTATAAAGTCTCTATAGAATGGTAGGTGTGGATGGAAGTAGAAGGGGAACCGGAACCGGAACTGGAACTAGAAATGGAAATGGAAAAAAATGGATGCATGGGTGCATGGCATAGAATGGGATGGGCTAGGTGAATGGGATGGGGAATGGGATGGGGAATGGGATGGAGAATGGAGAATTAAATAGATTCTAGACGGACAGACGGACAGACAGATAAACAAATCGAAGAATAGAATTAGATTGCTAGATTGCTAGATTGCTATGAACCTAGATTCTACACTTCTATGGACCTACGATATAAAATGAAATGAAATCGAGGGTACAAAGTGAGATTAATTCGAGTTGGAGTTGAAGTTGAAGCTGTCCCCGTATACTGTATACTGTATATATACTTGGTGATGGTATAGTGTTTGCTAGTTGGTGTTTGTGTTTGTGTTTTTGTTATTTGGGGAACTAACTAGCTGTTGAGGTGGTGAGGTGGTGAGGTGAAGGGAAGATGAAGTGGAAGAGGGAGAGGGAGAGGAGTGTAGGAATAGAGATGCGTGATGTGATGTGATGTGATGAAGGGGATATGAGTGTGGAAAGAGGTGGAGATGGAGATAGATAGATGGCCTGGGCCCTAGGGGAATGGTGATGTGATGATGGGGATGTGGATGTGGGTGTGAGGATATGGGAAATGGGAAATGGGAAATAGGAAATAGGTAATAGGTAATAGGTAATAGTAAGTAGAAACATTATTTTACCTACTCATTAATGAATATACATCAACATGTACATAGATTGAGGAATATCAAGATGCAGGAGGAGTAATGGATATACTTGAGTATATATAGATGTTATGTGGAGGAAGGAGAAAGAATAAAGAAAGAAAGAAAGAAAGAAAGAAAGAAAGGAAGAAGATAAAAGAAAACAGAGTCATGGATGATGACTCTCATTCTAATTGTATCAAATTGTATAACATGAATATTGTCGTGTATATGCCTGTGTACGATATATTTGTAAATGACAGCAATAGCTAGGATGCCAAAATTTCTTGATCTAAGAGGATCCATAACATTCAGTGAAATGAAAACTAAATCATCAAGCTTGAGTTTCAAGGTGATGAGAGTGAGAGTGAGTGTAGACTTATCACTTGTAATTGATTAGTTATTCGTCTCTAACCCTATTTTGTCTGTCTATCTTCGATCGAGCTCCTAAATTCCTTGAACCGTACCTGAGTAGTATTTACCCTTGATCCTGAGAGATGGATGAATGCATATGCCACACTCTGCTCAAGTGCCGAACTGCATCCTTGTGGTTTGTACATTATGGCAGACTATAGCTAACGACACCCTTTCTCTCTCTCTCTCTCTCTCAACTCAAAGTTCCATTCCTTCGCACCACCATAGCAATACTTTTCCCATCAGTTGAAGAAATCCTTTCTTAGCTACCACTAGGATAATCAAGAGACTTGCTAGAATTGTGGTTTCGAAGAGCATGATATTGACTTTTGAGGTTTTGAAGTTTGCGGTGGTGTTTGTTGATTGCTGTCGTGTTATGCGCCTGTGTAATGCTGAGTGGATGATAAGGAGGGTCACTGCACCAGTTAGCTGATGGAGAGTGAGTGACCAGGAGGAAATTTGCGTGAAGTGTTGAGATGCGTGCGATGTAGATTGAGATTTCGTTGGTGATATATAATATAGGGAGGGATGATTCTGGAGGGCGATGAGAGGAAAGGGGAGCGAAGGGTTTGTGTTGATGAAGAGATGCTAGTGAGTGGTGAAGGAGAGAGAGAGCTGAGAATAATGGAGATGTTTGCTGAATTGTTGTACTCGAGCAGTATAGTTAGTATAGAGAGTGAAAATATTGGAATAGAGAAATCTCATGAGGTGGGTGAGTAGCCAATTGTTGCTCTGATGTTGTCAAGTTGGATATGTAGTTTTGGAACTTCCATAACCACAGAAAAGAAAGAGAAGAATAGGAATCATTGATAGGAACCAACAAGGTGACTCTTGGTGTATACCTTGATGGTAAAAAAAACGTTTCAATGATTATGAAAAAGGCAATTCTGATCCAGCTCATTCACTTTCTTTATTGTATTTGCTGAATACAACAATACAGTACCACTATCATTCTTTTGTTTTGCCAAAAAGAAAAAAAGAGAAAAGCAAACTTCACAATACAACCAAACAATTGAAAACCGACATATAATCTACCAAGAAAACAATTCGCAACATTCATCGACAGTGATGAGGTAGGTGATTGCAAACGGTATCAACACTGGAACCCAGAGAGAAAGTCACGGTTGATAAGAGGCCTACCGAGATCAGAAGCTCAAATACTCAAATGCTCAAATTACCAGGTGGGAAAGACTCAGCTCAGTATTGTATTCGAATTAACTGTGGCTAGAAAGTACTCATCGGCTTCGAAAACCATTGCAGGGCATTGGGTCGGAAGAGATTTGACAACGAATATCGCGCTCATAATTGAAATACTGCGCTCAAACATGAATCTGAGCCCTGAGCCCATAATCGTGTCGCAATTATACGCATTCGCAGTACTGCGATAGAGACTCTGACTCGACTCGACGATTGGAAGTTAAGAGCTTTCTGAGTGAATTGCGCCATCCATTGTACTCGAGGATTGTTATCTGTTCAAGAACATCTTGTATGTGGATGAACGTTTCCCGATACAGAATATTTCTTACTCGTTTTCGATAGATGTTCCTTCGACATATGCTCCAGTTTAGTGGCCTACACTCAAATCTAGCATGGAAATTACATATGAACTGAGTATACTCGAGTATACTGAAGCAGTATCTTAAACGGAGCAAACGAGTGGGAACATTGTTAGTTGACCGCACCGCCAATCATAAGTCATTACTACCTACGTACTTGAGATGCAGGGGAAGACTCCATCAACATTGCCTCGTTCCGAAAGGAGATTGTCTTTCTAGGTCCCGATTCCACAATTCTCTGGCTACCTAAATTGACATTCAAAAAGCCTTGCAAGTTGAAACCTGTAAGGCACAATTTCAAACTACTTATTTCGCTTGTCAAGCTGAACAGCTGGTAACTAGGGACAACTGTGAATTCCACAACTCGAGGACGTCAATGATATCTCGTTGAAGGCCCACATGTGGTAGACCCAGTTAGGGAGATGGCATCATCCTACCTCACATACAGTAGCATAACCGAGTCCGAAGTTGTGTTCAATTCGCGGCTCGGATGGCTCACAGATGCAATTTCCATTTCCGAGAGTGCGGTTCTGATTGTTTAGTATCAGGAAACAAGCTCGGGGTTGGAGGCTATCCCTAATCAAAATCATCGTTCTCTTCTCCGAATATCCGAATATGTATGGTTGCACAAAAGCTCGGCATTTAAACGATTTTATTGAGCCACCTTGACGCCACGACAATTCTAGGTAGGGGTTCAGTGATCCAATCTCATCCACTCAGCGTTCATATCCGGTACACGTGCATTAATCCACAAGCCCTGCACCACTGCTACAATTCTAAAATCATTCTTTTAGAAGCATCAAAAGGCTGAGAATCTCAAAGTCGATCATACTCGATACCTCGTACTGGAAAGAAGAAGTCTTCTCCTATCCTCATTCGACTGTATGTGTATCAGAGTATCTACTCTCAAACTCAGCCCAAACATCTTTTAAAATGCATAATCATCAATGAAGTCTTCGCAGTGCTGCTTGTTCGGCTTTGATGGCCCAATATGCTTTTCAACGCATGAACAAGGTACTTGGTACCAAATTCATGGGATTTTCATCACGCATTAGATGAAATAAACACAAATTATCATCCCATATGCATACAAATTGGGCCCACACCAAAAGAACCCCCCTGAGCCCTCCCGTACCTACCTAACTAGGGTCAGCGCGGGTAACATGTACTCTCCGTATAGCCTGTTACGTCTTCGTTTTATATCCTTTGCATCCCATAAACACTTCTTGATCCTAACCTCAGTCTTGACCGACCTTTCAGGATCCTACTGCATCAATAGCAGTGCGTCGCGATATGTCTAATGCCATCTAAATCAATCGAATCATTCTCATCACGACGTCTGCCTTTTCAGGCTCACTCGTGATTCTTTTACAATGCCTCAGCAGCTGAATTACAGTCTTCTCTCGCCGTCGAATCATCAAATCGCATCCGTCATCATTGTATGACTACAACGAGACCAATCGACATATTTACAAGCCGTGATAGAATACTAAAAATTCACCCTCAGTCTATCACTCTATAGTAGCGTATTGGTCCAGCCTAACTTAGCTACTCGAAGACTTGAGTTCAACCCAAACTTAAACTTCGACATCGAGTCCAATTCCTCGACCTAAAAAGCTCCACAACATCCCCACACTCGTTGATCCCCCACCATGGATCCTCTTCCAGAGCCCGCTCTTCCCCTTCTCATACCAAATACGAAAACATACGGTGGCAATGCAGCTTTCCATAATTTCAATAATGATTACTCTCATATCGTCAATCCAAACTTGAGGAGGAGATTGGCGTTGTCTGAAATCGATAAGGTGTGTGTGATGTCAGCTTAGTCTTGAGGCTCGGGTGTAGCATGAAAGCCTCTGGTACCTGCAGTTGCCCGAGAATCTTCTCAATGTTTCCGTTATGGATTGTCGATTAGCCTTTTGGTATTCTCAATAAATCGTTGCTAATCTGATCCAAGGTTCCTTTCGGATGGTATCACGTTCGCGCTGTCGTAGTGGCTGGTATTGGATTCTTTACAGATTCATATGACATATTTGCTAGTAAGTACTCTTCATGGCTTGAGCTACTTTGAAACTAACGTTCTCAAGTCAATCTTATCACATCAATGCTCGGTATGGTCTTCTGGCAAGGTTCACCTAGTACTGGAGGCAACTATGGTGTCCTTCCCACGGGTGTTAACACCGCGATAAAAGCCGCAACTTCAGGTGGTGCAGTCATTGGTCAAGTTGGCTTTGGATGGTTAGCAGATTCAATCGGACGAAGAAAGATGTATGGTGTCGAACTCGCTATTATCATACTGGCCACACTGGCTCAAACCTTGAGTGCATCAAGTCCCGCTATTAGCATGACTGGTGTATTCATATTTTGGAGAATCGTGATGGGTATAGGTATTGGTGGTGACTATCCATTGTCAGCTGTTATAACTTCAGAGTAAGGCTCTTTCTTCTTGGTTTACATTTCTTATCGTTATAAGAGTGTCTGGCCCGCCAGGATTCGCAGCTTCTACGGGTCTTCAGAAGTTTGGACACTCAACTCAAACTTTCGTATATGACTATTACCATTTACGAGTCTTCGGATCGTTACCTCCCTTTATTTACGTAGACACTTTTATCCGAAGCAATGCTAATGTTCTTATAGGTTTGCTCCAACTCGTTGGAGAGGAGGTATGATGGCAGCGGTATTTTCAATGCAGGGCGCTGGTCAATTTGCTGCTGCTCTCGTCGCTCTTATAACCACGGTCGCCTTTAAAAATTCCTTTATAAACACTTCACGCACTTTCGATAGTTGCGATCCGGTTTGTCAACTTGCTGCCGATAGAGCCTGGCGTATCATTGTGGGATTTGGGGCTGTTCCCGCCTGTTTCGCTTTCTACTACCGAATCACGATTCCCGAAACTCCACGATACACATTCGATATAGCTCGTGATATTGAAAAGGCGGATGCAGATATCAAAGCATACATGAACAATGACGCCGAAGGACGAGTGGATCCTGTTTTACAACAAAAGACAAAAGCAGATCTCGGTCAAAATCTGTCACAGCCGAGTGCCTCTTGGTCGGATATCGGACATTACTTCTCTCAGTGGGATCATGCAAAATTTCTTATAGGTACGACACTTTCTTGGTTCTTCCTCGATCTGGCGTACTATGGTCTTGGTTTGAATGCCAGTACAGTGTTGGCTGCAATTGGGTATGGCTCCGGTCCCACACTGTACCATATTTTGATACACGCTGCAACCGGTAATTTGGTACTGGTTTGTGCCGGCAGTATACCTGGATATTGGCTCAGCGTCTTTACAATCGATACGATAGGTCGCAAACCTATACAAATCTTTGGTTTCGCCATTCTCACTCTTATATTTTGTATTATTGGCTTTCTTTTCAACTCCTTAACAAGAGGTGCTCTACTCGCTTTGTATATCCTGGCTCAATTATTCTTCAACTTTGGCCCCAATACCACAACATTTATCATACCAGGTGAATGCTTTCCCACTCGATATCGTTCCACAGGTCATGGTTTAAGCGCAGCAAGCGGTAAAATCGGCGCAATTATCGCACAAGTTATCTCTCAACCACTACTAGCGAAAGGCGCATCTCCCCACTGTGAAGGCGCAGACTGCTCACCATGGCTCAACCATCTCATGCAAATATTCGCACTCTTTATGCTATGCGGTACAATCGTCTCATTCCTCGTCCAAGAAACCAAAGGTCGAACCCTGGAAGAATTAGCTGGTGAACCGAATAGCTCACTCGATTCAATCGCGCCAACTGGTACTTCATTCTGGGCCCGCAACAATCCCTTTACCGGAGGCAAGCCAGCAGGATTCTCGCGCAACCTGAAAAAAATGACAAGTCCAATTCTCATTCCTAAATCCCCTGGAACCAGAGGAAAACGCGAGAGGGTGGGTATTATGACGAGTACAGAGTTGCTGCCTAGGAAGCATAATGATAGTCCGAAGATTTCAAGTCGTGGTCATACGAGAGGTGGTAGTGGTGATACGAGGGAGACGAGGGAGACGAGGGTCGAGGCTTATGTGCATGAGGTCGCGGAGGATGAGAGGAATGCTAGTCTAGGAGGTGCGGGGTATGGATTGAATGGGGGGGTATTGCCGGGTTGGGGTACGGGATGGCAGGTTCAGAGGGGTGGTCTTAGGGGTGGTGAGAGGGTGGAGAGTATTCAGTTGATGGATGTGGGAAAATTGTTGAAGTGAAGGAATAGGGAGGGGCAGAGGATTTCAAAATTTGGGCTGGCTGGCGCTGATTTGATTACGTGTGATAGGATATGATGGGTGTGTGGTGTGGGATTCAAGGGGTTGGTTACAGTATGGATATAGAGGGAAGGGAAGGTATGGTATGGTATGGTATGGGTACATATTGTACAAACATGAAAGGGATATACTGGGTAAAAGGACATAGGAAAGGCGAATAAATAATCGGAGTATGGTGTGATTCGGTCCACTCCACTGGAGGGAGGACTCATTGTACATATTTCAATTGCAAGTATGGCATGAGTGAGAATTGGTTTTGGTGGGAAGGGGAAGGATGAGATTCTTTCATGTTTGTATGTAATCGAGTAATCGAGTAATCGTTCTCGGATTAAGGAAGATCAAAGAAATACTCGAGTAAAAGAATTTAGGTTATGAACAAAATATTTTGATGGGTTTTGGTTTGGTTTGTGGTTCTGGCTTCTTGCGGATTATCTAAAACACAAACACTAAAGTGAAGGCGAGAGTTCTCTAGAGTTCTCTAGAAAATTACTTCTTGTTGGGTGGAGACCGCATTCGTTAATCGATGTGTATATAAGATTACTAAGTAGTATAGTATGATTTCCTGCTTCATAAACAAATACGGATTGGATTCTCCATATTTCGGAATTTAGAGTTTACTTCAGAGCCTTCTTACTCATATTCCTACTAGTACTCGTAATTGATCCTACTCTACCCTATTATAATACAGGGCAGAGATTCTCATGTGAGGATGAAATGATGGGATGGGATTCTATTGTATGGTGTACGGAAATTTAGCTGGATTTGGGTTGGGGGTTGGGAGTTGGGAGTTGGGATTTGGGAGATGTTGATAGGGGGGGTGGGAATGAGAATGAGGTGGAGTGGGGTTGGTTTGGGTTGTGTGGTATTGGTATTGTAGATATATATGTGTGTATGTGTGTATGTGTGTGTATATCCGAATTGGTGTTTGTAGGAGGTACGGCAGTTAGTTAGTTAGTTGTGTGGTGATATGGGAGGAGATGGAGGTTCTAGCATACTCGAGTAGTACCCTTAAGTTGTAACTCTTTGAAGAAATCTTTCCAACAGAAATCCTGGGTCAATGAATTCAGAGTTAGTGGAATATTCTATCTGTATACTACTCGAGTATCTTCAACTTTGTACTACTGTACTCGTCGCCTACGATTGTGTCTAGGTAATGTATTATACTATCATTTTGGATGCTTCGGCTTGTTTAACTGATGGCTCTTTTATCTTCGAGAGTGAGGCTACGGTAAGATTTGTTTTCTGGAAATACTTGGTTGATTTTTGATTTTTGATATTTGATATTTGATATTTGATGTTTGATGTTTGATGTTTGATATTGGTTTGATATATGTATATTGATAAAGCAGAAATTACTGTTCTAAGAGTACTTTATGTTCTTCCCTCCCTCAATGATGAGTGGGAGGTTTGAAGTATTATTATACTGCAATGATGGATGTAGATATAATTCGTAGATATAAGGTCAGCATAGATAAAATAACATTCTTATACAGAAATCAAGAGGTATTATCTTTGTATATAACAATATTTCTATTCATGGTATAACTATTGCTGCCATCTATGATGGATGAAATATGCCGAAACAGAAGACTCCAATATATTTCGCAGACCCCGACAGGCTTGGAGTATCATGCTACTCAACGGAGTTCTTGGACTGGCTCGACCATATCAGATTCTTGGTTTCCCTTAATCTAGTGGTGTGTTGTACTCGAGTATTTGATAGGAGGTCTTGGGGTATAGGTATACCTCAATCGCTTGACTGGATACGTGTACGAGGTTACTTATTAGAGTGATGTACGAATTTGATTGCATTGATTTAGTCTTGACTTGGATTGTAAGGTTGAGAATCAGGTTGTTGTGGCCTTTACTCGATTATATGTGATAATGAGGACTGGAATAGAAAATTCATGTGTATTTGTGAGTCGCTCGACTAAAACTGGGTATGTATTTATGCGGGGAGTGATGGGTGAGAGCTTCAACATTTTCAGTGACCTACTTGAGTAATCTTTCACCGATCGAATGACGAGTCACGGTTCTCAATTCAGCATTATATTATGCTGAGGTGCGGGGTTACCGATGTCACTAACATTGCAATACTCATTATTTGAATAAGATTTCAGTATACCGAAAATAGGAAGTAGCTTAACAGGATGGGGAAGTATGAGGAGTCACAAAGATTTTGTTTCAAGGACAATGAGTAATAGATTTGCATCTAGGTATCAAATGGAATCATTTGCCTGAAAAGGAGAGCATACTCATAGCTAGAAATTCTTTCATCATTGAGGGCCTTGTACTAGAGGATCATAGCTCTCTTAATCACTGAGGTATAATATATATAAGCTTTTGGCATGTGTATCAAAGACTTCATGATTTGCACAAGGAAAGACGGGAGAAATGAAGAACAATCAAGCGGAGACGTGAAATTTTGAAAGTGGGGACAACAATGGTTTGATGCCGATACAGAATGGATGATTGCCATTTCTGTTGAATTCATCCTCTTTTTGATAATCACCTTCAACTTCTACTCGTATATATACACTGATACCCCCAGAATAGTCCGCGTAGCATTAGCTATAGATAGATCAAATCGATTATGAATTTACTACTACTACCCCCAGAATATATAACTTCTACCTACTACTCCAATCCAAGCCTTTGTATTGATTGGATCAACGTGCTTGTCTCCGAGGATTTTCGCGTGCTGTGTCGAGTGTGTTGCGTTCAGTGAACTAGACTTTCCTCAACTCATAAAAATAAATATTAGGATGCTTGGGCGTGAATGGTGGTTGTCGGGAGAGACTTTTAGTAGGTCTTAATCACAAGGAGTTTCTCTGATCTGTTGACTCTCAAAGGAGATAGATTGGCTGATTCCAGCTTGATAGTGTCTGGTATGCTACCATCATGGCTATGTAGCATCACCGGGGCTGAAAGGGAATAATGTCTTGAGAGATTTTGGAAGAAAGATGGTATACGCACCTTATCTAAGAAGCTCGTACCGGATAGTTCTGACATTGCTCAAGTGATCTTAGTACGGTAGAATCAGCGCACTGTGGAGGATGTAGAACTGTTGGTCGGATTCCTTGTTATTGTGCTATATCTCTTACTGGGGTAGCTAACGCGTACCGAAGTATCACGATTAGAGTATTGGGCTATCGAATGTTGAAAACTTGTACTTGTGAGTAGATAGGGGGTCCAGCGCCAAGGTACTATTGGGGCCTGGGGTAAATATGCACCCACCCACATTATCAACTACTAAGACTTGCATTTGAGTGCTCTTCTCTTTCTTTTTCTCCAAATTCATCATATGAAGTCTTGTACTAGAGTGAAATTCGTGTCTTCGACGGTTTAATAGTAAGAATAATCCATATCCTTCTAGCCTATCGTGAAGCTGAATGGGCAGTATAAACAGGACCGTCGAAGAAGCGAAAGTAATGTTTAAAGGAGCCATAATGCATGGTATGAACTACTAGGTCCCACCTTCAAGAAGAAAGATCTGAGCCGAGTGACAGGGCCGCCGAGTGCATACACGGTGAACAAAACAATGCATATAACATTCCGATGGCACCCTGCGTAGACAATTGAAAAAAGTAAATCCTCGACAATATCTTGCCGTGTCCCGAAATGATATTATGCAGGCAGCATGCATTGGATATTCTAACATATGCATATAAGCCCGTCGATCAGATCCAAGCTTGCTTGCACTTGCAGATACTGTACCCTGTCGAGTAAGACTTTACCGAAATCGAGTGGGAGTCTTTTCTTTTAATGATGAGGCTAATAACCCCTCAACATATCCTTGATGGCTGACTAAGCACCCAAAGAAAGAAACCTAAAGAAAAGATACCTAAGCAACAGAAGAAAACAATCAGCTCAGCTCCCAAACAGTCAAACAATTGCTCCAGAATTTTGCTACTAATCAGATCCAGACTACAATGATTTTCATCATCTTGATTCCTTGCTGCCAGGTTACAGTTAGTTCTGTGGGTGCAAGGGATACCACCTCCTTGATTTGTTGTCTCATTTCTTATGTAGCCCTAGCCCTTTCGATCAGCAAACGATCCCTTTTTCAATGCGAACAGGCTGAATTGGGTCATCTTGCTTTTCATAGGGAACACTTCCGTCAGTTCCTTTTGATATATCTATACAATGCGGGCTGGCATCAATATGCACTCCTTATGCAGGTCCGATATTTCATTGCTTCCGAATTGATTTTCAGATGCCGGAGATGTCCCAACAAACAAGTCTTGAAGCTTGTTTATCTTGCGACAATAGCGAGGTATCCGCAAAATTGTATAAATCAATCATGTGTGTGGAGCTTCTCATATTTGTTTCTATCATATAAATCTTGTTTATTTTCAATGGCACGACGAATCAAAATCTCTGAATTTTACAAACCGAAGTATCGGTCGACTCGGCACAAGGGATGAACGTGGCTGGCATAAGTTGCGGCCTTGCCTGTGGGCGTATTATGAGGAAATCTTGGATCCAATAAGCTTCCAGGATATGAAACTGATAGATCCGATCTGCTTTGGCCTTCATACCATTGCATATGATAACATTGTTGTGGGCAAAGAATGAACCTCCAGCCAGCTTTTTTCATGCACGCCGAAAACCCTGAAATGGTTTGATTCTAGGGGTTATAAGCTCGTTGTCTCGTCAATTATCCCTCGCAAGGAAATCATCTATCGAACTGCCAATCTTCCAATCTATTGCAACTCTCGCTTGCCGATTTCTAAATCTGTCTCTCCGGGGTAACTGATCGGAATTCACCTTGCCTACATTCCTCAACAACAATGCGTGCTTCTAGCAACGAATACTTCGGCGAGTGCCTTCCTTCTATCGATAATGATATGATAACACTACCTCCACACAATGATTCATGCAGCGGTTGGTTACTATCATCATCCACAATGGTCATCTCAAGCTCAGATCTCAGAAAACCTCACCAAAAAATTTCAGTTACGTTCAATGGCTGTTCAACAGCCTACAAAGATGCGCGACAATACTCACAATGCCTTTCGGCAAACAATTGGCAGCGACTTTCCCTAGTCGAAACGGACCCGGGGATGATGGAAGATCTCTTTGGGACATCTGATTCCGAATCCTCCTCTGACGATGATCCGTCATCGTTTTACTCATCGACAACCTCGAGTTATCACCCGGATAAGGAAGAAGAGCTCTGGAATCAGTATTTCTATGCAGGATCAGACTATCCAACACCACTACCACTACCAACACCACAACCACTAGCACCGCCCCCACCTCCACCCCATCGTGTCTATTCACTATTCCCCGCTACAGCCCCACCACCATCACCTCGAGATTACAACCAACACCCAACTCACAAATCATGGCCCGGACAGCCTTGGCCTGCACGGCTTGACTCGCGTCCCAATCATTCTAACGGCCGCGCTCATGCGCAAACTACCCCTTCTCAACCACCAAACACACCACCTAATATCAGTTCTTTCACAAGCATCAATCATCCAATCCCTGGATCATACATTCCCGCTAGTCATCGTCACACCCACCCTCCTTTACCTCGCTATGACTCTTCCACGCCTCTAGTCCTGAAATCCGTATTCGAAGTCGACTCCGACTCCGACGACGATGAAGACTCCTCGAATAGGATATCAAAAGCTATCGAGATGTTTGAAAAGTTTCGGTTGAGCGGCGGAGCCTCGACTAAGAGTGCAGGGAGAGAAAAGACAAGAAGATCAGGTGTATTCCGGAGAAGTGCAAGTGAAGCTTGTGAGGCAATGAAGGGTATCTTTAGCAAGAAGTCCCACGTACCTTCCGAGCGACGCTTTGCATGAACTATATCCAAACGAACTTTTCCTTTGTGCAAATGGATTCACGGACAATGATTGATGATGAATGTGTGTTGGAATGAAGGATGGACACTAAACTGGGCGGCTTAAATATTGGTTTTGCACTTTCCCTTTCATTTGATAAAACAAAAAGGTCGGTCGGGAAAAGAATGGTGGTTACGGGAAACATTTGTATTGGGATTTAAAAAAGTCTCTTTGTGGAGTATCATGGAGTCCTACCAATCCAACTCTTGAGTGGGTATTTGTCCCCGAAAAGCAGTTGCAAGAGTGCATGGTGTTTACGGTTAGGGTAAAGGAGAACACGAAAATATGGAAGAACGATGTTGATGACTTGATGAAAGTAACCGAAAATATAATGGAAATATTATTACAATCCTATGATCCAACATCAAACAAAGCCTGCACTGAGTGAGAGGTTGCTTGAAGATCCAGCCTTTTCCAATTTCGAGATGTCTTGCAAAACAATCAAATAATCAACAATCAAAACAATCAAAACAACAAGCTGAACCTCAAAACAGATCTCCGAAACACAAAATGTGATAGTAAATATGACGAACACGTGACAGTCACATGTGAGTTCTAGAACGCCAAGGACCTAGAACTCGTATTCGCGGGAAATTCCATCTTTCGTTTCTTCTTCTTCTCGAGATCTATTTCCTTCCAACCTTGCGTCGCGGCCAAGTTCTGAATGTCGATGTGCGAGACAAAAAGACGAAGGACAAACAACCTGAATACCTTTTTCAGGATCGCCTCATACCCAAAACCCGGGAGTTGACAACGCCATGTATCCAACCGTGTTACAAAACATCACTTCGTCAAGGGACTGATGCTTTCTTATTACTATGACATCAGTAGAAGAGTATTGATCAATTTATCCTCGTCACATTTCCATGTCGTCGTTCTATTTAGGCATCGAACCTTTACAAACGTCTTCTTAAGAAATGATCTTACAGTGCCAGCTGGGATCGAGCCTCGATCGAGGTAGATTCACTTCAGGTAGACGTTCGCCCAGCACTGATGCTTTTTCGACCCGATAGCTGTGAACACGAAAATAATCTCATGAGGTAATGGCTAGTCACTTGATATGAGCTTCCCCGTCTTAAAGTCGCCTGTCACTCAAGGAAAGTTTCTCCATACCTCATTGTCACGGCAACATTCCGCTTCCGACGCATAGTGTAGTTTCGTCTTCACATCGCTCACGAAGTGTTGCGAACCGGTGAGAAGAACAATATCCAGTTGCCGCAATTGCGTCAACAACCTCATAGGCAAGATCTACAGTAATCCGTTCAGACAGTTCTGGAATGGTGTGGAGAAGTTACCCAATGTACAAAACCTTGCTTTGTCGCACTTGTCTGGAGGAGATACACCCAGGTTCGATATCCGATATTGATATTCATTGATGCAAGTACTCGTCTGAAGTTTCAAACACAAGATTTTGTTGTTTCGGGAGACTTTTCACTCGAGAATGTTCAAGCCACCTGTGCAGAAGAGATTCAAAGTCGAGAACGTCGACTGAGTTATTTTCTCGCGGTACTAATCATCCTACCCGAAATCATATCCCTGTATCAATTCCACATCGACGCTGTATTTCGAAAAGTTCCTGTCAATTTTTGGCACTCGTTAGATTTCGAAATGCGGGAATTACTGACTTGAAACACATTCCCAAAAGTGCAATGAGATGTCTCGACATTTGACAAATCTCTTTGACGAACGATCATCTTCACACATCTTCAAGGATTTGCTAGAGGCCAATATGCTGGACTCGATGGATCAAGAGATTTTTACTGTATTCTTCAATACATGCACTACTTTGTTAAACATATGCTTTGCCTTGTCCCCTCAGTCCCTCTCAATCCCAGCTAGTTGCCAAAATCCGGTGCTCTTCATCATTGCTGATGATCCTCCCTTATCTCCTGGAGAGTAATGCTCCACATCTATCTAAGGCAACAGCTTTAAGGAGAGCCACCGGCGATGAACAGATTTCTTTTTCTAGCGTGAAGAATCTTGACTGTGTGCTCCAGAATCTTAGCGATGACATGACCTTGTTAGCCGCAATTCAATATATGACAGTTCATACGCGTGTTTGTCTATCAACGTCTCTGGCATCAAATAGAAAATATGAAGCGAATAATAGTTGGGAGAGGGATTTGTCTGTCCTTCGGAGGGTTCGGATATTGGGCTGAATGCGAAGAGACTTAGAATTCTGAATCTACTTTCTCGAAGTTTCAAAAGGTCATAGACGAATCTCGAGACAATCTAGAGGTTTCTGTGCACAAAACTACATAACCTGAGTATGATGATATTACCTCTCCTACAAACTTTAGCATATCTTCTTGTCACAAATTGTTTATTCCGGAGCAAAAGACTCTTCTCCACCTTCGATTTGCCAAATATCTACTCCGAGTTTAAGAAAATACACTTTGCAACTTATCTCGATGCGACTTCAATGAGTCACTGCCATCTGCAAGTCATAGTCGCCGGTTTTCAATCGGAATTTCGGGAACTCACGTTAAACGTTTCGTCGAAACCATGTCCATTCAAGCATTTTCGAATCGACAAATGGCAAAATTTATTCGGGTAGATTATCCTATAACATTAACGACCATTGTGTAGCACGCCTTGATTGCATCTCATTGACTCTTCGGGTCTTTCTCTTTCACGTAAAATGGCCAGTTGAAAGGATACAAGACGAAAGTTATGGCTCGCGTGAGAATCTATATGCCTCATTTGGTTAATCATTTAATGGCATGCCACTTTCGCCAATTTCTTAGCCTGATTCAAAAGTTTGTTCTTGTCCGCGTCAAAATCAGGGGGCTACTCAGTACACGCGTCGGGTCCTTAAAAATCCATAAAACCTAGTGATCTGGTGGTTACCAGACAATTGGCAATGTAAGAGACAAGGATGGGCCACTATGTGGCAGTAGCGTTACTATTTTGAATTCGCTTACACATTCCTGGACCAGAACCTCTCAAAATAGGGAAACTTCATTGAGCTCGAGTTCATATATCTGTTTCACTACCAGAATCTTTTGGAACGTTCAGGTTGAGGAGAAGATCTTGTTCGAGAAATTTCCATCTAGGAGTTGATGAGTGATATCCGACCATATCACCAGTATAAATTACTGTATATATTTATTGACGTACATATACCCAGGAAGGCTGATGCTTCTGGACTACCGGAGTGTGGAGCCGGCCGTTACCAATGGAACATTGGATTAATTGCGACTTGGGTCGTGCGAAATTAGGACTTGCAGTGATCCACACATCGAATTGCTTGATTTAACTGTGGGTGGGCTTGCGAATGGATGGTGGGCATACAAAGATGGGAATCTTGGGATAACTCCCACTCGAATCGCTCTCCTATCTCCGCCCATAACAACACTGCCCTTTCCTTCCACCGCAATCCCTTCCAAATGAAATACACTTACGACAAAGGTGGGGAGAACTTACATGTCATCATTGGGTGATTGTAATGTATGACATCAATCTTACGCAAATCTGACAATAACATCTTGCGCATATTGCGGTCTTATGCTGCCACGAAGGCAACCAATACAAAGAAAAACTACCGATTCATGAGCCAATATTAGATCTTACTCGGAACTTTCCTTCAGGCGTTTTGTTTTTGAGCTTACTACCGGTATATATGAGTATCAAAAAATAGTACTTGGGTAAGCTAATAAACGCCAATAGGGCTATCCCCTTTCTTGGCGCTAATCCTCATACCCTCGTTCATACGCGCCCCGCAAAGTTTTAATCGACAAGGCAGTGAACTAAATTCTTTTAATGAACTAATTTTGACGTCAAAGTTCAAACGCTTGACAGCGACAAATAAATGGAACGAGCGATCCAATCAATTTACCATGCTTCATTTCCCCTCAATTCTCCACTTCACGACAACACATGATAATAAGCAGGAGGAATGTATGTAAGCTCCAGCTTCTTTGACGCCGATGCTTGGAACGTTGAGGCATTGTGTTCTTCGAGCAAGGCGCAAATAATAATACTAATGTAAGTGGGAAGGGACAGCTGGACTCCCTGTTTTCTGATTTGAGCGAGTGAGACATTTCCTTTCGCAAACATTCTTCAAATATTCGTTTGCTAGTAGCAACGGGACTTTCGGAATGAAGTGAATTTCAAAATTCCAGACTTTCGATTTTGTTTCACTTCAACGCGTTTTCTGCTTATCTATTAATTTTGTCTCTTAATATATTTGTTTCGATATTTTTATCTGCGTGAGATTGTCCTAAGACTGGGGAATTTAATCAGCTTCAAATGTACCCATTTTTGGTCTGTATAGCGCTTCACTTCATGGGGCAGGGCAAACTTTCCACATTAATTTGAATTCTTTGAGATATTGACAAGCACGATCGACGAGGTCCACTATACAACGTCGTTGCACTATACTTAATAATTCGTTCATCACCTTCAAAACAACAACCTATTATATGATTCACTTCTGTCTCTTGGGTATAACCATTCACCTTCGACTTCTTCCACACGCATACCATACCTTCCCTGAGAATCATACAAAGGAAAAACAAAGAACCATCTATCTCCACCTTCTACCATCCATCGAAACCCCAGAGAAATAAAACTATCAACGCACACATCAAACATGGATGATATCGATATTATCCCCGGCTTCTTCGTCGTCAACTCTGGAGTGTTGATGTTCGTTGCATTTCTGATTATCGTGTCGGTTTTACTCAAGATTTGGACGACGGTTAGAGCGTTACCAACGCTGAGGGATTTGGAAATGCAGAGGGCTGCTGAATGGGCTTGAGGTTGAGGTAATTTGTACCTGTTTTTCACGGTGGGAATAAGTTCTCATGCTTGTTTGCTAGGGTTTATTTCTGGACACACACGCAATATCAGAAAGTGGTGTAAGATTTATGGATTTATACTAGTGATGAGGAGGTCATTGGTCGCCTCGAACGTCGCATTTAGCCCACGAGGCTCTGGACTCGAAGAAGACTTTTGATTCTAGACGGCAGCGATTCGCCATGATCATAGAGTACGACTCAATGTCTGGTCAGGAACCAGGTCTTCGGAAAGGATTTACAGCACTGCCATACGTCAATTCAACAAATGGTGATGCAGATTCGGGTCGCGGCCTCCGAAAGCATGGAAATCTGATCAAAATGATAAAGCGAAATCGACATAGATAGCCAGGTTACTATCACTTCGATCGCCTCTAGGCTTAAGTGTGGGAACTTGTGTTTTGGAGCTGGTTTGCTCTCACTCCTGTTTCCATACTATAAGACCTCAGCATACGACCAACGCAGATATCATTTGTGCCAACAAGCGTCGTCAAAACCGTCACAACTGCTTTCCTCGTGGCTCTTATCGTGTATATGGCACCTCAATACGCAGCGCTTGACGCAAAAATCGATGACCGAAGAATATAAATATCAGAATCTGTCCGCACAGCTAGATTGTGCCAGATTCCTGCGAAGAAATCATAGCCTCCACGGCGACATCAATTATCGTTCTATCCTATAGACGAAAAACTTTACGCTTCTATAGTGCGATCGGAGCCTCTGAATTTTATGTTGGGGATACGAATACTGTATGGGAAGGAAAGGGAAAAAAGGAGACTAGGAGCGCGAGGAAGAGCGAGAACAGAAGCAAAAAGCGGTAGTCCCTCCGCAGACTAGCTAGCTGTATTGCTAAATCTTCCTTCATGGATTACACAAAACGCTTCGGGGGTTCTGGGATAGATATCAGGGCACGGATAGAACTCGGTGGATGGGCATGACATAATGCTATGTACAGCATAGCTGCACGGGAGATGATGAGCAAGCATACCGGTACTATACTTGCGAATTCCTCTTAGATTAGATAAGACAAGACTCTTCCTTTTGTTCAATATATACCAATCAAATGCAATAATAGCACAAATATATGTGTACCTCTCTCTACATATTCCCTCTCGTCACTTCTATACCGTGTCTCTCGCCCTTCTTGTGCCTCTTGTGCCTCTTGTGCCTAACTTCTGTAGAAATGTTTACTTTTCTTTCCTTTTATCTTTTCTGATTTCTCATATCTAAAGTATATACTCGAGTACTATATAGATAGCGATGATCATCAACGAGCTCAGTTAGGCCTTGAGTTGGAAGTTTGATCTTGCAAACTTCAATTTTGATTGCCATTATCACTTATATATATTTAATTTCTATATAATTAGATCGTCAGCTGTCGTCAGCTGCCATCATCATCAATACAGTTAAGTTAATCCTTGTTGATAATATACGTATATGTACGTTGAATTCTGGTTAGATTATTACGATGAATGGTTATTTCTCATACTCTATACAGGATATATATACATACTTACATACTCGAGTACATACATACATACATACATACATACATACATACATACATATTCCACAATAACAATAGCAAAACCACTTCACCTCTTCAGCTCTTCACCTCCACACACCTAGATAACTCCTCCACTGTGGCACTCACTTCTTTGAGAGGAATACCCCGGGACTATCACACAAACATATTCGTGTTCATAGACCGAGAAGATTCAATTTCCTTCTCGCTATCATATACTCGAGTTAAGGAATTTCATCTTCATAGACGATACCGGTAGTTTCGTTGTCGAAGATTTGGATTTTTGCTTTGCTGTTGGGGATTTTATGGTTATTTTAAGACTCCTTGAGTGGTGAGATGAGATGTGAGATTACTGTTAAATATGGATTTCGGTTGATACTATATGTGCTTGTTTGTTTATTTGTATGATGTACTCGAGCAATGTAAATGTCACATTCTGAGTAACCTTTTTGCGTCTGTTTGTTCACGATAGAGTATGGATAGTATAGTGCATCTACGAAACCCTTAAATATCATATAGTGGTCATGTATAGATTATAGAATTATGAACATGGGAGGATTTATAGGGATATTTCCTACTGATCAACGCCAGAATCGAAGCAATACATATACTCGAGTACATATACATACGAACCAAGGATAGAATTGAGTATCCAAGCGAGATAGTCCGTCCCGGAGTAATCTACTCGAGTATATAAATTGATCTCAAATTCATTGTTGCTAAGGATAATGAAGCTCATACATAGTTGCATTTACGACGACGCCCAAGAGAATAGATGTTGTATTATATGATTGAGTTAGTTGGACTCTGATGTTCAGGCGGAGGATTGAAGGGTGCGGAGACATCAATTGATATTTATTGTCCTGATCAGGGTTGGTCTATCGCTAAGAGAGTGACTATCCTTGCTATACTGGCTATTCTTGCTATCATAAATCTATCTTCACTACTCGAGTACTTGAGTACCGTATAATTCTCATTATCACCACAGGCTCCGCCATTTCAATTTTTATCATCTATGCCAGCTCAAGTCCTCAATCGCGATAACATCAAAACCCCTCAAAGTTAAATCGATACGTGTCCTGCAAAGTTACTGTAGATAGTAAGCCTGTAAACCATCTATCTATCCATATTACAACATCCCTTCAACCATTGAACTGTTTCCTATTTCACTGTCTATTTGATTTGGTTTTCAAAACTTCATACTTTGACTGATCTTTAATATACATATATGATATACTCATACTAAGATCGAAGCTTTAGTATGGCTTATTACCTTTGCACAAGGTCTAGGTCTAGGTGTATTTAATATTTTATGAGGATATAATTGTGGGGGAAGGATAATCAACGCCAATCTTAGTCGGTAAATATGTCGGATTTCATTGTATAAAAGGAGGTTCATTTCGCTTCATTGCCTGCATCATCCTACTTCTTGGAGATGACAGAGCTGGAGAACAGGGCGGCAGTTTCTGAATTTGTTGATCTATGATATTTTACGGTATAAAACCCATTTTATTGGTATAGGAAGGAAAGGATACTTGAGTTTCCTCGGACAAAAAGCTCTGTATAGAGCTTTATTGTTGTTGTCGTTGTGAGGGATCTCTGACTACCTACGAGTAGTACCGTTGTCGAATATCCAAATTACAAGAATGTTGTTCACTGTTCTTGTTAATCATACCAAGTATCATCTACGCTTGATGTTGATTGTTACTCTGCATATTCATCGTCAGTGGTAAGTAATGGTAATATCAATCTTTCTCTCACAAAATTGATCGGATTCGATCCGGACTGTTCTCAAATTAGATGAAGTCAACCCGACTTATTAGTAGGCTGAAGAGGAGGTTTGAGACAGGATCACATTGGTGCACCCCTCCCTTGTACCCTTTTTACCTTCATACTAATGTTTAAGGTGACTGACTATACCCATGTGAAATAACATTCTTTTATAGGCCACATCTACAATCGAAAAAATCATAGCCCCCATTCCCCTCCCCCCCCCCCCCTTTCCCTTCTTCTTCTTCTTCTTCTTCTCACATTACCCCCAGTACTTCCAATACACTAATTAAATATCCCGACTCACGAGACATTGAAGCAGAGATTCTAAACTCATACTCGAGTAACAAAACACATTTCACATTCCACAATATTTCCTTTCTCCATATAAAAATACCTCCAACCATCAACCAACACCAACTCTCCTAGATCTAGAGTAAATTCGCTTCAGAGGTATTGGCGCTGCTGCTGCTTAGGGGAAAGCTGTACTTATACTTGCTTCATCACTCATCGATCATCGCTCATCGCCCATCACTCATCACTCATCACTCATCACTCATCACTCGTCACTCATCACTCATCACTCGTCACTCATCATGATGAACTCATTCACGCTTAGTGGAAGGAAAGAAAGGGGGTTGTTTTTATGTTTATATACTCGAGTATACACGTATTAGTTATTCAATGGTATAGTTTGGTGCAGTGGAGTATTGGTATAGATATTCTGTAACCTGTAATTTACATATAACCCGAACCTACTTACTATTCAAAGTCAAAAGTCAAAGTCAGAACCAAAGTCAAAACCAGAGTCAGATATATACAGTAGTGAACTTATATACTCATATACTTACTCATATACCCACTCCCACAGTAACCAAGAGATACCATGAGAAAATTCATACCACACTACACCATACCATAACATACCACATTCTCCTATTTTTAATTTCTAGGTTCACCTCCTATATTCCAGCCTATATTCCAGCCTATATTCCAGCCTGTACTCCAGGCTATTCAGACATGCAACAAAAAATCTAGTCAGGAAAAGGAATGTGATTATTCACTAATTCAACACTGGGGCTAGACTCCAGAGTCCAGAGTGATACACGAGTATATTGGATGAGAATAGCCGACGAATGGACATTATGGCGGGAATTTCTTTCTTTCTCCAAATCTATCATATTGATTTAGATGAGACAAGATGAGATTAGATGAGATGAAGAGTTTAAAATCGAAGCAAAAGTCACAAGTAATAGCAATCGAATACAAAATCAAATACAAATACGCAGCCAGGTACCCCATACACTCATAACACAATACATCCCCTTCCCCTCACCTCGTCATCGTCTCTCAAGAAATCGCATGTCGAAACTCCTGTCCCTTCACATCATTAAATATCAATACACTCCTCAATTTTGATCGACCCACTCTTCAACTCTCTCTATTAATTTCGCCTTCCTACCCACACCATACAAACCTTTTCCCAACAACCACTCTTTCAATTCCTCCACCTTGAATTTTTCTAATCCACCATTCAGTACCAGATTTTTCAATTCTTCTTTATCCATTTCTCCCAACTTCTTCGCCGAGTTTCTTACTAGAACATTTCTTTTCCTCGGTTGCTTCTCTTCTTCATTATCCTCGCTGCGATCTCTCTTCATTCCCGAACTTTTATTACTCAAGCTCCAAGTTCCGTATTCCGAAGCCAGGGTTAGTGCCCAATTGGATATGTATGTACCGGCTCTCTTGTCGATTTGTCTATACTTCGGTACCGTTTTATCCTCTGGGACTTCCGGGATTTCTTCTTCGAGCGCCATGGCTTGGAGGATTCGGTAGTGCCATTGTAGACTTGGGTTTGGGTAGTTGCGAGGATCATATTGTGCTTTGGGTAATTGCAGCTGTTGGACGATCACTCGCATATTGTCGATCAATTTATCCGGAGCAATGATAGGGGCTGGTGCTGCAACACTACGGAGATCATCTGCGAAAGGGAGAGGATAGAGCCAGAGACCTGCGGGGAAAATTTGCTGGTTTGTGGAGGGATCGAGCTTTTCCACTGAGGGTAATATGGCAACGATGGTAGGATTGGCATTTTTCCGAGCAATGTGCCATGCTAAACCCATTTTCTTATCTTCAAGGAGTTTGTCCCAGAGAGCTGAGAAAACTCGAGTTGACCCAACATAGTCGTTTTCACTTGGATAGACAAATGTTGATTTTTTGATGGATGCCCAATAGGGTAACATAGATTGAGGTTTGAACCCAATTATTCGAAGTCCTGGTGGACCAAAGTGCTTTAGTTGCTTTTGCTCATCTGGAGTGAAGAGAACTTGAGAGCCGCCAAACTTGTAAGCTTTTTTGATTTCTACCTTTTGGATAATACGGGCTGTGTCTTCAGCCATTTGTGTTGTTTCGCCAATTGGAATTTGGGGAACTTCTCCTTCCATCCAAACGTATGCGCTTCTAGCTGGGACTTGCTTGTGGAGAACATTGTATCCATTGACAGATATGGTGAGATTAGGTGCAATCTCGAAAGGTAAGTTGGAGAATAGAGACCTTTTGGCTGATTGCTTCGAGTTGACGTCCATGATGAGATTATTGAGTAGAGATAATCCATCACCATTGGATTTGATGCTGTTCGGACCTATATTAGGCGCGTCTTCGGCGAGAGGGTCACGATATATGATATCCTAGTACTATTTAGCAAGCAACATTTCAGCGGAAGAATCACCAAACATACATCATAGAACTTAGAGCGATCAAACTCATACTCTGGAATTGATATCGGAAAGAGTTCAACAACAACACCAATATCGTAAAGATCCTTAGCTCGAACGGCAGCCAAAGATCGCTGGGACTTATCCCCAGAATGAGGGTCATCTCTGTCAGTGATGATGAACAATCGTCGTGATCCGAAGTTTGGCGCTCTCGTCGTGAATATCTGATTGGCACAGAATAACACATTATTCATGTCCACATTCTCCTCCGTTGGCACCAAGATGTTCTTTGCTTCTTCTTCATCCTCGACAATCTCCTTTAATGCTTTGACGTCTTCCGCAGAAGGAATATCAAGGTCTGTAAGAAGATAACAATGAGGATACACCGAAGTATCCAATCCACTTTGATCCTTAAAATTTGTTTCCTTAATACCATATAACATAATACCCATCATATCCTTTGGACTGGAGATAATACGCTGTTGCATGATCATGTACGCGCATTTGAGAGCGGCAAGTGTAGGACTATCTGTATCGGCTTTCTTGGAATCGGAAACGGGAGGAGAAGTAAGCATCGACTCGCTGACATCAATAACGAAAAGAACTGCATCTTTTTGTGTACGATAATCCTGGTGATAGATTAGTTCAAGGATGGGTTGGAAACAGAACGAGGTACAATATCCTTACGATCTCGTCGGCCTCTTCTTCCTCTTCCTCCTCTTCGCGTTTCCAATCTTCTGAGTCTGCCATATTTAATTTTGTTGTTGTTGTTCTTCTTATTCAACAGGTGTGTGAGTATCTGGAGATCAATAAGTGTGAGTGAATGTTGACTTGGAGATACATTCATTACTCGTGCAATAAATGACGCGGGGATGTGAGGAGGCAAATGGGGGAATTGTCCAAGCAATCAGGCAGACGCGTTGGAATCGCGAAGGGTGGAGGAAAGTTCTATGACGATAGATACGTAGTCACGTAATCACGTGATGAATACCATCATTCCAAATCTTGCCAACTTCAATTGGCTCAAGACAATTAATTGATCGGCATTTCATTTTGGGAACTCCGGTCGATCCAAGTATCAGACGGATTCCTCTTACAGTTTCTCGCAATCGGATGAGATGGAAAGTTGTTTTTTCTACTAGTATTGAGTGAGACCGGTACTTATATTGTTTTCCTCTTCATTACATTACTCTCCATTGATACCAATATGTCTTTCAGAAATCCTAAAGCTGTAGGACAACTCACAAAAAGAGCTTCACAAGCTACCATTTCACGCCTCACGAACAATGCTTCTCCCATAACTACCTCATTATTGCAAAAAAGCAACGCGGATCAATCCAGATCATTTGCGACTCCGGTACCGCCGGTAACACAAGATGCGACCGGAAGGAGAGGACCTACGGCAATGGTGCTCATGAATATGGGTGGCCCTCAGACTACAGATGAAGTTGGAGGTTTCTTGAGTAGATTATTCGTATGTTAGGCTCAACCTTGCCACTCCTGCCAATTCTGACATTCTATTGCACAGGCAGACGCCGACTTGATTCCTCTTGGACGCTTTCAGAACTATGTTGGTCCTCTCATTTCAAAACGTCGTACGCCGAAGATTCAAAAGCAATATGCTGCCATTGGTGGCGGGTCCCCAATTCGAAAATGGTCAGAATATCAAGCCGAGGAGATGTGCAAGTTACTAGACAAAATGTCTCCTGAAACCGCACCTCATAAACCATACGTGGCATTCAGATATGCCAACCCTCTGACCGAAGAGATGTATAATAAGCTGTTAGCAGATGGTTTTGGCGGCGGAAATGGTGGAAGAGCAGTAGCGTTCACACAATACCCTCAATACAGTTGTTCGACTACCGGAAGTAGTTTGAATGAACTATGGAAGTGGAGACAAAGACTCGAGGGCAAAGCTGCAGGGAGTCCAAATGGAAGTGATGGTACGATCGATTGGAGTGTCATTGATAGATGGCCAGCCCACCCAGGTCTAGTCGAAGCTATTGCTCAAAACATCGAAGCTACTCTGGCGACATACCCCGAAAAGGAGAGAAAGGATATCGTTTTACTATTCTCAGCACACAGTTTACCAATGTCTGTGGTCAACAGAGGTAGGTTTGTCATGATCATGATGGAGAACAAGTTGCTAATTGTTCCTTAGGTGATCCTTATCCAGCCGAAGTTGCCGCTACAGTTTACGCCGTGATGCAAAGATTAGGCCACTCTCATGCATACCGACTTTGCTGGCAATCACAGGTTGGCCCTAGTGCATGGTTAGGAGCTCAAACGAGTGACACTGTCGAGGAATATGTTAAGAAGGGTCAAACGAAACTTATAATCATTCCTGTCGCATTTACCTCGGATCATATTGAAACTCTTTACGAATTAGACGAAGAAGTTATCGGAGAGTCAGGCCACAAGGACACCATCAAGAGGTCAGAAAGTTTGAACGGATCACCAGTATTCATTCAAGCTTTGGCCGATATTGCAAAAACTCATATGGATAGTGGAGTTTCTTGTAGTGTACAAATGGGACTAAGATGTCCGGGGTGCAAGAGTGAGAAGTGTGGAGAGACTAAAAAGTTCTTTGCTGGTCCCGAGAGAACATTTGCCGCTTGAGAGGAGTGTAGATATAATAGCAAAACTTGCTATAATAACTGAGTTAGATAGTTACCAGTGTTTGAACGAATATTTAATATATCGGCTAATAGCATTACGTTACACTAAGTCTATTTGTGCCACTGCTTAATATTGGCCATGATAAATAACGTTAACAAAGCCCAACAGATTTATATCGGTTTGCATCCCGTGGTACTCAGTATATTTAGTATCGTATCGCGCTTGGTATGGTATAACTAGTTCGAAAGAAAGCGCTTCCTTCGGCCTTGATTCATTAGACAGGACTGTGTCCATGAGCAAGGTTTAGCGATTCTGTACCAGTCAGTTTCGGTCTTCGAATTCTAGATTTCTGAGTTCTGGCATCTGGCATCTATCTGTTAAAGTGTGGAAAGTGTGGAAAGTGTATGATATGGTCGAGTTATGTTGATTTCTATGGGGATGGGGATGGGGATGTGGATGTGGATGTGAGTAAGTAGTGAGTAGTGAGTAGTAGAGGTAGGTAGGTAGGTAGGTATGTATATATTAGTGGTTATATTTGCACCAGGTTTGGTTGGATATCGAGACTTGATAGTGGTGGGTGGATTATATATGTATGTATATGCTATATCTGGTGTGGTGTGGTGTGGTATGGTCTGGTCTGGTTCCGCGGAGAAAATAGAAAATGTTGGAAATTGTTTTGATGTTAATGCTTAGAGTACATAGAGTGAGGCTCACAGAGCCTTGGGGGGAGGGGGTTGTTACTATGTGTTTATGGATATGGATATGGATATGGTTATGGTTATGGTTATGGTTATGGTTATGTTGAGGGAAATCCTAGCAGGATTCTTTGGCTAACTTTTTTTTTGCTGCGTTGAAGAGTTGAAGAGTTGAAGAGTTCGGCATAGTCTCAAATGGGGGGAAGGGGTTTAGGATTCTTGCAATGTCTGCGCAGAGTACCCCTGCAAGCCAAATACTGTACCTGGCTGCAACAGACAGAAAAATGGGCAAAGTCCCTCCTCAGCTTCATATACCGGTAATCGCCTCATATAGCTAGTTGCCAACAGTAGAATGAATCCCGACGCTTGCAAATGTTAGGAAAGAAAAGAGTGATGGGAGAGAGAAAAGCTCCAGTGTTAACGACTGCTTCAAATAGTTCCGAGTGTAATAGTGTCGTGTCGAGACCAGAAATCATCTTGGCTCTTCTCCTCTTCTCCTCAGTTCTTCTTTCGCTTGTTTTGGTTTTCTCACGTGAACAACAACCAACAACAATATCTTGGGGCAATTCATGGCTCTTGGCCGAGCTTATTCCAGCACTACTATAGCACTACTTTACGCCAACTCCTTTCTTCTTTGACATTGACAGAACGGGCTGGCTGGAACTTTCCATTTGCTCTGCAGCTTCCCACTCCACTCCACTCTCTACGCCCTGTGCGTTCTTCTTGAATCGGACCACGATTGGATGGTGGAGCTTGAATAAATGCGCGTCTAGGCATGTTGGCCATTGTAATCTTACAAAACAGCGACTACTTATCGAATGAATTCTAGAAGCTCATCCTTGAGTAATATCGATATTTGGGAACGGCATTCCTCCCTTTTTTCTTTTTAAATGGCAAGAGATATTGATTTAGCTTAGAACTATTCATCTAAATTGCTATGTCCTCGTATACTCGTATTTACCTAGATGAAAAGCTGGCGATGGGGGTTCTAGTTCTAGGGGTATGAGGGTAAATACACAATGGCTGGTTGAACTTCTTGTGGATTTTCTTGAAGTAACCTTCTGATTTTCGAAACATGGCTCCGCTATCATATCCAATATGCTCCGAGCAATACTCGAGTATAATTCAGACCTATATCAATCTGTTACATTATGACTCTGAATAATAGCCTCAATAACAATAACCTTTAGCCCACTCATTATCTCGTTCTTCCGAGTCACAACACTAGATAGTGATGAAGTCATAGAATAAAATACTAAAAATGCCACAACAACAACCAGCCGCTAACCTCGGTTAATTTTTGTCCGACCCCGACGGTGGAAGAGATGTACCCGTCCCGTTCGTTTATTTTTAGTATCACCATCCCTGTTTTATCATCGATTATCAATCCCTTCCATTCTTTGAAACAATGCATTCCTCAATCTTGATCTTGATACGCTTAGAAAGCGGAGTTCATGTTGTTATTATGTCCGTTTGTGTCGTCATGATTACTTTACCTACCAGTACTAGGTATATTAATGGGGTGAGAGATGGGATTGGCTTAGGATTGGTTCCTTGGATTGGTTTCTTATCAAAAGTAAGAGAATTCGAGAACAACTGAACAACTGAACAACTAATTGGGTTATATCTGTGCGAGAAATCTACAAGGATACTATGGTGCTATCGTGGTGAGTAAACAGAATCAAGGTAGCCCACTTCTTTTGCTAACTATCTTCCTTCCTATCTTGGGTAAGCTGGATTAGAAGATAAGCTTGGACTTGGACTTGGACTTGGACCTGGACCTGGACCTGGACCTGGATTTGGACGTGCTCTGCGAGTACTCTTTATTCTAGTCAATTGTTTCTTCCTTCTTCGTTTTAGAGTAATTGTTTCCTATTCATCTTGTACGACAAATACATCACAGGCGCGAGCAATCAGTGCCAATAGTCGTCATCTCCCGTTGAACCGGGGTCAATCTACTTGAATACTCGATGCGAAACCTTCTACTTAGCGGCGACCTAACGATAAGATGACCACAATGGAGAACGAACATGAAGAACACCGGGCAGAAGAACCGCAAAGGATATGGGGCGCAAAGGATTCTCTGAAGAGGCATACGAAAGATCGTAAATCCATAATACCATCCGGGTCTGAGGAGACTCCTTTGTTGGGCAATGATGGAGCACACGAGGGAGAGAGTGATGAAGGAAGTGAGGAGACATTATGGGAAGGGCATGCGGATTTTGCGGGATCAACATGGTGGCATAAACCTTCTGTATGCTTTCAACAGTCTGCATTAGTTCAATATATACTAATCGACATCTATTCAGGTGTACTGGCTTATATTTCCCTTCTTCCTATTTGCTCTTGCAGTCGGCGGAATCGTTGTACCAAAACTCAATCTTATCCTTGACCTCGTATGTCGATCATATCTCGCAGAGAGATCTTCTCAAGATCCGAATTTTCTTTTCACACCCGTAATACTTGGTTCCGATAATCCACAATGTCGAATTCCTGAAGTACAATCGTTGGTCACCAAGTTTATACTGACAATCACAATCATCACCGGAATAATTAGCGCCATCATGTCCCCAGTGCTAGGGGCTTGGTCTGATAGACATGGAAGAAAAAAAGTTCTGGCGATTACGAGTCTAGGTGGTTTCTTGACCGAAATCATTACAATTCTTGCGGGCAAATATCCCGATCTTGTTTCATATCAATGGCTGCTTGCTGGTGCGGTATTCGATGGACTTTGTGGCTCTTTTATTGCGGGAATGGCACTCACTCATGCATATGCGGCAGATTGTACCGCACCTCCCAAAAGGGCGGTAGCTTTTGCCTATTTCCATGCATGTTTGTTTTCTGGAATTGCTCTTGGTCCTCTACTTGCCGCTGCACTACTCCACTTAACTCATAACTTAGTTATGATATTTTATGTCGCACTTGGTATACACACTTTCTTCATTCTTTTCTTACTACTAGTAGTACCAGAATCACTCACCCAGAAACGTCAAGAGGTCGCTCGCGAAAAGCATGCTGCTAAAGGCCTTCTTACAGCCAATCAAACCTGGCTGGGGACTTTAAAAAGTACAAATCCTCTTGCCCCTCTCAAAGTTTTGTGGCCAACTGGTGGGGGAAATACAAAACAAGTTCGCGCGAATCTTGTTCTACTTGCAACCGTGGATACTATCATCTTCGGCGTCGCTATGGGAGTGATGACTGTCATTGTTTATTATTCAGGCTATCAGCTTGGATGGCAAACCTCCGAGACAAGTCTTTACGTGTCAGTTGTTAACAGTACTCGAGTATTCACACTCGTTGTTATCCTTCCTATTTTCAATTACCTCGTCCGGACTATACCTCGCAACAGACAGCGCAGAGAATCAGGACTCGACATCCCAGAACGCCATTTGGGTGCTGATTCAATTGATTTGCTCGTTATTCGACTTTCTATTCTCTTTGAGATTATTGGATATCTAGGATTCACAGTAACCCGTAGCGGTCCACTGTTTGTGGTATCTGGAATCATGGCTTCGATGGGTGGTGTAGGTTCTCCGACATTACAATCCGCATTAACCAAACACGTACCCCACGATCAAATAGGACAACTTCTAGGAGCTACAGGCCTCTTACACGCGTTGGCCAGAGTCATTTGCCCTACGATTTTCAATCTAATCTACGCTCAAACTGTTGCTACCTACCCGCAAGCAGTCTTCTTGGTTTTAACGGCATGTTTTGTCTTGGCATTTAATTTTAGTTGGTTTATTCGACCAAATGGTATGTGTCCCCCATCTTAAAAACATATATGGATGATTACTTACTTACAATAAATAGTCTCTCTTGAAAATTCCACGCAGAAAAGACCAAGTTTACAAGAAGTCAACAATAATCCAGATGTCCTTGTTGATGAGCAGATTGCTGGTGTCTGAGCTTTTCTTGTTCTATATCATATCTCAAGTAAATATTATGTATTGAGTATTCTTTGGGTACATATCTTGGGTTCTTATTGAAATAGATCGTAGTAATATAATCCAAATTCTTTATGGTTGGCGTTATTTTTTTATGGTTGGCGTTCAGTGTCATGATGATGGATTTATTAGATCACGGAACAGTTGCACAATTCCAGCAACAATTATTTTCTACTCCTTACTACTAGGCTAGAGTTCTCCTCATAATTGGTATAAGCAATGGGGAGTGAAGAATAAAGAGTGAAGAGTGAAGAGTGATATACCGATATATACTGTACAAACCATCAATGAATACTAACTACCGGTATTATATCGTATCTCATGGTTCTCACCACTGAATTCATTCATTTTCAACCAAAAGTGGGTTTGTGAAATGCTCATTCATGCCGGTACTGGGTACTGGTGGCAATCAACCCTGCCCGCACATGCATGTGTCCGCTTGCCTGACCATAACGTTATGTTTAACCCGAAAGGGAAAGGCGCATCGAATAAATGCGGAGAATAAGTTGCGAGCCCTTTCATCGTCTTCATATTAGCTACTTTATATGATTCTTATCATGCAAGCACTCACTTTAACAGTTGAACTTCGCCTTTCGCAGTTTATTTGACATAACGAGAAGCATAATGTCATCCCAACAAATCCCTGTTCCGCATGGCTCGGACCGTCAGCGAATTCTCAACGTGCTCGCCCAGCGGAGATACCGTAAAGAATCCATTCATATCACTTACCATCTCGTACTCACACTGTTCAGGTCAGCGCAAGCGGGAGCGGCTGCACTCCCTGGAAAGGAGACTTGATGCCAGACTGGTCACTACGAACGCTATGTCCGCTTCCAGTGGAGAAATACAGCTTCAGCACTTAATGCAGCCTCCGCTTCTGAGCCCAGGTAATCCTGACACGCCCAATGACCTTCTCTGTGATCTGTATCCAGATTCCATGATTGAAGCTTCTAATGCGTCCTGTATGTACCTTGCGCCGCCGCATGAGTTGGCGTATAATACGTCGTTAGAAAGTTCGTCATCATATGTGAGGGATCAGTTCAGAATCAACACCCCTTTGTTTTATGGTATGCCCCTTGGCAATTCTAAAGTCACACCTCCTGCTGTAGTTGTACTTACTGGATTGCTTTGTAGGCAGTACGTCTCAGAGCGCTACGTCAACGGCTGATTCCCAATTATCGGCAGAACTTCAAGAACTGGAAACTTCCCAGTTTACATTCCTATCAGAGCATGCAATTGAAATCCCAAATCTCAAAACTTTGGAGGTCTCACTCCAGATTGCACACATGCTTGGGCTTGTGGACGACTTAGTAGACCTCAATATAAGCCGGGTCCTAGATGTGTCGAGAATGTCCGTCCCCTTGGTAGACTTACCCGGAAACTTACATCCAACGGAAGCACAGCTCTTGTTGCCACACTATCCAGTGATAGACACTATTCCCTGGCCATCGGTACGGACAAAACTCATTTTTATTTTCAGTCAGCCTGACCAGCTTAGACCGCCAATCGCGAGAGGCCCCATGGCTGTTATGCTGCTGATGCATGCTTTTGATGACGAGTCGGAGGGACTCCGCGTTACATCAGATATAAATGGACATGGATATGATGAAAAGAGCTGGGAAGTCGGACAGGCTATCTTTAAAGACTGGTGGTGGGTACTGGATCATGAGATCGTCTCTAATTCAAACCGACTAAGGTCCATAAGAGGGGCCTCCAAATTGCAGCTGCCAATACCACAACAAGAACACCGGTAGTAAAACCATCACAACCGGTGCTATTTGCTTATGGCGTTATTGGTGGAGATACCGGTTTATTGGAAGAGGAGTTGGAAGGTCAGATCTTGAGGCAAGGGAATGCAGAATGACTGAAAACCTTACATGAGCTGTCAAACTTTAGTCCACAATCTAATGTTATCCTTTTTCATCAACAGTTTGCACGATAGATTACTCAATATCACTCTTTCTCACATTTATGCCGTAGTAAGGCAGGGAAACGGCTAGCATTCAAGCATTGACCTCGGACCACTACGAACTCACCAAATGTGCCTTTCCCCTCTCTGGTTAAGCATAACGTTATGGTGGGACTTGGCCATACTTGGCGATGGGTAAGGCACCATATTGAGGGCTACATCAGGTCCAGGCTGCTACCAGGATAATCTATATATAAAGGCGAGTTAGTGAGCTCAGAAATTTTCCTATCATCGCAACTTACTCTGTGTACTTTGGAGTCTCCCTCTCTCTCTCTCTGCCTAAACATCTTGCACGCACCGGCCCGCCCATCGTCAGCAAAAGAATATGTCACCAACCGCATCTAAATCCTCCCTCCGAGTAGTAGGAGGAGCCGATCCTTCTGCTCTAGGCAACATCATCCGCGTCGCCCTTGCCTTCGAGTCCATTTGCACAATTGGTTTGGGCACCTACTACATATTCTTTCCACGCCACTATTTGCTCCACACAATGGGAGCTGCTGCTGCTCAAGTCACAACAACCGCACTACAATCTGCTCAGCAATTTGGTGCTGTGCACATCCTCGGCGGTGCCACCGTTGCCCTCTTTATACCCAACACCAAAAATGCAATTGAATCCCGTCAGCGTCTATATTTCGTCATTCTGGTCTTTGAGCTTTTGTATGTTCCACTCCTCGTATGGCAAGCGTTCATGATGGAGGGCGGCATGCTCAAAAAATCTTTGTTGGTTGGAGCCGCGCAGTTTGTGCCTTTTGTCGTATGGAGAATTTTTACCCTGGGTTGGAAGCCTGAGTGGTTTGGACGATATCAAGAGGGTAGGAAGATGGAGTAGATGGATGGCAATGGGTCTCGTATATTGCTGAGGAGGGAACAAACAAGTCATGATGTTACTGTTGCCAACGAAAGAACGGAGGGCAGTATTCGGTTTTTGTTACATACATACCTGTCAGAGGAGCGAGTGTATTTGGGAACTACAATCAGGAACGGAATACGCTGTAGAATTCGGTGGAGGTGTGCTCTTTTTACTAGTCGTTGCATTCATTGAGTATAAAGACTTTGGGAGCTCTTGCTTTCCCTAGTTTCACATTTAGTCTTGTCAACAGATACTCGTAGCAGCATTACTCGAGTATATAAGTAAGAACACGTTTTTTGACAATACCCTTTGCAGATTGTGGTTCATTACGAGTAGTTAATTCCACAAGTGATGTAACATTCAACTGAACCGCGTTTCTTGACCAATAGAGCAGAGCACATGTAGCCAGGGACAATATTGTTGAAGTATTTGTTATACTCGTATAAGGGAAGGAAGATACCCCTCCCCTCATATAATGCTAATGAGTTGAATGTGTGGTTGAATCTAATGGGATCTTGTGATTCAGATTGCGAAGTCTTTCATTTAAGTTTTAATTTTTAAGAGTCGAATCGATTCTGTCTGGTGATACTGTACATTATATCTGGAGTGGTTGGTTTCCTGTTCAGTGCTGTGAGACTTTATATAGAATATGGTCAGGTAGGTTGTATAGAAAAGAGCAGAGCAGAGCAGAGTCTATTATGGCGAAAGGTGCCTATTATTTCTTTGGGTTGACTGGGAAGGTATTAGTCCATATATATATAAGAATCTAATAGGCCAGTAATGTAAAGGTAGGGGGGAGGGAGCTTCTATAGACCAATGTCGGTTAACGTTTTGTTTAACTAATATATATATACATAGTTTAAATGATATAGATATTATTTGTAGTTCTCATTTGTATTCAAGTACTAGTAGTTTAGATACTATCTATATTGGAGAATTGGATTAGGCTATATAATGTATCAACCAATGCACCGCCCACTACAGATTATACAGTAACCCTCCTCAATTGAATTTGGATCATCTCATCTCATCTCGTCTGGTCTCATTCCAACTCAAAATAGTGATGGATAAATATAAGGCGGTGTATCCATGGGATGCAAAGGATTTGAAAGGCTCGAACCTCATTTCGTTTCGGGTCATTCCTGATTGAGATCCCTTCCCCCAGGTTTTATCATTATTCTGATCCTCCAGTGATGGTCAATAAATGTTTTCGATGCAAAATCGATATTATGCGTGTGTTTGTGCTACAGAACTCTAGATTTTCCGAGGTGCTGTTCTGATTGATGTACGGTATTGCTCGAATGAAGGAACAGAGGGAACGAACGAAATATTTATATGTGTGTGTATGGAAGCAAGCATGAGATGTGCCGATTTTATATGTATGATGTATGTATGTATAAATGGTATAGTAACCAGTATATACGAGTTGGATCAAACACTCATCGCCAGCGCGCAGGAAACCAAACCAAACCTTGAGACGAGATGAAATGAGAGGCTTTCCTTTCCAGGGTAGGAAATTGAGGGTCACCTTGCTTGATATTTATGTTTATTGACTTGATATACGAAGTAAAATTTATGTTATTATTTGGAAGGAGGTAGGTAGGCTCTGATGGGATTGGGAAATGAAGGTTTCTGATCCTTTGGATGAGGTGAGATGAGATAAGGTTACATGTCGCTGACGGACGGTATAGGGTATGATATGTACTGAGTATATGATTTCAATTCCACGATCCATTTTCTTTTTCTTTCTGCTTTCTTTCTTTCTCTCCTTCTCTGAATAGTTCATTCTTTTCTGATTCCCAGTATTTTTTCTATCGTGGTGATTTTTAGGCAGCTTTTTGGTGCCGAAAGCAATTGTCGTTCTTTACTGATGAAGTCGTGATATTATCACGATTACGATACGCTCTTTTATTCACACACTCATTTTATCTATTGCTCCTTGTATTTCTTCGAGTATAGTGTATATTATTCTACGCAGCGAGGGGATTACATTATAGCTAGACGTGCTCACTCACTTACGCCATTTCCATTTCTATTTCATCTCATCTTCTTGTACCGTACTGTCTCGCCAGTTTTTGGGAGTCAAACATACATCAAACCAAAAGTCAAAATGCGTCTCACAATGGGCGAAGCAGCGGCTCTTCTGCTCATTGCTTTTCCTAATTTGGTATGTGATCTTTTCTGCTTCATTTTACTTGGTCTATCGTCATGTATTTTCCTGAGTCATGTCATGTCACGTTATGATATACATGCCTCGTTTCTGAAAAGGAAATATACTCACATAGTACGCATATTAGATCGCGGCACTCCCAGTAAATACGGGTACCAATGTTGAACAATTGGTTCCATTCAAGTTAACTAGTACGGGGGACGCGGGTAAAAGAGATGTGGGGGATGTGGAGAAATTGATTCCGTTGGTGGATTCGAGGGATTTGGAGCAGCTGGTTCCTTTTACGTTGGATAATGTGGATACGGAGAGGGTGAAGAGAGGTGCTGGAGATGTGAAGGTCTTGGTTCCGGTTGTGGGGAGAGATGTGGAGGTTTTGGTTCCTGTTGCACCTACGCACTCGAAGAGAGAGTTGAAGAAATTGGTTCCTGTTGTACCTTCGCACCCAAAGAGAGAGTTGGAGAGACTTGTTCCAATTGCGCCTAGAGATATTGAGAAACTTGTTCCTATTGCACCTTCACACCCAAAGAGAGAATTGGAAACCCTTGTTTCGGTTACATTATCGACTGAAGGTTTTGAACAAACAGATTTAGAAAAGCTTTTTCCTGTTGCACCTCCGCACCCGAAGAGAGATTTGGAGAAGCTTGTTCCGTTTACAACATCGACTAGAGATGTTGAGAAGAGAGATTTGGAGACACTTGTTCCGATTACGCCTAGAGATCTTGAGAAGCTTGTTCCGTTTACAACATCGATTAGAGATGTTGAGAAGAGAGATTTGGAGACACTTATTCCAATTGCGCCTAGAGATATAGAGACACTAGTTCCTGTTGCACCTTCGCATCCAAAGAGAGACTTGGAGATACTTGTCCCGGTTACACAGTCGAAAAGAGGTTTGAAGAGACTTGTTGCAATCTCGCCATCGACTAGAGATATTGGAGGTGTTGAGGAGAGAAAACCCATCCCCCCTGTGGATCAATTGGATCCGGGCTCTGTGGCTCCCGATGTAGTATTGAGTATTGAGAAGAGAAGGACTATTCCTCCTGCATATCAATTAGATCCTGAGTCTACCTCTCCAGATGATGTAAGATGGAGCTCCTCCTCTCACCTCAATCTAAATCTTTGACTCCTCACTAATCTCCAAAGGTTCACAATAACAACAAACGCCAAGAATACGCCCACACCAAAACCGTCATAGCAACCATCATAAAAACGATCACAGGAGGCGTCGGAATCCCTGGATATCCCGCTACAGTTATTAGTGATGTCACTAGTGTACATATCTCGACCATCACGCATCTTCCATCTACTGTTACGGCTATTGTAACAGCCAGTGCTTCTTCAATTATTGATACTACTTGTACCGAAACCTCCACATCTACTGGAGTTGGAACTGGGGTCACCAATATCCCAATATCATCGAGTCCTCCCATCCTGTCTACTGGCACCAAAGTGAGAGTAGTAACCACAACCCCAACGAGTGTCAAAACCGGAGTCAGTACTAGCCCAGCCATCTCAAATGGCAATACCAGCACCAAAGAAAGCGCCAAGGCAAGCGGAACAATGACAAGTAAATTCATCCCATCAGGCACCGGAAAACTAGTCGGCCCATCAGAAACTGGTACAGGCAATAATGGCACACATGCTAGCGGCACAAACTTCCATCTCTCGGGGACAGGAGATGTTAGTTCTAAAACGATCTCAACAATATCCAAGCCATCTGCCTCGGGAAGCATCACGACAATCATCGGAACAAGCACAACGAGGATTTATATCACTGTAGATGCTACTGGAAGTGGAACTAAAAAATCTACTTCCATACCTATACCTAGCTCGAAGAGCAGCACGAGTATTAAAACCACGAGTGGCAAAAAAACGAGTACTTCTGTTAAAGCAGCTGGACCTACGGATATTGTAACGAGCAGTGGCAGTACTAGTACTAGTAGTAGCGTTAAGATTATTTCTACTTCATCGGTTAAAGCCACGAGTACGGTGGCGAGTAGGACGAAAGCGAAAACGACGTCGAGTACGGTGGTGGGGGTGCCAGTTATGACGAATAAGGTTGTTTATAAGGGGGTGCAGAAGGTGTATCCTATTTAGGGGTGGAAATGATGGGTCAAAGGCTGGGAGAGAAGTTGGGAAATTAGTAGGTGTAGATGGGATGAGGGTATGAGGGAATAGGCTGGCCGCTGGTGGGAGTTATGTTATGGTTGATTTAGACGTTTATTATGTTCTTTGGTGTCTACATATTGATATTGATATTAATATTGATATCAATACACAAAACTCCTTTGTTTGGCATAGATTACGATGCTGGTACTCATCTATCTCCCGATGCTTTTTTTCTGTGCGAATCCTCTACGGAGTATAAAAATGAAGAGGTAATAAGTAGCCTACTTGAACTTTTTATTTTCGCACTAGAGGCGCCATCACCATGAGTAATATCACCCGTTCTTCCATCCAGCGAATTTACATGCGGAAGTTTTCTGGGCTTTGAGGGCTAGAGGTCATTTGACCAGAATAAGTTCCTATTTATGAGCACTTCCATAACTTTCTCAACACATTCTTCCTCGCGCCCAAACTAATCACCCTCTCCTCCGTCATTCTCTTATCTTCTCTGCCCCTTGATTCTCCAATCTCGCGGATCTTGGCATGTATATATTAACGTGGCTTTTCTTATCTACTATTCTTTGTGGCCAGGATGATATTCCGCAGAGAGCTGTGGCGGCTGATACGAGTATTCAAGGTTCTCGATTATTTCCAAACAGTAATTGGGACACTGAAGAGACCCTTTCTTGATGCCAATTTTGGTGTTTGGAAAGTTGGTAGAGAGTGTTGTATTGGAATTTCCAACAGTGGAATTTGAATTTGAATTGGCATTGAAGTAAGTGGGGAAGGAGAGCTGGCTATTGCGGTGTTGTTGCTCAGAGGCGATCAATTATAGCACAAATGTTTCTTGCTAAAAGTGACCCTTATTTATTCTGTGAAATTGCTTCTCCATACATAGTCCCATTTGTAAAACTATCGCCAATTAGAATACAATGATCATCGACTTTTCGAACAACAATAAGCCACCAGCACCTAAAACCCACACGAATGATGACTCCCATTCAAGCGTGCGGTGAACCGATGGCGATGGCAATATACCTATTTTCGAATATTGCGAAATAATATTTAAGCCTTGACTATCCCTCCAGATTTTCTGGCTCCGCTGAAACTTTTGGAGTTGGAGACTTTTGTATGATATCATTCTTCGCTCTACTGCGACTGGGATGTAGATATGAGGTACATGGATCAAATAGTGTTATTCGGGGCATGCTTCTGCTAATATTCCACCGTCGATGTAGGCGATTTGATATATGTCATCTGGAAGAATTTGGCTCCAGGATGTCTGATTGTTTAAAACATACAACACCAATCCAAAATGTTCGAGGGATGAAGATCTAAAATGCCGAAGAGCTGACCCAAGATTGATAGTCACTTGAAATAGTTGTTGATTGAGTGTAATTGGCTTCATAATATTTGAGTCACCGTATACATAAGAAAGTGCTTCATATGATTGGAAAGAATGCAGTACGAGTAGCAAAGTTTGCAAAAGACAACTGATTTCGGCTTGGAACTTTCCAGAGTTCGATGATGAGGGAACGAGCTGACCAAATTTTAGAGTCTAATGGCTTGTCTAATAACCACTTATTATCAGACATATTTCCACTTGGTCAAGGTCTATTTTGGAAATTATGCAAGTGTTTTTGCCATAATATTATTTCTAAAAATGTCTAAAAACTGGTTGGAAAAGGGCTGACTCATAAAAGTTCGAATTTGCCTAAAAAGAGAACTACTTTACCTTCTGAGCTGACCTTGAAGATAGTCAGTAGAGGAGATCAGGTAAAGGCAGAATTGCTCGGCCACTTTTGATACATCTGGGACTTTAGCCAGTGGTTTTCTTTGAGGACTTCCAAAGGTTCGGCTTTAGTTCTTTGTAGAAGTTTGTAAAAAACACAAATAGATTGAGTATCAAGGGCGAAGCTGTACGTTGAAAGTAATACAGATCTTCACTTCTTTAATTCTTTCAAAAGTAGAATTACCGGTACTTGTATACACATGAGTAGAGTTGAAGGATGGAATTCTAGAACTTATTGATCGAGGAGGGGTGGGGGCGGGGAAACATATTCCCGGGCGGTGTGGCTCAGTTTTACTTTAGCCGGCAGTAATTTTGGGACTAGCGCTTGTAATATTATCTTTCTTTTTCGCAAAAGTTCAATCTTACACTCTCAATCTCACCCTCACCTTCACATTCAGAAGTCTATCCATCATCATGCCTATTTCCAAAAAAGATAGAGTGCGTATAATATCAGTATCGGAACCACATAAGACCTATTAATTAATTCTGCCATACAGATTTCTCGCGAGCACAAGAAGGCCGATAAGGAAGGTACCCGCGCCCCGGTCAAGGCCAACGGTCTCCCAGTCAAAGCCGTCGCACCAAAGTCAAAAGTACGTTTCCAAGTATTTCTCGTGGCATTCTTTTGCATGAAAATCATACCCTCAACCTCGTTCATGGGGCTAATTATCCACGTAGTGCGAGTTTTGCAAAATGGAGTTGGTCAACACAAACGTAGCACAATTGATAAGCCATGCCACGAAGCACGAAGACAAGGGATGGACCAAGGAGAAGTGCTGGCCCAATGATTTCACCGCATAGATGGGTGGATGAATGCAAATATAGCATGGCGGAATATGATATCATGAATTGTCGGGGACGGGGAGTAAGGCGAAACCAGTCATCCTGAGGGCATTGCACATTCGGATGAATGGTCTACGAGGGAATGAGGGACAGACTATGGAGCCATTTATTGGGTCTCCCATATAGCAATTATGAATAATGGTTCCTCGCAACATACTTATACTTTTTGCACCTGGTGAGTATGAATCAGTGCAGGTAGGTGTTTATAGTCCTCTTTTCCTTATTCTAGTGTATTTTTTCCCTTCTTCTCTTAATTTGTTACATTATCGATTAGGCATGGACCCGAGTGGTCTGGAGGGGATAAGGATCTTGGAGCCCAGGACTTCGGAATCCGAACGAATCTGTCACTGCGCTCGCCGTTTTCCACGGGTTATCGACTCTCATTGTATGAGGAAGTTCGCAACGTCATGTCTCCTCACCATTACGAGTCCATGTCATCCAACCTTTACTTGTTTGCCTGCCTTCTGATCATTGATTGGCGCAATGCTACTGGATATTGATGCCCAGCAATGTGAGGGGGCGAGAAAGCGTGAAAAATCTCAAACGTGAACAGCTCACTCAGAGCATGGACTACGTGGAATGGCCTGATTTACCCGCACATTAGGTTGGTAAGAAGAAACCATGATGACACATAGATTTACTTTAGCTTTTGAAACATGTAAAATACAAGGATCGTCAACGTACTACATTTTAGTAGTAGTTCTTGATAAGGATCCTGATATCGGGTATTCAGATAGCTACTGGTACGGCTAAATATTGAAAATATGTACAATGTCATCAGCTCTGCGTGGGAGCCAGGTTTGAGATGTAGATTCACAAAGTATTTGAACATCTACCGCTAGTAAAAGAGTTTTGTCTATTTTCTGCTGAGCAAACGGGTTTTCTTACAATTCAATGTTGAACACCATAGTTGGATTATCCTTGAATGAAAGCATGCTTTGAAGGATCTATAGCATTTAGGAGAACTATCTAAGAAATCAAGTGCCGGTACGTCAAGGAAGGTCAAGTATGCATAGCCAGCCAATGCCCATGGCTTTGTTTCTTCCCTTTAACATGGGCCTCCGGATCATTGTCGGCCCGAAGGTATCTTGATAACCCACCTCAATAAAAACTACATCGAGTTGGTGATCGATTCTGGAAAGGCGATGTATGAAGAGCTCCCTATGCAAGAACCTAAGAATCATCCGCTGAATGTTCCATTCCACGTCACTCTATTCTGCGGTTGGAAGACCCTGAGAGATGTGACCGGTTGCACATAATCTATGGATCCAATAGATTCAGCGTCTGCATCTTTCTCGGGATCATACTCTCGGTCAACAATATTAGAATCGTTTTGGTATATTGTCTCATGATGATTTGGCCAGACAGTAGGTTCCTTCCTTCTGCCTCGCCTTTCCTCCGCAAGTTGAGGAACACGACGGTCTCTTTGAGTGATACGTTCGGAAGGAGATGTAGCTTGGCCCCGGTAATATGGATTTGGCTCAAGTTCTGTAGGAACATGCAGATCAGATGTCTGTGGTGGGTCTGGCACTTCGTATAAGCGTTGTGATGTCGGTGGTCGACTACGATTGCGACTTTGACTGCTACGGCCGATGATAGATGTATGAGCACGAGCATAGGGTGGCTGGCTGTGATGCCGATTGTTGGAGCCATAAGGAAAATAGCTATTCGAAGGTGCTGGCTGTGGAGTCATTGACCGAATGGGCTGGATAGTTTTTGGTCGCATGGGCTGTGGGGTTTTTGAGCGAATGGGCTGCGTGGAACTCGGGCGCACATCTTCATGATGAATGACGTTCTCGGAATAGTGTTTACCTAGCGGTAGACACTCTGCAGCAGCTCTTCCATACGATCTAGGATCGAACTGTCCATTATGTATTCCACTAAGGTTTATCGACCGACCGGTACGACGTAGGGCATCTCTGGAAGCCGGTCTTTGTTGAGATGGAGTTGGTAGTATGGGTGGGTCATTAAGCAGTCCGTCTACTTTCTCGCCCCTGAATCTTGAATCTGCTAGTCGCGAAAGGATTCGATCTGCCATTATGTTAGCATGAAACCTTTACAAGTTTCGTATTGTCATAAATGCATACCTTCTGCATTTTCTGTCCTCGGCCCTCCACCCATCAAGCGTTGGAACTCCATATTCTCGTCCAAGGCATTCGCTGTGGTACTAATTAGCGTTGCAGTATGATAAAAGAGCATTGGACGTTGAAGTCTTACCAAGTGTCCGCAGCTCAGCCGCCATCTCTCTGGTATCTGCTCCAAACCTCCTTGCCATCATACCACGTAATTGTTCTTTTTCCTTTTCTCCTTTTAAAGACAAATATGGTGTCATTTTGTCGAATTTAGCTTGACACGCGATCTAATCAAGAGAGGAAATCGCAGCACTGCATAACAACTCTTTTTGACGGATGTTGTAGCCCAAGTTTATATAATGTTTCCTGAAGAAAGCGCAGGGAATGGTCCGGATGCAACCCTGAATTTAGCTTATTTCGCACGTACACGTCCGCTGCTGTCCGAATTTGCTCCACGTTGGTCGAATTATTGATGTCAGGATATTGCCACGCTCTTTATACGGATTGGCTCGACCGCGCCAATCAAATACTATCAACAAATCAGGACATTGGCCATGCAAGAGCATGAATGACTTACGTTTCAGCATGAACCTTCGACTGGAGTAATGCAAATGTCTCCGGGAAAGAGTCGTACACGATTACTGGAAGTATCACCAACTTCAATGCCTTTTGTTTCAGGAAGCGATGAGTGTTGGCATCATTATTTATTGGTGTGATGCAGTGGAAGACTTGAAGTATGCAAATCTTCACAAGTATATGGATACTGATCTACCGGTCTCTCGGCCAAACCGGTATCTTTCAAAGCCGCGTCCAACACTAACATGGAACGGTAGATGACATCACGTGATGCTACGTCACTCGCGGGGACTTGACGGCATCTTTGGATTCTACTCCTTTCGTGATCCAAACCCTCAAAACACGATGTACTTTGAATGAAGACATTGATGCGATTTAGTATGGTACAGATTTGCTCTGAATTTATCGATTCGAGTATACATGATCGTCCCAAGATCAGCTAGTGGATTATTCTTAGCCTTCTTGCAATCACAAGCGACAAGCGACATCAAGAACTGTCCACAATTTATTTTTTCTCTCTCAAAATCGTACCGTCGTCAACCAGATCTTCGAGAAAGATCTTAGCAGTCAAACAAACGACACAAGCTACCACTTTCGATCTCGAAGTAACTCGAAATGAACTTTTCCACACTCGCTTTGCGCCCAAAGCAAAGCTCTTCCGGTAAGTACCCACCGATTTGCCGTCCACCTACATCTGAGAACTTAATAACTAATCATGTGAAGTCTCTCCAGGACAGATACCCACTTCTAGCCAACCTCAACTGCCTGCGATTGATGTAAATACCACTGCGTCAATTGAAGCTTCTCCTCTTGCCTCAGACACCATCGGCGCGACCATCGATTACGCTGCTTCTACCTTGGATGCTATTGGCGCGACCAATAAAACTTCTGCAGAGCCATATAAACCGGCTGACTGCACCCACGATCCTGAACCAAGGTATGAAAAGTCTTCCACGTTTCTCTATTCAAAGTAGATTCATATTCCATACACCCTGTCCTGTGTTGATGGTAAATCGCTAACATGTCGCCGTAGTCAATACCAGCCTCCATGCAAATTTACATATCATGATAAGCGGGGCAATAAATTCGAAATACTTAGACCAGCCGATCTCATACCCAAGGACGCTCTAGTGGCCAAAATTCCACCACCAGTCATTACCAAGTAATTGAAAGCCAAGCCTCCAGCCGACAACAAAAGCACTCACCAATGCAAAGCTGTTCTGATGGTGTTGAGGTTGGTAGGTGTTCCAGCCTAGAATTACGCACTGCGCGTTAAGCAGAGAGAAGCCCACGCTATTCTAGAAGGGGATCGAATATCGTGAAATATAAGATCGCATCCAAGACCGACGCGCCTTCCTATAATTATCCCTTCTCCCAATACTAGTCAGCCTCGCAAAATTACCCCTATGAAGAAGACCTTCAACTGCTTCGAAAAAAGTGACTACTCGGTGGGAATGGGTTGGTAGTATGGTGCCGATTAATTGATTTGGTTAGGATATTTGATTTGATTTGATTTGATTTGATGGATGGGGGCATTGATTAGGTTAGAACTAGTTAGTTAAAATAGGATCATAAATGAAAAGAATATCTCTCTCTTCAATGACTGTTTTGACAAGTTTCGTCTGCCGCCAACCGCCAGAGTTAGTGAAGCGTATCCTGGTGGTGTATCGATGAGTAATGCTCGATCAGGGGTATCGGCGCACCAACAAATCCGGGCAAAGGATAAGGGGCGGTCTGCAAGTTGGGGCATCGTCTCGAGGAGAAATTGCCGGATCCTCTTCGCTGAATCTTTGGGAATCTGCTGCTCTGAACAAGGAATGCTCCTTAGTTTGCCATCTGGTCTTGGAACCTAAGACATGATTTGGTCAGCAACTTCTCACTCGAAATTGGGAAGTTACCTATAACGGAAATTGATAAAGAGCTTTAGGATCAAAATTAAGCCAATTGTCATAACTAGGATGCTCATCACATATTTTGAGCTCGTGATTATCCTCGTCTGGCTCCATGAAAAACCCTTTCTCTATATTGAAAAGAACCGGGAGGTCTTTATACAATTTAATTTCATCCGCTGACATCTTGATGTGCCCTAGAGTCCAAGCCGTTGGCCGAAGCTGGTCTTTAAAATCGAAGAGCGCATCGGCTCCAGCCTCTGCTGCGAGTATTGGCCTGTCACCCTGATGCTCCTTTCCATCCGCAGTTTTAACGCCTAGCACGTCTCCAATCTCTTGTCGATACAGGCCTTTTGTGAGGTTAAATTGAGTATTATGTAGTTATAACGTGCTGCTTCAAATACATATGTCAAGCAGTGTTACTGAAGGCGGATGGCTAGGGTAGTCTTGAGGTAATTCGGCTATGATCTCTTCTCATTATGTATTTGTATATGTGTTGGTATCCACAAACCCTTTCTTTACAAACATCATTGTGTCACATTCATTCGACAAACATTAATTTTCGGTTGCTCTAGTCTTCATAAACTTCCTGCTGCATCTGTCGTTCCCATATCCGGTTCGCCGATTCAACGATCTTCGCGGCTTTGGCAAGAAGCTTAGCGTGGTACTTTTCCTCGTCGTCGGACGCTAGCCGCAATTTCCTCGGCTGAGCCATGAGGAGTATGCGCAGTAGTTCTTTCGACTCCGCTGCAGCAACCGCTCCAACTGTTTTATATCCGTTGTCCCAAAAGATTCTTGCCGTTCGACTTTTGATGAATGTTATTTCCGCCAAGGCGAGCAGATCGGATTTGGCGCCTGATGCTTGTTAGACGAAGACTTGCCAATATGCGCCAACAAGAAGGACTGAGTTCAAAGAAGAACTCGTTGCTTCCTATAATGAATGGGAGGACATACCAGCTTTCAATCGATCAGAGAAATGATCAAGCACTGCAGCTAGTGCTCCCCAATCCATTTTCTCACAAAACTTGATCATCCCTGCAGCGAAGCCATGACATGTTTGAGCCAGGTTTTGTATGGTTCCTCGTGGTAAGTCATATTTACGAGCCACAGCATAGACCGGCATTTCGTTACAGAGGTCTCGAAGTTGCAAAGCCGTATAGAACCTCTTGTATACTCGAGCGATCTCGATCTCTTCTGGCGTCGACTCTTTCATCGATCCGCCTTGTGCCCTAAAAAGAAACCAACATCAACTAATGATTAAATGGTGAGTGAGGAGTAAACTTGCATTTTATTGATCAATAAATGCTTGAGGCCAACGAAACCAAGGACTCTCAAGTTGCTCTCATCAAGTATATCGACTTCCTTTCGGAAAACTTGCCAATTAATGTTGCCCTGCATAGCCTGGACAGGCGTGAAAGTGTAGAGTACATGCATTTCGCCATCCAGTACAAATGCTTCGAGGGATTTTCGCAATTCTTTGTGAACGAATAAGCCATCCTCTGGAGCGAGAGATGAAGCTACAATAGCCAGTCCGAGGCGTGTGGCTTCGTACGAATATGATTGCGTCTGTTCGACGAGTTGGTTTTCGAGTAGATCTTTAAGGGTCATTTCAACCATCGATCTTAGCTCCTCCTGATCAATCATATGATATAGAAGGGTTTTCTTCACGTAGTCATCGATTGAATCGCTGCCTGTTGCCAATTTTGTAGCTATAACCTCAAGCAATGCCCTGTGCATTTATTAACATCAATAAAGGATGGGGAGTCTTTTAGGCTCTTGAACCTTTTAACACCTCGCTTTCCCGGTACCAAACAGCTCTCTACTGAGGGAATTTCGGCTTCCATGAGTTCGGCAACGGCCTCGAGGTCAGACTTTTGGCAACAGAGATATGTTTCTCCAATTTCATCTTTTCCCTTGCGTCCAGCTCTACCTCTCATCTGACGACTGCAGCAAGTCAGCATAGGCAGTTACAAACATTAGGCAAGATACTCATGCTCACAGCATCGAAGGACCGACCAAATCAGAACCCATTCTAGCGCCATGTAATATCACACGTCCTATTAAATTGTTATCATCAGTATTTGCAACAGGTACCCAAATAAGAAATTAAATGTATGGTTGATTGTCGCAATAGTTTCTTGACGCCATAGAAACGATAATTGGAAGACTCACTAGCGGGTAGATTGATACCAGCCGCGAGACTGCACGTCGCTACCATGACTTTCAATACCCCTTCATCGTAGGCCGCCGCAACTAAGTCACGCTCTTCTGTAGTAAGGCCAGCATCTGTGGGTGTCAGAAAGTTCGGAATATGAATGGATAGGAGACACATACGATGAAATGCTACACCCATAGGAACTGTTTTCTCCAGCACTTGATCTAGACCACTACTTGTATTTCTTAGATCATTTAGAAGATCACACCGTCTATTCATCAGATTTGGGTCAATCGCATCGGCCGAAGGTAGCACCAGGCTTATCAGAAGTGCATCTCTTTCACAACCCAGTCGACCTATTATTCAATAAACTCAACAATACTGCTCCACAAACCATAAAAGAACGAAAATTAAGCCTTGGGCCTGCGTATTCAACAGCGGAGATTCGAAAATTAGGCTGAAGATCAAGCTCGAGTATGGTGCCTTTTTGGACCAAACTCAAATCAACGAAAGTAAAGATTGAACTTACTGCTGCAGAAAACTAAGACACCATAGCCACTTCTAGCAGTTTCATTGGCCAAAGCAACGACGGAATTTAGTAGTGGATTGCTGAACTCCTTATGCTGTGAAGTCTGTATTAGTCTATGAGGTTTTGGAAGTGGACCCATCGAATTGTTTCTGATCTGGGAATTGAGTTGTGAGGCTGTCTTGTAGAATCTGTTCGAACTCGAAGCTGGATATACAGCATTCTCAAATACAAGATGCTCTTCTACGGGGACAGCTCTGTAATTTGAAATGTAAAATTTGGCATTATTGAGCCATTTTGCGAGCAAGTCTGCATTCTTTGCTTCGTCAGACAGGTATTTTTATTAGATAATCATGAGGGAAGTGTTAGACGTACATCGAGAGTTGCGCTCATGCCAACTATTTGTACACCTTGCTCCAAGCTAAGCAGCTTTGTAGCCATTAATTCCAGTATATATCCACGACTTTCATCGTTTATGAAATGTATTTCGTCCATAACTACGACTCCAAGATTTCCTATGGAGCAATCATCAATGGCCGCATTGACAAGCGAGTTTGCCTACGATACTTGGTCAATCAACGTCATTTCGTATTGTGTATATCTACATACCTTTTCGATGGTGCACACAGCAATATCCACGTCAGTCCACGTTGATCTTGACTTGCTGCCACCATAAAACCCAGTCACTCTGATGGTGTTTTCATCCCCTCGATTCCGCCACATCGATGGCCACTTCGGTTCCCGGGAAGATGTCTCTTTGGAAATGCCCTCGACAACTTTTCGGAGCCATCGGAGTTTCTCTTGAACCAGTGCAACATAAGGCAATACCAACAGAGCTTTCTTCGCTGGGTTCTGTATGATCTTCTTGAGCATGAGGACATCCGCAACAAGTGACTTGCCACCCCCTGTAGGAGCGGTATACACAAGGTTACGTTCTCCAGCAAGCGCACCGCTACGTAGAAGACATTCTGACTGCCACGGATATATGGAAATAATTCCCAGGGCAGCAAAGTTTTCGATCAGTTGCTTCGGTAGTTGATATGCAGGATGTGCCAAATCAAGCAAGGGATTTTGTGTTGGCGTAGGCGTTAAAGCAAGTTGCCTTCTTTGTGAATACTCGGAAGAATTTTGGACAGTAATGTTATCAATTTCACTTGCCTTTAGAGTCCCAGGATCTCCATTTAGAGTTGAGCGGATAAAATCTCTCTGTTTATGTACTGGAGAGAAGGTCCCTCGTGAACTCTCGGAATCATTTAACTCATCAAATGTTCTTTTCACAGCGACGCGGGAAACAGTTGTAGAAGCAACTCTTGTTACATCTATGGTAGTTTTGTGATTAATACCAGACCGTGTCGCATTGCACTTCTTCATCTTTCAGATTGAACTGAGTGTAAGAAAATTGAATATGTTCTACGAACAATCATAGAGAAAGCAACAAGCCATTTGAGATGCAAAGGGAAGAAAGAGGGAGGAGATTGATAAAAGAAGAAAGGTAGGTAGAGGAGAGGAAGAAGAAGAAGAAGAAGAAGAGGAAGAGGAAGTTTTAATAATAGGTTGGGATGAGCTGTAGCAAAATACGGAGTGGAGTATATTTCCCGAAGAAGTTCTGATTACAATTTTTCTTCTTTTTTGATGGCCAAATTAGAATTTTGCATTGCTCGAGGAGTAGTCGATGTCTCATGATCAACTCTCAAGGCACGAAGGCAACGATGTGTGTGGCGGGCGGGAGGGGAGACTCACACGTGAATATCCACAATTCACCAAATGTCCGTCTTCCGAGCAGGTAGGACAAGGATGCTGAGAAACTAACTACCTAGTATAAATCAAAAGATTCTACTACTATACAAATATGAAATTTTATTTAATACCTAGATAGATATATAGATAAATACGGTCTAGGTAGAGAAGCAATACAGAGAACTCATATAAATGACACAATACCTAGGTACCTATCTACCTATCTGCCTACCCACTATCCTACTCTTCTTCCTCCCAAAGGTATCTCACACAACAGAGAAATTAGCGCTAAGGTTACGCTATATTATGTACTATATTATATCGCATCGTTATGTTTTAACTAACAAGATTCCCATTCCCATCCTTTTTATTCCATTGCTTTCCCGTTAATACGATACTGTACACAGATAATACAGTACATCTTAATTATACGGCAAGGTGTAAGATCACCTTTTACAACCCTATCCCATCATACATCCCTCTTCTACCTACATTTTTACATTTCACATGTACCCAACCTCAAACTATTTACCGAATCATTCATCTAAACTTAATAATTTCATATATAAGTCAATTATCATCCATCATCTATATCTCATTACAATCTTTTGTCAGTAGAGATTATAAGATATTGCCCAATTTCGGTCATTTGTCCAGGGTTTGTGCATCTCTCCAATTAAATCATCCATACTCTCTTCTATGTTCTATGTTCTTGAGAACTCACACAAATAGCCTCGTCTTAGGTTCTACTAATTGTCACCTCGTGGTCCTTCCACACCCGCCCTTTCACGCCCGCCCGCCCTTTCTACCATATCCCCAAAATTTACGTTTCAACCACATTGTTCTCCAACTTCAAATCGATCCATATTCAAGCAATCCTACAAACTTGGATTCCTCTGATGGGTCGAAACCTTGTAATAATCGTTCGACAGCCTCGTATATAGCGCTTCTCGCACTCCGTTCTCGCGGGAAGCGCTCCAGTTCATAGCCCAATATTCGATCATTTCGGCCACGAATTTGTTTGCGACGCAATCGTCATGAACAAGGAAATTGATGCTGGTACCAGCGTGGAAGGCTCATCCAATACTCTTCCCTCACAAGAGAGCGATGCGGTTGAGAATGCATTTTCTGCCCACGACCCACACGCCGTAGATGCGATGGAAATCGTGCCTGGACCCAATGTATCGACTGCTACGCCGGGGAAAGGACTGGAGAAAGAATTGTTAGCACTTCGCGATTCTGAATCTCAGCCTATGACCGCGACTAATTCCACCTCTTCCAATCGATCGATTAAGGATGCCGGAGCCAACGGCATGGGCGGAGCAGCTTATGGCACTCGTTCACGCAATAGAACCGGTACATCACGACCCAATTATGCAGAAGACAAGGAGATGGACGTGGATATCGAAATAGCAGCGGCCATGAAAGAGGGACGCAAAGCGACTCGGGTCAATGATTCTCGCCCGCCAACTTCTACGGATAATGGGCTGTCGACAACTCCTGCGAAGAGGATAAGCGCTCCTGAACCAGAACCTGTCGTAACGACACAAAATTATAACAAGGAACTAATTCCTGGCACTTCTACATTCTTTGCGAATCCAGCACTACCAACGGCCCACAATTCCAAGAAAAAGAAGCCTCCTGCCCAAATGACCTCAACAGCAACTACATTTTCATCGCCAAATGTCGTGCAGAATGGTTCATCGGTACATAAAAATACTCCCAGAGTGCAAGAATCAAACATGCTGAGCTTCGATAACTGCGGGGCACGTCTAAGGAACCGAAACCTTATAGCGGATGATGGCACCATGCTTTCAGTCAATGGTACGCATAGCATGGCCATGGATATATCGGCCCCTTTTCCAATTCTTTTGAAATACTAACATATAACCAGATCACGTGTATCTAGTTTCTGAACCTCCCGGAGAACCATATTATCTTGGTCGAATTATGGAGTTTTTACATATCAATAACGACTTCAAAGAGCCTATTGACGCATTGCGGCTCAATTGGTATTATCGCCCCAAGGAAATCGGCCGTAAGGTTAGCGATACACGTCAAGTGTTCGCATCCATGCACTCCGACGTGAGCCCTCTCACAGCTTTACGTGGAAAATGTCAGATCAAGCATAAGGCCGAAGTTGAAAAGCTGGATAATTTGAGAATGACGAAAGACAGCTTTTGGTACGAGAAATTGTATGATCGTTATATTCACCGATACTACGATGTCATACCTACTTTTCAAGTTATAAATGTACCAGCCCCAGTCAAGAAAGTTCTCGATGAGCGCTGGAAGTACATCATCGTGGAGGCGGGGCGTGGCAAAGATTATACTAGTGCTGTGAAATCATGTAAACGTTGCAGCAATTACAGTGCAAGGTGCGTATTTCCAATTCTTCAAATCTAGAGTGGAGCTGATTATTTAGCAACGCATCTGTTGACTGTGCAGTTTGCCACAATACCTTTCACATGAGTTGTGTCAATCCGCCATTACTAAAAAAACCCTCGCGCGGCTTCGCTTGGGCTTGTGGACCTTGCAGCAAGGCTCAAGAGAAGAAACTCGAGGCTCGTAATACCCCAAATATCACCGATGGAATCATCGATGCCGACGATGACGAGATGAATGAAGACGATGATGATTTCCCTTCAGCAATCGGCGATGCACTTGATTCGAACGGGAATATATCACCAGGTTCTCAAGATATTGAAATGTCTGCTCACCCAGGCACCGCAGAGCAGGTTCACCAAGCAAGCTTATGGCTCTTTCGCTATTTGGGCATACATTGCCGAGTTGAGGATGCATTAGATTACGACGATCGTATATACCCAAGAGCCAGTTCTCGGCTTGGGACCCGTCATCAAGCCAATGTCACAGCATGGCCTGGTAGACCGGTGGAGTATGTCAAGGCTGTAGAAATCAAGAAAAAATACATCAAGGGAGGAAGCAGCAGCCACAGAAAAGATGCAAAGCTATCAAAAGAGACCGTAGCTGCACTAGAAGCCGACAAAATTGCACGAGAAAAAAGGCCGATCTGGGTAATGGATGAGCCAAATGGATATACTCATCGAGGTGATGATACAGCCAATGATGACCCCCAAAATACGGCGGTTTTGCAATTCAAAATTCCAGAAGTTGGCGAAGTTTCTTCCAGCGCCGCAAGGGGCATGGATGACGGGGTGTCGCCCTCAGATGTCCCTGCCTATGAGCAGTTGGTCAATGATTATATGATTCGTGCGAGAGCAATGGCCCAACCTCTAGGCCTACCAGAAGCTTCAACCAATTTGCTCGATGTAGCCCTACAGCTGCTCTATACAAATAACTTCGATGTCGATGGAGCGCTTGAAGCACTCTCCAAAACTGACAAGAAGATATTCAAGGAGCCAGAGCTGAGTTCCGCCGAGCTGAAAAAATTCGAGGACGGTGTTGCTAAGTTTGGGTCCGAGTGGCTTAACATTAAAAGGCATGTGAAGACTATGAGTCCTGCTGATGTTGTACGATTTTACTACACATGGAAAAAGACGGACAGGGGAAAACATGTGTGGGGTAATTATTCAGGACGTAAAGGCAAGAAGGAGGCCAAAAAAGTCGAAGCGGCTTTGGGCAAATTACAGGATGATATCGCTGATGACCACGATGATTCTGCTTTCGATAACGATAAAGTTTTACAGAAGAAGAAGGGATTCCAGTGTAAGTTCTGTTCCATAAGAAGCTCGCAGCGATGGAGAAGAGCTCCAGCCACTCCTGCGGGTACTACGGTACCTGAAAATCCAAATAGTAAAGGAGCTTCAAAAGAGAAAGGCAATCAGCTTGTATTGGCGTTATGTCAAAGATGCGCAGAACTCTGGCGCCGTTATGCGATAATATATGAAGATGTTGAAGAAGTAGCCAAAAAAGTGGCGGCTTCAGGAGGACGAGCTTCGAAACGGAAATTGGATGAAGAATTTCTTAGAGAATTGAAAGCTGCAAACGAGGATTTTGGCCAAATGGGGATCATCCCCACTGCAGCACCTTTATCGACCGGCAGCACGCCTGCGCCTGTACTTCCAGTTACCGCAACATCGGAACCACCTAAGAAGAAAGTCAAAGCCAATTTGGATAGCAAGGACAATTCGGATTCTGCGCTTGACAACGGTGCTATAGTGACACCCGCGCAACCAAAAAAGAAACCAATGGTCGAGAAACCTCCCCCCCCTCCTCCTCCACCACCTGAAGCTCCTAAGCCAAAAATCCTTCCGTGTGCTGTTTGTGGACAGATGGAACCATTGGGAGATCAGCATCTTTCTTGCAAAGAATGTAGAATGGCTGTGCATCGAAACTGCTATGGCGTTGTTGATAGCCGAAGTCCCAGCAAATGGACTTGTGACATGTGCCAGAACGATAAAGATCCCAAAGTGTCAATAGTAAGTACATTCCACTTGTCAATTATATTCGTGCTATCGCTCACCATCGCAGCAATACAAATGTGTGCTTTGCCCAATTGAGTCTACAGAGTATGACTTCGTGGAACCACCTAAACTCTCCCACAAGAAGAAAAGCGAGAAGGAGCGGGAGCGCGATCGAGTGGAGAGAGAAAATGCTCAGAAAGCTGCAGATTACTTTCGAAAGAAGCAAGAAGAGTATAACAAGCCCGTCAATCCACGAGAGCCTCTGAAGCGCACAGCCAATAACAACTGGGTACACGTCACTTGTGCTGTATTCACTCCCGAAGTAAAGTTCGGAGATGCGAAAGCCCTCGTTCCATCCGAAGGAATCCCATCGATCCCTTCGAGTAGGTATGACGAGGTGTGCAAGGCATGCAAGAAGAAAGGTGGTGCCTGTGTGAATTGCTACTCATGTAGAGCTCCAGGTAAGAGTCTTTATTCACCCCTACTGTTGCGTTACTAAATAAAGCATTGCAGTACACGTGGAATGTGCGCATCAGAACGGATATATCTTAGGATTCGACATCGCTCCAGTGAAGGGATCTCGCCGTGATCAGCATAATATTGTGAATATCAATGGTGAAATTGGCGCAATGTCTGCCGCCATATGGTGTAAGGAGCATGTACCGACCAAGACTATTGTTCATCGCATGCATGACATCGTTGACGAAACAGGTCTCAATGCTTTACAACTCTATGTACAAAACTTCAAACAGGCAGACTTAGCTCTGACTGGTACAGTTCGTAAAGCGAACCTTGTCAATCAATCAACCAGAGCGGCCAATTCCGTTAATGTTGGAACGTCTCAAAATCGACGGACGTCTACTACGGGAGCTTCTATACCTACTCCCATAAATAGACGTGCTTCTTTGACATTAGTCAAAGTTGAGGAGGCTTCACCAGTGAACAATGCAGCTTCGGTTCGCGGTTTGGAGAAAATATGTATTACCTGTAGTGTTGATGTTAGTCCTAAATGGTGGCCGATGGTTGAAGCTACTGTTGCGACTAGCAGTACCGCACTTTCCCTTGACGCCATTTTGGATCACGACCATACTAAATCAGATGGCCCTCACATCACCGATGGACACTTACTCAACGGCCTAACGAGTGAAAGAAATGGGGCTCATGTTGCACTCGCAGCCGCGGCGTTACACAAAAATACACAGAAGCCAGCTCCTGCGCCTGTACCTTCAGAATTTCAATGTCATCAGTGCCACTGGAAGAAAATTCGGAAAGTGCCTACACCTACGCTTACACCTATACCTTCACCTATACCTGTATTTGTAGTAAGCGATCGCGAGATTTCTAGACCTCCCGCGCCCCTTCCCACTCCGACTTCCGCACCAATCATTGCCAACATCCCTCCACCCCCTCCCTCCGAGTCTGAGCGCAATCATGCGGCACATCAATATCCATGGCCTCCTCAGCCTCCATCGTATCCGTCGAATGCTCCATATAACAATTGGCCACGCCACTCCCCTGTGCCAGCTAACGTTGCTGTCGTACATCAAGTCAATGGTAATCATTCACCGAGGCTGCCTGGAGTTGCGTCACAGCTTGGAGGGCCACCTCATAATCGTCAGCCTATGCAAGGTCTACAGCCATCCCCACATCAAAATGCTCGTCTATCACAAATGCCTAACGGCTACCCGCCATCTCCCCATCGACTTGCTGGACCACCACCTATGCATATGCAAAATGGAGGTTACGGATCATATGTCTCTACTAGACCCCCTCAGCATTTGACAAACGGCGGACCACCTCCTCGCGCCTTAGAACACCCTTTCCCGCAAAGCAGCGCGCCGATGCATCCTCGCCCGTACGGTCCACCACACGGTAGCCCGCCACTCAACCGGCTACCAAATGGACCTCCCCATCAACTGAATGGCGTGAGGCCGAATGACAATCGTGTCAATGGGGGAGCAAGTGCGAGTCCATCACTGCGAAATCTACTTTCCTAGTAAAACCGGAGTGGTCAACCATACATACATGTGCTTACTCTCTTGTCTCTTTCATGTACTCTATGAAGTGTTTTTAAATCAAGGCGTTCAATGGTGGTCATACCTTTTTAGGAGCGTGGCGTTAGAGACAACCACAATGTAAAATAGATTCTTGCGGACGATCCAAGGTGGGAAACTAGAATCGACGATGGGGAACGGCGAGACGGCTGATTAAAAATGGGGGGTTATTCCGTTGTATACGCTTTTGTGGCAAGTTGCCAGTTTTGTGAAGCAAATTTAAACCAAAGCCTTGAATGCTGCGATATTTTCTTGGTGTTTAGGGTCAATGTGCCATATCATTCACATCACACTCAGGTAATCACCGTTCATGAAGACGTGAGGACCACTCTTAAAGTTATAGATTCTGCTATTCAGAGATTCCCAATTACTGGATTATGCACTTTGCAGGTAAGCCACATGGGCCTTCCTTAACTTTGGCACCCGTTTCTCCTCCGGCTTGCACTATATCTGTTCTCTGATTTGTTTGTTGGGTATGTTTCGTTGCTCCGTTGCTATCCGCCACTGTCGTTTCTGGCTTTACTTTGCCACCATTCGTGGTTGTCGCAGAACCCTGGTCATGATAGTCAGTGGTACGATCTGATCGGCCGTGGTTGCAATAACTCACATCTAGTCACGCGAAGTTAACCTTGCTGATGGCCTTTCCAAATTCCTCGCCTTGGATGGTAGCAAGCTCCAGTTCGAGTGGAGAGGGTTGGCGAGATCCATCGGCGGCCTAGTAATTTATTAGTCTTTTCCCCTTCACCAAGAAGAAAAAGATGTCCAGCTTAATCCACACAGAATAAGTAAGTCACTTACGGCGAAAGTTCCCGCGCCCCAAGGTGAACCACCCCTCACCTCCGTCAAATTGGCGAGTTGAGGGAACGATTTGGCATAGCCCAGTGGAACATAAATGATACCATGATGAGTCAAAGTAGACAAAGAGGCAATGACGGTGCTTTCTTGTCCACCACCTGGGGTAGCACTGGAAACGAAGATTCCAGCGTATTTACCCCAGTAACCACCGGTTTGCCATTGGGTGCCGGTGGCGTCCCAGAAGGCTTTCCATTGGGCGGGGAAATTGCCGTATCTGGTTGGGATGCCGAAGAGGAATGCGTCCTGGGGAAGTGTTAATAGCGTGGTTATGAGGGATGTGGCGTAGACATTTAAGATTGGGACGGGATGGGATTGGAGGGTTGGGATGAGTATAGACTCAGATGTATTAAGTACTTATATATATCTGGGTACAACTTACATAATTCGCCAGGGTTGCTGGATCGATGATTGGAATGCTTGATTTGGGCGGAGCGTGCATCTTAGCCAAGACATCTTGGGGAAGAGTTTCCGCAACTCTGTTGTTGAGTTAATATTGACTGTTTTTTTTTCAAACTAATAAAACATGATTTGTTGATACTTACTGGTAGAGGTCGGCTTCAATTCCGGCTTTCTTGAGGCCTTCCTTTTCAGCTTCGGCAAGCTTTTGGATGTGGCCGTACATGGAGTACTGTCGGAAAGAGGAGAATGTTAGTATGAGGAATGGATTGAGATAGAATGTGAATGATTGTGTGTAGATAGGTAGGTAATGGGGCGGTACTTACAAAGACGATAGCTACTTTAGGAGCCATGATGGGATGTTTATTTTAATTATTATGATTGTGAAAAAAGTTGATATTGAGAGATGTAATAGATGATTTAGATGTAGATGATTATTGTAATAAAGAAAAGTCGAATTGAGGAAACCTCTCCCTTCTTATATTTATTGATTGTAGGCAGGGAGGGGAAGTGAGAAGTGAGGAAGTGAGTGGTCAAAGAAGCAATTTGAGGGGTTTCCAGCCATGGGCTTTCTGGTGAATTACAGACAGGGGCCTGTATTGGATGTATTGGATACTGGATTATAAGCGAATTGGTTGGTGATTGATTACATAGCTTTAATAAGTGGTTAGTTATGATTGTGTAAGTAAATAATGTACTAATAAGCAATTGCTAATTTTTTACAAAGAATAGGAAGTATTACTCGAGTAATAGGTAAGCATTTACAGCAATATTCATTAGTTTTGATAGTTTTCGTATACCTATTGTAGTATATTTAAGGAATCCTATCTATAGGTATCTCAAGTTTTACTGTAGCAAAACATCAATAATATACCGGTAATGGCGTATAATTACTCTCATTAACTAATGATATGATTACTAATCCGGGCTGCATTGACCCCACCCACCCTCACACCCATACCTACCTATTTTATTACCTACTTCTTGTTACAAACAAACACTAAAGAATTAATTACTAACCCTCCCCCTTTTCTATCGATCATCACGCTTTCTAATGCTGATCCCCCAATGTCATTCTTTCATGCGAGGAATTTTCGTATATACAACAATGCAATTGTTCCCTTTCCTTCAATAATCACTGGGCGTATCACTCTTTTTGCTGCTGATAATCATGTTATTTGTCGTTTAAAACCTCAAGTTTTCTATCGAGGAAAGAAAACTAAATCTTCTTTCAATTTCAACGACCTTCCTCATGCTTTGGATTTGAGACCTCTGGAGCCTTTAGTCTTAGAGCAAGCAATTATTAAGGATAAATCGCCAGAAAGAGCTTCCTTGAATTTTGTCGAACATGTTCAGGATTTACTTCAGGAACCAGAGCCGGTAAAAGCTGAGTCTCAAGATTGGCCAAATTCTACGACTCCGCAAGATCTGGAAGAGGATACAAAGAAGTCGGTGTCATCAAGGAGAGCCAGGCGCACGGAACGTTTACCCCAAGGTTTGATTACTCTTGATTCAGAATCTTCAGAAGTGCAAGAATCCCAAGCCGCTTCATCTCCGTCAATGGATGGGAAAAAAGCCAAAAGGGCCAAAGCATCGGATGAAGTAGAACTTCTTCAAGGACTACTTCCTTTGGAGCCTTTGGAACCTTTGGAAACTGAACATGAAGCACCACCATATCCAACTGTGATCATGCAAGCGCGTAGTAATATGCTCAAGTTTGAGAATTGCGTCGTTGTAACACGTGTTGGTGGTTTCTATGAATTGTATTTTGAGCATGCGAATGAATTTGGCCCACTTCTAGGTCTCAAAGTTGCTCAGAAGAAAACAAATGCTGGACCGGTTTCCATGGTAAGTTATCACGATGTTACCGCCCTACCATGTAATAACGGTAAATAGGCTGGATTTCCCTTTCATCAACTTGATCGTTATTTGAAAATACTTGTCCAAGATCTAAGTCGCTATGTTGCTATCTCGGAAGAGTTTCCAAATGATATCTCGGACAAGGTAAAGTCTGGTGGCTTGTTGCATGACCGAAGAGTCTCACGTATTGTTACACCTGGTACTCTCATCGATGAGGGTTTCATGGATCCCCTATCGAACAATTATGTGCTTGCGATACACGTGCAGCACGATGTACAAACTGACACCATTGAACATGAGAGACTTCACAAACCAATTGGACTGGCTTGGCTGGATTTATCAACTGGTCATTTCTTCACACAGAAGTCATTACTCTCAGAACTTCCTTCTTTCATGGCTCGTATAGCCCCACGCGAAATTGTATTGGACGAGGAGATACAACCTTTAAAAAATCACGAAATATATACCGTCCTCACTGATGAACACCATATAATTACGTATGCAACCTTGCCTGAAGTCAGGCCTATATCTGAATGGACTCCTATGCTAGAATCGGCAGTTTCATCATCTTCGGTCAACACCTTCACGGAGGAAGAGATATCGGCCGGCAGCTGTCTGCTTCATTATGTCGAGACAAGATTACAAAGCACCAACATGAAACTTCAACCTCCTGTCCGCCAATTGAATGTCATGGGAATCGACAAGAACACCATGAGAGCTCTAGAAATAAAAAAGACCATCAAGGAGGATAACTTCAGTGGCAGTTTACTGCACACAATTCGGCGGACAGTTACCAAAGGGGGTGGAAGGCTGTTGGAAAATTGGCTTGGTGAGTTTGCCCTGTGCGCCCAATTCTATTTCAGTATCAACGAAATAAAGAAGCTGACCAAAACAATAGCATCTCCCTCAACATCCCTGGATGTACTAGAATCTCGACTCGACCTCGTGACACACATGCTCGAGGATGAGTCTCTTCGGGCCCGAGTAACAACACTCCTGAAACGTAGCCACGATTCTCATCGCCTACTACAGAAATTTGCATTTGGTAGAGGAGATGGCGATGACCTTCTAGATCTTGCAAGCACAATACATGCTACTCGAGACATTGCACATACACTCAAGGTTCAAAATGCCACCCCCGAGCCTTGTATACAGGCACTACTTGCTCGCATTCACCTCAAAGACCCAATCAAACTCGCCCAAGCAGTCACAGACGCCATCGACGAAGAAGGACTCGTCCAACAACAACGTATCGAAGAAGGCGAGAGTGAAGAAATGCAAGCACTCGCGAACGCAATCGTTGCCTCGGAAGGAACTGTAGAAGAAAACTCCACCCTTCGAAAAGGCAATCGCAAGAAGCCACCCAACAGCATCCGCGAATATTACAACCAAGAAAACGAAGCCTGGATAATGAAACCCACCGCCACTCCAATCCTCAAACGTCTTCATAAAGAACTCTCTTCTCTCTCCGATCAGAAAACCAGCCTCGCAGCTTCTCTTTGCGATCGCCTCGGCGCAACAAGTCTCACCCTTCGCTTCACCCCTGGCCTCGGCCACATCTGTCACGTCAAGGGCAGAGACATAAATCTCAATATGCCCGAAGCCCGCACCATCAGCTCCAGCAAAACTACTCGTTCCCTCCACCACCCTGAATGGTCATCCCTAGGCCAGCATATCGATCAATGTCGCATTCACATTCGAGCCGAAGAACAACGACTCTTTTACAAGCTCCGCGAATTGGCCATCACCAATCTCTTGAAACTTCGACGTAATGCCGCTGTGCTGGATGAAATAGATATCGCATGTTCATTTGCTACGTTGGCGGATGAAAGGGGCTGGACTCGTCCTATTCTCAACACAAGTTCCGCGCATAAAATCATCGGCGGGAGACATCCTACCGTTGAGACTGGTCTAGAGGAAGAAGGCCGGAGTTTTATTTCCAATGATTGTCTAGTGGGAGATGTTCATCAGGCATGGTTAATCACTGGACCAAACATGGCGGGAAAAAGTACATTCTTGCGACAAAATGCATTGATCACAGTTCTCGCACAGGTGGGCTCATATGTGCCAGCAGAATATGCAGAGCTAGGAATTGTAGATCACATATTCAGCCGTGTTGGATCTGCGGATAATCTCTATCGAGATCAATCAACGTTCATGGTGGAGATGTTGGAGAGTGCGACTATCCTCAAAAATGCAACATCACGGTCATTTGTCATTATGGATGAAGTTGGCAGAGGGACGACACCGACGGATGGTATTGCCGTGGCGTTTGCATGTCTGCATCATCTTTATCATGTAAACAAATGTAGAACATTATTCGCAACGCATTTTCATGCATTGGTGGAGTTAATTGAGGAGAATAGAATGAATGCAGTAGGCTTTTATTGTACAGATGTGGAAGAGCATGGGAGCACGGATGAAGCTTTCAGGTATATGTATAAATTGAAGGAGGGCATCAACAGACATAGTCACGCTCTCAAGGTGGCCAAGTTGGCTGGATTGCCGAAAGAAGCTATCGAGGTTGCTAGGCAAATCTTGGAAAAGGACGTAAATCCTAAATAGATAGTCAGTGGTTGACCATGGCCATAATTGTTTGTAAAATATGACAACTTTAAAAGCATTCAGGAAAAAATTAGAGTGTTGTTTTTGATCTTCAACGTGCGCAAGCACTCGGGGTTAAAAAGCTATGAATTGTTCATCACACAGCTTGAGGGTAAAAGGAGACAGTAAAAAAAAAATGACTGACCTTTTGTACATGATGAACTTGTGATTTTCACATCACATTTCAATGTCACACCACATGCACATGCTTTGGCTTGTTAAGTTCTTTTTATTTTCCCAGAGTCAAGTGACTTGTATGACTACTAGATAATCGTCATGTCTTCTTATATATCCTTTCAGACACACAAAAATTTCATTTCAGATAAATCACGGACAATTTAGTCGAACATTCCTCCGAATCCCTCATCACCAGACTCCTCAGCCTCGGACTCCTCCTTCTTGGACTCCTCAGCAGCAGCGGCAGCTGGGGCAGCCTCGGTGGCGGCAGGTCCGGCACTAGCGTAGGCGTCTGGGTTGGCAATGCGATCCTTCAACTCATCAATCTCAGCCCAGCTGTAGTCGGTTCCGATGGCAATGGCCAAAACATTCTTGTAGCTGTTGACAACAGAGTGCATGACAGATGGAAGAGTTGGGAAGTTGACAGCCAAGGAGATAGCAGCAATGGTGGTGATAGCGCTGCTGAAAGCCTTGAGAAGTTGGGCCTCTTCAACGTCGAGAACACTTGGTGGGAAAGTGTTACCAGCATCGTAAACTTGGGAGATACCCATACCGTATGTGAACGGAGAGATGTTCAACATGTTAAGAAGGGTAGCCTCGGAAGCTCCGACCTTGGTACCGGCAGCGACGAGCTTCAAGTCGGTGGTAATTTCAATGGTACCACGGGCAATCTTGGTTGGGACACCGAGAGCTTGGAAGAAAGAGGTCTTTCCTGGCTCCATACCGGTGTTACCGGCTGGGATGAAGACATCATCTGGGGCAACGGCACCAGCTCTGGCTGGAGCAGCAACCTTGTTGTCGAGAATCTTGTCACGGATAGTCTTGAGGTCTTGGTTGGTGAAAACAAAACCAACGTTACCCTTGACGAAAGGAAGGAGACGCTCGTATTCTGGGTTGTCGTTGACGAAGCCCTTGACGGCACGGCGGACCTATTCAATCACAAACATTAGCTTTCTGCATGCGCGAATGGCAATAATTCCATCAATTGCAAAATAAACGTACCATGGTGTTCTTTCCCATCAAGACAACACCCTCACCACGGAGAGATCCACGGATCTCGTGCATTTGTTGAGAGCTGACATTGTCGACGGTGACGATGAAGATGGACGTGTACTCCTCGAGTAAGCCCTTGAGCTTATCGAAGTAGCCGGCCTTGTTTTCGGATTTGCCCCCCATATCTTCTTATTTTTGAAGGTAGGATGTTTAAGGACAAATTTATTATATTGGATTTGCGGGAAGTATTTCTTTCGTTGAAGAAATTGGATTGATTGTCGCAAAGTTGATCTCAAGATTAGAAAAAAAGATGTTGATGGAAACTTTGACGAAATTCGGAAATGTGGGAGCCGCTAGTAGTTAGCGCCATTTTACATGCGAAAATGTATTTTAATTGGTCAAAGAAGCTTAGACCCTTGTAAATGAAAGAATTCGTGATTTTTAGGTTATATTTTTGGTATTCTGATATAAGAGTGAGTATACAGTACCGGTATAGCATTGGAGGAAGGATTACCTACTTATCTAGTACCATTTAAGAGAGAAGATATTCATAAGGGAACTACTAGGGAATCCAACCCAGCATTCTATCACCAGAAATATGTCCAAACTCAGAGCACCATACCAATGTCTCAAACGATGTGGTAACTATCTCGTGGCAGCTCGAGGTTCAAGCATAGATACTTTCGATATCAGAGATGGTTCATACCTTTCAACATGGAAGTCTCCGTCATCAGAAAGTACGGAAGGATCGAAGACAACTGGGGACGAGACACAATTCAAGAGCGAGCAACAGAATCCCGAGACATCTACCGGTACTCCAGATGTTATTTTAGAGTCATCAACCCCGCCAGCAAAGAGACGGAAGTTATCTGTTGGCGAGGAGGAAACCGAAAAGACTGTTGTGGTACAGCAAATAAAAAAAAGAGTGAAGAATAATTCAGCACCCAAAATCACCGAACCTTCACCCATTACTGCTTTAACTATCACAAGAGACCTTCAACACGTGATTGCAGTCACAGGCGAGGATAAAACCATCAGAGTGCTGGCATGGGAGGATACAGCAGGTAAAGGGTTGAAGCAGATCAATGATCGGTACGATCTATTCCCCAATCATGAACTGACTCTTACTGACAATCTCAGTACTATGCCCAAACGACCCTGTGCCCTTGCCACTACCGATGACTGCAACACCATAATCAGCGCCGACAAATTTGGAGATGTGTATTCACTCCCTCTCATTCCATCTCCTTCAGTCCTGTCAGTCACTGAAGATGCTTCTACTGAGAAACAAGCCCCCAAGCCATTTCAACCTTCAGCCAGCGCCCTGACAGTACATTCTGCACGCAATCTAAAATCGCTTGAGGCTCAAAAGAAACAGTCTAACAAGGTGTCCGAGAAAACGGGCCCAGATTTCGAGCACAAACTTCTTCTCGGTCATGTTTCCATGTTGACAGATATCGTGGTGGCTACGGTGTCTGGCCGTCAATATATTCTCACGGCCGATCGTGATGAGCATATTCGTGTTAGCCGTGGAATTCCACAAGCGCATATCATCGAGGGTTTTTGTCTCGGTCACGTTGAATATGTTAGTCGATTGTGCATTCCTTCCACGAGACCAGAAATTCTCATTTCTGGCGGTGGAGACGACGATCTATATGTCTGGAATTGGCTCAACGGATCCTTGCTATCTAAAGCAAATCTAAGGTCTCAGGTTGAAGCAGTCGACGCAGAAACCGAAGACGAACAAGAAGTCGAGTCCAGAAAGATTGCAGTGACGGGTATTTATCACGCCAGGAATGAATCATCCAATGAAGATATTATCATAGCCACATCTGAAGGGCAAGTTTCCATCTTTTCCCCTCCAAGAAGATTAAATCCCCAATCTAACATACCTTCCAGTGTCCCAGCCGCCTTCATCTACACCCTCACAGCCTCCAACCACCTCACCCATATCCAAACCCTCGTATTGCCAGGGAATGCACTCTCTTGCTCCTTCACCAACTCCACCGCGTCATCTCAATTTTCTCTCATCATCTCCTGCGACAATATTCACAAGTCTGGTTCAATCACCACTTTAAAAGACGCCAACCACCAAATTGTAGCCCCCTTACAGTTTTTCAAATACGAAGATGGGAAGTTTGCTAGTGTGCAGCAGGATGGATTTGTCTCACAGGATGGTGAGGGGGCTTTGGAAGAGGAAAAGAAGAGCAAATTGGCTGGTTTGTTGTATAACATTGGTAATTTACGGAAGATGGAGGATGAGGAATAGATTTACGTATGTACGAGTTTGTTAGCTAGTGATCAGTCCAGTCCAATGGAAAAAACACGCAAACCAAATTTCCCATCACCCATAAATCTCTGACCAAGGATGAAAGTAAAGAGCTTACAACCTTCCGCCAACGATCCAAGTGTTCCATTAAATCCACCAACCTTCATTTGGATCCACCAAAAAAGTTGCGCAGCCCCTCCCCAGAATGAAAGTATCATATGGCTGCCAACTCTCCCATCACAAGAAACCAACCAAGGAAATGACAAAAACCAAGTCATACAAGGGAAAGCCCCTTCGCAATAAGGATCACCTTCGAGATAGGGTCAACTGTGTCCGTTTTATATTATTGAACACCTCACCCACCCAGAGGTGGTAACAGCTGCAGTATGTACTATACACTGCGCCAAGGGGACTCGATGAGATGTTTGATAGAGGGCAGGTGGCCGTTTATATATATATATATGGGCTGACGAATTGGGATGGGAAGTGATGTGAAGATGACATGTGATTGTTTGGAATTGTATATTGATATGTGATTTGTCGATTAATTGTGACATAGCGGTGTGACATCCACATACCGGTACTCTGAAATATAAGATCATTCCTTTCACAAGATTTGTACACTACCTAGTACATAATATTCCCTTCCTCCCTCTTCTGTATTTTGAACCTCTCTAATTTCAGTCTTAATTTACCTCTCCAATTAGCCACAGCCCTCCTCACGGCATCCGCGACCTCCGGCCCCTCCACTTTTTCAACCACCTTCAAAACCCATCTGACTCTCTCTGTCCGGCCCCAATTTTCATTCTTCACGTCCACAGTAATACCCAATTGCGTAATAATACTCGAAATTTCAGATGTTGGCTTGACCTTGTGTGCACGAAGATAATGCCAACATTGTGTAACATTACGAAGAGCTTGTCTTGGGCTCTGTACCTTACCGTGGGCGAATGCTTTCGCAATTTCATTAACAAGCTCGATTCGTGCCAGTGAAAGAACTTTAGGTGAGGGGGCATGTCTCTTCCATTTTGGCATTGCCGCGTAGATTGGAGCGTCCAGCGCGGACCAGATACCTCCGCTGCCGTGATAAATCATTGTGGCAATCAAGGGGGCACAAGCCTCAGGTTCGACTTTGCCTATACAATATCTCATGTATATATCATAGGCGGCTTGAAGATTGACGGGAGTCATATTGTTGACAAGGTCTGCAAGGACATTGGCGTTGACCTGCAAATTAAACATTCTGGACTGTTTTAGTACAGCATGTATGTGACGAAACTCTCCAACATCTCGGAGAAAGTCAAATAGACTATATAGATTGTCATCACTCAATTGTCCATACTTTTCTAAACTCCAGAGAAGCAACCCTAAGGACCAGGGATAATGAAGAGTCTTCATTTTATAAGTGTTAATGATGGCGTTACCATTTTTTAACAGGCCTTGGCTAGTCCAACGGTTTAAAATGAGCTCAGCTGTCTGGCGCCAAGTCAAAGTATATCGTTTAGTGTCTAGTCTGAATTGGCTGAGATCTTGTTGTTGCAATAATTTGAATGCCTCCGTGAACATGAAATCATCGATATTTTCCAATTTTGACATTACAGAGAGCCAGTTAAGCCGTATTCTGTGGGATTGGGCAAGATAGTCTTTGAGCCCCGCAACACTTTTCTGGTTCAGGAAAGTTGCGGAGGCGATTGATTCGGAATGAGATCTGATCAGAACAGAAATTACCTCTTTAGGCAGAGAGGCTAGAGTAGTACTCATAGTATCAATGGAGTGGCTATGAGGTATTGATATACTCTCCGCAGCCAATACTTCGGCTCTCGCAGTGGAAAGGTCCGTGGAAGCTCGAATTAGGGCATCTCGAATGCGTCGAGACACTTCAGGGCTTTCCTTGCCTCGACTGGACCACAGTAGCATTCGAAGACGGTTAATACTTCGTTGTGAGGCCATCAAAGATGCTTCTGCTTTGATCAAGGATTCATTTGCATTTGTTGGAGTTTTCGATTTGTCGAGCCAACCTAATGACCACTCATTTAGTAAGATTAAAATAGTGCCTACATTACTGCTGAGCTGGATTTCAGAGAGTGAAGGGAGGATTTCAGAAATCAGAAGTTGTGTTCCGTTCGTGCCTGAGAGTCTTGCCAGTAAAGACAGATATTCTCCCATGACTTTGGAATCAAAATCCATGGGGTTGAGAACTTTACAAGACTGAATACCATTCCAGATCCGTGTATAAAAAGCAAGCAGTTGCTCAGTCACGTCAAAATTATTCCCACGAAAATGACCCTTCATGTTACGATTTGGCCGAGTGGAATCCTCGATGTTGACGTAAGAGCCGCTAGAAATTTCCAAGAGAACATCTGTAACAGCTTGAAGTGTGCTAGATAGTAGATCGCTGGTAACTAGCCCAAGGATAAGACTCTGTTGGAATTTTTTATCAAAGGATAAGTAAAGTTCCAGAGCTTTGGCAGGTCCGGATAACTGATGATCATCTTTTCCATTTTCACCTGTTCTCCGGTCTCTTATCGTGCAACCACGCTCTCGGTGATTAACTCTTATGGCTTTTTCGAAATCACTAAAATGATCTTTAATACGTCTTTCCTGTTGCAACACGCCAAGATTCTTCTCTATTGATCCCTCGGCGTTTGCAGTCTCTGTAAAATCGTCTAGAAGTTGCTCCTGCATAGGGGTCCAATTCATTAACCAGGATGGTAAAGTCGGCGGGTGCTTTGGTTGCTCAGCAAAGCGCGGTGTGGGAGCCTTCCACTGTGATTCAATCTTCTCTGGTCCCCACGATGAGCACCATAACGCCCCTGGATCGTACATTGGGGCTTGTGCCAACTCTGTGACATGTGCCATCCGTCTTCTCCCCAATCTCCTCCTGCTTTCCAATGGGCCTGGCACTGAGCTTCCATGTCGACGTGTAATGTTTGAGGTACCGCAAAAGCGTTGAAAGGCGTTGCAAAGATCCGCTTCGGAGACCCATACACATTCAAAAAAGGTTGTAGGATGATGTTTGAGCCTTCGACAGGAAGTCGATGGGCGCAGGAGCATCGCTCGTCAAAACAAAATATAGGCTCGTTTCATGCTCTGCGATTCGACATTGGTGGTGGTGAGGGGGGAGCGGAGGGGGGGTATTGAAATAATATCTTCTTCGATCAGAGTGGCATACTCTATAGTAATTCCATGCGCAAGATATTATAATAATAATTGATGCTCAATGCGAATAATAATTGCAAGTTTCGGCGAATAGTTCTTCCCGAGCTTCCTTACCTACCTAGTTATCCCTTGAAGAATTTATGGGATTCATTGTATGGTGGGGTTGAGGTTGGGGTTAGGAAGAAACGAGATCCCGAGAAGCGGCCAGGGAATTAATGAGGTAGTACTCGAGTACTGGTAATGTATTACTGTAAAACGTTCGTACTGTAATACGAGTACTCAAGGTTCATAAAATTTTGACTTCATACTTCAATTGGGATTGAAACTCTCTAGATCTTATTCTTGTTTTACCCAGCATATATTCTTGTACCCATCATGGTCCATCAATTTGAACCGTTACAGAACGATCTCATACTCAGAACAGCATGGGGTTAGATATCCCGATTTCTCAGATCTTGAATATTTTGATTGCTGACGAGGTTTAGGTCAAAAGGTTGAGCGTCCACCGATGTGGGTGATGCGTCAAGGTATGGTCAATACTTGAAGTCTGCGAGGTTAAAATAGCTAATAGCTGGAATACTCATAGCTGGACGTTATTTGCCCGAATACCACGAAGCAAAAGGCAAGAATGATTTCTTCGAATGCTGTCGCTCTCCAGAAATTGCTTCGACATTAACTCTACAGCCGATTGAACGCTTTGCCGGAATTATCGATGCAGCTATCATATTCTCCGATATTTTAGTTATTCCTCAAGCTCTAGGAATGACTGTGGAAATGGTTGACAAGAAAGGTCCCCATTTCCCAGAACCTCTTGAGTCACCCGATGACGGCCAATACGAGCGAGTTCTGAATAAGAAAGTGGATGTTGCCGCAGAGTTGGACTATGTTTACAAGGCAATTACTTTGACGAGACACAAGTTGAAGGGAAGAGTACCATTGTTTGGATTCTGTGGAGCCCCGTGGACTCTGTTATGTTATATGGTGGAAGGTGGAGGAAGCAAGCTGTTTGTGAAGACCAAGACCTGGGTTTACAAGTATCCGGAAGCTAGCAAGGCTCTCCTTCAGAAGATTGCAGAAGTGTGTGTAGAGTATTTAGCTTTGCAAGTCAAAGCTGGGGCGCAGGTGAGTTCATTGCTGGCCTACAATATTACCTGCTTGGAACTAATGGTTCTCTAGTTGATTCAAGTTTTCGAGTCTTGGGCTGCGGAGTTATCCCCATCTTCTTTCAAGGACTTCTCACGACCATATCTTGCATACATATCGGCGAATCTACCAAAGCGCCTAACGGAGCTCGGACTCGAGCACGTTCCAATGGTCGTATTTGCGAAGGGAGCCTGGTATGCTTTGGACTCCTTATGCGATTTAGGATATCAGGTTGTAGGTCTGGATTGGTTACAAGACCCAGCGGAGGCCGTTCGGATACGAGGTGACCGCCCTATTGTCTTCCAAGGTAATGCAGATCCAGGAGTTCTGTACGGAACCAGACCAGAAATCACTCGAGTAGTTGAGGAAATGGTAAAAGGATTTGGTGGAGGAAAACAAGGATGGATTGCGAATCTCGGTCATGGTTTGATCTCCTCCGAAGTTTGATTGTTTGTCTACTAATCTACCGTTTTATAGGAATTACACCCTTCGTCAACCCGGACGATCTGAAATTCTATTTCGAGGAACTCCACCGATTGACCAAGTGACACTAAACCCAGCAAGTGTATCACTCCTTGGTATGGACCCTCTTCTCTACCCCGATATCTTCGTTCCTATGAGATGTAGTGTGTCAGAAATAGCCCATCGATAACAAATTCAATGACATACCACAATTCTGGCTTCTCGCTGATAAACTTCTCCATCAATTCCTGGCACTCTTTGTTTTGCATGTTGATAACCTCGATTCCCCTTTGTTTCAAATATGCTTCACCACCGAGGAAAGTGTTGTTCTCGCCAACGACTACTCGTGATATTCCATATAAAATACATGCTCCAGTACTTTCCAAGGTGATTAGCATACCTTGGAGTTATATATATGTTTACAAAACATACCACATATCACATGGAGACAATCTAAACGCAATCTGTGAGTTTCGTTCTAATCCGTAGACATTGTTGTCTAATAGCAAGGGTAATGTTTTGGACATACGTCGTGTACATTGTTGACCCCTTATAAGCCGAGGCAGGGAGTCGACCCGAATTTTCCAAAGCGGATGTCTCTCCCTTACATTAATCAGTGTCTGGTTTTCCCGCAAGCTACAACAAAAGCCTCACATGATGAATGGCGCTCCCTTTCTGTACTCTCATATTATGTCCACGGCCCAACAATTGCCCATCTTTTGAGACTAATGCTGCACCAATCTAGCATAATATATCGGATTAGAAACAGCGGTGGATTGGAAATAACATCGTGTCCGGGTATTCATACAGGTACGCCACCTTCTTCATAACCAATCTTGGCTTCCTCAACTGCAATTGCAAAGCCTTCTTGATCACTAAGAGGATTACTCATTGTTGAAGTTGTGTGCTTTTGGGTGAGAAAGATGAGGGGGGAGAGAAAGAGGGGTGGTCTGTAAGCTAGATTGAAAGGTAAACTGGAGTCAAGTATGTATCTGAGAACAGAGATCTAGGTATCTTGTTATATATAGGTTAGTATAGTATGATATGGCATGATATGGTATGAGATATGGGTATGAGATGAGAAATGAGTTATTTTACTTTATTGGTGAATTTGTGGGATTTTGATATATCTCGGAATAATAATTATCAATTTCTTATCGATAAGAACAAGATATACTATTCTAAATATGGTCTAGTCTATGATTAGCTTAGCCTTACATAGAACAGAATCGAAAAGTCAAGACTTTAGACTTTAGACTCTAAAGAAAGAGAAGAAGACATTTATGTTATATATGGTTTATTGCTTCAACAAATTCAGTTATTATGAAAATACTATTACAGTATAGTTATCTGTAAACTATAAATGGTCTGTGATATATAAATTATAAATGTTTTGCGATTAATGTTAACATTTTCATTCACTCAGCTATAGATTTATTATTAGAAAGAAAGATTCCATAAGAAATCCCGGTAAATCTTACATTTTCGAGACCCTTCTTTCAGATTCTAAAAAAAAAAATACCAAAATCGCCGCTTCAATTCATCATTATTACGATAAATCCATAATAACTACCCTCCACAAAAATACCAAAATCCCTCTCTTTTCTCTTTTCCCCCATTAAATATTCACATCTAGAGTCTATTCAGTTAGACTTTTTATCTTGTTTATTATACAAGTACTGGTAGTATCTCAGACCTGAGATCTATCCCCTCCATCTCCAAAGAGAGAGAACTTTGTTGTTCTTTACCCCCAAAACTTTCCTACTTTGTGCGCCAACTTCTGAAAAGTACCAAATTGTAAGTAATTTGTTATTGTTTTTACTTTATACTTGTCCTTGCTATTTGTCTATATCAGTATCTATCTTGTTATTAATCTATCGCACAATGATATGATTTGATATATCAGCATACCTAACTTATCTATGAAATTTGGCAATCCCCATCATAATTCATTGATTTGGTTTTCGGAGATAGCTAACAATCTCACTTCAACTCTAGATCACAAACGAGCCTTATTAAACATTCAACCTACAGCCTCTCAGTGACTGGCACATCACACTCAAATACAAGAAGGAAAATTAAAGAGATTCTATCTCTCTACCAATAGACAAGATGGCGAAGGACAGCAAGCTGTATGATCTTTTGGGTGTAAGGCTTCATTCCCACTATGTGATTGAAAGAACAAAGCCTAACTTGATGATAATTGGTATAGGTTGCACCAACCGCAACGGAAACAGAACTCAAGAAAGCATATAAGGTCGGGGCTTTGAAACATCACCCAGGTTAGTCTGCCCTCGAATCTTCCTTGTATCGCAAGACATGAAGACATGAAACTGACCGTCAACCGATAGATAAGAATCAACATAACCCCAATTCCGAGGATAAATTCAAGGAAATTTCCCGTGCATATGAAATCCTTTCCGATCCCCAGAAGCGCCAGATCTACGATCAATATGGTGAAGAAGGCTTGGAGGGTGGTGGAGGAGGAGCAGGTGGCATGAATGCTGAAGATTTGTTTTCGCAATTTTTTGGTGGTGGCGGTGGTGGATTTGGTGGTATGTTTGGTGGTGGCGGTGGTGGCGGTGGTGGTATGCAACAACGTGGTCCACCAAAAGCCCGTACCATTCATCACGTCCACAAAGTTTCACTTGAGGACATCTACCGCGGAAAAGTCTCCAAACTCGCCCTTCAGAAATCCGTCATCTGCCCTAAGTGTGACGGACGAGGTGGAAAGGAAGGCGCCGTTAAGAAGTGTGCCGGATGTGATGGCCATGGTATGAAGACGATGATGCGCCAAATGGGACCCATGATCCAGCGTTTCCAGACTGTCTGCCCCGACTGTAGTGGAGAGGGAGAGATTATCCGCGAGAAGGACAAGTGCAAGGGTTGCAACGGCAAAAAGACTACCGTGGAAAGAAAGGTCTTGCACGTTCATGTCGACAGAGGTGTTCGCAGCGGACACAAGATCGACTTCCGAGGCGAGGGTGACCAGACGCCAGGAGTTCAACCAGGTGATGTCGTTTTCGAGATCGAGCAAAAGCCGCACGACCGTTTCCAACGCAAAGACGACGATCTATTTTTCCATGCCGATGTTGATCTTGCTACTGCACTCGCTGGTGGCACAATCTTTGTCGAACATTTGGATGAGCGATGGTTGAGTGTTGATATTATTCCAGGAGAAGTCATTAGCCCAGGTAAGCAATGTATTTCCATTTAGACACCTTAAAACTTCATTAACATCCCTGCAGGAAGTGTCAAGATGATCCGTGGCCAAGGTATGCCTTCATACCGTCATCACGATCACGGAAACATGTATATCCAATTCGATGTCAAATTTCCCGAGAAGAACTGGACCGCCGACCCTGCAGCGTTCGAGGCCCTCAAGACTATTCTTCCACCAGCTCCAGAAGGAGTCAAACCACCTGCCGATGCGATGACCGAAGTAGCGGATCTCGAGGACGTCGATGCCAGTCAACAAGCTAGAGCTTCAGGCGCGGGTGCCATGGACGAAGATGATGAAGATGGGCAACAAGGCGAACGTGTCCAATGTGCTTCCCAATAATTTATACTAGTATTGGCGTTTGGCCTGGGGAATTTCTTCACACTTCTTTCTACATGCAGAGAATTTTTCATCAACCTCTGTTGCATCTTCCGTCGTCGGTTATATGATACACCATGCTTTGTTATTCTTGATCTCTTAGTGCGTTACGATCATGGCCACTTGAAATCCTGAGGCGAGGGTTTTCACAATCTGATCATCATGGAATGCCCGCGACGTCAATGTACACGACGGACAAACGAACAATGAGTGGATTTGGTTGGAATGGAGGATGGATAAATGGAAGCTGCCAGGAAGAACTAAGGGTATGAAAGCCTTTGGACGACCTCTGTGGATGGATGGTGTGGATTTTCTTTTGCGAAACATGAGAATCATATATTATGAAATGGATGGAGCATTTTTCTGTTTCATGAGAACAGATAAGTTCAGAATCAGATTGGTTCATCCAAGAACCTGATTGAGATTTCTAATATGGCGTTTAGACAGCTGGGATAGATAGCATGTAGGAGGAAAAACAGATTTACGAATGATTTGTTGGGTGTGCTTGCACTTGTATTTTGTGAAGTGATTTACGTGAACTTATGCTCGATGTGTTTAATGCAAATGCAAATGCAAATCTGATCATATCCCGGTTTAAGATTCAGTCGGGAAACTGAATATTGTGCTCTGCAGTCGAAGAAGAGGGAGATGCAGGGGACACTGGGATACTATACTCGCGTAGTTGCAATCCCAAAATATCTCACAAAGTCCGTCCGGACCAATTTTATGATGAGCGAGTCTCGTTCAATTATATTCATTAAAACGAGGTACCAACGAGGTACTACGTACTGGTATCAGTATTGTTACAAACATCTCCAAAAGCACCCGCGTTTATTGCTTCTCTTCTCATATCCATTCAAGAATAAATAAGGTAGGTACCCTCCAAACCCCTCAAAAGTAATCACAGTAACGCCATTTTGTAATGATATTTAGAAGAGGCCATGCATGTGTATGTGGACCCATCCACATCATCCTCAACCCTCAATTATCATCTTGAACAGGTCTAATCTTCACTCCCGCCTCCGCAACAGCTCTCCTCAATTTGTCCCTCACCTCTCTCTTCCTCCTCGCCGCCTCACTTAAATCCGATTTTTCCTCAGTGCTATATCCGCTGATCTTTTTGCGAGGACTTGGGCTTCCGTATAGAGAACCCGACCCACTCATCATAAAGGTTGAACCACTCAATCTCCTAGACGTCGATCCCTTGAATTGACTATCCGGGGTATAAAACAATCTGTTCGTGCTCGAAGTACCAGGTGTGTTGGCCCTCATACTTGATCTATTGTTCGTATTTCTCTGTGGTGTTCTCAGTGCTGGTGAACTTTCTCGGCTCGTAGTACTGAATCTCAATTTGCGCATTTGGTTTTCGAGGACATCGACGTCGCCGCTGCGTTTTTCGGCCATATTGGTCATCTTGGTGATTGTACGCATGATAGCTTCGACGGTAGGAGCTACAGTTTTTGAGTTGCCGTTTGAGCTTTGCGACACAATCTTAGCCCGGAGAACAGTGAGGCCTTCTTCGGCTTCCGAAAGCAGTTTCTGGAATTTAAGATAGTCGCGACGTAGATCATGTTGCTGGGCGGCTTGCTCGGCATTCAGTGGTTGTGCTCGAGCTATCGCTATTTGATCAGGGTGTGTGTGTGACTGCACCGTTTTTTTAACTTCTTCAAACCTTTGTCTCAGCTTGACAGTCTCCTTGCCAAGGCTTTTGCAAGTTTCGATTTTATCATCTACATCTTGAATTCTGCCCCATTCGAGTGAGGATCCTACTTTCCCTTCGACAATATAAGAAAGCATTTTTATCTCATCTAGGCACCAGCTCTCATCCTCTTCGAGATCTTCTCTGTCCCTGTATTTCTTGTATTGCTCGGTGTGCCCCTTGATGAAGGATTTCAAGGCCTTTGCATTGACACCAAGAGTATCCATCATAGAGTTTATATCACGGTACAAAATTTCTACCTGAGCCGGAATGTTATCGCCCGACTCGGATGATTTAACATCCGAGTAAGCAACGAATTCATCCAGCGTTCTCGTGGCTTCAATATCTTCTGTGAGATATCTCTGCATCTTATCATCTTCATCATCGACAAGCGTTCTGGTCTCTTCCGCTTCTTTCCTTGCTCTAGCCTCGACACGACGCTTTTCCTGTGCTTTTTCTTGTTCGACAGATGTCACAAATGTGCTTTGCACAGGTGCAATTGTCCTTCCCGGTAAATCTTGAGCATTTAATAATTGTGTTGCAACACCTGGCGCACTAACAGACCTCGACGCATCGGGACGCATCATTCTGGGCGGGATGGCCGATCTTACAGGACTGGGTGATCGAGGCGATGTAGGCATTAAGGGGGCGGTTGGCGGTGGAAGTTTGGGTGCAGTACTAAACTCCCCGAAAAGTCCCTTCGATTGTCCAAACGAGGACGACTTTTGTACCTTCATGGAAGGAATGACATTTGCTTTGGTATTCTGGTTCCCTCCGAAAGAACTCTGAGGCGTTAAACCTGGGGTGGCATGATTCTCAGATGTTGGGCTATCCAGTTTTCCGAGGTCTTCCCCGCTTCCCTCCTCACTCGGTTCTTTGCTCTGATCATCATCTTCATCCTCTGTGAGGAAGTCGGAATCATCGCCTTCATCATCCGGACCTCCAGGGATATCATCTTTCGGTGATTCGGGTGAGGGCGTTTGAGTGTCTCTTTTGATTGGAGGCGGTATTTGAGTTTGAGTGGGTTTAGGCTTTAGGACAAAGTCTGGTGGTAAAGGGGCGTCGTTCTCTTTTCTGGACGCAGACAAATCTCTAGGAACAGACTTAGGTTTAGGTGCGAAATCTGGAGGTAATGGTGCATCATTATCAGAGGCAGATGTTTCGCTAGCGGTATAGCTAGATTTACTTGTAGGGTCTGGGGGCAAGGGAGCTTCAAGCCTTTTGTCGCTTGGTTCCTGTTTGATCTGCACTGACGATGGAGATGGAGCCGGGGTTAGTTTAGCAGACATAGCTGCTGCGAATGGATTTGGGGCGGGTTTAGCAGGGGCCGCAAAAGGATTTGAAGCCGACTTCGCTTCAGTGCTTCCGAAGGGGTTTAGTTTTGAGGAGCTACTGGAGCCAGAAGCAGAGCCAAAAAGTCCACCACCAGTGGGCGCTGCTGTATTAAAGAATGATGACTTTACTGGGGCAGGAGTTGAACTAGGGGTTGCAGATTCAGGCTTCTTCGCCTGTTCCTCTACTTCCGGAGCATCTTCGGCATCCATATCTGCTTCTTTCGAAACAGGTGCTTGCACAGTGGGAGCCTTTCCTGCTTCCTTCAGAGCGTCCCCAAATCCTCCACCACCGAAGAAGGAACTCTTTGTTGCAGTCGTATTATCTGGCTGGTTTTCTTTAGAAGTATCCGCCTTGAATGTGGATCCAATGACAAATTTGTCTCCCCCGAAAGGACTGGAAGAAGGCCTTTGCTCGGCTTTATTAGCACTTCCGAAAAGACTGCCAGTCTGCGCAATATTACCAGCGTTGTCAGAACCAAATAATCCGCCACTCGTATTCGAAACATTGTTATTGGAACCAAAAACACCACCTCCTGGAGCAGGGATTGCGGCAGGTTTGGAACCGAATATGCTTCCGCCTGTGGATGGGGCAGCTGCCGCTGCGAAACCGCCTTGATTTGCAAATGTGGCGAATCCTCCAGATGCTTGAGGTTTATTTCCAGCAGAAGCACTTGAGCCGAAGACAGGTTGGGATACACCCAAAGCACTTGACTGGCCAAATGCTGTACCTGTACTGGCTGCGGTCGTATTCGCAGAGCCCCATACTGATTGCCGTCCTGGCAGGCCTGATTGCCCAAATGCTGGAGCGCTTGGTGTACCGAAGGCTGACGCGCCAAAAGCTGGACCCGCTTGTCCCGCAGGAGCGGCGGCTGTCGGGGTACCAAAACTTGGTGTTCCAAATGCTTGACCACTCTGGGCACCCCACGACGATTGAGTCTTACCGATAGTAGCGGGCGATCCAAAGGCGCCTGTTCCAGAACTGATTGCCGGTTTCGCCATTGCCGCTCCGAAAGCCAAATTCGTAGGAGCTTGACTTCCGAACGGCTGACTTGACACATTTCCAAAAGCAGGTGCGACGGTAGTAGCCTGCTGTGGAGGTGCTACTCCCTCGGCCGCAACGAGTCCGGGATATATACTTTTTTGTCGAACTGAGTCGTTATAGATGATCCACCATGAAGCCAAGACACCTTCGTTGTTCAAAACCATAAGAGCAGGCACGGGGTGAGATGACTCGTCAATCTCATCATCCCCGGGAATAGGTTTCCAGACCTTGGTAGTACTTGATAGATCAAGCGCAAAACCAATGGGAGATGTGTCCCCATACCCTCCGTTCGATGTTGCAGGAAGTTGGGCTCTAAAAGAATCATCGGCCATTTCCGTCATCGTGAATACCCCTGTTATCCTGTCCGAGGGTTTGTCGGTTGTTAGCGGTACACTCGAGCGAGTAAAGAGGTTGATGTCCGTGGATGCTGTGGAGCCTACGACGAGCAAATCCTGTATATTTGGGGGAAAATCTTTCAGACGGAGCAGGAACTGATGCGGTGGTGAACGATTGAGACCAAAGGGCGGAGCGGGATCAGTGAGTTTTTGGAACATGAAAACCGCGGGTTGTTGCCTAGTAGCCAGATAGAAACTAGAAATAGGAGCAAATCCAGAATCGAAGTTGGATGGTGTATGCACAAGTAGAAATACGTTATTTTCAAGCCACGTGATAGATGATACTCCAGAATGTTAGTTGTTTCCTGTCATATGAGACAATCAAGAAGACTTACCATGATCGCCGCCAATTAGTCCAGGCGGCTTTGGGATTTCTGCTTTGATTTCCCCTTCTGGTGTCATCTGAACAGCACTACCATCGCCGAGCCCAGCAACCAATTGTTTTCCTTTAGTGGACCATGATACACAGCTGACACCACTTCTGAGAATTTGACCATTGGGACCTGACTTGAAAGCACGATCCTTGAGATTTGCCATCATGAGGTTTCCATCCGTAGTCACAACCGCAAGAAGCTCACCTTTGTCCCTCGTAGGATTTGGCACAAGAGCTCTCAAAGATTCTCCGTTTGTAGGTACTTCGAAGGCTGTTTGGGTAGACCCATTAAGTAGGGCATCAACTTCGTAAACTGCCAATCCACCACCCGTTTCCGCAGATATAACCAAATAAGTATCGTCCGCTGAAAACGCAAGCTGTGATACCCTCATGGGCATAGGAATTCTGAGTTCAGGCTGGAAGGGTTTGAAGTTGCCAGTACCAGGTGTCTCAAATGCCTTCCGCACAGATTCGGTTCTCGCAACTACTATAGCATCTGGACCAGCGGCTGCAAGCAATCCACGACGGGAAGATATGCTCATCAGCGAGGATGTTGGGGGAGGAGGGTTGTCGGTTGGCCATATTGAAGGGAGTAATTGCACCTTCGATTCGCCTGCAAGAGCTCGAAAGTTTAATGCCTATATTTTATTAGCTACCGCAATGGTTATGTCCATATACTTGAATATTGTATACCGTTGTTTGTATGTCCTCGAGCTCTGGGCCTAGTTCTGCACTGCGACCTGTTGCACCTGTAGAGCCACTACCAAGACTACCACTTCCTGGGTTGCCAAAGCCGAATGCCATGATCTCCAAAGATGCCCCGTAATTCTAAGAGTACTAGCAATTCATTACAGAGCTAGGCGCATAGGTTGAGTATAGCGAATACTTCTTAGAAAGAGGGAGTGTAGAGGTAGAAATAAATCCAGATCGATAGTTGGAAACAATGGGAATAATTAAGTCGGGGAGCTGTATCAAGTATTGGAATTTTGAAGTTTTGAAATTGCGAAAGAGATGAATTAGAAGTCCAACGATTCTAGCTTTCCACTCCAAAGTTATGATAAACCTCTATTCGATTCACTCTCCGCTCGCGTTTTTGTAAGTCACGTGAAAATCGCGAAAGCACAAGCTCCAGGCGCCCCAAGATCCTCGTCAGCGACAGCAACCTAGGATCCATCAACATCCCATTTGAACTCAGCGAAGCAATTATTTCAACACTTTTACGAGTTTTCAAGCTTCCCCGGTAAACTTTACTTTGATCTTGTTCATTTAATACCCAGATTTCACACACAATCCCGCTCATTGAGCTTTGTTTGATACAATGCCTGGTTTCGACTTCTCCAACCACACTCGCAATGCTGCACTCCACGCCAGAGGTGTTCCGTTACCAAAAGCCACCAGTACAGGAACTACGATTGTAGGATGTATCTTTGATGGAGGTGTAGTTGTGAGTTATATTTATCATTCTGCGATCTAACAACAATCTAAAAGCTCCTCTATTTTGTTCTGAACTTCAATGTGAACTATTTGCTAATAAAACCTATATCTAGATTGCAGCAGATACCAGAGCTACCAGCGGACCCATAGTAGCAGATAAGGTACGATCAATGTAACATGTCGACGTTGATGCGGTACTCATTGCTATTAGAATTGCGAGAAACTCCATTATATCGCTCCCCAAATCTGGTGTGCCGGTGCAGGTACAGCTGCCGATACCGAATTTACAACCGCCCTCATCTCTTCACAACTCGAGCTTCACTCTTTATCGACAGGGCGCAAACCCCGGGTCGTTACCTGCATGACCATGCTCAAGCAACACTTGTTCAGACACCAAGGACACATTGGAGCATATCTTGTAGTGGCAGGCGTTGACCCTACAGGTGTTGGATTGTTCACAGTACATGCGCACGGAAGTACGGATAAGTTGCCTTATGTTACCATGGGAAGTGGCTCGCTTGCTGCGATGTCTGTGTTTGAGACTCAATGGAAGTCTAAGATGACGGAGGATGAAGCTGTTCAGTTGGCATCAAATGCTATTCAAGCTGGTATCTTCAACGATTTAGGTTCCGGATCGAATGTAGACGTGGCAATTATCACAAAGGATAAGACAACATTGAAGAGAGGTTTCGTTAAGCCAAACGAGAGAAGCAAGAAGCAGAAGAGCTACGTTTTCCCGAGAGGAACTACGGCAGTACTCAACGAAAAGATCATTACGAGGGAGGAGATTAGCAAGTATGTTACAGTACATGAGCTTGAGGGTGAGGCTGCGCTAGGGGAGAAGATGGACGTTGATGCTTGAGTTACGGAGGTTGTCTAGGACGGGATCTCCACTTGTATCAAAAGACTAAATTCAAGGAAAGATGCATCATAAATATCATGTAGCTTGAGGAAAATGCGTTCACGTTTTTAATGAAAAACATGATGGAAGCCAAGGCTGCATCATTTCAAATTTCTAATTATTGTGGTTGTGGTTGGAGTGAAGATGTGAATTCCTAGTGGGTAGATATCTATGTTACCACTACCCCCGCTAGCGCTTACATACCCCAAATTCGACTTACAGTACGTCCGTAAAATATATCAACCTCGATTTCGTCTTCTCAAGAAGGGTTCAAATGACTGGAAACGGCAATTCGACTACTGATTAATTCGAGCTAGGGGGTACTACAGCAAAGTTTTAGTGGTCTAGGCCCGGATAAGACTCCGAGTCGCGATTTTGAAATGATGGATTACTTCAACGAGCCAAACACAAACATTTCCAACAACTATTCTAATCCATCCAATCAACAAGAAAGGAGCCCCGACTCAATAGCACATAATACACTTCCATATATTCACTCGCCTCCTCAAAATCAAGCTGGCTCTGTGTCACCAGATGCCCCGGTAACTTCATATAATGCAGGTACATCGACGGGATCCGCACCACGCATTCGAAGAAGAAATCGTATGATTACATCATGTCTTGAATGTCGACGACGGAAACTCAAATGTAATAAATCACAACCATGCAGTAATTGTCTTAAATTCACTCGAGATTGTGTGTTTCTTGCACCGGCACTCGATCAGGCAAGTCAACTCAAACTTACCGAGATTAAAGAGAAAGTTGGCTCCTTGGAACGACTGCTAGAACGCGATGTAGCAAAATACTCAAATCTACCCGACTCTTCATCTCAGCGTATGGCATTACCTGATGATGTATATGATGATTTACCCCCAAACGAGGATGAAAAGGTACACTACGTTGATATCTAATCTATTTGATACACACTATTTCATGGTCATTAGCTAAATTACCACAGGATCTGGAGCCATCACCACTTGCATCAGTAGATGCGGCCTACGAGGTTGACGGAGATGATGACGACCTTCTTGATCTTGGAATTCAGATGGGTAAAATGAGAATTACAGAAAGAATTGGTGGATTGTTCCGCCCTAAAATCAGTCAAGAGGTGATATCCCATGATCATTCCACATTCTTTATCCTTGAAAGTGTCCTCACTTGCCATATATCTTTTCAGGTGGCAGACTAACTCGCAGTTGTACTATCGATATAGCTCTTCTGTCTACTGCCTCTTTCTCATCAACCTCAGGAGAACTAGGCTGTCAAGACGTTTTCGAGTGTTCTATTGAGCTGCTGTTTTTAAAGATAACATTTTATACTTTTTCTTTATTATCATAACCATACAAAAACTCCATTTTACTGCATCTTAATATTACTTCAGGATAGAGTTTGATTGGATAACTTGCTAACATCATTTGTAGCTTGAACATGCGATAAAAGATTCATATGTTGGGGGACAGCCGGATGTTCCCATTGGTTTAGCAACACTTCCACCAGCCCAGGAATGGTTGAAGCCTGGGCCAGCTTACATTGCACCCACATCAGGTTTCTTTTTCGGACAGGCTGGACAGCCGGCATCCCTCATAGACTTTCTTCCATCTCGGCTTGCTGCTGATAGGCTTGTTAAACAATTTTACATTGCTGTCCATCCCATCACACAAATTTTGCACCGTCCATCGTTTGAAAAAGAATACAAAACTTTTTGGGACGAAGTCTCATTGGGCATCGAACCCCCTAATTCTGTGCAGTCCATGGTCTTTGCGGTGATGTTTGCTGGTGTTGTTAGCATGGACCCTTCAGATATCATTCGTGACTTCGGCGTGGCAAAAGCCAACCTGATTGATAACTTCAGACTCGGAACTGAAACCGCATTGGGCCGGGCCAATTTCTTACGAACGACTAAGATTGAGACACTCCAGGCTTTTGTTTTATATTTAGTTCGTCGTCTAGCCCTCCCCAGAATCGTGTGATCTACCCATGCTAATAACGTTGAAAAGATCCCTCTTTGTCGAGCAGAGGTCTCTAGAGCCCACTCCGTACTCGTTGGGGCGGCAATTCGTATGGCTGAATGCATGGGTCTCCATCGCGATGGTGAGAATTACGGTCTCTCACCATTAGAGACCCATGTGCGTCGGCTTATCTGGCATCAGCTATGTTTTCTTGATATAAGAACCTGTGAAGCTCAAGGTCCGCGGCCTACTATTCGTCGGGACGATTTTGATACAAAATTGCCGCTAAACGTAGACGATAATGACCTACATGCTACTGGCGAACTTCCGCAGACCGCGGATCATTGGACAGATGCTACTTTTTCAATAATAAGATTCGAGATCAATGAAATGTACAGAATAATTTGGGTGGACAGGCCTCGAATTCAGATGCGAAAAATCAGTCTAACGGCTGTTCTTAACAAGATGGAGAAATTTCGACAAAATATGACTAGGTATGACAAGCTTGCGGATGATCGGATACCCATTCAAAAGTACGCCATGATCGTTAAGTCTCTCCTGCTTTCTCGAATGTATGTTATGCTACTTCACAGCTATCATAGTTCTACGCATCATCGCATGCCCGACCGTTTGAGGAAAGTTTCGATAACATCCGGCCTTCAGACTATGGAGAGTGCAATAGCTTTGGAGACAAGACCGGAGCTTCGACATTGGGAATGGTATACAGGGGCGTATCAACAATATCATACAGCCTTCCTTCTTCTGATGGAAGTATATGTTCATCCTCAGAGAAAGGAGGCAGATCAGATATGGTCTTGCCTCGACTATGTCTTCGAGTGTGACCCCTTCCAGCCGCGACTTAGCAAGGCAAGGAAAATTCTGTCTGAATTGCAACAGAAGACAGCTTTATATCAAAGTATGAGAGGTATGCGAGCACCAATGACTATGAACAAACATGTGGGCCACCAGCGACCCCCTAAGGCAACTTCGGAGGAAGCAGCTGTAGTAGTGAATCTTGAGCCATCTTCCTTTGGAAAACTACCATTATCTGACTCGGATGCAATGCTCTCTCGAATCTCGAATGAAGAACCTTGCGAGACTTCTTCAGGCAGACAGTCCAGTGAGGTGAGCAGTCCAGCTAGCATCATGGGACTGCAGATGATTTCTCAGCCACCAAGTATCAACGATGATATTATGGCCGACATAGATTGGGTACGTGATTCTCCCGATTCATCTTGTACTTATGCTAATTGAACATAGGACGCATTTGATGCGCTGTTTCCACCCGATCAAGAGCTCGATGGCCCGAATTTCCTTTTTCCAAGTACAGGGATCGGGTTATCAATGTGATCTGACCTAGTACATATATCATTAGCTATGTTTTGTACTTTCTGGAAAGCGTATACTCGAGTATTGTATCCATCATTTAGTACTGTTTTAGCGAGAACACTGTGCAATGAGTGTGTCAAATATCTAAAAGCATCGTTAGTTTTTCCATATAAGTATGTACGAGTAATGGGAAAATACCTTTTAATGCTTATGCCAGGTTGTTATAAAGTTAAGTAAACCTTTGGTACACTCATATATGTTCTTCTTTCTCGCTACTTTGAGATTTGATTTGGAGATAGTTAATACAAGTAAGATGTAATAATGCTCAAGTTCAGCCACAAAGAGGCGGAAACTGCCCCGCATCCTGGCCGTGACCCCGTTCGGCCAACAACATATCATATTCGCCATATGTATATAAGAATCACGCAATTGACCACACAGAGTAGATCTACAAATGAAACCAATTTTAATTACCGTCATTATGGTAAAAGGATCGTATAAGGTAAAATAATTAAAGATAAGTACTAGGTAGATATCATTTACTCTCTTTCGAAACTTGTTCTCCTTCTATCCTTCTATCCTTCTACATCAATTTCACTTCACACTTCATATCTTGATAACCTTTGAATAACTTCACTTCACTTCACTTCACTTCATATTAATCATTTGTTAATCACTTGAAAAAGACTACAAAAATGGCACCTTCACTTCTTGATACCCAACCTACAGCACCCCACCAACTTTCGTCTCCATCCCAAAAATCCATTGATCGCAAAGTCTTCCCAGATGGCATCAAAACTTCGGGTCAACATCCACCCCTCAATGATCACTTGAGACCATACTCTGATTTTCCAAAAGAAATCACCGGGGAGTCAGTATGGAAAGCAGAGGATTATATCAATAATCCAGAACGATGGGTACATGTCTTCAACGAGGAGGAAATCGCAGAGCTTAGTGTGGTAGCGGATAAGTTCATCGAGGATAAGACCCCCCTGACGGGTATTTCCCAGGTATGTTGTGCAATACTCAAGTGCTACTCGAGTACAAAATAGGCAATTGGTTGACTAATTCAATGCAGGACACCTTCCGTCTCACAAAACTCTATACTTTACTGAGATCGATTCGAAATGAAACTCTGAACGGAAAAGGTTTCATCCTCTTCAAAGGCTTTCCAGTCGAAAAATGGGGAAACCATAAATCTGCCGTCGCATACATGGGATTGGGAACATACCTTGGATACTTCGTTAGTCAAAATGGTCGAGGTCATGTTCTTGGACATGTCAAGGACCTTGGCGAAGATGCGACTCAGATTGATAGAGTTAGGATCTATAGAACAAATGCCAGGTACGTCAATATATCCATTCTCGTGCCACAATCAAAAGCTAACAACGTCAGACAATTCTTCCACGCCGATGACTCGGATATCGTTGGTCTTCTGTGCATCGCACGAGCACTCGAAGGTGGAGAATCTGATATCGTTTCTTCGCACCATGTCTGGAATACTTTGCAGAGAGAACGTCCCGATGTAGCAGAAACACTTACCAAACCCATCTGGTACTTTGATCGAAAGGGCGAAGTCAGTGTCGGTGAAGAGCCGTACATTAAGACCTCCGTCTTCTACCTCGAGACCGGAGCTAATGGTCGAGTATACTCAAAATGGGATCCATACTATGTGAAGTCACTCACTAGGTTTTCGGACGCAGGAACTATTCCACCTTTGTCTCCCGAACAAGTTGAAGCTGCTCAGGTTTTGGAAGATACTTGTCATCGATTGAGGTTGCATATGATCCTTGAGATTGGCGATATCCAATTCTTGAGTAACGAACATGTACTTCATGCTCGTACCGAATATAAAGATCATGCACCACCAGCACCAAGAAGACATCTTATGAGATTGTGGTTGGCAACACCGGAGAGTGAGGGAGGATGGAGGTTACCTTTCCATGACTCGGCGGAGAAGAAGAGAGGTGGTATTCAAGTAAATGATCAGGCTCCTGTTGCACCACTAGATGCAGAATAAATTTTTGGGGTTACCAGTGTTATTATAGATAGGATATAGTGTCATCAATGACCAAAAAAAAGCAGATTTGAATGAACAGAACCACCGTCTAAAGAATTCTGATTAGCTGTACTCAGATACCCAAGCCTTTGTCACATACTGTAGAGATAATAATTCTTCCGCCATCTTCATTTTCCTCCCTCTCCCTTACATTACCTCACAAAGCTCAACACCACCCCTCCTCTCAACCTTCTTCTTCTTCACTTCCCTCTTCCTTGGTTCCGGCACCGAATCCGGCGGGCCAAACCACTATCACCGCCCACATCATCAGCTTCATTCAATCCATTCCATCTATCCTATCCATTCATTCATCCCGCATTCCCCACTCAAACCCCCTTTCCCTCTCCCCAACACCCACCCATCTCAAACAACCCTCCCTCCCCCTCCAAAAAAAAAAAAAAAAACGAACTCACCGATCCACCCACCCTACACTCCTCCACCATCTTCACCAAATTCCTATCATAAAACCCCGCATAATCATGTCTCGGACACTTATTCCTCACCACCCTTATAACATTCGGTCCTGGGATTCTTAGAGCATTGGAGGCGAAGATTGGACAGTTGAGGAGACCGGCGTTCCAGGTGCAGGGTTGGGCGATTTGTATCCATTGGCATGGTTGCTTTTTCGCGTTTTCTTTGTTTTTGTGGGAGTGGGAGTCGGAGTGGGAGTCGGAATGAGAGTGGTGGTGGCAGGTGGAGGATTGGTAGAAGGTGTATTTGCACATTTCTGGGATGTGGATTGCTGGATGCTGGATGCTGGATGCTGGATGCTGTATGATTTGGGTGGGACTTGTGGTTTGTGGTTCGTGGTGATGGAGTGGAAGTTATTGATACTTTCTTGAGCTTAGTAAATTCGGGGGCGATATTGAGAAGTGCGGTTTCGAAGGAGGCATTCAGGAGAGTGAATGAATTAGGAAACCGTAACTGCAAACCTCTTGCTTTCTGCGATGATTCACACAGAGGGGAAAGGCGAAAGTGAATTGTACAATTCATACTTTGATATTCACATCACATTTCCTCAGATGAGAACCATGAACTATGTGTATATTTCATATCATCATCGGGAAGCAACGCTGGACCTCCAACGCAATACCCCATTCCAAACTCCGCACATCCCATGTATAAATATGTACATATAGTACAAGCCCGACCATCTATAAGTTCACAGCTGTTCGGGTGCAGAATTCTCGCCACTTTCCTCTAATTGCTTCTTTCGTATCGCTTGCATGAGCTCATACATTTGCCCCAATTGCTGATCTAAACTTCTCATTAGCATCCTGTTCTCACCTACCTCTCATAAGAGACATACCACTCATCTTATCAATCTTCTCTTTATCCATGCGTTCCCCAATCCAACTCTCCCCCTCGAGCTTCTGTGCATACATCTGCCACTCCGTTAAGAAGCCAATCTACTTCCCAATCAGCTCTCAATTCATTCCAAACAATCTGCAAATACTGCCCCTCCTCTGAGGAACTTGACTCACAATATGCACCGGATTTTCCACCTCCCTATGCTGTCTAAACTCATTCTTGATATACTCATCCCCCAATAACCTCATCTCCCGCGGCAAATGTTTCCTATGCGCCCTAAACAACCTTCTATACAATGGAATCGGAGGCAACAAAGCCATCGGCGCAGGCCTAAACCCCTTTCCAGTACCTGCCGCCGAAGGCGATGCATATAATAATCGTAGAGAAAGCTTCATCTTGTAATATGATTGTCAATTGAAAAATCTGGGGAAACAAATATCGTGAAGTCCATTGATTGTTCCATGATGATGACTTTCGGCAAATCAATCAAATGCAGCACTTTCCCCGCCAAGTTTCAACTTTTCAGCCTTGTCACCCAAAAGTTTTGTAAGGTTTTGTTGCACGTCTATGGCAACTTTCAAATCTGGGGCTTTTTGGAAAAGTACAATTTTTATTGCAGATTTGAAAAGAGGAAGCTTTTGCGATCTCGAAAAAAACTGTCCCGGGGATTTTGCAAGAGAACTTGTTGAACAGGGGCTCCGGGCGTTTTGAGCTTTTTGGAGCTTCCTTTGTTTACTTTGCAATTGCAGCCTTCCATACATTCACTTGCTCGCACCCTGTTGCGACAACAAGGTAAAGAAAGATGCTTCCCACTCCCGATACCTCGCATGTATCTTTCGATCGAATCTACGAACCTGCCGAGGATTCCTTCTTACTCCTCGATACTCTATCCTCTCCCAGCGAAAAAGATTTTCTGCGTCAGCGATTCCCTCGAAAGGAACAAATTTCGATATCACCCTCTCCATTTGTGGTAGAGATTGGCACCGGGTCGGGAGTCGTTCTCTCCTTCGTGCATGCACACGCGGAAATTATATTTGGCAGAGCGGATATCCTTACGGCTGGCGTGGATGTAAATCGTTATGCATGCGAGGCTACGCAGGAAACAGTGAGGGTAGCGGAGAAAGAGCAGACTTCACAGGATTTACCACACGGGTCATATCTAGGGAATGTGGTAGGAAATTTGGGGACTTGTTTGAAAGCTGGCATGGTTGATGTATTGGTCTTCAATCCGCCATATGTGCCAAGCCCGGACGTGCCAGTACCGGAGCTGTCTGGAGCGGGAAATGAGGATGGGTCAGTAACATATGAAGGGGATTCGAAATTACTGGCATTATCGTACGCGGGTGGAATGGATGGCATGGAAATTACCAACCGATTGATCGATGCATTGCCAGAGGTTCTAAATAAGGAGAGAGGTTGTGCATATATCTTACTCTGTGCGCAGAATAAGCCCGAAGATGTTAAACGACGTATACATGAATTTGGACATGAGTGGAAAGTGGAAACTGTCAGAAATAGTGGGAAGGTTGGAGGATGGGAAAAATTGCAAATTGTTAGAATTTGGCGTGTGCCACCTAGCACCTCCTGAAATCAACGTAACTAGCACTCCTCTATAGTGTTGTGATCCAGTAAAGAAAGCTCGTATGTATTCCAAAGCCCACGGACAAAGGCGTCCCTTTACTCGTTCGTAAGTGATCGATTTAGCTGCTTTGCATAAGCTACTCAAAACGCCAATATTCCCACAAGCTGTGCATGCACGGCACTCTCTTTCTCCTGGCCCATCTCCCAGCTATATAGCCAAGTAGAGTGGATGTTCTCAATATAACCATTCACCTTCGAATATCTGGTCCTGTCGCCATTACCGGTATGATGATCATCGAATCTTCCAGCCACCCATTCTACCCATTCTACCCAATCCTTAAAATCCTCTTCCACCGCCGCCTCGGCCCCGTCCTCCTCTGAATCCACCACCATCACCGCCGCCTCCTCTACCGCCTCCTCTACCACCGCCTCCTCTACCTCCACCTCCACCTCGTCCACCTCGGGGACCTCCTCTACCGCCTCTATCGGCAGTACCTGTAACTTCCTTTCTAGCCTTGTTCTTTGGCTTTGGTGCATCGTCTATCAACAATGTATCGAGCGGTAACGAATCAGGCAGAATGTAATAACGGATTGTGGAACCTCTTAGGTTGATGGTATCGAGTGAGAGAGATGTGCCATTCTTAGGGGTCATCTTGACGGTGCGGAGAGCGGTATTCATCTGCGGGGAGACGGAAGTTATGGTACCGTGGATAATTGTGCCTGTGGTATACTTGTTAATGAGGTTGTTCCTGAAGACGGAAGAAGCAAGTATGAAATATATAGGATGTATACCATTTTTGAGTTCAATCGTGACCGTTTCGTTCGCACATTTCATGAGAAACCTACCATGGAAGGAGAAAGTCAGTCAGGAGATTCAGGTGAGAGCCTTGAGAAAGAATTTGAGCTCAGCGCGTGCTATTTAGAGGCTTTCTGGTGATGGGCAAAAGCTTACCTGACGAGCTTCATGATGCCGGTTTTCTTGTTGATGTAAATTGATTTTGAAGAGTTGACGTGGTGGTTGAGGGTGGATCGTGAGGCTGATTGATGCGCCTACACACAAATAAAGTATTTGAAGCTTTTGTCGCGAGGTTGAAATCGCGTTTTACGCCTGAGATATGAGGCCACAATCTACTCGCTATAAGTCCAGTGACGGAGCTCAAAGTTGGAGGGGTAATGAATGAAGGGGAAGGTTTGTAATAATGCAAAACGAAAATGGAATATGGTTCTTTATGGTATCAATGCTTTTGGTATGGATAGTGTGTTGTATAAATGTCAAAACTTGTACTTCCAAATACACCAAAGATTCATGATCCTTTAATCGGCTGGGTATTTCCTGATACTCCCTTCCTTCCACCCGAAGGGTACTTATATTATAGCACCCCTCCAAGAACTCGTTCCCGCGATGTTTATTTATCCTTTTCATTCTCACTAACTTTCTCCCACTCATCCTCCGTGCTAGCCTCACTCTTGTTTCCTCCTCCAACAGAATTCGACCTATCCTTCAACTCTCCTTTCATTTCCAACACCTCAATATCCTTGCTCCCGGGCGGGCCTTCCTCATCAACAACAGTCTCCGCCTCAGTATCACTGCCATCTCCTCCAGCTCCCCCTTCTGTCTTCTTTCGTGCTTCCTCTTCATCTTTCACACTCTTCAGCTCCGTAGCGAACCAATTTATAGCCCACCATAACCCGGCGCATAGGAACGATAGAACCACAAAATGGATGCTGTACGTAGCGACCAAAAGGAGTAAGAACACGAGTTGTAGAGCTGCGAATGTGACGTTGGTCGCAACAAGGAGGACGGGAGTGGGACCGGGTGTGAAGACGGATTCCCAGAGGGCAACAAAGAATTCTCCTGCCATGACTTGCTATTTCTATTTCTGCTCCTGGTATCTTTCCCTTGACAATGTAGTGGTTTTTTCGTAGCGATGGATTTCAAGGTGATTTTAGATGTCTTTCAGAGGAGAATATTCGTTGCGGAAAAGAGAAGATACTAGATAATAAAGTGATTAGTGAAATGGCATTCATCTATTTTTATAATACCCCTCACCTTCCTGCTTCAGACGAAATGACGCAAACCTCGTACGCTTTTGCTGAATATTTCACAACCACGTATCCTGAAGGTTTTTCTGCCTGATGGGAAAACTTTGAAAGGGACAGATCACAAATTCATGAGTTTCGCGAATTTAATGTTAATGAAGAGAAAGAAAAATGCAAGATGTACCATTCAGAAGCTTGACAACGCGACGCCCCTCTATTCTGCCTGTTCTCGGCTTTTTAGAGACACACCAACACCTACCCACCCACCTTAGAGATACAGTTGAATGATCCGATGGATGCCTTGCGATTGAGGTTTGAACAGCTACTACGGTAACATTTCAACAAAAATTGCTTCAAATTATATGTTATTATTATTATTATTATTATTAGTATTATTCATACAAGTGAGGATATATTATTTCCTTGTATTAATATGGTTTTAATGAGTGTTTTCATGCGATGCACAGGTTATACAGCATGAATGGAGGCAGTCTAACATTGTCATTGGCTCCTACCGAGCTACTACGCGCGTGTGTCGCGACATTAGCCATTCCAAAACTCTATGGTCTATCTGATGTCAGCATCATGTCAATATCAAGCTCTCGCATATATTTGCAAGCACTCAAACATATCTTGGATACGTCAAGGCGACATCAAGGCGGCAGCAAACTTACATTCGTCACATTCAATTGGCCTTTTCGAAGTCCAAGCGGAACTCATATATTAGGATGTCAAGGATGATATTTTAATTCTTACCATGCAAATCGTTTGAGTATCTGCTGCCCGCACGAGCTGACATTACTGCTACACAAATTTGACAAGCCAGCTCGACGTGTCGTTCCTATTCTTGGCGCCAAGCATAACGACCTCAAACCGCTAGTTTCCCCTTTTCAACGTGAATAACCTCGTTCTTCTCGACTCCTCCAGTGCAGATAAAACTGAAAGAACCTCTGAGCATACGTTTAGAGACGGGTACGGCTTCAAAAACATTTTTGCTCCGGATGAAGATTTGATCAACCTCTTCGAGATGACGTCCATTAGTTTCTGGAAAGAAAAAGTATACACCTATCGCTAAGGTTAGCATTGGATGCCCCTATGCGGCTACTCGTTAGATGAGTACTCACCGGGAAGTATGAGGAAGAAGTTGATACATGCATATATAATGTAGTATCTCCATCCTATAGTAGCGAATCCGACTGGTGTTATTTCGGCCACAGTGAAGTTGAAAATCCATGCACTTCCTAGAACCTTCCATCAGTACAGACTCAGACAGAGGGTTTTGTGTCATAGATGTACCTGTTGACATAGCAGTGATAGGAACTCTGACGCTCAGCGGCGCGATCTCCGAAGCATACAAGAAAGTCAGTCCCAGAAATCCAGTCGGAAAGAATAATGAAAACATGAAGATGAAGACTGCAGCGACAATCACACAAGACGTATTGGTTATTTGCGAAGAAGTCCCCGCAATAATCGCCATGCAAGATCCCATTCCAAAGGCCGCAAACATCATCAGCTTTCTCCTTCCAAATCGATCAACTGTCAAAACTCCTATTGGTGAACAAAAGGTCTGCCAAGTAAAGACACAAGCACTCAAAATTCGAGCTGTCTGTGCTGATAGTCCCAAGCCCACCTCGAAGATCGTAGCTTGATAAAAAGCGAGAGCGTTTATTCCACTCAATTGTTGGAACATTTGGCCGCATACTGCAAGACAAGCTCTGTGGAAAAGACGCTCGTCGCCCATGCGGAAGATATCACGGAATGAGCCTTTACCGGTTAATAGAAGCCCTTCTTCAATCTCTGTTATATCGGCATGTACTTGAGCTGAATCTATAGGCATATCGTCTAAAGCTGCTAGAACTTCTCGTGCTTCTTCTATGCGCCCTTTTTTGATCAACCAACGGGGGGATTCTGGCATATGCGGTGTGGTTATTAAAACGACAATTGACCACAAGATGGAGAGAGCTAGTGGAAAACGCCAAGTGACTCCTCCGGTGGAATGAGACAATCCAAAGTTCACCCACTGATTCAAGTCAGTCTCTGCTGCTTCTTTGGCCCATGGTGATTAAGGAGTAATATGACTGCTGCGAAAAAGAGAAAAGGGTGACCAACAGCAGCAGTTGCTAACCCTGCACTGATAAACAAGCCTTCAAGAAGCACCACGCAGCCACGATGTTGCGCTTTAGAACATTCGGATTGCCAATTTGGAGCGGTTGCTGTTAAAGCACCAAAACCTAAGCCGGAAACAAGACGTCCAACGATCAACTGGCCAAGAGAATAGGATGAAGACTGAAGGATAGCCCCAACTATATTGATAGCTGCTCCAAGCATGATTGTTCGTTTGCGACCTAGGGTATCGCCGATCCTTATACAGGATAAGGCACCAAGAAAGCATCCCAGGGTATACAGAGCAACGACTGTTCCCTTGGAGGAGTTAGCAAGCGACAGTGTATTTTGTCGAAAAGAGTTCCTTTAACTGACCTGCAATCTAGAATTTTGGGTTTTCTGAGTACCCGTGACAGTAATGGTGTTGAGCTGTGGAAAAGTTTCAATCCAGGCACGCAGACTAAGTAGTCCACCAGCGACCTATTGAGCTCAGTATCGCTAGATCTTCTTCTAGGGTTTGCTGTCCCGAATGGGAAGTGACAGTACTTACTGCATTGTTGTACCCAAACCTACAAAATAGTAGCGTCAGCAAACACACATCTTTTGATTCTCTTTCCGCAAATACTTACAGGATGTAAGCAGGCATGATTACGGCCCAGATCATTGCACGATGTAGCGCCTGACCTCGAAGACCAAAGAATTTCGCCATACTTTCCGGCAACGATAGGTAATATGAAGCAACGATTAGAGGAATTCGAGTAGAAAGAATGCGAGTACAGGTAAGAATAAGTGTAGGTAAGAAGAGTGTTCAGGAAGGTCAGCAAGTTTCCAACCATCTGTTGGTTACGACGATGACACTTTATACCTCAGAAGATGTCGACCCTTCCTAAATGGTTGCCTTATGAAGATAAACTTCACTGTCGCTTGTTGACAGTCAATGGCTTGATACCCGTATACCGGTATTGTTGTTTCCAAGGGAGCTACGTAGTGTCCTGACCGGCATATGTACATCCGGAAGAAAACTTTCACATTCAAAGGCACACCTCTAGTCAGCTCATTGACGTGGAAGTGCATCGTTTAGTCTTTCAAATCTTATCACAGTGGAATTATGAAGGACTGTGAGGAGTTCCTTCCATATGTGCTGCTTGACCCCGCGCCTTCCATTTTGAGGGATTTTCAACGAGTTTGAAGCACACCAGATCCTCTCCCATACTCTATCGCATCACAGATAACATATTTGAAGCTCATTGAAGCCAATAACATTAGTGCTATTTGAAGTAGCAAATTAGTGGGTGTGGAAGAATATGCATACAACATGTAAAGCATTAATCGATGAACAGTTCCCAAACTTGGAACAAGCTTGCCTGTTTACCTCCTTGCCCACCCACCAATCATATTTTGCACCAATTCGACAATTTCCCCGCATGTCAATGCGGTTCGATTTAATCCCGGCCGAGAAACGTCACTTGGCCACATACATCAAGATTTAAGGGTCCTGTCCACCCTTTGAGATACCGTATGGAATACGGAACTGTTTTTTCGTCCAAGGGGAACTCTTGAAGGAAGGAATAACCTCGATACATTACACCTCGCCATTCTATTCTACCATCTACTACACACCTATCTTCAAATTTCGTATAACTATATATTCATCAGGTTTTGAATTTTGTCATACAGTCTAGATAGATAATATCGTTTTCGCTCAAGGACCGATTAAACCGTTTGTACCTCTTTCTTTCTCTACGTCCGAGATATCTCCGCCGTTGTTTTAAAAAGATCAACTTCAAATGGCTACAGCATATCTGTCATCATGGGCACATGGTCTGAAATATTCCGATTTACCACCTGACGTATCCAAGCTGCTGTGCGAAGCTTCTATAACTGGGCCGGATGTGCTATTGGTGGAAGTAACCATCCAGCAACTACTATAGCTGTAAGTTTCTATCCCTACGTCCGCTGAATACATCGTACTGAATCTCTATGAAAGTATACTTCTCTATCTCCATTCTTTGGTACTCCCTCGGCGTCTTTCCTTGGTCACAAAGGATCTCGTCGTGTTGACGCACAGCATGCGGCGTTATTGAACGGGATAGCATCCCACGTGCACGATTACGATGATACAATCCTTGATACAATCATTCATCCCACAGGTCCAATAGCTAGTGCGCTTCTCGCAGTTGCAGAATGGAAAGGTGGCTTCTCGGGGAAAGAATTCCTGCTCGCCTTGATCGTTGGTATCGAAGCAGAATTCAAAGTAGGACTAGCCGTTTGGCCAGAACATTACGATGTAGGATGGCACATTACATCCACGACAGGTTCCATTGGAGCTGCAGCAGCTGTTGCGAAACTATTCGATCTTCCCATCGATCAGACAACGCACGCATTGGGAATTGCTGCAACACAAGTTGTTGGCTTGAGGGAAATGTTTGGGTCTCACACCAAGTCTTTCCATCCCGGCCGTGCAGCGCAAAACGGTATCATGGCTGCGGTGTTGGCCCAGGGAGGTTACACGAGTAGTGAACAAGCTCTAGAAGCTACGAGAGGCTGGGCAAACATTGTAGGTGTTACAAAGTCAGATGTTGGAGAGAGTCTAGCGAAATGGTTAGGGACTAGTGATGCGAATGAGAGTTTCTTTGGTCTGCCTACGACAGAACATCCTGGGAGATGGGAAATCCTAAGGAATAGTATTTATTAAAAAAAAGGAAAAAAAGTTTCAAGCCATTTCCATGTGAAATTGTCATTCATCCTATTATTGATACTTGCTCGCAGCTTCATCGTGAAATGAAGGATAATGGGTTCACTGCTAAGGATATCAAATCTATCCGTGCACATGTTCATCCTCTCGTTCTAGAGCTTACTGGTAAAAAGAAGCCCAGAGATGGACAGGAAGGTAAATTTAGTGTCTATCATGGAGCTGCGATTGGCATTCTATATGGAAAAGGGACTCCAAGTCAGTACGAGGATCGTGTGGTCCAGAGCGAAGAAGTCATCTCTATCCGCGACAAAGTCGAAGCTGTAGCTGATAGTAATTTGGGAGCCGATGAAGCAATAATAATGATCGTATGGGAGAATGGGAAAGAACTTCAAAAACATGTCAAACATGCAGTTGGAAGTTTGGAGGTACCGATGGACGATAAAATGCTACAGCAGAAGTTCGAGAATCAATGCGTTGGTGTTCTAGGCGAGTCCGTGAAGGAGGTAAGCGATGCTTGCTGGAGCATTGAGTACGCCAAAGACGTTGCAGATATTGCCAGAAGTATTTGAGACATTTTTCTCTCGATAAGACCATAGAGTGTGCCTTCTATCACGTACTAGAAGATGTTGCCAGGTTGCTGAAAGGACGTCGAGGACTGTCTTAATAATTATGAAATGTCAGATCATCTTTGACTGTAGTTTAACATTGTTCATTATTCTCGAATCTAGAGGCAAGGTCTCGAACTTGATACACTCGAATTTCTCGAAAGGCAGGAAATCCTGTATTCAGACAAAGATTTCTCGAATAATTCTCGAATCTCATTGATTTCCTTGGTCACTTTCTACTCCATATATAAGATCATCATTTCTACATGTTCCAATCTCACAAGAACTTCAGATCGTCATACTTCTACATATCGTACTTCTACTCATCAGAAATGTCATCTTCGACCAACAAAAATGTACAAAACGATACTCCCCTTTCCTCGTCCGGAGAAAGCGCAAATAATACCCTGTCCCTTCCAGTCCAAACACCTTTCACCACAGGAGGCCTCCAACATCAAAATGAAACCTCCAGTCCAACCCAAGCTCTTCCTTTCAACACAAATTCCACCACCAGCGACAATTTCCAGCACGAAAATCAACTCATCCATGCACAGGAACTCGGGTGGGGTACACCACTAGAGAGACATCGGGTCATAGCCCAGTTGTATGCGAATGAAAGACAGCGAGTTCGCGTGGAGCAACGTGCTGCAGATTTGAAAGAGGAACTTGATGTTGAGAGGAAGAAAACTGATAAGCTCCGGGCGGATTTGAGAAAGCTTGAGATATTATTTATTCGACTGAAGGAAATTGTCAGAGGGTTGAGTGGAGTGCTATGGTGATAATTTGGGGGGATAGTCAAAGTGCTTTATTGGAGGAATCGTTGAAGGACAAGGAGTTGTGGATAGTGAATGGATGGGCATAGGAAGATTTTGGGAATAGAATGAATGTACGGGTTGATTGTTAGAGTCTGGCTTAGGGAATTACAGTATCTGAATTTTCGACTGTTGTTTGGGATGTGATAATTGTTTTGATAATGCCTGAGCTCCAATATGTGAGTGTGATTGTTTCCGACGTTATGTTACGCTATGCGTACTTCCAATTTCAATACATTCCTTCAAGAGTGCTTCTCTCTCCACAGTTACTATTCCATATCCTAAACTAAACGCCTGGAGTGCCCTTTATATATACTCGGATATATCACCCGAAACCCATATCCCAATTCATCTTTCAAAACTAGGAGGTAGCACTGTCCCCCCCTACATCTCAAACACCCACCACCGGCTGAGATAATTTCCTGTCCCCCCTCCCCTTCCCCCAAGATCTCATCTCATCTCCTCCCACCCCACCCATTCCCACCACCCCGCACACTTCTCCGGCTTCAAGTTCCTATTCCCAACCCACCTCTCTACTATCCAAAACATCACATAATGTTTCCTTTCGTCTGTCTTTCCTCCTTTCCCCTTCCCCTTCAACGCCCTCTCCATCCCCCTCTATAAATAACCATAACACTATTCGTCTATTCATTACAGTTACAGTCAAAAACCTTATATCTTCCTTCCTTCCGATCCCTAATTAGTAACACCAATTCACTCTGTTTCTTTCTTTCTATATTTCTAAGACTTACATTTCTCTTTTAGTATAGTGAACAGTAATCTTCTACTTCCACTTCCACTTCCAATTCCAATTCCAATTCCTCGCTGATTTCTAGATGTAACTCACTTACTTACAGATATATCATATATCATATATTCCGAAGATGAAGATAGATGAAAATAGAAGGGTATAGAATAGACTCAATAGAGAGAGTATCCTTGACTCTGGTACTTCTTATTGACTTCATGTTTACATTAGGAAGTATGGAGAAATATAGAGAGATACCTCCAGGTTACCTACCTACCTGACTACCATAACTAACTCATTTTTGGAGAAAACACTTTACTTTTTACTTTTCATTCAGTACATCAGCATTAATATCAACATCAATATCGGCATCAGCATCAGCATCGGCATGCGCAGACAGAAGACTGAAGATACTTGAAGTGCCAATTTTTCCACAGTTATTCGTTCTGTAGATGAGGATGATCAAGCTATCGGATGAGTTGGAAAGAAAAGGAAAGGAAAGGAAAGGAAAGGAAAAGAAAGGGAAGGAGAAAGGAGATTGAGAAGAATGCTGAAGCGACGCGAGAGAAAAAGATTTGAATATGACTCGTTCACTGGCTGGATCAGATTATTACGAAAAGATTTTCGATATTCCTAGTTTCATTTTTATAATCATATATTCGTTACGCTGCGTATATCCATATCCAAGTTAAGTGTGACCAACCAATTCTCCATCCAAAACAATGCTTAATATCATATCATAATATACCTCATCACTTCATCATCATCATCATCATCATCATCATATTCCATGTTCAACCCTAACATCATGCCTTTCCCCCCCTAGCCAACCCAACCCCCCCTCCTAGACCCGAACTTCACAAAGTTCCCCCCACCGAATCCCATGCACGCCCCTCGGAATCCCCAACGCGGCCGCCGTCCACCCCGCCAAACTCATTTCCGTCAGCCACGCCAACCCCATCTTAACCCAGCCATCCCTCCTCCCCCACACCATCGTCTCCCCCACCGTCGCAAACCCATTTAGCACAAAGAACATGCCGATGCGAAAAAGCGCTTTGTCGGTTACCATGGGCTTCAATGCGTACACATGAAAAAGCGCCATTAGGAAAAATGCCGCGAGAATCCCCGCCGATCGGGCTACTGGGATGGGCACTCCTAGTTTTGGGAGGGTTTGCCGGAGGGGATCGTAGGCGAGTGAGGCGCAGGGGGCTGAAAATACATTGTGCCATGTTTTTGACCTTTGATGTGTTAGTTTCATTTTCCTTCCCATTACATTATATTATGCAATCTTCAGATCTCAAAAATCATATAACGTGACATGACATACCAAAAACCCCCCAAACTCTCCACCGAATACAATCTCCCGAAAAGCGCGGGACTACTTTTATATCTCACCAATAACTGTATACCAGTCCAGATCATATAAATACTCAATTGCACCTCAAAAGCCAAGACCAGCGCCCAGTCCTGCGGAAGCACTTGCAGGGCACCGAAAATTGCCATGTGGATTGCGAATTGCAGGGGTTCGTTGAACGTTTCCTGCGATCGGGACACGCGGATGAACTTGGGGCTGAAGGATTCATAGCGCATTTCGGTGAGCAGGAGAAGTGCGTGTTTGTAGGTTGGAGGGTTGGTTTTGAGTTGGGGGAGTGAGAGATGTCGGGCATAGATGTCTAGGAGTTTGAGGGTGCCGATTGCAACTGGAGATGGTTAGTATAATTTGAACTCTTTTCCTGTCTACTTTTTGGGGTCTTATATGAGTGATGGGTTATATGTAAAATCTTACCAGCGAAATTCCTCAGTGCACCCACGGGACCACAAGAAATGGGATTCATCCAACCACTCAGCCAAAATGCCGCCAGCGATAACGCCGATAGTTTCTTGTACATGCCATATTGTCTTTTGAGCAAAAAGTATATAGAGAAGTAGAGCAACTCGGTAGGTATCACCAGAAAAGCAGTAGCTCTAATGGTCTCGTGACCCAGCCGTTTGAAAGCCGGGGAGATGGTGGTGGGAGGAATTGAGAAATGGAGAGGAGGTGTTGCATTCATTTTGCTATGATTTATATTTCCTCTTCACCTTTTGAGGGATAGGATAGGTATAGATAGATACGTCGCCGGACGGTTGGGATGTGGTTTCTGGTGTTTAAGTATCAAGATACTTGGATTCTCGTGATCGCTGTTTCTGTTTCTGTTTCTGTTCCTGTTCCTGTGTCCCAAACTCGATCCCAAGGAATCCAATGTTTCAAGTTTCTTCCAACAAGAGTATATGTCTTTTGAATGTCTTCCCAAAAATATGATGATATGATATGATATGATATCTTTGAAATTACCAATCAATCGGATATATATGGATATATATACTTGTACAAACAATAATTTGTAATTCTACAATAATGTTTGTTCACTCAAGCTCAGCTCGGAACATTCGGATCGGAAACCTCTTACTTTTTCGCTGGGTTGAGGCGGGGGATACCTCCGCGGAACGGAAGAAAGAATGTATGTGTACAAGTATGTATTGCCCGAACCCGAACTAGTAGTTAAGTTGATGTATAAAGCTATCGAATACAAAGACTTTTAACTTGTCATCTAAGTAATGAATAAATAAATGCTATACTATAATATAGTGACTAATTAATAATACTCAAGCATAAATATCCCCTCCCCCCTCTACTAATTTTTCTCTTCCTCTTTCCAAAAAAAAAAAAAAACAACTCACCACATCGTGACTCGCGAACCCGAGTACACATATTACTTTGTAAGCGACCAAACCAGCCGCCCTGTTTAGCTACCGGCATTAGTCCGATGGTAATGGTACGAGAATGCATTCCGATGATTGGTTAAAAATAAGAGGGCTGGTTTAGTTGACCCGTCATCATGCTTTCCGGATAAGCGGCTTATATCCGATGGAAATAACTGTGATCCATTCATCCCATCTTGAAGATGTTATATACTTGATATTTGATCATTGATGTGACTAGGTAACCACCATCTAATCTAGTCTTTTTTCCATATTTTTATATCAAAATAACATGGTATAATAAGTTGAGTTCTTCTATTCCTATCTCGAATATGAGTACTATGAATTCTACAAAAACGCTTCAATCCTGTTTATCATCATCATCCACTGACCCCCCCCTCCTCCCTTCATTTTCATTTCCAACCCCCCTCATGCCAAATCAACCCTAACCAAACCTAACCAGATTTGAGCAACAATAGAAGCCGCTTCAGTAAAAACTCCAACTCATGCACGAATGCAGTTGCCACTTAAAACGCTTCCTGTAAATCCGCTGCAACGCCTTCGTTTCCTCATGTACACATTGAACCCCCTTTCTAATAAAACACGCGCGTATAAATATTCGGCAAATCAATAGATTACAAAGTTTGTTTTGTTTTGTTTGGATCATTCCCAATCGAACCAACCACCTCATCATCTAGCTCTATGCCGATTTCGATGGTCTTTCCCCTTCTTACTCTTCTTCTTGTCCCTTGGCAACTCGATGGGTGCGTTTGCCAGTTGAACAGACATGGATTTCAACATGTAATCATCCATTGAACCGATTGGTTGTCCCCAAGCATTGACTTCATCTTCGTCAATATCCATTAGGTCTTCGATTGTGGGGGTTCCATCAGCACCAGGAGTTGGCACACCATCTGCAGGCGTTCCTGCGCCACCTGGAGTAGCAGAGGCCGCGGCCGCATTTTCATCAAAATCGGCGGCGTCGGTCTGGACGACTTCTCGTTCGGCAACTCTAGCTGCGGCGACATCTTCGCGATCTTCGGCTTGAGCAAAAACACGTCGAACATCTTTGTCGCTATCAGGCCCACCCAAGACTCGATCCATGGCTGCATTTGCTGCTGCGTCACCGTCCATAAGACTAGATTCTTCCTCTCCAATGACTTCTTGTACCTTCATCTTGTCAAAGTAATCCGTAGTGAATTCACCTTCTTGTATAACGACATCATCAAGCATACGTTTTTGATTTGCTTTGCGCAAGATGTTAGCTTCGATCGTATGCTCTGAGACGAGGCGATAGATATGAACATCTCGTGTTTGTCCGATACGATGACAACGATCTTGACATTGCTTGTCCATTGCTGGATTCCAATCCAAGTCGTAGAAGATAACAGTATCCGCGCCCGTCAAATTGATACCTAGACCACCGGAACGACTGGATAAAATGAAAGCCAGAATTCGATCATCATTGTTGAATCGATCCGTAAGGATTTGTCGTTGCTCAATCTTGGTGGCGCCGTCAAGTCGTAGATATTTGTGTCCATGGATATTAAGAAATTGCTCAAGAATATCGAGCACCTTTGTCATTTGAGTGAAAATCAGTGCTCGGTGCCCTCCAGCTTGTAATTTACGTAGTAATTTGTCTAGAGTTTGCAATTTACCACAGTCATATTGCAACAGACGTTTGTCGGGAAATTGAATGGACAGTCTCATGCGTGCCTCATGGAATGGATCTGTTTCTCGAGTGGCGACGGTGCTTTGGAAGGTGCTAACACCTCTAGGTGTGAACAGAACCGAGTTCATATCTCGCGCCACTACAGGCGGCGTCACACAAGCGAATTTCTGAATGGTTGTATGTAAAGCTTCAGATCGTGATGTGAATGTCGGAACCATTGAATTCATAATCGGTGAAGAATTCTCTAACCATTCTATCAACTTGGTTCGTTGTTTAGGTCTAGCTTGTAGTGGACGCTGGTCAAGACGAAGATCTAGACGTTCAATGAGAGAACTGCCGTAGATAGGTTTCTGTTGTCGCCGGAGAGCATTAAGATATACGCAATGCTGAAGTTCTTCAAACCGTCCCCACCTAGAAGCACTTTCTAAATACACCAAGTTTGATTTGACTGTCGATGGGTCGAGGTTTGTGAACGCATTCTGGGCTCTTGTACGTTGGGCCTCCCTCATTACTTCTAGAGCACGCCGGGCACTGAGCCTGTTGATTTCCAAAGCTAGTACGCCAGATAAAGATTCATGCTTCGCTGGGACAAGATTCAAGAAATCCAAGCTAACTTCAGTCATAGATTCCCGACGGAACATCTTCCTACGAACCAGAAGATCTTTGACCCCAAAATCGGTAACGGCAGACTTTTCCATTGGAAAAGAAGTCATGATAGGTCGATCGAGAAAGAGATCCGGATGATTACAAACCTTTCGTAATTGCATCAAACAGTTGATGATGGAAAGATAATTACCCGATGCGAGGGTATCTCTGGTATCATTTCGACTTAGAAAGCTATCGTAAAGCTCACGCTGTCTTTTGGACAAACGGCAGAACTCAACGTGCTCATATTTTCCGGGCATTTGCTTTTCGACATCTGCTTTCAGTCGCCGGAGGAGGTAAGGCCTGAGAACCTTGTGGAGTTTGCTAATGATTGCCTTGGACTCATCGTCCATTTGATCCCTACCATGCTCCAAGATTTGTTCGGTCGGCTTCTTGAACCAGTCCTGGAACTCTTTCAGATTTGCAAAGCCACCAACACCTTGCTCGCTCCCATCTGAAGGCATCAAGAAGTAGAGCAACGACCACAATTCCGTCAAATTGTTTTGTAGCGGAGTACCAGTCAGTAGCAGCCGTGCTCGGGTATTGAAATTCAACATAGTTTGCCACCTTTGAGATTGGAAATTCTTGATGTTGTGAGCTTCATCAAGAATCATGTAGTGCCATTGTCGTCGCTTGAATACTTGCTGATCTTGAATAACAAGTTGGTATGAGGTGATGCATACATTCCAAGCATCATCGTCCTTCCAGCCAGCACGTTTGCGTTTTCTCTCTTCTTGATTACCATAGTAAGTTAGGATCTTGAAACCTGGACACCATTTTTTGAATTCCATTTCCCAGTTGAGCATAACACTGGTTGGTACAATGACAAGATGCGGGCCCCAGACTTGATGTTCGCAGGCCAGATGAGCCAATAAGGCTATTGTCTGAATTGTTTTCCCCAATCCCATCTCATCTGCTAGAATGCCATTTGTATTGTTCGCGTATAGACCGGCAAGCCAATCCAGACCATAGTGTTGATATTCTCTAAGGGTGCCGCGCAAGAGAAAGGGAACAGGAGTCTTTAGTCCGTTTAAGGGTTGAGGTGTTAGGCTCTGTGTGTTGTGCCGACTACTGTGATGAAGGTCCACAGATGATGCCGAATCCACCTCTGAAGGTTTAGTTTCGGTTGTTCTTGGAGTAGGCTGACTGCTTAGATCAGGACTCATCGCTTTAATCTCTTGTGGTCGATGTGGAGACAATAAATCATTTGCCTTGCTAGGTATATCATGCTGGTCACTTGTAGATATCTCTTCGATCAGGGGTGATCTCTTAGAAGTCCCATTCATTAAAGGATGTGTAGATTCTCCATTAGGTATGAGGGAAGCTTCACTATCCTCCACATCTAAATCCATCGCATCGTCTGGTACAACTGACATTGAATCTTCGTCCATTACTTCCACCACTTCTTCGACAGGCCCCAATCCGGCTTGCTTCGTTTCCAGTTCCTTGATGTCGGAAGGCAAGAGAAATCCGAGAAGATCAGCGCGGCCGCCCTCATCTGCTTCGTCGCCCTCTTCCTCATCGCTATCCTCTTCATCGCTGGATTCTGTATCATCATCCATATCTGTCGAAGGATCGCTTTCCATATCTTCATCTTCGCTTCCGTTTCCAACCATTTCTTTGTCGTCGCTGGCTGGTGTAATACTCGGCAAAGCTGCATATTTTTCGCGCAATTGATCAACAGTAAGTTTTTCATCCTCATGCTTGGTAGTCTCCTCATCAGCCTCCGATTCTGAGGAGGACATATTACTTTCATCATCCTTGGGCTCAGAACCCGAGTGGTTGTCATTATCGGTATCATCATTCGCACCTTCATCTTCGTCCTCGTCCTCGTCAGTCCCTTCTTCCGAATCCTGTTGCGCTCTGCGAGCTTGTAACTTTTGGGTAGAAATGTCTACGGCTTCGTTGAGGGCTTTTCGTACCCGAGCTTGCTCCTGAGCCTCCCACTCTACCAAGCGCCGCCGGTTGACCTCTATTTTGACATTCTCCCAGGTACCCAGAAGACTTTTGAGCACGCTTTTGTAGCGCACTTCGGATGCTTTCCTCTCCTCTGCCTCCAATTGTTCATGAGACTTCGGTTGTCGCTGAGCCCATACATCCCTGCATGCCTCAGCCAGTTGTTTCGCAAGCCTCAAGTGCTCTTTTTGTTCCCTGATCATAAGCGTCCGAAAGTGGAGGGCAGCCCTCACAACATGATCTTGATGAGCATACTGTGGTGGCATGGAGTCTTGTTTTTCAGGATGATTCACGAGGGTAGAATTGGCCAAAACACCACCGGGTTCCACTGCATCTTCAAGTCGTATAATTGTCTGAGCCTCCCTCTTGATATCTTCCTCGGTATATTCTACCGCATCTTCAGCGCTATACAAACCACCATTATCTACTGGTATATGTTGCCCCCGCTCGTAGAACTCGTCGAAAGACGCAAATTTTGGTGGATGGGGGAACGCATCTGGATAAACCACGGGGATAACCGCCGGCTTGAGTCGAAGCCTAATTTTCGTTGGCGTCGATTTGGGAGTTTGATCTGCCATACTCTCTGCTTTTATTGCTGGCGACGAACTCATCAGGTCATGTTGCATTACCTCAGAAGCTCGACCCGATCGGCGCAATCTTGAATATGCCGGCGTAGATTCTGGATCTTTTTTAACCAGGGATTTTTTGTTGCCAGACCGTGGTTGATTTAAGTTCTGCTCCGAGGGTATGGACTTTCGATGTGAGCGCTTTGGGGATGTTGATGGTTTGGTTGGCGGTTTCGATATACTTTGGCCGGTAGACTTCTTGGAAGCCTGGGACGTTCCGGGTGTAGATGCATCTCGATTTGAGGATGAGTGAATACCATTTGCACTTCCAGGTTTACTTTTTGAGGTGACTGCTTTTTGCGCCGCGCCCCGCGTTGTCCGCTTCGCGGATGGAGGTTGTAGCTCCAATGGTATCTGATTCACACGGCCTGATTTGCGCTTACCATCGACAGTAAAAGAAGTTGGCCCTTCTGCTAACACTTTCTTCCAAGGAGGCGATTCGGGTTTGCGCTTCGGTATGGTCTTTGTCTCGCTGCTGAGCCGCCGCCTCTTGGTCGGAGGTTCTTCTCCATCGCCATTCTCAATCGCATGTCCATTCGCTTTCGGGGTTTGTGGCACATCTTCAGTTGGAGGTATATCTGAATATAAAAAATATTAATTTGATGTTGTTGAGGAAAATGTTAATTGTTTTCCTTACCAAAGATTTTTTCACTCTCTGGAGCTTCTGACGCGGTTGTCATACTTTTGGAGAGAGGGGAGACCAGACACTACCTTGAACTTGATGAACTTTTCATTTGAAATCATAAAACTACTTCGTAAGGTTCCGTACATCATAAGGATCCCTCATACAAAATTTGAGCATGCCCAGATGCTTTTATCGTCCGCTGTTCAAAATTTACTTGCTGAAGAAGGAAGTACGAAGAAAATGCCTTCCTCGCGTCGAGATTCCGTCAAACTGCCACTAGCTGGCGTTTAACCGAACGAGTAACATCCCGTCGACCTCTGATTACAAGAAGTGATATAAACAGCTGCGATCAATTGTGGTCGCTCATTCAAGGTATGCCATAGATATTGATTTGATCATATACTTCTCAAGTTACTAATGAATATCTCGCAGATGTTCTCCAGACGAATTGCAGCAGCGCGACCACTACGAACTTCCCTCCCACGTCAAACAGCCCTCATTCCCCAAAGATGTGCCAGTCAGGCAGCCGCTCCCAGCGGACCAGGCTACCCACAATTGGTCAGTCTGCTTGATCGCAGCTATTTGTGTCGGGAAGAAGCTTTTACTGACAAAGCAGGATACAGACCGATATTGAAGACCCCGGCATGGTCAGTATACTTCGACTTCGATTTCAAAGATGGATACTAATACAGTACGAAGAACGGAGGATATATTAACCCACCCAGAGTTAAGCGTCAATTCCGTGACCCAAATGCCGACTGGTGGGACAAGCAAGAGCGAAGAAACTACGGAGAGCCGGTTCATGAGGACAACGATATTTTGGGCATGTTCTCACCAGAAGAGTATACACATCAAAAGCCAGGAATCGCTGGGCTTCAATTGGGCGCCTTCGTTGTAGCTGTACTTGGACTTTGTACAGTCGTGGGTGTGATGTATCCGGATAAGCAATCTGTTCCAAGAGAGTTTGAGGGTGGACTTGAGAGGGAGTTGGGTGGGCCAACTGCAGTCAGGGTAAGCTACGATGTACATGATTCCTGCAAGTCATCTTGTACTGACCCGAAGAACAGGCTAGAGCTGCCGGAGATCCATTGTAAATGGAGGTGGATTTGTACATATGAATATCAATTTGAGCAAGCTTTCGAGAAACTTTTCGTTGTGATGCACTGCATGATATTAAACCTCCATCAAATACGGCCATTTTCTATCGAGCTACAGTCGGTTGGCAAATAGTGCCTTCCCTGGAGACTTTCGAGGATAATGTAGTAAACTTGCCCCTCAGACAAAGCCATCTATGTTAAATTTTGGCCGATGAAAGTATGGTGGTCACCACTACCTAGGTAGGTCGTTCCTTCTCGACTTAAAGCCTCATTCTTTCCTAATCCACCTGTTGCTGGCCAGCATTTTACCTGGGCATAGCTCGCATGTTTTCTGCCTATCTACGGTCTTATCTCTTCCGCTCTTCTTTTTGTTGGACATTTGCTTCAGCATTTGCTTGTGTTTCTGCCACACCTTATCCAAATCATAATTCCTAATTCTTAATAATTGCAAGTCCTTCAGAATGCGTTATCAGAATTGGGACGTTCTTATGTTCCCAAATGAATTATGCAAGATCCCATTGCAGGAGTTCAAAACCTCCTGTCAAGTTGTTCAGGATCCTGGTTTGTGCCTGCATCTATTTAGAGTAGCGCATGATCCAAGCTGATGTAGTTGCAGAAGTTCATCACTCGCAGAGCACTGCTCTATTGCTTCCCACCGTCACTTGTTTCGTCCCCAGTTTGGCTGCTGGAGAACCTTTTCGTATTTCTATTCATTCCTGGCAAAACCCCGAAGCCAGCCGGTATATGCATCAGATCAGTAGCAGGCATGCCGAGCACGTCATGTTTGAAGCTCGTGTGTTTGTCGACGGACGACTTGCTGGGTAGGTTCCAAACATTCATTGCGGAGAAAGTTGTGGTCTTAATGAATCTATAGTACTAAATTCTTTCATCGAAATGGTCCATGGCCAACAGTTCTTGAAACAAGTGTCGGTAAATATAGACCCTCCTCTTTTCGGCCTTTGCGGTTACGAACATTTATGCCGGAAAGGGTTGGTTGCCGACATAATCTGACAACTCATAGAACTCGATAAACAGGGAGATTTCAAAAAACTTGAGTTTCCAGCCTTTCATCGAGAACTTCTGTCGCAAAGTTATTGGAATCCCGGAGACGACCTTGGCCGTGTAAAGGTAGTGGTATCGGAAGGTTTCCCAAGGGATAACCTTTCTATGCCCTTTGAACGTGTCAAGAACTCCGTGGCCTTCTCGTTTCAGCATGCTCCATTAGGTATATCTATTGACTGGCAGATTCATCACGTCAGGTTTATCAATCTAACAACTCTTAGATGTGCTCGAAGCGTCTTCGATTGCATGGCCAAATGCGACTATGTGGCGCCAGGTCTCTCTTGTCGCACCTTTCTACAATCAACAGTCTTCGCCGAAACGGGTCGAAGAGGACCGTGAGGCTCATGCCCACTCTCCACGAAAGCCTTCAATCGTTAGTTTCCAGTCCTCGCAGACGAATTCTATGCCACCACCACCAGCACCATTCTCGCGACCTCCAAACTTCGATCCATTCACTTCTGAACCACCACGTCCTGCCTTCGCAGACTGGCGTCGTCAAGAGTCCACGACCGATACTTCTATGCCCGATCTTTCAACCAATCCTAGTGTACAGGCAGGAAGTATTAGAAACGTATCAGATCCTATGATAATTGAGAAGGCATGCCGAAATAACGATATGCAAAGTTCGGGCGCTTTTGAGTCTCTATGTGAGGCATTGATGCCGCCTGCCCCTGATAACACGCCACAAAACGGATCTGAAGGGACAATAATGAACACAGTTGCACCTCAACAACCATATATGCAAAGGGGACCTATTAGACCCGGTCCAGTTGACCGTGTACCGACTCCACGTGTGCCTGGTGCATCGGATACATCCGAAGGACTGATAGCTCAAATTGAAGAAGCTCGTTTCCATCATTCCAGAAGATTGAGCTCTTCTTCCATGAGTTACGCCAAGAGCAATAAAGAAAACAACAACCGAAGTCCAGCAGCTCAATCGGAAATCATTGGCTATGGCAATCAACCACTTGCAAGTGGTGATACTACAAGAAGATCTTCTCTTTTCACGTCGACTAATGTAATGGGCACGAAGAGGCAAAGAAATGTTACGCCTGCGTCTTCAAAGGCTATTGATGATGAGGATGAACCGAGATCATCACCCTCGTTGAGAAGGGTTTCTAGACAATCTAATGCTAGTGGAAACGGGAGGGGAAAGGACTCGGACAGGAGAGTTTTAAGCGGAGTTGAAAACGTTTGAAAAGAGAAGTGAGTGGCTAATGGTGAGGATACGAGAAAGGAATTATAGTTCAAATTAGAGCTTTCCTACATCGTCAGGGCGATTCCGAGAGACAGAGAGAAGGGGCAGACTAGTTATTCCTCACTAATAATTTGGGTTTTGTTTTTGTTGGGCATGAAGGTACGGTGCTCCGATGTTATAAGGTCTTTGGTCATACAATTATTACTATCATTGTTTTCATCGTCATTATTGTTGTTGTCTGTCACCTTTTCTTGTTATTGTGTCGGTACAAGAAAGTCCGGTTTTACCTTATGCGGTCCATTCGTCTAGTTGAGCGTTTAAGGAAATAGTAGTATACCCAATAATTAGAGTAACAGGAGATTCATTCAATACTACAGTACATTTATCAGTGATATACTCGAGTACATTGTATTTGCGTATATGTGCCCGTTCTGATAACACGAGGTGTCTGCATGGAAAACAGGTGAAGGGGTATTATTACTGTAATGATTGATTGTGATGAGATCATGGTGCTCAGGTGCTGTACATAGTGGGTAAGCTTGTAGATGGAATTACAGTAGGTTATGCCAGTTGATAATTCAGATAATCTACTCGGTGTAACTATAAAGAGGGTTTTGAAAAAGTGTAACTACTCGAAGTAGGAAGGATATCATATCATATGGCCGGTAGACGAATGGTATGTTTGTGTGAGGGTTGATATGTTTTGTATGATGATTGTGAAAGTATTACAGATACTGTAACATTTCGTATGTGCGGAAAGTAGATGCTATGCTAGGTACAGTAGCTAAGTTTAGTTTGTGTTCTATTGCTAACTGATAAGCTTGCTTCGTGTGTGTATGTATATATGGTATGTATGTAGATCGAGGTTCGAGCTTTAGGACTGAGGACTGAGGACTAAGGAGGGGTTTATATCTATGGAAGTCATGCTCATTATGCTTCTTATTGGAATTTAGAAAGTTTTCTCACGTCATACTCTTCCAAATCATTACTCTTTGGTTTTTCTTGGTAGAGATCGTCTTGGAGATACTGTATAGCCGTTTATCAGGGTGTAACCAATCCCACAAATGATGATTTACTTTTCTTTTCGAAAACCCGCTCACATCGCTTCTTCTACGATTATACAGTCCATAGTTGACTACTCCAGATGCTCTTCCTTTTTTCCAAAGCCCATCATAATTTTGATTTCTGCCCAGAACGTCATGTGCGTCTCGGCTACACTCGCTTCATAAGCATCGATAATTGGTCGTTCCCATACTAGATCTGCTTCTTCTGGTTTGACTACTTTGGTCTTCTTGAGGATCTTCCATCCCGTGTAGAGGATTGGGCAGACGAATACCATGGTGTAGTAGGAGAAAAAGGTGCCGGTATCCCACCCTGTTGTTGATTAGTATGTGTACCTTCTGAATAAAAGATTGAAGAAAGGCAAAAATTGAACTTACAGCCTGGCAAGAAAGTAGTGTATCCATAACATCCCACTGTAAAAATCATAGCCGCAAGTCCCGCCCATGCACAATAAGGTTGCCACCACCCCACGTATGGTAAAGTCTTTCTGTCGATACCCTGTGCCTTTAGGGCTCGGTAGAAAAAGATGTAAATAGTGCACATGCAAATGTAATCTATGATCTGCGAGGCTTCGGTAAGGTTTGCCAGCCAAGTAATGACTTGCGCCGAACTACTGCCTACGGAGAGAAAGCTTAGGAAGGGAAAGATCATGGTGACGCCAAAGCAGTAGATGGGGACGCCAGATTTGGTGCATTTGCGGAGGAAACGTGGGGCATGGCCGTCGAGCGAGAGACTATATAGTGTACGGCATGCGCAATAGCTTTTCTATTGTTAGCAGATTTACAATTTCATAAAGGTAGGGAGTAACATGCACATAGGAATTGCCAGCAGAGAAAATACTCGTCACGAGTAACGCATTGGTGATATGTGGAAGCACGCCAATTCCCAGATTTTGCATGGCAATAACATAAGGACTCGAAGCTGCAGTGCCAGTTTCTGAGCCACCACCGGAGAGGATAGCTATCAATTTTTTGTCGTTGTATGGGATAACTATTCCGCAGGCTAGGGCTCCCCCGATGAAGAAAATTCCAAAGCGCCAGTATATCGTCTTGAAAGCTTGCTTAAGGTTCTTGCGGGGATGGGCAGCTTCTCCTGACATCATGGCAATGTATTCTGGAAGGGGATTAGAAGTTGTAGACGCTTATAAAATTTCAGTGCAAGTGAGGTGCGGTGTAGCGTACCAGGTCCAACAATCGTGAATGCGGCTTTCCATAATGCGGCAAGGAACCCTTCAAATTTTCCCAATGATCCCGTGGTAACATATTCGGCAAAAGCTCCCTTTTGTCCATTCGTCAGTATGAAAAAGATCAATATACTCGTCGTATAAATAGTGACGTACAGGTTCTTTCCAGTAACGGAATCCATAGGCGTCATGTTTTGGATTTCCTCCAACCATCGTAATAAATGTAAAGCAGAATATCATAGCAATCAAGACCACTTTACCGCCAGAGAGCCAAAATTCACTCTCACCATACCATTTAACAGCAAAGAGATTAATGACACTATTCTGATCAGATACTAGGCCTATGGTCAGGAGAGAGCATTTACCCATAGAGAAAGATGCATCCTGCACAGACTGCTGCCAAAGGTATATTATCACTATCCCAGAGCGTTAATTATACTCAGTGTGGTCATAAATTGAGGAAGGAGTCCAGAACACATACCTCCAAAATGTCAACACCAAATTCAATGCACTAATCTCCCATGGAATCAATACAGCTTCTAGACCCAGACCTTCATTAGCACATATTCGCATATTTCCCATCTCTTCACTAACAATAATTGAGCACCACTCACCATAAAGAAAAAAGTTCCATCCCAACATAAACCCAAATGCCTCATCAACCCACTTACTCCCCATCCTCACAAAACTCCCACTAACCGGCATGAAAATCGACATCTCAGCCATGCAATTATTTACCAATCCAAGAAAACAACTGTACAAAATAAACGCAATGAGTAAAGATCCCGGTCCACCTTGTGTAAGCCCCGATCCAATTGATACAAATAAAGCTGTTCCAATTGAACCACCAATTGTCACCATTTGAATTTGTCTTCCAGAGAGTCGTCGTTTGAGACCGTCCACATTTTCGAGGACGATTCCTTCATTTTCGCTGTCATCGCGAGCGTAGGCTGGAAGATCTTGCTTGCCATATCCTGCAGCTGATCCTTTGGACTCCTTAGGATGACTTGTCACTGGACTAGATTTTTCTTCCATAATGAATAAGAGTCCTCCACAATGGCTTGGGGGAGAATGGAAGAAAGAGAGACACAAGAAGAAAGCTATCTTTGAAGTGAATAAAAACACAAAGATACTTGAGTTTTTGCACACTGGCAGGAACGATGTGCAGTACATGGATCTTGGCCGTTTGTAGCTTTGGTCGTATCACGACACTAGGATTAGACCCAGGGCGGAAACCCCGAACTGATCGTTTCCCTATTTGGCAGCTTACATTGTACGGAGTACGGTTAAACAAATACTGCAGCCAATGCCTATTCGGTATTAGGAATCTGGAGCCGATCCTGGGTTCGATCAATACACGCGATTCGATAAGATGATGATAAACTCCGATAAGAATGTCGGTCTTACGTTACACATTCTAATGAAATTCCTACAGAACTCGATTTCAATCTCCTGTTGCAGTAGATCTAATTGTGTATGACAGCTCGCAATCTTTGCCAAGCTGCCAAGATATATGGGTAAAATGGTATTGCTATGTTGCTATTGCTTGATCCTATCTCTACCCCGCGAAATTCTCACCGACGGGGACCGTGAGGTTTGTGCCTGCACCCACTTTTCCGCTATTAGCTCCCGGTACTCAATTGGCCTCGGATACATTTCTTCCACCGCCCTCCTTGGTCCTCATAAGCTCGACCATGAAGGCTGCTGTTGATAGTTTATTGTGTCATATTTTCAAAACGTATCGTCCGTATTGGAACCTTTAGTCTATCACAACACCTCCATCTCCCGCTGGTCTTCTCTCGCTTTCCAATAACCAGGCTCCGCCCTGCGGTCCACTAGCATCCAAACTCATAGTTGTCTTCCTAGCATCACTTATAATCCTGATAGTCTCTCCAGTATTCTTGCAGTCAGTTTCGCAGGTCACAAGCCGTGGCTTACCTTTGACACTTTCCTCTCCGTCGCCCGGCGATCCTGGCCTGGTATTTCTGATAGAAGGAAGTGCCTTGATCTCCACGGTAGGATATTGTAGAAATCCTTCTCGGAGGGGTATCAATACAATTGGAAAAGCTAACTTATGATTCCTTCCATCTATCTCTCTGTGAAGTTTAAAGTGACCTTTTCGCCTACCACCAATAAGCCAGGTGTCTGATGGACCTGTAACCTCATAGACGAATTCTAGGTCTTCTTCTGGGCTTGTGATATCATCTTGAGAGGCAGTATCCCAGTTCCGTGTTGACTTTAGGTGTAAGGATGCTGGTATCGGTTCGTTCGCTGCTGCTACAGCACTACTAGATGCTATTGATGCTGTCTGAAGCAGACGTATATCAGCAGTATGCACCACCATCACTGAAGGGACGTCCACAGGAATTACGATGGATCTGCTTTTCGAGATTGCATCATCATCGATAGATAGAAGCGGCAAAGGGATAACAGAGTTTTGTTTCTGCCATGCCTTGAGCATTTTTCCAATAAGCACGGCAGTATCTTGATCTTGTTCAATAGAGTTGCCCAGACCCGAAAAGTGATCATGCCATCTGATGTTGAGAATAGCCGAAGTAGGTATCTCACCAAGAATGGCTGCCCTTTCAAAATCATATGGTAGGAAATGTGTTCGAAGCTCCGAAAGGATAACGGGTATTATCAGGCGAGCATATGGTCGTAATGAGTTGCCCTCGAGAAAATCTCCCAAAACTTGTGCCACGACATCATAAACTTCTTCATCAAGGCAAACATAATGTAAGATAAGAGATAGAGTTCTCGGTTTCTGGGACTTACGTCGAGCAGTTGGGGAAGGAGGCAAATTTGTTTCTGTGATTTTGTATAAAAGCGACGCTGGCTGACGAGGAAATATGGTGAGAGGCCTTGTTAGACCAAGCCCACATTGCGCCTCGAAAACTTCCGACCTTTCCAATTTAGAGCTAAGAAGTCGAAGTGGGCTATTTGTGGATGTCGAGATGGTAAATTTCGAGAATAATGCTTTGTGCTTAAAAACGTCTTGGACATTAACGCCCAATGGAAGCATAATTGACACCGATGAAGTGGTTGCGAAGGAAAATTCTCCATCTTTTGTTGTGTATGATATCTCAAGTCGGAGTGTGACTTCATTCACCTCATGTTCAAGATTGAATGGTACTCGTATCCTTGCAAGAGTCTCCGATTCCATAGCACCAAAGTGAACGACACCTGCCTCTGGTTTTTTTGAAATATCGACTTGTCCGTCGATGACCGATACTTCACTGGTTTGAAGTCGCAGCCCAGCTGTTGCCGCGCGAATCTGAAGCTGGCCACTTGTGACAATATTCCACCCAGACGACAACTCAATTTCCAGAGAACGATTCTGGTCTAGATACATACATTTGGAGGCGAAGAGCTTGGCGTTGAAAGCCTCCGCTCGGTGGTAGAGAAGTAGCTTCGGGCACTTGAAAAAGCTGCTGCCTCTTGTCGATAGATGCCCAATATTGTCATGCGAATACTCCATGACAATTTTACTACTATAAAGAACGACATGTGTAACTTGGTAAGAGCCGGGAATTAAGATCTATACCTATCAGAACGTACCCACTTTGGCAGAAGATCTTCACTTACATTGCTTTGAGCGTATAGTTTATTCCACCCCGTTTTGAATAGAACTGCCTCATTCGTTTCGAGCCAGATTTCTCGACCGGGACCACCCAATAATGGGACAATCCTCACTCGAGCCTTGTCGATGTTAAGGTCTTCTTTCAGCAGGTACTGGAGTCGAAGCTGTAATCCGAAGCTATCCTGGCTGGGATGGTATTGTGGAGTCCCATCTACTTCAGTCCTGCCAAAGTAGTCCTGCAACGGTACGCAAATGTCACAAGACAGGGTTTGTGTGATTTGTAACAATTCATCTAGATATATATCACTGAGCATAACATCTCCTTTGTCAAATGTGCCCATTCGACCGATTTCAAAAGCTGATTTCCTGGTAAGTTTGTCTTTTTCCATCATAGCCACTCTCGCAAGAAGCTTTAGTACGACTTTGACATATTCATCATTGCGACTTAATTCCTTGAGGCATTTGGCGTACATTACTAGCAGCGATATCTCGACTTGTGTCCACGAAGCATCTCCATAGAACGGAGTAATGCGATAAAAGTATGAAGCAGCAGCTGCATAGTCTGCTAAGTGGTACTTGAGAATAGCCAGATCTGCCATGCTGGTTTGCACAGACTGTGTCCGATTTGCCACAGTATAATGTCGAAGTGCTTTATCAGTTAGAGTCTCATATAGACGATAGAAGTCATCCTTATTATCTAGTGCTGTCCGGAGCAACTTGCTGTCAATACCATGTAACGAAGGCGGAATTTGAGTTGAGACAGTCAGCTCGTCTTTGTCTGATGAAGCCTTCTCATCAAGACTAACAACTTCCATGGCTCCCACATCATCGTTTTGGTGCTTGTTTACATCTTCCCAACCGGTAGTCCATTCACGTTGTTTACCAACATGTTCTAGAACACTCCGAGAGAGCAAGTAAAGCTCGGCTCGATGGGCAGCAAGATCCTCCAACCCATTTTTGAGGAAGGTTGACGAACCTACATTAGAACCAGTTACACTAGCTCTTCGACCTGCAGGAAATAGTCCGGGACTTGGAGGCTCTCGTGATGACGATCGGAGTGCGAGAGAAGTTGTCCTAGCAGGGTGCATCATAGTTTTGGGTTCGGGTATTGCAGATTTGGACTCTGCACCGCCACCAGGAGGCGCCAATGACGAAGGTGGTATAGGTAACGCCTTTGTTGAAGTTTGTGCAAGTATCTGCTGAGCAAGAGAAAAGGTGCAAGAGGAAACTACATTTTCAATCACTTGATTCATTACAGGATCTGATTTAAAATCAGATTTTGCCTTCTCGTACGAAATCTCTTTTTGAGAATGGAAATAGCCACTCCAAATATCCTCACGCATGATATTTGATATAGCAGCGATGAAGTCCATTGCTCGCTTACAAACCTCACCAAGCACAGCAAGGTTCTCAGTATCATCTGAGGGTTGTGAAGTTGGAAATCTAGCAGCTACACCAAGTAGGCTTGATTCTCGCTGCTCTTTTAGCTTTGCGAGTAATTCTGCTTGTGTAAACCATGCATTTGCTAATCGTAGTAAGAGAGTCAACTGGCGAGCAAATATATAGCAACGAAAGTCAAATACCGAGACGTCATTCGCAAGAATGAGTTCTCGGTATCGCTTCTTGGACGCATTAATTGGTATCTCATCCTCTTCCTTCTCGATCGCCCCGCCCATAGACTGTAGATCAAACGGCTCCTCTGACTCTGATCCTGTACCTTCCAAGCCTATATCTTTCAATATAGCCTCTCTAGCTCGCTCTGCCTGTAGTTTAAGCTCTTCGGTGTAGGGTAGAAAAGCGCCGCCATGTTGGGTTCCGGACTCTGCGATAGCTTGGTCTCTAACGATTGTGTCCAAACCAATAGAAAGCTCATCATAACCCACTAAAGCATCTTCAATCAAACCAACGCTCTCAAATCCTCTTGCCAGACCTTCTTTGAGTACAAAAAAAGTACAGAAGTTCCAGCCGGGTAGAATTCTCTGACTATCCTTTTCACGAATGTTTTCTTCGTACTGAGTTACCCGCATGTCAAATGACTGCAATATCAAGAATTTGAGCTTCGAAATGAGATCAATCCAGGCATTTTCATTCTCTTGTGGCGTTTCCGTATAGGAGCCGGGAATTGCTGGTACAACACGGGGAAGCATATTATATGGGACATCATTTATGCCGATGCGAATCTGAGCAACCCGATCAACACCATACTTCGTTGAGCCGTTGAAGTCTGCTCTTAGTTTCTCAAGAATCGTAGATGATCCTCCGCCTCTCCAACGTGCTGTAGACTTCTCACTGGTGGATCCAGAACTACCATCTGCACTTTTTCCACTCGTTCTAGGCTGCGTAGCCGCTGCAGTATTTGGAACAATTACATGAACAATGAGATATTCAAAGTTGTCATGGTTTTCCTGCGAATTGAACTTGCTTGCAGATGTCGGGGTGTGCTCCTTTATCCATTCTCGAACCTGCTTCCGACCCTGAGACTTGTATGTGTCGTTATCATCACAGCGTAAAAATAAAATCTTCAAGTATGGTGTCTGCCTTAGACCAGGAATTTGATGTCTACGACCTTTGACGACCGAATTTGTGGTACTGGATCGAGAAAGTGTGGGAGGCCTGTCAACGGCAGCTTGGCCAATTGCTTGTGTGCGGAAACCATCATCTGCGCTGATGCCAGAATCTGTACTTCTTACTCGTGAGAGGTCGATCGTACTCAAATTAAGAGGTACTACCGGTGGATCCAGACCGGAGTCTAGATTGTATTTGATGAGGTCGACATGGAGGGAGGATATGGAACGGAGAGGTCCAGCATGCGATTCCCAGTGTAAGTTTCGTAGTGGAAGTCGAGGTAGAAGTCCTGACGACAAGAGCGGATATACGTTATCAGGATCAAAATATTCCACTTAAATGAATTTAGCAAATGTAACTCGCATCGAATGTTTTGAGAATATGTTACCTGTAACTTTTGAGCTTGACGATGGTTGTTCCATTGTTAATTGTTACTATTCTTTTCAAGGGCATGGACAGCACACTCCTGACTACCAACTTCCATAAATCATGTCAATCATAAAACTCATTAATTAAAGACTAAGACATATCGTCGCATCTTTCACGTTCCTAGTATTGGCTATGCTGTGAACATTCATGCATTATCAAGGGTGTTCAGGGACAGTTCACATTCTGCCAGGAAGGTATTCTTTCTTATTCGGTTAGCGTATTACATAAAGGCGGTAAAAATAACCTCCTGGTGAAGCTTGATTTCACTGGCATGCGAAAGTAAACTTCAAAAGAGCAAACCAAAGCAAGCACAATCTTTGGAGATCATTTTTCAATGTGTATTCAGCTGAAATACTGTCGATTTGAGCTTGACGGTCCATTAGCCTTGACTAGCTAATGATGGTGAAGAAACAGAACCCAACCTTTGATGGTCTTAGGAGGCCAATGGCCATGTCCATACATTTCATGGCTGTCGATTGTAAATGAATGTATTTGGGATCCAAGTGGACACCATGCTTTATCAATATCGAAAGTTCGAATACATATATTGACGCGTTCATCAGGTTTCATTACTTGAGCGGTATACTTGAGTATGTGTCGCAGTATTCGATTTCCACTGCTATTGATTTTTATCACTTTATTCCACCGTTATATTACAACGAATGAATGCCCTTGATCAGTTTTCCATATTATGAGAGTCACTCGGAGTGACTCACTCTAGATTGTAACAGTCTCCCCATACGGATCCACAATCAAAAGGTATAGTCAATAATAAGGATTCCTATTACTTACAAACTTTCCAACTTTCGAGATATCTTCAATTTCCATGCGCCGCTTCCTTCTTGCTTAGTGCTTACCAATGAGTAGAGTTCTTCGTGAATATGCCTATTCAGCTCTCGTTTTGTTGTGGAGTTTGTGGGGCTTCTCATACCCATGCATCCATGGAGTTACTAGAGTTACTGTTGATGATTACAAAAGAGATTTCGTGCGGCGCAAGAATATACATGCGACTATATCCTACCAGTGTAATGATTCACAATTGTACATCTGTCACTTCATCAATCTCAACTTTACATCTCCATTCCCAAGATGCGCTCTATGTCCTATGCTGTAGGTCTCTTGACCACAACTCTTCTCTCCCTCACCACTGCTTCACCTTCAGCAAAACCTTCCGCGCCTTCTCTTCTCCTTCCCGTTACAGAGCTCCGATCTTTCGGAGGCAACACTTGGGCAGAAAATGTCGCCATTCGTTCCAATGGCCAGCTCCTCGTCACTCGCTTCGACACCCCCATCCTCCAACTCCTTGACCCTACCAACAAAACAGCTCCCATAACCCTCCATACCTTCAATACAACTCGCTATTCTGGACTTACAGGTATTGCCGAAACAACACCTGGCTCAGACATTTTCTACGTCGGCCTTCAAACCCCCACCACGGCCCTCTTAATAAAATCCACCAACTTTTCGAACGCTATCTTCAAAGTGGATTTGAACAACTTCTCTTCCAAGGCTAATAGCATTGTTTCTGCCCCAACAATATCCCACATAATCGATATTCCAGAATCCATGCTCATAAACGGCATGTCTGCTCTAGATTCAGAACACATCCTCATAGCCGATTCAACTCTCGGCCAAGTTTACAATCTTGACGTCTCTATCCCCTCTTACACCACCCCTCTCAAGCCCCCATCTATGGGCGCCCCGCCCAATGCATCGTCACCGATTGGCATCAACGGTATCCATTACCTTTCCCCATATCTCTATTTCGACAGTCTCGCTGCCAGTACCTTGAACCGCATTCCCATTGCCCCAATCACTGCACTGCCGATTGGTGATAGTGTTCTATTGGCAAACGTAGCAGGTCCAGATGACTTCGCTATTCGCGAAGATGGCACGATTTTCCTGTGTGGAAACGGCAAGAATACATTATTCATGTGGAAAGAGGGCATGAGTGAGGCAGTAGCCGTGGCTGGTAGTAATACATCTACGGTATTAGCTAGTGTGACGGCGGCTGCATTTGAGAAGGTTGGAGGGAGGGAAGGAAACAGATTGTGGTTGACTACTGGTGGTGGTGAGTTTTCGCATTGCTCTTTTGAGGATCATGGGAGCTAGATGATGAATTTATGAATGCTAACATACATATATAGTTCAAACTCAATCTATCAACGGCACGATTAGTGTTGGGGTTGGGGCTACGGTATCATATGTAGATACTGAGTGTATCTAAGGCGTCATCGTGGAATACATGAGTGAAAAGGAGTATTGTTAATATTGGACAATTCAGAGCTTGAAGTGTGTTGCGGGGGAAGCTACACGCATGAAATCATATAATCATGTTCCTTCTATGCATCACCAATTATTGTCCGAGTGTATAACATAAGTCTAGGCAGAATAAAAGATTCCCTCGGCTAAACGAGTAGTAGTGTTCTTCGAGATCTATTCTAAACATGTCATTACCGCATCATACAATTACATGTAATCTACACTATCTATACCCAAGTATTCTTCTGCCATCGGTTCAGCACCGGATGGGTAATTACTATCCGAGATAAGTATCCGATCCCATTGGTATGGCGTTGACTCGGGCCAAAGTACAGTGTTTCTGCTTCACCGTGCCGAATAATTTGCTCCGATCCTCACTCAAGCTGTACTCGACGTACCTTACTTCTCCCTCAGATACGTTCAGTCTAAGATTCAAAATGATTTAGTCTTATGTAATCTACGTCTAGTTGCTCACTATGTTACAAATTACCATCACATCACAAATGTAATGTGATATAATATGCCATGTACATATAATCGAGTACACATGTAGCCTACAAGAATTGATCACACAAAACACCATTCATCACGCTCTTCCTCTTCAATTCCTATTCCTACCTCCCCCACCCCATTCCCCCTACCCCCTCTCCCCACTCCCAATCTTACCACACAGAACACCCCCTCCGCCCCAGTCTGAGACTCTGAATTTCGTCCACTGCCCACTCTTACATCCATCCCACCACCAAAGTATGATCTTATTAGCCTACCCCTCGTCACATCCCAGTCAGTCAACAACTCTGTCCTGAGTACTTCACACAGTCTCACAACCGCACTGAGCAGTGATAACCACTCTACTGAGTCGACTCTACCCAAACACCATATTAGATTCTGCACCTACCCCTCCTCAACATTCTATCCATACCAACTCTCCAGCCCACTACTACACACACATACCGGACTTATCTTATTAGCCTATAAATTAAAGCTCGTCCCATCCGCCTTACCAGCTCTCTCCATCCATATACCATATACGCAATTTATCAATACATATTACATACAAATACAGTACATCAATTCCTAAGAACGTAGTTCGGGCTATATTAGCCTCCAGGGTATTTCGTATGGATTTCAGATATACTGTATGTAGTATCTGCCACTAGCCCTTTATCTATAGTAGTTGAATTTACAATATATTTCCCTTAAGCTTAATTCACATCTAAACGTTATCTTTCTTTCTCAATTTTTACCCCTTGCTTGGTTTGATTTGTTAAGTTCTAACACATATTATTATAAAGGGGTTCTCGAGCACCTCATCTGGGATCCTCACGATCTACATACAACACCGGTGATTTTTCAATCAAACCTCTAGACAATCAATTTCACCTAATAAACAGCCATCCATCCATCCCATCCATCACAGATTCTCAAATTCTCATTTCTCAAACCCCCAACTACTTATTACATACATACCCATCCTTCCATCCAGTGGCATCCACCCACCAACCACCCCTCAACCTCAGTCACCAATCTTTAGTTTAGGCACATACCAAAATCTCAGATAGTAAGATTTGGGCCGCAAAGCTAATCTCAACCCTCGAATTTCCTACCGCTAATTTCTCCGTAGTCACACCCCCTAGTCAACTCCCTAGCAGGCAGGCTAGCACACCATATCTCTTACTTCATAGTACTGGTACCGTACGCATGCAGAATACCCAGCCGATTGGTAGATCAGCAATTAAATGTTTCAATATCCCCAAAGACTCCACCGCTCGTTCCCAGAGGGGTCATCGGAGTTTTTTTCTCTCAGCGGCGAACTAAGTGTATATAGTTAATACAGTGGAAGAAAATTTTGTCGATTTGCCCTATGGATACACTATTAAAATCCCTATAGAAGAATGGATTTTTTTTAGTACTAAAAATAAGAATATATCGAGATATTCTTATATTAAATTCCCGGACTCGGACTAATCTTAGTAGAATAGTAATTTAATCTATATCTTCTATTATTATATAGAAAATTTAGTTTATTATCGAAATTTTTTAATTATATAAAATCAAACTATTTATTTATATGAAATTTCCTATTCTATTTAAATAAAATACTATCTTTTCTAAGAATATAGGATTATATAATTAACTAATTAAAAATATCTAGTATTCTTATATACCCCTGTTTTTATATTCTAAAAAATTCAGGCTTTTAAAAACATTCTCAAAGACAAGATTATCCTTATATCCAATATCCTTGTATTAGGCTTTTGCTACATCTATCTCCCGGTGCCATATTCCCACAGGTCGCAATTGAATTTGATTCCGATGCTATACATTGTGTGGACGGGACTGACTATACACACACTGTAACACTGTACAGTAGGCATTGGATCCAGAGTGAATTGTTTGTCTGTTTGTGATTCTTCCACTGTGTGTGTCACTGTCAAGAAGGAAGTGTTGGATATGGAACATAGGGACAGCTATGTAATTTATATCTTCCCTCGAATCCATAGATAGGATAGAGTTCCATTTCACTTTATATTACTGTATCTCCATCCCATCCTCCGGTGTATACAATCTTCAAACTTCCAAACCACAATTCTAAGAACAACATGTCCCCGACGCCACCAAATTGATTCTCACAATATTCTATTCTTTAGCAACGCTTTCTCTCATGAGTCCCATCCCCCTCCCCTAAAAATTGAACCTGCTAATCTTCTGTAGTTGCCGAGCACCCACCACTATTGGAGCGGTATTCAGTCTCCGTATTCCGCCTTTGTTTCCGCCTGTCTGTCGGTCAGCGACTTATATTAACGTAAATGTACCAATATACCTAGTGTCCTAATATAATTGAAGGAAAGATCCCCGGACTACTGATACAATATTATTTCGTTACATAGGTCGCTCGGCCCTACAGTCTTACACTTCTGAGTAGCGCTAGCGTTATAGTATTATAGAAAAATCGAAGGGCTGTAGAAGTTTTAGAAGCTTTTCTCTTTCTCTATCTCGGGGTTGTACGATAAGATAGATCTAAATCTATTCATATATATTTTCCGTTTACGATTTCAAAACATCCATTTCATAATTAGAAAGCTAATTCTAATTTTAATTTTAATTCTAAACAACACAACCACAAAGTTCAAACACACTGGCAACTCCGTAAAAATAAGGGTCTTTCCGCCACCTACGCTGAACGTTACATCAACGTCATTTCCACGTGGGATGCCTGTTCTGTCCTATCTGATAAATATTTATGCTGTACCATACAGACTCAGTTGCCTTGCGCACCCGCCTGCGTAGCAAATAGAATTGTGTAATCAGTCCATTCCATTGTGCTTGTACTCGATTACATTGTGTACAAACAAATAAATATATGGTAATATTTGAATCAGGTGAATCCTTTGTGTGTAACTATAAGCTGTACATAGTATTATCCGCATCGATTTCTCAGCCTCCAGATTTCAAAAGGTTGGAAAATCAAAAGGGTCGTGTGAACAAACGAACTCTCAACCCCTTCATTCATATTCGCCAATCCGCTTCCGCTTACGCATTGGAGTGGTGAGAAGCGACGATTAGGTAGGTGCTTGAGAGAATTAATGCAGTCAGATGATTATCAAAAATCTCACTCACAAACGTAAAATAGATAGATGGACTCTCACAATTGCTCAATCATTATTTATTTACTATATGTCAGTCAAACCCTCGGCAGCCCAAAGAGCCCCTCCATTAACCCATGACCCTCCGATCATGTCATATCGTCGGTGTGTGTGCTCGGGGAATACTGTGCATCAATCCGATGTACCGCTTATTACTTTGTCTCCCACGAAGAACAATCAAAAATGCTCTATAAGTAAGAAGCTGATCTTTCTTATATTGTACAACTGGTAACAGCCTAACAGCTATGAGATTTGACCAAATGATTTTCCTATCTCTCTGTACCTCACCGCTATGTTGAGGAATGTACGTTGTACACACTCTAAATTCTCTTGATGATCCATCCATCCTGTGCTCACCTTGGTAATTTGGTGGTTTGTGCTCGCTCTACTGCTTCAGGGATCTATCGCAGTACTCCGTCTTTTAGTGGAAGGAATATCACGAAAGCTTAGGACAATAATAATATTGGGCAATAATGGAAATAAATACATATAACCGATTGTCATTGACTACTCCAAAAACTGCCCCATTTGTGAATGGATAATATATTGTGGTTCTTGTGAAAGTCTGAAAAAGGCGGTTTTGCTCGCTGGCTTCCTTGAGGCTTGATGCGGCTGAATCTTTGGCGGTTTGACAATTCGAATGATAAATCGTGAGGAGGTGCTGTTGGTCGTTACGAAGAGTTAGATGTCAGGCGACGGAGAAGACGCGACTGCTATATTGTGGCAATACTGTATTGTATGGACATACTCGTTCATAAGTACTGTAAAGCTTATTAGAGTAAGTGTCAGATTGAGATAGATGTAACCCTGACCCCTGTATCGAGTCTCCATGCCTTGCGTAGGCCAAGGAAGAAACAGAATCCCAAAGGAAGATCAACATCACCATCGCTGCACCATTGCTGTCATCATACTTTTAATGGGATGATATAAGGTTTATCACTACTATACCGGTATATTATATAAGGATAAATAAGCTAAGGGTTGTGTTAAGGATAGTAATTCGTTTTTGTAGAGTTGCACACTGACACACGGTAGTCTTAATGCCTGAGTCGTTGAGAAGGTTTTGCACGGAAGAATTCCCTGAGATCGGCAACTTGAGGGAAACGCAACATCATGAGGATGCAGAGTTTGTTTGATGAGCATTGAGCTTGGATAAGATATGTTCGAGATTTGAGGAGAGAATTAGCAACTGTCATTGGAGCCTGAGTCGAAACCTTTCTGGGACTGAAAGTTGAGTTTCCCTTCATAGAATCCAACTTCCTATCCTTCGATCCCATAAGGAACCGATGTAAAACTTAAATGCTTTAAAAAAGCCTTAAAGCAACTCTTCCCTCTTCCGAAAGGCTATTAACGCTCGGCATCGGAAACAGTTTTATAATATATACCCTTATTATTTGTTAATCTGATCTTCCAAACGTCTTATGGTAAAAGAAATCCCGGCGCTTCAAGAGAATGGCGGCTCCATCTATCTTGTGTGTAAACTAAACGGGGTAGAAATGACAGTTGATCCTTTTAAGGCCACACATACCTCTTATCTTAATGAAATGAGAAATTAGAATGCTTGAAAGCCTTGCGGTTTGATGCTTGAAGCCTTGAACTTTGAAGAACAGGGAGGAGGGGAAGTGAGTGAGTGTGGCTTTGACTGATCCCGTGCATTATTACATCATAAAGACGTGGGTCCTTACTTGACTAAGTTGACTTTCGGTGTTTCTGACTTTTACTAACTTACCGCCGTTGAAAATCTATCGAAACCCTTTTGCGAATGGGAACCTTTGGTTCAGGGGTACCCGTACACTACTACACAAACGCTCATTGGGTACATTTTGACATTTTGGTATGGTATACCGTATCCCAATAGAACCGAGGGGATTATCAGAGAAAGAGAAGGGTTCAAGGATTCAAAAGAGTTGCTGAAAACACCAGGTATATTGTATGACGGGCAGCGTCTTACAAATCTAGTACCGGTATGGTTATGGTGAGATTTAGTACTGGTAGATCACCAAGAGGAAATTATTACTCAATCTCTTCTTGCGAAATGAAGTGTTGACCTTACAAACCGGCTTTGGTGTCAAGCTTAGTGGGATAGGAACTTATAGATTTTGGTAACTGTAGCTGCTGTACCGGGTACCCTTCATAACTAATCGTGAACTAAACTAACGCAATGCAACACGAGCCTCTTGAACACGCATACGATATGAACGAAAAGAAGGGTACCGGTAGGGTCTTCACTTCCGCCCGTATAAGGCAGTATGGATACATATCACCCATAAAATCGACAACTAAATAAAGTTATAACCGTTGTCAGACTCTCTATAACTCTATACTTCCCTTGAGAACTTAAAAATCATTCTCGTCTTGGAATTTCTTTCCTAGTTTTATAATCATGTACCATTCAGTCAGTCAGTCAGTCAGTCAGTACATCCAATATTATAATGCCTGAATCCCACTTCCACTTCCCAGCAGTCAGCAAACCGGTGACACACAGTGGCCACGCGTGAACACTCAATTGACTAAAGCATCAAAGTCACCGAGACGAGCGAACAAATTGCAATCGAGTACCGAGTTCCTTTTGACTTGCGTGTGTTCAAAGTCCACTGGAAAGGAAAAGGGACACCCATAATAAAATCCAATATATGAAGGGATGCCCAATTTAAAACAACCCCCACTCAACTCTTTTGGGAAAACTCCAAGCGATTTCAACCCCTTCATCCATGGCTTGTTATACATAAAGCGGACGGCGTTACGGCACACTACATCTACTTAGTTACTTCTTAATAATCCTTTCCATTGCATTTCATACTTGAGCAGAGGCACAGACATATAAACCATTTTGTAATCGAGTAAAATCTTTGGTGACATTCAACCTAGAGGGAATCTGCTAAGAAGTAACACACACTTTCTGTACACCTTGACATTACCCTCCATACTGTTCCTATTACCGGTATATGCTGCAGTCTCAAATTATAATGGCATTACAGTAGCATTGTATGGAGTTTCAACCGCTCGCTACCTACCTAGATGAATAAGATCTACCGATTTTTACCATACTGCTAAGTGTGAGGTACTCCACTAATTAACTTCATTTGATTAAACGGCAGATAGGGTTATCAAATCACAGCCAACGATTCGAACTTCAACCGCTCCCTTTCACCTATGACTCTTTCTCATTCATTTATCTCGAAAGCTAAGGTTCTGACCCATTGTGTTTGAAAGGTCCGGGATCATTCTCAGTCAGAGGTGGATCAAGCATAATCGTGATTCGTGTGGCATAATTGACATTTCGGAATTTACGAGAGAAGTATAGCGTCACAGACTCACATGTGTTAAGATCTGCGGCAACGTATCCTAGTGCTTGACGGCTTTATCAGGGTCCACTGCAAGACCATGGAAGCCGAGCTAAGGAGAGACATCGGGCATGGCAAGCTTGAAAGCTGGGTGGGGGGAAATAATGGAAGCAGACTTATTAGCAGAGAGGCATGCCCGCCGCCCCTCGGTTTGTTTTGAACGGCTTCTTCTTGGAAGAGAGAGAGGACTGCTGGAGTAGAAAGATGGAATCTAATTGAGAATTCAAGGAACTAATCTTGAAGAAGCATTAAAAATAGAAACCTTTACTTCGAATAGTCAGAATTATGAGAGTAACATACATGTATATATGTAGTAAAGTTACTCACCTGCTCACCAAACTTCATTTAGACCCATTATACACAAATCGAAGAGAGAAAACTATTCTCAAATACTTCTTACACTATTGAATCCTAACTATCAATTCATCCATTATATCTCACTTACTCATATCAAATTTACAAATTTAAGAATTCACCAAAGAAACTCATTACACCGTTGATACCCATTCAACCTACTCGAGTACGTACTCGAGCCTACTTGAGCCTACTCGTGCAAATAGTCAATATCCATCCAACCATATAATTCGAACAATTCAATTCATTCATTTCCGAATTGGATACATTCCTCTTGAAGTTATATCCTCTTTAGTATTAGTTTTTCCAAAAAGTCTTATTTTTGTGATTAGTGGAACGGGAAAGGATACTCTTTTACTACACTGGGTAGGCAAAATCCCTTTTTGGTGTCACAGCGGATTTTTGGAATGGATGATTGATCAAGGAAGAACCACAGAAACTTACAGCCTTTCCCAACCACAATCTACCACACCTTTTCCCACTGTTTTCCACCCAAAGAAAACTCTCTTCCGGAAAGAAAAATCAGAGATAGAGAGAGAGAAGAGAGAGAGAGAGAGAGAGAGAGAAGAAACAGCAGAAAGAGAAACAGAAAGAGAACGAAATTCCTTTACAAAAGTTCAAGAAGAGATTCGATGCAAATTATTTTTGCTTGTAGCTCTTTTGAGCTTCCATCCTAAGAAAGAAAGAAAAAAAAGGATCAAATCAAAAGGTTTCAATTCTGTTCGACTTTTCTTCAGCAAAAGATACCCCATTGTTATTTTTGTACTACCACCTACCACCTCTCCTACCACCCATTTCTTCGATCCAGTCACAACCTTTAACACCAAACTACCACGATTTTTTGGCAACACCATACAACATCATATCTGCTAGCAAGATATATTGGGGTTTGAGAATTGCAAGAAAGTATACATCCTAACAAAGCTGCATCGATCAGCCTGTTGAGCAACGAGCTCACATCTCATATCTCACATCTCACAACTTACAACTCACACCTTATATCACCATGGCATCACCAACTGAAGCGATGGTTCCCGCCATACCACAAACTGCTTCGTTGGAACCCAGTACCTCCAATACATCACTCGCTGATTCTCCAATCTTGAACGATTCAACAAGTACATCTTCTTCGGACGCAAATGGAGGAAGCACACCAGCAAATACATCTGCTAGCCGTACACCCTCTCTTAAGAGACCAAAGCTTGGCACTAGAAAGTCTAGTGGTACTATAATAGTACCGCGCGAACACCCGCGTCTGGAGCTCAAAGAAGGGGATGAGGTTTTCGATGAGGATGATGCAAGAGCAATGAGTCCAAGAAGGAACAGTGAAGATTTGGAGAAGATTAGTCAAGATACCAGAGCGCAACTCAGCGAGTATGTTATTCCCCATTTCAACATCAGATATATAAACTATATAACATACAAAACAAATGCTAACTCAATCCTTCCCTTGAAGACATGCCAAACTTCTTCAACAATCTCTCCTCGAGATATTCAATCGAATCGAAGCTGTTAAAGAAGAGCACGATAAACTCGATAACAACAACAAATTCTTACAAAAGTATATCGGAGACTTAATGTCCACGTCGAAGATTACATCAACTGGTGCTGGAGGCCGAAAGAAATAGCCATTAGCCATGGAGACCAAGGAAATAGAGGAGGTATGTCGAAAACGAAAAGCCTTCCGGCATCATGGCTGGCCGAGTCGAAAAAAGAACAAGCACATCACAGAGGACCGAGAGGTATGAAATATCGTGCGCGGAACCAGGAAGAAGGCAAACCAAACATTTATACCCCTCAAAATACATACGGCCACACATATACCAAGCATACACCGCTCTCACTAACGATTCATGATTTTTCCAATTAATGATCCTTGCAAAGAGCTTGCAAGAGACCATAAGAAACATCACCACTTTCACCATACTACTCTACGACATTATCCACCCCTTTCCTGGTTTCCACACCAATCTATACTTCTCACATTCAAATATAACACAGCTGGCTGTATTATCAGCATCAGCAACAAACATCGGCAACAACGAACGACCAAGCGACTCAGAAGGGGACGAAGACGAGCAGGCATTACAATGGCGTACTTTTTCAGTTTCGGGTTTTCTGGTTCAGTCTAATTCATCAATCATTCTAGAGCTTATCCCGGGACCTCCAGTCTGATTGCTCGGCTTGGGCACTTGTTTTCGTTTTAGGAAAGGGGGGGGAGGCTACCATGGCATTATTGGCATGGCTGGCATTTGAGCTTTTTTTTTTCTTTCTTTTTTTTTCTTTGATGGCATTGCATTTGGAACTGGCTCTGGCATTATCTTTTATCATTTATCATCATCAGCGACGGGCGTTTATTTTCTTTTTTGAATTCAAATTCTTTCGCTCTCCACTTGGTATCAACATGTCGACAAACCCAGGAGAGCAGAGTCAGTAATGCTTATTTTTGACTCTGTGAAAACACAACTTTACAAGACGATACCATTACCATACTATACCCGTGGAGTAAACATTAGACTGGAATCGATGGGACGGGATGATTGGACCCCCGCGGATGAGAAAGAGGGTGAGGGAATGAGAAGTTGTTCTAGGATAAACATTCATATGTTTATGTTAGATATAAGCCGTCAGGGGGAGGGGGTGTAAGGAGCAAATGCGTTTAGGGGAGTAAATGGGATAGGTGGAACTTGCTTGCTGGGGATAAGGTTTGGGATGGGGGTTGGTTGTGGAAGTGCAAATGCAAATTCAAATTCAAATGCACATGGGGTGAGGGAAGAGAAAGTGCGTATTATAGATGCGGTATAATACATCACAACAACAAATTACAAATTCAAAGGTTTAATTCAAAGTTTGAGAGGATGTGGCTGAGGATGTGGATGAGGAGTTATGGTGACTGATGTATGTCTGTTGTTGGAGGTTTGATGTGGGAGGTTGGAGGTGTGTGGTATAGTTGGAATTCGTTGCTGCTGTGCTGTGCTGTGCTGTGGGTGATACTTGTTGTATGTTGAATCGTGTTGTGCGTTGTGTGTTGTGTCTAGGTAGGTATATTTGGTTTGATGTTTGTGTGTATGCGTTCGCCACTACCATGGTCGTTGTTATTGTTATTGCTGCTATTTACTATTGACTGCTACTACTGCTACTGCTGCTACTATGTTACTACTGATACTACTGATGAGAGATAGGATGGGGTGGGATGGGGTGTGATGAAATGGATGGGATGAGACGGTATGGGATGGTATGGGATATGATTACACTTGTTGATTAGTTATGGGAGATGGGATGGGGAAGATGACGGTGATGATGAAGGAAAGAGAGGGATGGAGAAGGAGCAGGGGAAGGGGGATAGAGGATAGAGGAAAGAAAGAGGGGAGTTGGTGGTGGAGAGGGATGGAATGGGAGGGTAGATAAGGAGAAGAGGGAATGGATATGGTATGGTATGTTAGCACATATATATACATACATATATACATCCCTTTGATCTATTATATTCGTCAGCTATCCATCCATACATAGATGGATCTCGTTTGTCTTATTTGGATTATTTGGATCGTTCTCAGAGTGGAATTCTTGGGGAGTTGGGGATGAAGTGGGGAGGGAGGTAATAGGAGAGAGGTGAGAGGATGATGGGAAGATGGTGAGAGGATGGTGAGAGGATGTTGAGTTGAGTTGAGTTGAGGGTAATGGGGTATTGGGGTATGGCTTTCATTTGGTTTGGTGATTTGGTTGATAGAGGAAGGAAGGGGAGAAGATTGTATACCAGGTTATATGTGTTCTGTGCAGAGGTGTAAAAGGAGGTTTGTGGGTGGGTAGGGAAGTATGGAGGTAGGTATATCGTTTCGAAATGCTGTTTGAGAAAGAAGGAAAAGGGGGTTCCTTGTGTATGGTTGGTCGGGTAAGAGAATGTTTAATTGGTATCTAGAGAGTATGAGGAGTAGTGCCGTGTATTTGAGGTGATGGTAGATTGAGTGTATAAGGGAGTATGTCGAGTGGTAGGGAATGAGGAGGAGCAAGAATCAAGAAGTTGGGTTTTGGGTTTTGGGTTGAGACTTGAGATTTGAAAGGTAGAGAGGTAGAGAGGTAGAGAGGTAGAAAGGTAGAGAGGTAGAGAAAAGGGGTTCGAATAGAGTGGGAAGACATGCAAAGATGGTATGATGAGATAGTAATATAGGGGGCTTGTTTGTGATAATTGGTACTATTACTATATTATCAGCAGAACCATACCCCTTTTTCCATACAATTTCGAGGAGAAGGAGAAATGGAAAAGCTTTCAGAAATTCTCTGACACTAATCACAAGCCTGATTGTCGTAAGTAAGAACACCTTTTTACTTTGAATCGAGAGTGTGACTAAGAATTTACACTACGATTTTGATATGAAATCACAAGTCCAAGGTTGCAGAATAGCCGTTTGAGCTGTCTAGGAAATTTCTATACTACTACTGACTCCTTTCAAGACTTTCCCTTCTTTTTCAACCTCCCCCATGTCTGCATATCTGCATATCTGCATTTCTACATTTCTTCTTCTCAATTCTTCTTGAGCCACTCCTTGTATTCCTCAAGAATTGCGATGTAATTATCTACTTTCAACCCCTGTCTATAACACCCCCGACGAGCCGGTCCGCTCGCTCACTACCTTCCATCGTTCCCAGAGCAATACTCGCAATTTTCTTGATGTTTTTTCTTAGGAAATACAGTGTTTCCATGGTATTGGTGATGATATCCTGATGTACGATCGCGTGCTTGATAGGGACTTTGGGGACTTGGTCGGGCTGAATGAGCGTTAGGGAATATAAACTCGTAGTGGCGAGCTGGAAAGGGGAGACGGGGGGGCCGTCTATTAAGGGCATCGTGGGCATGTAGAAGGCGAGGGTGATTTTTTCATTGGGGTGTTCTGGGCTTGGGAGTTGTGATTTGTTGGAGGCGTTGGATATCTCGAATTGGTTGGTGGGTGTAGGTCCACGCCACCATTCGTTTTCTTGCCTCAAATTTTTCTCCTTTTGCTCTAGTGACCGTGGGGCCCAGATGGAAGATTCGAGGCCTTGGTGGAGTTTAGGTTTTGGTGGCATCTATGGTTTGTAGTTATGAGCTTGAGATGATGAAATGGGAACGCAAGGCCTAAGGGGATAATGAGGGGTCACAAGATAAGTTCGAGCATACCTTGTTATCTCTCGAGGATGACATGTTTGATATTCAGGCTTATGTATAGGAGAAAAGGGACTTCTTGAACGGAGAAATCAAAGAGCCTTTATAAAGTTTCCTTTGGCCACAGAATCTACTTCTTTGAGCAGAAAAGCGAAACTTCGTTGGTATTTTTCTTGTGAAGTATTCCATGAATATTCTACCCGAGTCTGGAATCACTGAAAACACACAAGGAATTCAGAATGGAGCAGTAGAGAGAACAGATATCAGTAGCCATCGTACGATATTGAATCTTGTCTGCTTTTCAGACGGTTGTTGAGAATCCAATGGCACACAATCACTATATACAGAGTCTCTAGAGTATAGCGGAAATGGATTAGATTCAAGGAGTCAAATCAAATTAGGAATCAACTGATTTAAACACTCCTCACCCCGTGAGGAGTCTACCAGTATGTTCAAAGTGTTGCTCATATAACTAGAGCAACAATATCTCCCTACTCACTCCCAATCCTTCAATTTCATCTCACTCATAAGCACCCTCATAATGTTCTCCCAACCTCGAGATACTTCCTTCAATTATGTCTTCAACTCCTATTAATATCTTGTTTTCCACGCATCATCCTCAGCAGATTCAGAATTTTGTCTGTCTCCAAAGTCCCCCGTTTGTTACAACATTTATGGATAGATAGCATTTCACTTCGGAGCGTTCGAACTTCAAGGTATGAGTAATAGATTAGAATACTCCTGAGATCAATTTGAGAAGTCTATATGTGGCAGGTATTGATCAGGTTGTCCAAGGCGTCAGAAATCCCCGTGAGTGAGTAGCATCTCATCCCCAACGATCAATAGTAACCTTTTAGCTCTCTTGACTCACTAATTATGACCCCTAGCTTTGAACCCATCAAGTTTAGTTTCCATACATCCCAATTCGCTTGCCGCCACTCACTTAACAACTGATCGATCTTAGGATCTAGTTCCGTTCCCTCTGCTTCATCGATGTTTCCAATGTTCTTTGCATTTTTCCAAGAAGACCTAACTGCTTCTCTACATTCCCAATATACTTCTGATGCTCTGTAGTCTCTGCATACCCCATTTTCTCACAAAAGTCGCTCCACATCAGGAGAGTTACTATTAGATTCTTGCCCTCCTTTTCATGGTCGTCTAGTCGCGACTGTATAAACTCCATATTCTTCTGCAAAAACACCAAGGTTTCAGCATCCCTCGGAGCTTGTTTACACTACGCCAAGAACCATGGAACCATTTCCTCGAGTAGGATTCCTGATTGTACGAATTTTTCCATTCTCCCAGGGACAGAGTTAAAGACTTGTATCATCTCGTGATGACTGTAAGCTGCATCGATGCTGGGGTTGTATAATACGATATTAAGTTCATGATTCCGTGGGTCGGACGCGGACTAAAACTGATGTTAGTTATTACAATCCAGATCTTCGGGTCTAAGACGAACGAATGTAGAGATTCAAAAAGGAGTTGGAACTTGATGGTTGGGACGTACATTGTTGTCTCTTGAAGATGACATGTTTGGATATGTGGTCAGCCTTTCTTGGGGTGATTTGTGACTTGATTGTTGAGGTGGAATTGACTGAGAGAGAGTATGAAGTGCGGACTTGGGGCAATCAGGGACTTTTATATACCTAGTTATTAGTTTAGAAGCCACGCGAAGATAGTTGAGCATATCAATGATATTTTTAGTAGATCTAAGAAAGTTCTTTCTGCTTCGAAACTCGTTCGAAGAAACCAGGGGCTTGAAAGGGTAAGGGAAAATGTGACTCAACTTGACTCAACTTGACACAAAGAGATATGATTCATGATAAGTCATGTTCCAAAGGTTTCTAGTGAAATACATCAACCAGTCTTAATATTAGTACTCCAAACACACCTGCTAAGATTCTACATCAGCCAATTCCACAAATCGAGATGTCCTCCGAAACCGACATAAGCAAATTCGTCGACTACACGGACTCAACTGTGCCACGAATCAAAACCGATGCTCTGATTACTCTCATAAATGAACGGGATGCACTTCGTGAACAAGTCAAGGCAAAAGAATTATTTTTGGGATCCTATCGGGCACTAGTATTACAACACGAGACAAGGAAGACTGCGCGTGAGAGATCTGATGAGAAATTGGCGAGATTGGAAGAGCTGCTCATGAAAGAAGGGATAGATGGGGTGGAGAAGTTGAGTGATCGGGTGGGAGAGTTGAAAAACACGATTGTAAGGCAGAGAAATAGGGTGGAGTTGGCCGAGAGAATGTTGAGGGCGATTGCTAGAGTGATAGGGATGCGGTCATGAACGTCCGATGTAAGGAGGACAAGACTGATATGAACTTCGGAGTAGACTGGGGTATTTGTCACATTTGAGGCGTGAGCGAGGTTTACTGGATTCAGTGAATGCGAGGCACTCGAGCTTGACTGAACTTGTTATCTGTGTACTCACTGTTATGATATCATTGTGACATGATCCCGCAACTAACCAGTTCTTTTTTATACCCTCTGATGTCAAATATGCCATAAAGCTTTCAGTCAAGAGGAAGCTAAATCAGAGACATCATAATAGTATCACAGAGATCATCGAGCTCAATGATGCAGAACTTGAAGAACAGGTTAACACGTAAGAAGTAGCTATAGTAGGAGTTGGGCTTGGGCATGGTGTGTCAGTACCACTAGTACCGGATGATGTTTCCTGCACTAGTATATTTCCCATTGTGTCCTGTTCCATCTCGAAATCCTCAGTCTTTCCCAATCATCATCGACCAGCATAGAACATTCTTAGAACAGAATCAGAATATTGATATTCTACTTTTCTAGAGAAGCTAGTAGATCAAAGGGAGATTATATGACGAGAAGAATGATACAAAGGATCGTTGATTCCTCAATTATGCACTTTCATCGACCCATACATACCTACCAAACCTCAAGCTTGACGGCTCTGAAAAAAAAACAAGTTACATTTGGACCCAAAATCCATATCATCTCCTCATATTCCCATCCCTCTGTTCAAGCTCGTACCGCATTATAGATACTGTCTAAAATCTACAACCAGCCAAGGGCTCTCTACTTCCAAAAGCTAAGAATGTTGTATAAGAAAATGAAACGAAGCGCAAGAATCAAGCCTACTCGATCAACATCCCTAGAGACCAAATGAAAAATACACACAAGGAACTACAATAGATACTGTATTACTTATACACAATCCATAGCCTTCTAAGCGTATCGACCCATGTCATGAAATGAAGCTGTAGAATGGCAATGACCTATCACACTACCCTACCCATCCTAGCAAGCAACACTCCTAATAAAATTGACATATATACTGTCATAATAGAAGCGAATTATCTCCACCCATGTGGTATTCATAAACCATGCGCGGATGAGACGCAGTCTCTTCTCCGCCACCATGCGAGATATATGGAAGTGACGAAGAAAGAAAGTCATGGATGGACCTTCAAAATCGGCAGGATGAGAGAACGAGAACAAAATCCGAAGCAAAGTCGGAGAAAAACGCAGCGCAGATTGTACAAGTGAATCGCGTGTACAAAGGGAGGGTTTGAGAGTATTGAGATTCCGTGCAGAAGAAAGAACTGGCGGAGAAATTTCACAGGTGGATGGATGACTGCGCGCAAGGTAGGGGAGTTGTCTGGTCGGCAAAGACTCCTAGATTATCGAGGGAGTGTATCTCGTTGGAGACCTAGGTAGAATCTTAGGAAAGACGTGGTCAGTTGAAAGTCTGATTAGAGTTGAGTTATTGTTTCGTTCGTACCTTTGCAGTCAAGTCAGTCTTCAATATAACTTGCTGCGATGATATTGTATTGCAGTATTTCTTGTTGTTGATGTCGCAAGAGATGTCGATCATAAAAGGAAGCGAAGGTTTTCAAGTCTTGTACGTACGAGTTATCGATGAGAATCTCCTGCGCTCGATAGTATAGTATAGTTGACGATGTTTGTTTACCGGATTATCTCATACTTTCTCAGAGAGCTTCTGTTTGATGGATGGGTAAGAAGTCGGATTTCAGAGGCGTGGAATAAAATAATGTAATACCAAATCTAGAAAATCAGCTGGCACAAGAGCCTGTAGAGGAACTAAGAGTGTAAATAATGTGCTTGTGCTACGCTAGTATTAAGCCCAAGTAATGAAAATGATTTCACTTCACATCACCAGAACCCGCACCACCACCTGCAGAAAAATGTCCAAGTGATGAGCCAGAATCCTTAGGCAACCCAAATCCCATCCTCCCAAACATTTACCTATACACCGCCTTCCACTCTACTATATATATCCAAGTAATTAACTCTCCAGCATATTAACCGAGCCGATGGTAAGCAATGTGTGTGTGGTGTAGTCGTTCAACACGTCTACTCCCACTTTCGGCGCAGACTCCACAACCAAGCTCCTGAGAGTTAGTTACGTTCCCCTGGGCTTGCTCAGGGGGGTGGGGCATGATTCATACGGTTTACCGTAACCTGGTGTATACACCGGGTACCTAATGCTTTGCCACTTTGGATCTCGAGTACTTTTTTTTTGGACTTTTTGGTTGGAGGAGGAGGAGAGAGTGGGTCGGTGGAGTCTGCCGAGATGGCTTGAGCTGTGTGGTTGGTTAAGAATGGTATTGATGTTGTGGTTGTCGTCTCGCTTCATGTTTACGGCTCGCTTCGTGGATTAACCGCGCTTTACGCTTTTGTCGCGTTGTCAAACCTCTTTACCTTGCTATGGATTCTAATTTCTTCATGTGTGGATATGAAGAGTATGATACCACTCGTATTTGTCAGAAAGTTCTTTGAAAGTGTATACACTTGATGAATGTCATAAGCGAGCGCAGTTGTAGTGAGTGACAGAAAGAGTTTGTTTACTCGCATTTGTTTACTCGCATCGCATATTCTGCGGCAGCATAGACGGCTGGGTAAGTGTGTTTTTCGCCCTTCATGTAGTTATGTGTTTACGTCCTTGTACTGATCAAATATCTGTCATTAGTAGCTATCCACCCTTCTCATTATTCTCGCCTCTTCATACATTTTGCGTCACTTCGTCGGGTTGTCTTTTGTTCAAGATGACACTCAGCAAGGATCTCGAAACTCTGTTTGGTGATAACTATTGGATTATTGAGAGTCGACTGTGGGTTACTGAGTTGTCGGTCGGCTTAGTGTTGATACGTATGTTTGTATTTGCGCCAACCAGATATATGAAAAGCATCTATCCATCTCAATCATTCCCTCGTTCAAACTCCATATTTACTCCAAAATCCTCCTCCGCTCTCTCCCTGAACTCCGCTGCCGCCCTAACCCACCAACTTCTACCATTGACCCCTCTCGCATCCCCACCCATCCCCTTCCCTTCTCTAATCAACTCCTCTAACTCCTCCTCCTTCCCCTCCAACAACCTCTCGCACTCCTCCAAATACTCCACGTAATTCTCATACACCACCACTAGCTTTTCCAGCACAACTACTTTCCTCATTCTCTCTCTTCCATCTCTTCCTTCCGCCCCTTTCTCATCCAATCTTATCCTTGCAACCTCAAGTTCTATTTCAAGTTCCTCTTTGCGATTTATGATTTGTTCCTTAGTTGCTTCGATATATTTGAGCTTGGTGCAGGTATCGTTGTATTTTTGTTCTAGGGGCGTGGGAGGGACGATGAGGGCTTGAGGTGGGACGTCGTGGAATGGAGAGTTGGGGTTGGGTTGGTTGTCGTTGGGTGATGGGTACCAGTTTTGGGCGGGAGGAATGGACATCTTTGAAGAGTGAGCTTAGGATGGAATAGGCGGAACCGTGTAAGACTAGGAGAGGTAATGTGAAAGAGAAGATAATTAGGTTATTTAGTACCGGTACATGTTGTTGAGATGAAAGAATAATCGAGGGTGTTAATGGGCTTTCGAGGTTTATCCAGACATTTCCTTCGGCCTTAATGAAGACAATACTAATTCCATGAGTAGCTACTAGAGGAAGATTTTTGGAAACGCGAAGACTAGAATATAAAGCCATCTGGCATGACCCAGCGGTTTCAGATAGAAACCATACCGATGTATCTATCATAAATTTCCTCTCCAGTTTCAGGCTCAAGCTACCTTGAAAAATTCTGCGAGGCCCGAATTCAACCTTTCACTCAAACAAGTTAAATATGACACACACTCAAAGAACTACTTCCATTCAACAATATTTAAGATGTCCCCCTGCCCGTTAAACGCCACCCTCACACTTTCCCGTCTGCTTAACACTCATTTCATGCCCCCTCTTCGAGATCTTCATATCCATCGCTCATGCTCTTGTGATGTTCCAAGTCCATGTCCTTTGCATCTACATTCATATCATTTCGTCTTTATCCGTCCCAATTCTCAAATCCTCATTGTTGTCACGATTTAAATATTTCCTCGGATTTATCCGTGGAAGATGTGTCTTCACGCATCGCCTCTCTCACCTCTTTCCATGCCCTAACCTCCATCGCTTAGCTCTCACTCCATCATATTTCTCCCCTCCCCATGATTTTCACATACCTTCTATTCCCTATCCACCTCCCCTACCATTCTATCCTCCTCCTCCTCCATTCTCTCCCTCCACTCCCGCCACACCTCAACAATACATTTCCCACCCACAAACTCCTTTACATATCTCACAAGTCCAACAAGTCCAATAATTCCCATGAATTCCACCCTCTTCATCTCATTGAAACGATTTCTGAAACTAGCACTCGATCCTACCCTTCGATCTCAGCTATTTGTCTACCCGTAAACTGTGCTTGTGTAGCCGCTCCATAGCTTTTAATTCCTCATGGCTGTGATATGTGCGAGAAAAATCTATGTAGAATTCCTGTAACTTTTCTTGAATAATGGATGAAGGACTTTGTTCCCGATGCTCACTCTCAAACTTTTCTTTCTCGCGGGTCTCTCGCGGGTCTCTCACGGGTCTCTCTCTCACATCTTCTTCTCCCTCCCTTCTTTCTCCCTCCTTTCTCTCCTCTCTCTCTTCCCCATCCACCGCTCCCTCTGCACACATCTCAAATTCCGATAAGATTCATAAGAAGCAGCAGCAGCCGATCCATACACTTTCTCACGTCACACAAGAGACATTCTCTGCACAGTACCTGCAGTTACAGCCGGTCTATGAACCAAAACCAGCTCTCTACTCTTCGTACTCGTAGACTTCATTTCCCTTTCCCTTTGCATTTCCATTTCCATTTCCGTAGCCAATATATCAACTCCTCTTTGATTTTCGAGTTCTTCGTCCATCATGCGTTTATCCTATATATATATATATTAGCTTAAGCTTTTCGTGTTTATGGAGAGAGAGGAGAGGATGAAATGGGATGGGAAAGAATGTTCGATGATCAATACACCACATACTACTCCATCGTGCAAATTTGACATATCTTCATTTTCATCTTCATCTTCATCTTTTGACAATGCCATCTTGTCATATCATATCATATAACATCATATCTTGAACAAAAAAATGGCGAAGAAGAGAAGTGAGCTATATACTCGAGTATATTTCTGATATCTATCTATACATCTAACATGAAAGAACATCCCAAAGCATGAAAAACATCCATCAACAGTCTTCCTCCTCAAAGATAATTCTATTCCATCAATCATATCATATCAAATCATGTAGAAGCGACTTACTCTTCATGTTACATATCTTCATGTATCTTCATATATCTTCTGTATTTATCTTCACCATATCTTCATGTATCTTCACGTATCTTCTATATCCATCCGTGTATGATTCTTTGTAGCTATGAATGAATGAATGAATGGATGAATAAATACTCAGTAGGCTGCAATTAATCAAATCAAATCAATCAATCAATCAAATCAACCAATCTTGACAAGAAACAACGAATAAAAATGTTAGAAAGAAACAAGATAATGAGTATGAGAATATGAGTCTACCTACATGATGGGCTAAAGTAGCTGCGAATACTTGATGGCTTGATGGCTTGATATCAATAATTTTTGCTTCTGGCTGTTAGTATGTATACCTGCTGTTTCCTACCCGTTGGCTCGTTCATGAATATGAATATGAATGCGTGGAATAAGATGTAGTATTCTTCATTCTTTTATACCAAGTATACTCCCATATCAATAATCACCAAACACCAAACCAATAGCAATTGCTATTACTCTCTCATCAGCATCACCAACAATAATCCCCTCCCACCCCTTCCCCTCACCCTGACCATCACCATCTCCACCCCTTTGCCCCACCATCACCCTCATCCATCACCTCTCCCAACCCCCCCTATTGCCCACCACCACCACCACCAAACTCGTCACCATCAACAACCCGGTAATACCCGCCACCAACACAATACTACCTCTACTCGCCGGAAACTTCCCTCTAATAATATAAAACTGGCCTTCAAAATACCGGTGGAAACCCACTGAGAGCATCAGAATCGATATGCCTACGAATGTGGCGCCTAGAGGTTTGCCCAGGTGACGGAGATGGTTGTGGGGATCTGTGGGGAGAGGAGTACTGCTGGAGGAGGTGTTGAGGCGGAAGCTAGGTGAGGAGGGAGGGTTAGTGAGAGGGAAGATGGAGAGAGGGATGAGGAGAGAACGTACAGTTGGGTAATTGCAATGCCGATACTGGCGAAGGCGAGGGAGGTTCGTAACCAAGCTAAAAATGTCCTTTCTATTTACACACCATGGTTAGCAATCTACATATCCAATTCATCGGCATATTATTCCCCGGATGTAGGACAAAAACATCACGAGTTAATTGAGTGGATCAGAAAGTTAGCGAGAGAAAGAAAAGAGGTCACAAACCAAGCGCCAAATGATCTCTCGCAACACTCCCCTTATTCTCCAACTCAATACTTCCATATTCCTCCACCATTCTCTTCCACCATTTCTGTATCCTTCCGCTTTCAATTTCCCTATTCTCATCTTCTCCAATTTCATAGCTATTCACCCCTCTATCATTATTTTCTTCTCTCTCGTCATGCTCAGCTCCATCAAAACCTCTTCCTCTTCCTGTTCCCCATATTCCTCCTCTCTTATCTTTGTTGTTTGCTCCAAGCTTCCTTTTTATACTTTTATTTCCATTATTCGTATCTGCGGTCATGTATACGGCGGTTCCGACACCAACACCTCCATAATTTATAGCTGCGTCGCGTTGAAATACGCTTGTTTCTTCCTCTGCGCTGCTTTCCCCTCTACTTTCTCTGTCATTTCCATTTCCATTACCATTACCATTCCCATCCCAATTACCTATCCTCGCAGGACTTTGGGTTTCGACCCCACCTCCCCCCCTCTCAGTATTCTCATCGGTCATCTTCACCTTCCTACTCCTCGCCTGCTCCAAAATACCATCAATCCTCTGTCTCTTCCCCTCTTTGATTCTTTGACTCCCACTCCCACTCCCACTCCCACTCCCACTCCCACTCTCCCTATCAATTCGCCCACCCGGACTTGGACACTGCCTCTGCCTCTGCCTCTCTGTATATAATTTATTCGAGCCCGACCCTGCCTCAATATTTGTATCCGTCGAATTCGTATAATTTGTATTTGTGCGTAATTTATTTAAAACCGTCTGGGGATTCTCATCCCGCGAAACCTGCGATTGCGATTGTAGTTGCGACTGTAAATTCGAGTTTCCCCTTTCCCTTTCCCTTCCCCTTCCACTTTCATCCCGATCCCCTGTACTCAAATCCATCTCGCACAAACACTGCGTCTCTCGTATGTAACCCTAGAATCCAATGTCCAGTATCCAGTATTCAGTATTCAGTATCCAATATCCAGTATCCAGTATGCAGTAACCGCACCGCACAATTCCCCGCTTGCACGTTCGATTTCCGATTCGCAGTTTTCGATTCGCAATTGTTCAATCGATGCAAATACTACTCGTACTTGTTTGCTTACTTCAACTCTATTCTACCCAACCCCTCTTCTCTTGTATATATCCCCTCTTCTTTTGTCTTCTCTTGTAATAAATATATATCCTTCCTTCTTTCCCACTCAATCGATCGATCGATATTATATTCAACTAGAATTTACCCCGTACCGACCTATCCGTTATGCTGTTCTGTGCCGTCTCTCCTGGGTAATGTTATGCGTACTCGGCACCCTTTCCTCTCATAAGTTATAACCCTACCAGGTTTCTTTCTTCTTTCTTCTTCCCCTTTCACTTCTTTCTCACTCCCAAGCCCCTCTCTCTCACACACTTCCAACAAACAGTAGTTCAGAGACAGAGAATCACAATCAATTGTTCTTGATATCACAATCACAATCACCTAAAAGCGGAAATAGAAACCCTCTCGGATACAATACTCTCTCTCGGTCTCTCTCGTTCTCGAATATATTCATATATTCCACCACCGTTGTATTGCTTTGCGGAGAGCCTTCAAAAATACCGGTACGGTAACTCGGTAGGTATGTGGGAGTGGGGGGTTGATTCCCCGTTTTTCGTTTTCCGTTTTCCGTCTTCTGGAATCTTAATAAGATGTATATATGGGTAAAAGAAGAAAGATTGGAGGAACTGGAAGGGTTTAATTGATTTGGTTGATCGATCACTACGAAAGAGGTACTATGAATAATATATGAAGGTTGCTGAATTGAGAAGTTAGTTAAAAGTATCTACTCGAGTACTCGTACTGTACCGACATCATCCTCACCCTCCCTCACCTCACCTCCCTCATATCTACTCATAATCACAGACCAAAGAAAGTAAATTATTTTGTCATCAATAAACAATTTATCAAGAAATTTCCAAAAGATACCAAAGTAGCTCTTATCTGTATACACGAAAAGAAAAGAAAAAGGCCACACACTTCATCTGAATGTTCTACATATTTAGTTTATTTTTTTATATTTTTTCTGCCCTCAAATATCTCATCATCTTCTTGAAAAAAGTAGACTAAGTAAAGTGTAACAGATCTCCTTTTTCTTTCCTGTCTCTGTGTTGTGCCGACTAGACTACTTGTATTGATACATGTACCATATTCTGCAGTCTCTGACGTCAAGTTGCCATTCACATCCACAAAGAGCAAGCCTAAAAGCTCTCTACCACGTCTTTCTAGGAGAAAGATATGGTGACATTTTCCGTTCCGTATGCGTTCCGTCCAAACTTTTGTAGCCAGTATGAAAACATATGCAAGAGTGCCTGCGGCAAATTGATAAAAGGCCGTAGGGATAAAGGGGCACTCTGTAACAGGAGCACGTCTCCTTCAAAATGCGTAACAGATACGTAGAAGAGTTAACCAAGGTGATCGCTTCGAGGAAAGAAGGCTTTCCCGTCATCATATGAACATCCATCTGCTGAGAACACAACTTTTTATCCACCCACAACAACAACAACCCCCCCCCAAGAAATCCATCCTCGCACACACGACCATCTCGAACGTTGTATTCCAACGTCCAGATAGCTTCCACTTCAATAATGTAAAAACATTAGCGACAATTATTACAAAGGAAAAGTTGCCACACAAAGTATATTCCGAGACCACATGGAAAGGGTATCTGATTGACATATTTGTTCGAAAGGTTGCAAGTCGAGCGTAGGTTCGAACATCCGAGGCTTAGAATAACTTGAGGGCGTGTAAAAGAAAAATTGACTACAACAATCATAAGTCGCAATCATGGATATGCGCGCGAAAAGAAAACAGTATGTGCGCCGGAATTTTTTTAAAATGAAGTCGAGGACCTCAAGCGCCTATGAAAAGACGTATGTGGCGGTACCGCCCGAGGTAATGGAGACCTGATGATTTGTTAGCTCATAAATCCCACATCTTCGTATGAATCAATTAACTTACGGTGCAACCAGTTGAGGACTCAACACCATTGTTGTAGTATGTTCCAGATGAGTAAGAACATTTTCCGGAGACATCACCTTCAATGGTAATGGTGAAGTCCAGGGTTCCGTAGGTATTGGTTGGGGTGTTGGGGATGATTGACAACCAAGTGGTACCAGAAGAATCTTTACCAACACCAGCATTGACAGGAGCCCAGTTACCAACGTTCCCACCTGTGCTTCCCCAAACACATGCTTCAGCGGTATCAGTTCCTTTTGGGTTGATGTAGTATTGTGCCGAAGTTGGAAGTCCTTCCCATGAGTAGTAGTCACTGGCATCTGGGCAAGTCAAGTTATAAGTGTTGCCAGGGGAGGTAGACAATGGAACGGTTTCAGCCTCGAGACCAGGGTAATCAGTACGGCAGACAGAGACAATGCTGTCAAGCTTGTTCTGAACCTTGACAGATCCTGATCCAGCGGTACAGAGTTGTTTAACGGAAGATCGAGATAATTCAAGCTTGCCGTTAGAATTGCAGTAAAGACCACCGATGGATTCGCCAGTGCTCCCTTGTGCGGAAGGCCATTGAGATTTTTGGAAACCAGCTGGGCAGGCATAGGAACAGAAACTACCCTTGACACATCCGCCGCTTGTGAGGGTGTTGATGGTGACGATTGCAGAAGCCGAGATGGTGTAACCAGGGGTGCTTTGAAGACCGATCCATCCATCCAAACCAAGGTAATCGACAGCGACTGGACCATACTCAGATGGGAAGGTGGAACAAGAGATTTTGCCACTTGGGAAGTCGGCCCAGTCGCCGGAGCTGCTGGAGCTGCTGGAGTAAGTGGAGCTGCTGGACGGGGAAGCTGCTGCTGCGCTGGTCGAGGCCTTGGAGGCAACGGAGCTTGATTTCGACGTTGATACTGCCTTGACAGAAGTTGAAGAAGAAACCTCAACAAATTCCGCAGTGGCCTTGATGATTGAGCTGGTAGAAGCTGCAGAAGTGGTGGCGATAGATGTACTTGTAGCGGATGCGACAGAAGTTGATCCGGTGAACCAGTTAGTAGCTGATGGCGCATCGGCAATTACATCGTCTCCAACCAAAATGTATTTGCCAGAAGCTAATCCCTTTTGAACCTCGGCCAAAGAGATATCCTTTCCATTGAGCATGTAGACTGTCTCAACAGGGCCTGGCATGACTTCTGTCACAGAGACGATAGTATCACCGCGTGCAACCTTATTCGCTCTAGCTGGATGACGGTGTTGATGGTTGTGGGGTTGCGCAATTGCAACACCAGCAACGCTCAAAAGCGCAACTGTAACTGGGGCGAACTTCATGGTGAAGAAGTGAACTCTCGCGATAGGGATACACTGAAGGTTTCTTGGTTCTGAACTTCGAAGACTCTAATAAGATTGATTGGATGTGCAGCAGTCCGTAGTCGTTATTTCTTGGTGCTTGACAATTGGGTCCTAATCGAGATTGAAGTTGACTTCAAAGTTGAAGAGAATATATTAGCATTCCGATTTAAGATGCGACAATTGATAGATCTATATTGAAAGGCGAGGCAAAGTAAAGTCCCATAACAATAAACGACCGACAAAGACCGGGAAATGAGATTTAGATGGAGAACGCGGCGAGATGGAGAATAGTGGGACAGTGAATCAGTAAAAACACGAGAGATTCCACTACATACCTTAGCTTTGATTCAATCCCGACTTAATTTCAATGAATCACTCTAAATGAAAGGTCTGTTTGTAGAATAGATGGAGAATAATTTGTAGGGGGAGAGTTGATGAACAAATTTGAGATGGAGGTAAAGTCGCTGAAGGGGGGTGGGATGAGGAGGGGAAGGATAATGAATTTCTGAGGTTGAGTATTGTTTTGATTTGTTGATTTTATTTGAATTTGCAGGAAGAGAGAGGTTTTGAGATAAAATTCGCTGTTCCAAATGAATGTGGTAGAGAGTTGTTTATTTTTGGTATGATAACAACTCTCAGTTGGGAGGGAATGCTTTGAAAAAGAGAGTTGATGAGGTGTTGGCTGGAGGAGTGAAAGGTGTAAAGGGAGAAGTTATCACGAAAAAGAGGAGACAAGATATTCAAGGGCAGCAGTGGTAGAAGAGTATAAGAAAAAAGAGGAGGTGGACGTGGCTAGGGAACGAAACGAAAGCAGAGAAGGGGTGAACAAGGTGAACGGACCACTCACAGCCAAGAATTAAAATTAGATTCAGGTACAAGATAATTAAATTGAACCAATGATAATTGTGACAATGGGACCCACTAAGGGATATATCCTAGTTGGGATATTTTAAATCTTAGAATCTCTTTAGCGTCGAGCTTAAACCTAACCTTGTATAGTAATTAATATAATGAATGGGATGAAGGGTCTAAACATCGAATTCATCGAATACATTTTTTTATTATGAAGTAAGTTAAGTTACTTACTGGGATAGGATAGAATGGGATGAGAGGTAGGAGGTACGAGGTATGAGGTATAAGACTTATGAGAGATACCTACTTGTAGAGATAGAGGCATCGGAGAGCATCGGAGACAGAGGGATCAGAGACAGATAGATGAGAGGTAGTCTTCAGACAGAAAACCAGCCACTCACCAATCCAAGTCAGTGATTAACGATAGATGATATCAGGGGTATTACTTTAATATGACTCTACCAAAGAAATCATAGCTTTAAGTTTAGGATTTGATAGATAATAGAAAAGATCTTAATTATTCCTTATTATAGATAGAGTCTAGACAAACTTCGCTCGCTGAGAAGAAGAGAGAGAGAGATAAATCTTATATATATTAATACGAGTAAACGTATTTAAACAAATCTAATAATTATATAAATCTTCTATTAATATGATTCCTATATGATATCTATCTATATATATCTATATCACTGATTTTACGAAAGTATACATTCCCATTAGATTTCAACCAAGAAACCCAAAAACCACCTCAAAACTTCTCTCCATAAATCAATACATTTACCGTTCATCCCATCAACCACACTCACCCATCCATCGCATAAACAAAATCCCATCTTTCCAAAAATCCGTGCGTTTCCATCCAAACATCTCTGTTCTACCGGTACTCGTACTCAACCAAAGAACCAAAAGAAACCTTTCTCCATTCAGTCTTTTCATCCAAACCTCTAATTTCGGCTATTCCCAGTGATCCCACCCACTGGCTATTAGATGAAGAGCACATTAACCACTGACCACCAACAATAAATCTCTACAACGACTCCACCAAATCTTCCCATTTCTGGAGTAATAAATGAGTACTAATAATGACCTAGAAGCTTGGAGAAAGCAGCCGGAGATCTTTCAATATTTGGTCTCGGGATAGTTGACATTCAATCCCCCCCTAGATCAATGACCTGTGCTTTAGTTTCATCTTACTCAACGAGCAGTCGATAGGGAGGGACTCAGGGAATACAGGTAGTATGAGCGAGAATTTTTTTAATTTTTTTATGCCGCTGAGGAGCCTATGAGTGAGTGAGGTAGATTCAGTCACTCAGACTCAGGTAATTCTCCCCATGCAAGCATATATCATTTCGTCCCAAGCTACATTTCCTGTACTGACTTCGGAAGAAGTGGTGGAATCGACAGTCGAGACCGATCACAACTCAGGGGTTACCGTTCCGTTCCAATGACCTATCTAAATTCTGGAAGAACAGACCTCATGATTTTGAAAAACTTCTCCTATTCAAGCTTGATGCCACTGTGCCAGTGAAGGGTTAAGATAACGAGCACGATAGATAATTCTTCATGTCGTAATCTATGATCTGGGGATTTTTGGATTTATTGATTGAAGTCGTGGTTCATGACGAGTCTCAAATTTTAATCTTTGAGTATGTACTCGAGTTATCAATACAGTAAGTATGGCAATGGATTGGTTTTTTTTTATGGTGGGATATTAATTAGCAATGATGAATCCATCCATGATTATGCTGTTCGACCATCATGGAATGGACCACATGGCAGTGAAGGATTTGGGGTCCAGAATTGAGGACTTTGAAGAATTTGAAGTGGGTGATGAAGTGAAGAGTTGAAGAAAGGCTGAAGAAAGACCAATGAAGAACTCCGATACGGTACTCATGCTCTTCGTGTCACGGTCAATATCCAGGTGAACCAGCTCTAACTGGCACAAATGTTCTACGGCAGGATTCTCCCGTTACACTCCACGGGTATAATTCAGCTTGTGGAGATCATCTACCTCACTACCATTCAATTAAATCCTCGTAGTTCATGGCTTCTGGTTACTCAGCCATTGATGGACTCGTACACAAACTCAAGATGTTTATTTCCACACGTTGCCATCCCAACTTTCAACTATTTTCTATTTTCATCCACCTGATGATATGCAACCCAACTTCTACTTTCATCACGCACACACCACCGTCGTTGGCCAGCTAAATCGATATCTCACCTCTCTCCAGAGTCTCCACCCCCAAGAGCATCCAGAACAAATGAAATTCCAAATCAGAGACCACCGCCATTGACCAGCTAAATCGGTACCTACCTCTCCACCCCCAAGAGCATCCAGAACAACCCAAATCCGATCGACAACCACAAATCTCAATATCTCGTATCCTCGCCTTGTTATTTCCTTCATTTGCATTCATAAATGAACCCCAACCCTTAAAATCACACTCTTATTACAGTAATACTAACTGCCAAATGGTAACCACCCATCAAAAACTGACTTCTCGTTTGAAGAAACCTAACTGGTACAGAAACGATACGATACGATAGATACCTAATAGTACGGGCTCAGCCGTCCCCTTTCACGCCGTTACCGTTAAACCTGGCTCGTCTCGTCTGGCTTCCACCGCTGCTCCTTGGCATACTTTACCCCTGACTATATCAAGGCACTGCATTATTATTCGTGGTTTGCATTAACCTTACTGTATATATGCGAATAATACAAATGATCCTTGCATTGTTTATATAAAGTTTATGTTAAGATTAACTACTCGAGTAGAAGCACAGGGATTATGCCTTGGAAGGTTGTAATAAGCGATGGTGGTGAAGTCATAGTCATCGATGTTTGATGCAAAGAATAAGGATAAGAATGAACCTTAACAAAATTCATGGATTGCTTCATTGCCTCATTGCATCCGCTTTTTGTTCGGATTGATCTGGGAAAATGCATCCGATCGGCTCGCTTACGTGTGCACTTTCCTAACCAAGTGACACGGCATTCTTAAGGTCTCCCGAAAGCTTCACCAGAAATTATTCTCAACATCGTGAATGCGCAAGTACGCTGTTGATGTTCGTATTCATATTCATGTTTGCTTTCCTCTTGTACTAGCATATTATGAAATCACTCTAGCGAGCCTTCCTCGGGGAGAGTGTTTGAATATCAAGCTATAGTAGCTTGCTGCTATGACAACGTCTGGCATCTACTATATGTCATCACATTTTGGATTTAGGTTGGGAAGGCCTAGTGGTCTTCAAACTGCGATACTGGCGTCACTGTGTTTGTATTCGCAGGTATAATCAGCGAATGAGAGGCATCTATCTATTGTTCGTTACTGAATTCCCACTACTAGGATATGGGAGAAACATGAAGCAAACAAACTACCGAAGAGGTTATATTCCGCTGCATACCGTAGCAGCCTACTATGATACTCCAATCGTTATCATTATTATACATTGATCCGAGCACCATTAACAAACTTATCATTCCAATTTCCATTCGAACAATCTAGATACCCCGCAGCTGAAATCACCCCATGTTCCACATTCCATCACATATCGATTTCACATCCAAATCCATATCCACATTCTCAGTTCATATGCCTATCGATAAACAAACACATGTTTTGAATTCCAGCGAAGCAGGCTTTTGGGAATTGTGGCAATCGTCCGATAAGGCTGTATGTTGGTTGCTATCATTGATGGACAGGGCTGAATATTGGTATGTGGTTGTCCGAAATTGAGGGTTGGCAATGATGGATGATTGACATCAGCAACCGAAAATACTTGAGGCTCACCATTGCTTATTTGTATTGCTGTTTGTGGACGTTTAGTGCAACACCAAGTGAAGGTTGAACTCGATGGGAGTGTGCTGTTTTTTATATGCTTTTGCTTATCCGAGATTTATACTCTCACGCAATGTAAACCTTGCCAAAAAGTCGCATGCCGAATCCATTACAACAAATCTACCTTCTAATATCACACAAAACCGTCAATATTATGTCAGACTTATTAAGACTGCACTTCTTCGCTTTCCGAAAGTCAAAAGTTGATTGAGTGTAATTTTCGGTTGAAAATGATATTTCGTTGATTTCATATGGAATTTCAAACGAACGGAATTTCTTGAGTACACGGTTTATTTCGTGAATTGCGGGACTACTACGCGAGTACTCGAGCAGTTATCTCGTATATTCTACTCGAGAAGCGTACTAAAACAAGCAAATGACTTGAATAGTGTATAAAATGAGCAGAAACACAGCGATCATTACAGAGTATCACACTCAAAGGATCCTTCTCTCAGGCCCTTTTAATCTTTGTCTTTGAATAGTCTATGCATATTCTGACATCACATCACATCTTCATCAGTGCTGATACCCTTGGATAATGGGACAGTGAGATGTATTGTATACATACCAAATATTGCATCCTACTTCGGCATTCGATTTAAGTCAAACCCAGTGCCAGTCTGCCAGACAAAAGCCTATACTCGCCATATCTATAAGTCTACTCGAGTAATAGGGCTAGGGTAAGGCAAGGCTTCGATCGTTTATATACGGGAATCAATCCTTTGATTAAATCCTGATATTGAAGAAAAAGTTTTTTCAATCATATTACGATTCTAAAATGAAAAAGGGACCTTCCTATCTATAGTACTACAGTACTGAGTAGATTATAACTCAAAAACAAAAGCCACCACCAAGAATAGTCTGAATAGGACAAACAGGCCGACCCCCTCCGGCTCCTCCGGCAAATAGGTAGCTAAACTAACAGAAGCACCACACCACAGAGAAGCTTGCCGCTGCCCAAAACACCCGCACCTCATCTTTTTAACCTCAACTCAAACCCTGATAGCTTATAGCTTATAGCTTATAGCTTATAGCTTATAGCTTATAGCTTATAGCTTATAGCTTATAGCTTATAGCTTATAGCTTATAGCTTATAGCTTATAGCTTATAGCTTATAGCTTATAGCTTATAGCTTACAGTAGCTAGCTACTTAATACCCTCATGTCATTGTCATATGGGACTTTTGTGCTTGGGCTTCTACTCGAGTATTTGAAGATACGTATTGACTACATTACAAATCTTACGAATCTTACGATGGGGCCTCCTTGTAATAAATATGTCTATGTCTATAGCTATAGCTATAGCTAGCTGCCTCGCTTCAGAAAGCTTGTGTCGAGCCGATGCTCGATAGATATCCTTAAGTAGTACGAGTAAGTAGTAAGTAGTAAGTATCATTTATCATTTATCATTTATCATCACAGGAGAAGTCTAAAGCTAGGCTAGGCTAGGCTATCGTTATTGCTGATGCTGAAGAGCTGGCTACTTGCTACTTATTTCTGACTTTTTTTCTTGGATGCGGCGTCAGCGTAAGTAAGAATGTTATTTTTGTTATTGAGTGATAATAAGTCCGGGCCGAATCCAGGCCTTTGTGGATCGCGAGAATCGTCATGGTTTTCGTAAAATATTTGCTGAATCGATGCTGATAGAAAGGAGAATGTAGAATGTAGAAAAGACTGGATGGAGCTAATGACCTAGCTTCGAGCTTCGCCTTGTCCAGAATAGGACTTGAGCACTTATTGTTGCTATCAAGGACGGAGATTTGGCTAGGAAGTAGATAACTTCTGCGTAACGTGAACGTCTTAACACCCAAATCTTCTCTTACTATCGTCTTCGATGCTATTGGTCGGAGAAATCTATGCTATGCAAGGCACTACTTGGAGAAATCCCTTTCAGCAAAGGCAGTGTATCTAGACACTAGATACCCTCGACGTTGGATTCTGCGAATAAACGGTATTTCTCTAAAACAGGACGACAAGGGACGTTATCACAGGATTCTCTCCGTTTCACAATCATAAATATACAGAAGTAGTCAATACTACCACACTATTCTTTGACATTGCCACAGCACAGTTCCACAAGGCGACCAAACAAATGTCGGATCTGATGGAACTGTCTTATTCTTATCTGGGGGCCAGAAAAAACGCGTTTCTCTTGCACGAGCTCTGTATTTGAATTTTGCAGTTTGATCTGCTGGTGCTAGAATCTAGATGATATAGTTAGTGCTCTAGATGCGTATACCTAATAGAAGGTATTCCAGCAAGTTTTCGGGGCGGATGGCTTAAGTTACTTTTAGCGACGAGGTCCTACAGTCGTTTTGTGTCGTGCATTCATAGCGTTAGATATCCAGATATCTACAAGTAGCGGACTACATGATCAAGATCACAATTGGAGAGGGCATCGTTGTTGAACAAGGCAGTTTCGACAGATTAATGAATTAATGATAAATCAAGGTTATGCTCAGCGTCCAGAATCAGATGATTCTCCCGATAAAGATGCCTCGTTCGAGAAAATGACGCCGAATGGTGAGTGTGTGGAGATCAAAATCGCAGTTGTCAGAAGCGATAACGACGGCTAGTGCATTAAGTCTTGCATCGGATATTGAAAGTTGCGCCAGATTAGCGATGGGACGATATACAAGCATTACTTTGGGAGTATGGGGTGGTTCCTAACAGCATGTAGTCTGTTCTTTTCTGTTTTCTAGGATTCCTTTACCAACTTTCTTATAATTTGTAAGTCGGCTTTGTTCAGGATAGTAAAATCCCGATTGTATTTTCCTTTTTAAACCAAGTTTATTAGAATCCATCCCACAGTCCAAGGCTTTATCAACTAATGTAATTTCTTACAGGGCTTAATTACTGGACGGAAAATGTAAAACTCCACCACGATACCTTACGAATATATATTCGAACAGCACTACATATCTTCATTCATATCTTCACCAAGACCGGATACAACACTAGTATCGTCACGCACCTATTCTCACAAGATCTAAACCCTAACCCATAGACACACAGCTACCAGACGCATCGCTGAATCCTCCATTTTGTGAACTATTGTTACTATAATTCGATCATCTCAGAGCGCTCACAAGAAAATCATTTCGATAGTCTTACACGCAACTTCACTTGCACGTATTTCTTGTATTTGAATAAATGGCTGTTATGCTTATCTTACCTTACTTTGTCTCTTTACTTGGCCTTAAATTTTAAGTTGCCCGTTACTCGGTGCTCTACTCTACTGAGCTAGGCTGTGCAGCGATTCTACTTGCGGATAAATCCCAAAGGTGGCTGAGTTTGCTCGATCTTAGGGCTACAAGTCCTTTGTATTTGTAGTATGTTTACCACCACATTATCGTATCGTCTAGTCTGTACGACTGCTATGTTATCCTCATACTAATCTGTGAATCTGTGCTGTGGTTGTAACTTGGTTAGCACGCATTTCGTGACACTCTAAGGGGTATTATAACTCTAAGGGCCTTTGGTGAGTAATGTGCGAAATCACAGTTAGCATCAAAGCATATTTTAAAATATCTTAAAAAATGTCTTGCAACCTCCTGATATAATAAACGGCATCGTTGTCAACACTTCAACTTGAGATCTCTAGATTTTCTTCCTGCTGATGAAGAAAAAAGAAAAATCTCGCTTAATAAATTCCAGTCAACGACCCGTATACAGTATTCCTCCTTATAATTCAAGAGTGACTAATTAGTAAACTTCATTATCAATCTTATAGTTCTAGTTATGGTAATTAATGGCAGTAGTCGTGACAACTCTTATCATTCGGCCTCAGCCGCTTTACTCTAATTCTAGTTCTACTGGTGCTTCTCTGTACATGTACACACAGTCATCCATCGGTTTCGGAGAAAAATCTTTCAGGTATTGTCATATATTAGTATATGACACCAAGATAGAAGTGAGAGTTTTCTATTAGATGATTTGGATAATTGGAGCAGTAGCCCGACTCAAGATGTTCAACAAAATGTCAAATTGGAGGACTAGGATGAGGAATGAGGAAAATATTGTCCTCTGGAACAGCGACATCTCATGTCACTTGGACGCAAGCTTTTTCGACGACGCATTCGAGAGGGAAATTGAGGCTTTGAAGCAGGGATCTCGGAACTCGGATCGCGGGAAACTGTTTTTGGATGGAGTGAGCTCGAGTGTGAATTTTGAGACGGAATGGATTATTTGGGAGATGATTCGGGAGGAGTTTGGGGATTATACGGTTGTACGGTTATTACGATTAGTTATCGACTGGAGATGATTATGGATATTGATAGGGTGGATTTTGTGGATATGGGGGAAATAACGAGGTTGTAGAGGCAGGGAGTCTGAGGGTTTTGGGGAGAGAGAAGGGAAGTAAGTCTGGGGAGTTGCTGAGGGCTGCGGGATAGGATTCGGAGAGACTCGGAAAGGGAGTGTGGTTGTTTACTGTACTCTTACTCGATCGGGTCAGGCTAGCAAAGATGTTAGAGACAGATTTGATCGGGTGGAAAGTGGCTCGAATTATGAGAGTTGGATCTTAGGATCGATCGGGGGATGAGATTTTCTGTGGATTCGCGGATGAAGGTGTGGCTTGCAGTATATTTCTTGGGTATATTCACCGTGAGAAGCACAGTTGTGGACATCGAATATTGTCCTCGGGAGCAAGCGTTTGGCGGCAACGAATATTACACTTGATAGTTTCTTCGAATGTAAGTTGAAGGTGGTTTCTGATGAAATCTGCTAGACTGCCACCGATGATCGATCAAAGTCTTATATGCAATGGCCACTTTAGTTGATGTCTTACCAAATATCTATATAATATTAAAGCTTTTAGTTAGGGTTTAGTTCTTGCACAGTTTGCAAGCTGAATTATTTTAACCGAGATGAACGAGTAATACTATGTAAGTTTTACCTACAAATGTTAAGCCGACTTTCATGTTCGGTTTGCTTCTGAGATAGTGGTTAGGTCAGGTCTTAATACTTATTCTTAAGATAGAGTTTCCCAAAACTGATATGTTGAAAAGTACAGAGGAATACAGAAACTGAGCGCCCCTTATGAGTTATATTACCTGGAGAAATGTGGAATGCTACTTTGTCGCAATGCGACTTGCAAGGTATTGATATTGTATTTCCCGCAGTCGAGAATGATACTGGCAATTTTATGGTCTATCAAGTCGGTGTGCCACCTCTGGGATCAACGGCACGTCAGAAAATATCATCATTTTGCACACTAGTGATCAAATTCAGCCTTCAGATCGATATTACGAAATATATTACAGACCTACCCATATGAGTTATATGCATCCGAACAACAAAGTGCTCGTGTATTTCAGTTCAGAATGTTTGTAACAATCATACTTCGCGGTCGAAGATGTACTTTGTATCTCTTTCTTTCTTGAACATCCAGAATTCATCTCTCCATCAAATTTCGCATGAGACCGTTTTAATACTACAAAATATTCGCTAATACAAATCCAGTACCACGATGATTTAAATGAGCTACAATCCTACAATCATACCAGAAAACCTAACTCAAGTACTCGTATATTCACTGGTCTTTTGAGCCCAAGGACTCTCCGATACGTATAGCCGCAGAAACAGAAACAAAATGTCACGCTTGATAATTCAGAGAGATAGGATATCAGTACTCGAGTACACCTGCTTACACTATCTGAGAACTTGTGGATGGAATACTAATCTTACAATAGCGTTATCTGAGCCTTATGAACCAGAGCACAAAGAAATTGGAGGAGTTCCCCTATGTATGGCCTCATATTGGTTCTACGATTAATATTCTCTGGATGAGTTCATCGATATCAAAACCAAAACTAAAAGATGATTCGAATTGGGATTTGTCGACATAGTTGAAATCTATACATTAATGCGTCACCGTGAGTTATCAGCTCGCCCCACTTCATTGACGCAAACATCTCTCTCTCTCTCTCTCTCTCTACACTCCAACTAAATCCAGATGAGGCTAAGCGAAAGTAAAAGCTTGGGATTGAATTTCTAAACATCTTGATTAGCTTGAATTAGATCAGAAGCCAGCAATCATCTCGGATATGAGTGTTTGTGATTTGTACTGTAGAACGATAATGATATCGAGATCCCGAGCCTTGAATCTAGAATAGCTATAAATTAATCTATCCCTCTATTCGGAATCTCTATTCTTATATCTTCAATACCAAATCTTATCTTATGTCATCTCATATCATCTAACACACTAATCGAGTACATACATAACATTCATTCCCTCAATTCCTCAATCTCCACCTCTCCCTTAGAGCAAAGGCTAATTAATAAACACCATCACGCTCTCTCCACTCTCACTACTTCCCCCTCCCTCACAATCTTATTATCCCCCAAACTAACCCCAATCTCCCTAACCACCAACCACCCGGGTATCAACGCTAAACCCCAAAGACCAAAATTAATATACACGCCACCGATATCACCCATAACTGTGATGCTATTTAATCCGTACTGTGATTTTTTCATTTTATCGTTAGTTGTTTTGTTATCATATACCGTATGATCTAGGGATGCAAATTATGATACATGATCTAGAGAAAGAAATGAAAGTAAAGGAGGAATGAAAGTAAATGTAAAAGACAAAAACTCACACTAACAGCCTGAACAGCCGATTCGGTTCCGCGGAGTAGTGCTGCGATTCGAATGACTTCTTCGGGGGTTTTGGCGAGGTTGCCTACGATGAAGTAGCTGGGGGTTGTTAGGATGGGGGTAGGTATGTAGTTGTGTGGTTGTGTGGATGAATGAATGGTTAGATGCTCGGATATGAATTTGTTTGGTGGATGGAGAAAACTTACAGGAATAGATAGTTGATTTGAAATCCCGAGACCCATCCTAGGAACAACAAGAACGTCCTCACGAATGCGCCGCCATCCTTCCAATCATACATCGGTAGGGGATTTTGACCCCAGTAGTTTGTCACGAGGACGGTTCCCCAAATCCACCAAACCTAGCGCAGAGAGCAGTCAGCAATGAGACATCTAACCGAAAGAAACCTCGCCCAGTAAGTGCAAAATCAAGAGCCGAATACTCACACCCTGCAAAGCCAAAATGCCAATAAAAGCCCACCTAGCCCTCCTCTTCAACGACCACTTCTCGCGATCCAAAAACGCACCCAACAAATTCCCCGAAACCATCGCCACGATACCCGAAAGAAACGAACCGAGTGCTCTTCCCCTCACACTTAGCCACACGGATTCATACGTGAACATAACCGCCTCACTATAGACTCCCTGGGCAATAACCGGCACCAGTAACAAGAAGTATTTACTGGCAAACAATTTCGTCGTCAATTTGATTTCGGTCCAGCTCGATTCTGAGATGCGAAGATTAGGAATCACGCCATCCGTTCGCTGGACTTTCTCCGGTGGCGTGAGAAATAGCGCTGCAAAGGGTCCCAGGGCTTGTAATGCGATGAAGACCAAATACACATTATAAGAAACCTTACCTTTCCCCGAATTATCCACATTTAGCGCCAAATTAATAATCCCACCCAGAAATTGACCCCCCACACGAAAACTCAACCACAACCCCAGAAACCTGCCCTGATTTTCGGGTTCCGGGTAACTCAACGCAATGGCCGCTTCCGCCATCCAGAAAACGCCTGCGGAAAGACCGCAGAGAGCTGCGCCTAGCAGCACTAGCCATTCGTTGCCATATCGATTATTGCAGTAGAGACCTGCTGCATAGGGGGCATAGCCTAGTGTGCCGAAGACGAGCGCGGGTTTGATGCCGATGTATTTAACGAGGATGGAGGAGAAGAAACAGGAGAGCACCATGAGGCAGAAGGTGAGGGCGTTGGCGGCGTTGACTAGGTAGGGGGTTTCTTCACCGCCGGCGCCGAGACTGTTCATTGCGGTCCAGATACCTGGGGCTAGGAAATTGCATAGGCCGAGGATGATGGAGTTGTAGAGGGTGGAGCGGTACCATTTTACTATGGGTTGTTATTATAGGTTTGGAGAGATGTGAATGGAGATGTAGATCTAGGGGAAGGAATAACAGCTACAACATACCAGGATGCTTTTCCCTAACTACAGGTAACGCTTCATTATCCGAAGACGTCGAAGTATCGAGCACTTCCGATTTGTCGGACGCCATGATTTTCAAAGAAGCGAAAAAATATATTGAACAGCGCAACACAAAGCAAGTTTGATACTGGGATCCCAAATCATTATATTTATCTATCATTTCCCCATACATGCATGCACGGTATCCAAGTTGCAGTTAAAAAGTCGGTACGAATGTACTGTATTCGCCTCGGTTACATGGCGTGACGAGCACGGAATTGGAACCTTGTTATGACGAACACTACATTTTGACTATTATTGCATTAGAGGATTTTAGGAAGCGATGGATAGACATACTTACAGGGAGTATGGACGGAAATATAAACATATCCGTATTTAAACCTGTTGTGAAGATACGTCAAACTTTTAGATTGCGATTTTGTTTGAGTTGGATTGATCTAGGCGTCGATTTTCGGACGAAATGAAAGCATGGAGCCCCTTGTGCATCTGAACCAAATTGCTGGATCGTAGCAGAGGATGGGGTACATAAGGGAATTCAAAAGTGACAGTTTCAAAGATTTCAAAAACACAAGGATCATCTCGTGTCATTTCCATACATAAAGTCAGAATTATGAGACTTCTGTGATTTTTAGAAACCAAAGATATCTGACATGATCTCTATAAACCTTCAAACCATTCTTCATGATAACTTCTCAGATCTACCTGATCCGAACGCTTGAGATATGGCGTCATATCGCTATTCGCAATCGTTTCTCTTACTGTCCAACCATTCCCCAAATATGCAAAACGATTTCCAGTCTTGGACTTATAAGTATATTCCCAATCTTCCCATCTGGGATCTTTTCTTATGAAATTAACATGCGATGCACTTCCAGGCCAGTGTCCCTGGATTCTTCCTCCTGGTCTACCTGAGTTTCCCCAAGACTTGCAATTGTCTGTCCATACTGTTCTGGGGAAGAAAGCGTCACTGTAAGCGATAAAATCATTTGTCGCGTCTTTTGAAGGAACGAAGGTTTTGATACTCTGCTGGCTAATCTTTCGCAGCAACTTTGCCAAGTAAGTTATTTGGGTTTCGGTTTGATTTGGAACAGTGCCACTAGTCCCATGAGCATTGGGTCCGGAGACAAAAAGAAGGTTAGGAAAGGAAGGCGATGCGACTCCAAGATATGTAAGAGGATCAGGATCCCATGCATCGCCCAAATCGTGGCCAAAGGCAGTAATGGGGAATGGTGGTCGCATATCAATGTTTGCTCCTGTAGAGCATATTATTGCATCGACCTTTCGTTCAACACCATCGGTCGTAACAATGCCTTCCTCAGTGAATCTTTCAATAGGAGTTCGAATGAAGGAGACGTTTTCTTCAGTCAGAGCCTCGAGATAACCAGGCCCAGGCGTCAATCGACGACAATTTGGTGCGAAATCAGGAACAATTTCATCCAATAATTCTGGCTTCTTCTTCAAACGTTCTGCCATCAATGTTCGGAAATCCTCCTCAAGCTTCTTGTTATCCTCTGTACCTTTGAACAAAGTGGCAAATCGAGTATAGAACTTGCTCTCGAGCTCTTTTCGAAACTTATGATAAGTGTCAGGATCCTCGAATGATTTTAGGACATCTTGAGAAAAATATTTTGGTTCCAATGTTCTACCCTCTCCTTCACCACCAAAAGATCCCGCAATCCAAGTCTTACTGCGTGCATAATGATCTAAATGTTTAACGACTTTCTGAAGATTTGGAACGACTTGCAATCCGCTAGCACCATTTCCAAGAACAGCAACGGTCTTGCCAGTAGGATCGAAATTGGGATCCCAGTTCGACGAATGGCGTAGATGCCCCTTGTAATCGCCAATACCGGGATAATCTGGTAGCTTCCAAGCATTGAATCTACCGATTGCCGTAATTACTACGTCAAATCCTTCCTCAAGCTTCTCTCCGTTCTCTCGATTCTCGACACTCAAAGTCCATTGTGCATTTCCCTCATTCCAAACTGCACCAACAATCTTGCGGTTGAATTTGAGGTAGTCGTATACTTTGTACTTTCGTGCAACCTTCTGCCAGTATTCTCTGATTTCTTTTCCTTGCGCATATTCTTCAGACCATTGTGTATTAGGCTCGAAAGTCGATTGATATACATTGGCAGGTATATCACAACGAACGCCCGGATAGATATTCTCAACCCAAGTACCACCAACGTCGGCGTTTTTCTCAAATATTGTAAGCTGAATACCGGGTACCTTGGCGGGAAGGAGTATTCCTGCGTTGATTCCAGCAAGACCAGCACCAATGACCGCAACCTATTCCATCACTGCTTAGCATACTCAAGATAAATGACGATTGGGGTAGTCACTAACCTTTAGAGGTTTGATAATATCTATTGGGTGATCTTCGATCTCAAAGCTAGGCTGAGGAACAGGTCGGAATGGTACAGAGGATGTATTAAGATCTACTGCATAGCCATTTGCCTTAATCTCGATGATCGCTGGAGCTGGCGCTTTAACAGACGTTGAATTGGAATTTTTGAGTGTTGAAGTAATATCGATACCCTGTATCTCCAAAGCAACCGCAGAAGGCGACATGACGTTTAAGAGACCGGCTTGCGATTATTCTTTGAATATGTGAAGTGAAACGTCTAGATTTCTTTTTCGAACTTCTGAACAACAGGAATGACAATAGGAAAGTATCATAAAATGGCTGAAAATAAGAAATGACACCAGTAAATCAATCAATCAACTACCCCGCTAAGAGAAATGACACTCTTGATGACGACATGGTAGCATCTCATTGCAGCATTCACGACATATACGGAGTATCAGGACTCAGGAGTCAGTATCGACTTTCGGATGCGTCTTCCCTTCCAACTTTGGGACCAAGGGAACTCAACTCGACATCCTTATCTTGGGATGGGCTCCATTCTCCCATTCTTTCGCAAATAAGACATGCAACCCCGGGCTTGAGGGGTAAGTGGGGGTTTTAATATTAACAGCTCTAGCTATCTTGCTATCTTTTTGGTGCACGACATAACTAACTGTTACTAACAGTTTTTGCTGGCCACCTCGGAAGGGATAGGCATTGGGAAGAAGATTGATAGGATCGTGAAGATCTAGACGATTATGTGATTGCAGGGGATGTTGTCGACTTTGATTCTGGTACTATTATGGTATATATCGTATATGTTTCGATGGTTCCTAGTGGATGTATATGAAGGAGAGAATCAGCAGAATTAGTATGTATTGGCTAGATCACTCGAGTAGATGATGTTGAGTTTCCGTGAAGTCAGTAAGAAGTGGATTCATTGGCGGGGCACGTGCGGGGTTAGCGTATTTGTGATTTGGCCAGGAATAAGACGCCATCAATACTCAATCAAACGAGAGAGAGAGAGAGCCTTCATCGTTATACTCGCATTTTCGACCTTCAGCGAATTATGGCACGATGTAACCTATGTTCTCGTCATGTTCAATCGCATGGTATCGGCACCGGCAGTTATATGTAATTGATTGAGGTAATGTCATTATACCTTATCCGAGGTATAGAGTACAGATTGTAAGTTCGAATTTCCTTTGCTGTTTGCGCGCTCTCTCCCTTCTTCACATTTGGAAGATAAACTGTAAGGTTAGAAGGATTGTCTCTATTCACATCAGTCTTCCCTATCCGTCATTGCCAATCCATATCTACAATATGTCTTCCACCAAGAAACAGCTCATTCTCAATGCATTTGCTATGCAAGCACCCAGCCATCTCAATCCAGGTCTCTTCAAATATCCTGGTGATCAAGGTTCTGAATACAAGAATATCAAATCATGGATTGCACTCGCCGAGAAGCTTGAAAAGGCCAAATTCCACGCCATATTCTTCGCAGATGTTCTAGGAGGATATGATGTTTACAAAGGCCCTGCCAATCTCGAGCCAACCATACCTGCGGCATCTCAATTTCCAATCAATGATCCATTATATAGTATTTCTGCCATGGTGAGTGTTTCTCAAATCATTCTCTCCAATTGTCGACAGACAAAATCTAATATGCAAAAAAGGCTGCAGCTACAAAAAGTATTGGATTTGGTGTGACTGCCTCAACAACCTACGAACAACCTTATTTACTTGCTCGCAAATTCTCAACAGTAGACCATCTTAGTGATGGGCGGATTGCATGGAACATAGTTACATCGTACCTTGACTCTGCAGCTCGAAATCTTGGTCTCGATACCCAAATTGAACACGATGAACGATACAAGATTGCCCATGAATACCTCGACGTCACGTATAAGCTCTGGGAGGCATCTTGGAGAGATGATGCTGTACAACCTCCAGGATCGAGTTCATACGCAGATCCAAAAGGAGTAAGGCAGATCAACCACAAGGGGAAATACTTCAATGTACCAGGCCCACATTTGTGCGAACCTTCTCCTCAAAGGACCCCATTTTTATTCCAAGCAGGAACTTCCTCCGCTGGAAAGAAATTCGCTGCCACTCATGCTGAAGCCATTTTCTTAAACGCACACACTCCAGAGCTTATTCGTCCATCGGTAGACTCCATTCGCTCACAAGCTAAGGAGTTAGGAAGAGACCCAGCCAGTATCAAGATTGTCACTGGGCTCTTGGTTATTGTCGCCGAAACGGACGAAAAGGCACAGGAGAAATTCGAGAAACTTGCCAGTTATGGTGATCGAGAAGGAGCCCTATCGTTATTTGGAGGTTGGTCTGGATACGATCTAAGCTCCTATGGCGACGATGAAGACTTTAGGTTTATTGAAAGTGCGCCTCCTGCCGTCAGGAGTATGGTAAACCATTGGGCATCAGTCTCGCCAGAAGGTGTAACATGGAACAAGAAGACCATTGCCGAACATCTTATTCTAGGAGGAAACGGTGCGAAGCTTATTGGAAATGCAAAGACCGTTGCAGACGAATTAGAAAGGTGGATAGAGGTCTCTGATGTTGATGGATTCAACTTCAGTTATGCTAGTATCCCAGAGACATTCGACGATATGATTGAGTATCTACTTCCTGAATTACGGAAGAGGGGACTATTCTGGGATGACTATGCCGTTCCTGGGGGTACATTAAGAGAAAACTATTTAGGTGTCAAAGGTCAAAACAGACTTCCGGAATCGCACCCTGGAGCAAAATACTTCTGGAAAGCCGGAGAAGATGTTCCATCGTACACAAAGGAAAAAACGAAGAGTACTTGAGATGAAGGAGAAGTTATCATCGCAATCTTGAAGTTCAGACCAATAAGAAGATACTATCAAACTCAATTGAATGCACCTTGCGTCCGTTTACTTACAATTTTGTCGCTTACACATGTTATTTTGCAGATACTTCATACTCATACCAGTACTCTATTGTACTCGAGGATGATGCTTCCACGTTTCCTTCATATTTCTCCAGGATTTGCTTTCTCCTTCAAGACATGAAAAGGCTTGGAAGTACCAAAATAGCCTTATTAATCATCCTTTAGATTTTCTCCTTCGTCTCATCATTGATCGATCTTGCGGGAGTTTTCTCCACTTATCGCACCATACTACATGCCAAGCGGCTAGAATTACCCCTGATACAGCTCCACTTCTACTCATCTCTCCACATGAGAGGTCACTCTCGTTTATTTTGCTTATTCTGCCCCACCCTCTCGCGACGGATTTTGTTCCAAGGAGTATTTTTGATGTCTGGCCGTCGCATCTGATCTTTGACTCCTGTGTTTGACATATTGAACAATCGCCTCATATGGAAAAAACGTCGTAACACTATGTAGGTACGAATACACGCTTAGGATCTAGAACCAGGAAATACTTAATCGTTGCTCCTACTTGCAAGAATTCTGTTTCTTACTGCTGTTAATTCCTGTTCATCTACATTCTCTTTTACTTTTATCTCTATTATCTTATCCTCAGCAGGTCTGGTTCTTTCCTTGATATCATCTAGTCGTTGTTTATCTATTCTATTTCTATTCTCATTGCCGTGCTGTGCATAATTATAACTATCTTATTTTCTACTATTCTACTCAAACACATAAATCAAAATGCCTTCCCTCAAACAAATCCTCCTCATAGCTCCCACCCTTCTCGCAACAATCCACGCCCAAGGCGTCCTCCTCTCAGCCCAAGGAACCAAAGGCTCCCCAGCTTCACTCCCCCTCCAAGTCCAAGTCAACACCAACGACGCCAATATCATCAAACCGGCCGAAATCAGCAGTAACGTCGTCAACGAATGCGGACGCACTCTCCTCAATGGAAACATCGACATAGGCGAAAACACCGAAACCCAATTGGCCGCCAAGACGGTCACGTCGGTGACGAAAGGCAGCACGGTCAATGTGGTGATGCAGCAGGGAGGCACCAATGGTGCCGGCCCTTATACGTGTGATTTGGATCCGACGAGTAATGCACAGGGGTCGGGCCAGACAAATTTGACGGTTAAGGAGTCGGGTGCGAGTGGTGGGAATATTAAATTGGCGGTTACGATGCCGAAGGATATGGCTTGTAGTGGTGGTATATTTTCTTTTTCCTTGGGTCCTATTTTATTTCATCTCCTCCATTATCTTTTTTTTCTTTTAGCAAACCCCATCCCATCCCATCCCATCCCATTCTCTTCTCCTCTTCTCCTTCTCCTTCCCCAAATCAAAAATCAGACCCAAAAACCCCACTAACTCGCACCTCCCCCCAACAGCCTCCACAGGAAACATCTGCACAGTCCGCTGTTTTAACGCCGTCGCCGCCGGCCCATTCGGCGGCTGCTTTGCCGTCATGCAAACCGACGAAACCGCTAGTAAAAACTCGCCTGGGACGATTTCTACGGCGCAGACGTTGGAGGGTGTCCAGGCTCAGGTTTTGCAGTATGTTTTTTCTTTCCCTTCCATCACTCCCCCTTTCCATTTGCACTTTCCCCCCATCTCAATTTCTCTTTCAGTTACACTCAGACCCACAACCTCCTAACCATCCAAAAAAACAGAAACAACAAAGATCTCCCCGCAGCCGTCCAAGCAAATTCTGAAGCAAAGCTCAATGAACAGGGTCTTTTTGCAGTCCAGGCACTGCTGAGTTCTTCGCTGGCGGCGGTGCCGACTAGTTCGGGTACTGCGGCGGCGGCGGTGGCTACGAGTGCTGCTGCTGGTAAGAAAAATGGGAATGGGAATGGGAATGCGAATGCGAAGAGCGGGGGTGGGAATGGGAATGGGAATGCTAAGAGTGGGAATGGGAATGCGAATGCGAATGGGAATGCTAAGGGTGACAATGCTAAGAGTGGGAATGGGAATGGGAATGGGAAGGATGGGAGGGCTTTTGTTGCGTAGGGTGATGGGATAGAGAGGGGAGTGGAGTGGAGGGGCTGGGTTGGAGATGGAGATGGAGATGGACACCTGCTTTTAGCTCTATTTGTCAATCAATATATGGGTTTCTAACATGCGGAAACCATGGAAATGTCTGCTATGCGCTGTGAATCAGCTGGTGTTCAAGTGTATCATACTATAGTCAACAAAACTAATATCGATGCCCCTATACCAACTTTTCAAAAGAAGATATCAGTCACAAAGTTAGACCCTAGAAACTCTCAATTCACTCTCTTCAATTCTTCTATGCTAAATTGTACGATATGGTTTATGTGTATATACTCAAGCCAAACAAGCACGATCTAGTCACTCCTAGGCTTGCGAACAGAGAACAGGCGGCCACTGTTCTAAACTTTGGGTGCTGGGGACGAGGGTCAGGCATTCACGGGTTCTCAATTCTCTCGACTGACTCGGCTTTGAAGGCTTTAGTGATAGCGATGGCAGAATTGCCTCTTTCTATGTTAGACAGCTCCAAGTCTCTATCGTTATGGCTAAGAGATACCGGCCCGGTACTTGTAGCTGTAAATCCTACTGTACTGTCGCTATCGTGGCCGTGATTATTGTCCTCCCAGCCTGTGTTCAGATTTCCTATGCGAGAGCCAATCTTGGATGCGCTGTCAGATCTCAAAGAGTGGAGGCTCAAGACGCTGCGAATAGAGTCAATGAGAGACTCTGGTGCCATGCCGTGGAAGACGGGTCGTAAATTCGGATGGCAAGCGCAGACAACTGACAAGGGTTCGATTCATCCATAATAATTCCTCTTCAGTGATTTTGATATGTACGTCTTGGTAGAAAGTTCAAGTCAGCAAAAGCCTCGATATGTTCGTGGGCTCACTGACTATCCATGATGTCAGTCCAAGCGTTGTCATGTTCTGGTCTTGGGTCACCTGCGTAGGGATTACCGGCGTAGGTCGACATGAGGGAGGTGGTTCGATACTCAACAGCTTCCTCGCCGGGTGCTAACTCATGTGAGCATGGTTCACTATGCTTAAAAACGTTGGAGCTTACAATAGATACTGGGGCTCGTGACACCATAGGATATTCGATTACTGGTCTTGTCAACGTTCCACACCACCATGGCAATAGTAATTAAAGTGGTATATATAAGTGCTTCGCCAACGTGACAAGCAATTGGCGAGAAGATTGAGTAGATTCCTGTCTTTGGCTTATTGGCTATTTGATCGAATTCAGACCATGAATCCTCATTTTGTGGGAGGAAAGGCGATGCGATAGCTGATAATAGTATGCTCATGTTCGTGCTATCTCAGCCAGATGGCATGGTTGAGCTGGACAGATGGGGATCTGAGGGATCGGTGTTGATGTTTTCATGTTGTATCGTACATGTTTCTTGTCGGCATTCACATATTCCTATTCCTATTCCAGTGAAAGATACCTACGATTGATTCTGTAATTTGATCTTCAAGATGAAAGTTGAATATCATTATGGCTACTAGGTATTTTTATGGTTGTTTTAGATCTAAAGATCCCTCTAGCCGAATCGGGATTAATGCTGAATACAAGGTCCTCGCTCAAGTTTGTCATTTTGTCTCCAAAACATTTCTCACGAGTATATTGTCGGAATGTACAACCTCTCGACCAATGACATGTCATGATATATGGTGATATTCATAAGAATGATATATGGTTTTAGGACAGAGTACCACAACGCAACGATGGCTCTTTCCTCCCAGGAGTTTCGAAAGATGAAGAAATATACAGCTGGAAAGTCTTTCTATTTCGATCGATAAGTACTCTTCAATCACTTCAACTGACTCGAAAGAAGTTCAATAATTCAAGACTCATTCCACTCTCCCTAGATATCATTTTCCTTTTCTATTTCCTTTCCACTATCTTTGGTCATCTACCTCAACGAGTGTCATTTAGAGAATCCTCGTTGAATTGGAGCCACAAGAAATCTACAAACAATCTGCAGGATGGCTCTCGAATACAAGGAGAAAGCTCTCCCTGCTCCACGGTCATATGCGGGATCACAACGAACGAGGTTTCAAAAACGATTCATTCCTATAGCTGTTGTAGCTTTGATCTGTGTATACTTTTTCTCCCAAAACTTCCACTTTTCTCTCAACAATCGATATAAATTTTCCTCTTCTCCTCTTCCTATATATCTACCATCATCTGCCACTGGTCGATATAGCATCCAAGCAACAACATTCCCGAGAGAATCAAGACCTGCCAAAGCTGTGCGGTTAACAAGGCAGAGAAAAATCAAGGAGGAATTTCTACATGCTTGGAAAGGGTATACGAAGAATGCATGGATGCATGATGAAGTTATGCCACTTTCAGGAGGACAGAAGGATACATTTGTTGGCTGGGCAGCAACATTGGTGGACTCCTTGGATACACTTTATATAATGGGATTGAAGGAAGAATTTGAAGAGGCACTGGAATCTCTTAAGCAAATCGACTTTTCGAAACCCAATGCCGAACGTGTACCTGTATTCGAAACTACCATCCGTTACCTAGGAGGCTTATTAGGTGCATGGGATATCAGTGACCATCAATATCCCATTCTGCTTGAAAAGGCGAAACAACTTGGGGACTTGTTGTTTAGGGCTTTCAATACTGAAAGTGGTATCCCTACACCTTATTATTGGTGGGAGAAGCAACTTCCTATTGGAGATAAGATACCAGGTGAGAATGGAGTTTTAGTTGCTCAAATTGCAAGTTTGTCACTCGAGTTCATCCGTTTGAGCCAAGTTACAGGCGATCGAAAATACGAGAATGCAATACAGAGAATAACAGATCAACTGGAGAGTACACAAAATACTACAACACTACCGGGGATGTGGCCATCTCAAGCGAACTGTATGGGGCCAAATTTGACATTTTCGAGTCGTACTTTTACTTTAGGAGCTTTTGCTGGTAGGTTTATTTGTGTTATGCTGGTATTTCATTACTCTACTGACATGTACAACCAAAGATTCCGCTTTTGAATACCTTCCAAAGACACATTTGATTCTTCCTAAATCTTCTTCTGGCGAGCAATATAAAAGAATGTATGGCAATGCATTGTCAACTATCAAGAAACATATTATTTTCCGCCCCAATCTCCCAGGCGATCCAGATATTCTATTCTCAGGTACAGTCGATGTCAACACCGGCCAACCCCTTCTAGATACTCAAGTACAACATCTCGGATGCTTCGTTGGAGGAATGATAGGTTTAGGATCCCGAATAAACCAATCCCCAGCAGAAATGGAAACTGCCATCAAACTAACCCAAGGATGCATATGGGCCTACGAAAACACCCCCTCAGGAATCATGCCCGAAATTTTCCACGTCAACCCCTGCACGAATTTCTCATCCTGTACCTGGAGCGGCGAAGATAGAGGTAACGGATTCTCTCGCATCGACGATCCTTCCTACCAGCTGCGTCCCGAAGCCATCGAATCCATCTTCATCATGTATCGGCTAACAGGCGATCGAGTCTGGCAAGAAAAGGGGTGGAAAATGTTTCGTGCAATTGTAAAACATACACATACTAATATTGCAAATTCAAGGATTAAAAATGTTATGGATTTGAAACCGGAAAAGGAGGATGGGATGGAGAGTTACTGGTTGGCGGAAACGTTGAAGTATTTTTATTTGTTGTTTGCTGAGCCGGGGCTGGTGAGTTTGGATGAGTTTGTGTTGAATACCGAGGCGCATCCTTTGAGGCAGGCGGGTGGGGGTGCGGTGTAGTGTGGTGTAGTGTAATGTGTATTGTAGTGTAAAGTGTGTGTGTGGGATTGGGTTGATGGATTGGAATTTAGGAGGATTGTTGGAACTTGGAGTGGAGTGGAATAGAGAGATGAAGAGATGGAGAGATGGACAGGTAGAGAGATAGATGTATATATAGTAGTAGAATATAATGTACATAGAGCATATGGGCCTGGCCTGGCCGTTTTAACATTAATTTGAAACAAAAAATTGATTTTAGAGTTGATGTAGATGTAGATGTAGATAGATGTACAGTAGAATAAATTATTAAATACAGTTTTGAAAAGATATCTAGATATAGCAGGTTTTGTAGATTTAGTAGATTTAGTATTGATAATTAATCGATGAAAAGAAAAGAAAAGGAAATAATAGAATAGAATAGAAAGATTTAAAGAGAGTTTGAGAGTTTAGAATTGGAATGGGAATGGGAATGGGAATGGGAATATTGGATGTTGGATGTTAGATAAGATTTTAGATGTGATGAGATGAGATGGATATTAATAGATGGATATAATAGAATATAATAGGTTAGGATAGGGAGAGATGGATGGATGTGAGGTAATGGATGTGGGAAAAAAATGGGTGTAAAGAAACGAATAGAGGATCAAAAGTATGGAAAAATACCTAGTAGATATACAGAGATAGATAGATGGTATATATAGGTATATATATGAGTAGGATATAGAGAGATGGATGTAAAGAGATGGATAAGATATATAGAATATCAATTTTTCAAATTGCTAAATTGCCAAAAACGAGAAGGGTAGAGAATAACAAGTAATAAGTAATAAGTAGCAAAAAACCTATAAAATTATTTGTGACAGTAAGAAATAATATAAATCATAGTACTGAGTAAATATAATCACTAATTAGCGTGTCTCCCCCTCTCCCCCCCTCCCGAAAAAGTCCAGTCAAGGAGTAAGAGGGGATTCCTCGTATTTTAAATATTTGAGACTTTGAGTAGCAGAGGGAGATGGAGATGGAGATGGGGATATAACATTATAGTGTTATCATATACAAAGAAAATTAAGAAAGAATAAGAGTAAATGTATACTATATACTATATGCTATAAAGATGAGATGAGATGAGAGTATACTATACCTACCTAGTCTACAAAGACTAAAAGTATATACGAGTATCGTGTTTATATATATACTTGTACTCGAGTACAAGTCACAAATGTACTAATCATACTGTACTCGAGTGAGTACCTTAGGTATATTACACAAATACAGTACTCATACAATAAAGATATTTCAAAGAATCCAGCTTAGCAATACGAGTATATTGATTGAACCCACACATAGCATAGCATAGCTAGGTAATCGATACTAATCTAATCTACTCGTACTCAAGTACAATATCCATCCTTCAACCTTCAACATCACTACTCGTTGTATACGAGTATTTACCACCTCATCTCAAGTCCTCTCTTCTTTTCTCTTCTTATACACTCTTCTCACAAGCCACGTGGAACTACATACAGTCACACATATATTAGCCAACCAAATCTCAATTTATCTCCTCTCCTCCTCTTCTCTTCTCTTCTCGCAAATCCAATTTTAAAATTTAAAATTTCAGATTTCAAAAACGAAAGATCTTACCACTTCTGCCCCACTAGTTCCCTTTTTCAAAAGATCGATAAGGGTTTGGAATTCTGGCGTTTTGGTAAAGGCCTGAGAATATGCTGTTAGTACCGGTAGTCCACTGAGCTTCCCATCCATCTCCGCATAGGTACACCTCCGCATCCTCTCCCCCCACAACCACAACCCCCCTCCCCCCCTTCCAAAACAAAAGAAACCCCCCAAAAAACCCACCATATGCGCCTCCAAAGTCTCCCATCCCACCGTTAAAACCAACGCTCTCCCCTTTTCCGCCTCTCCCTCTTCTTCTCCCTTTCCCATTCCCTTTCCCTTTTTAACATCATTTCTCCTAGCAATCTTCTCAATCACCTCTCTACATTCAATTTTCCCCAGAAATCCCGCGATTTTTCTTCTCGGCATTCAGTTCTTGGATGTTGGTTATGAATTTTTGGGCGTTCTGTTTTAGGGTGGTGATGTTAGTTTTCTTGACTTCAAATCACTCGATTTCTTAACTTAAGAGTCTTGAGGGGGAAGAGATGGGACCGTGAAGTTTGGAGGGAGATGGGATTTCCGTCCTATTCCTCATCCTCATCCCCATCCCCATCCCATCCCATCCCATCTCTCTCAAACAACATCCAGCAACATCACCCAAAGCTCCACGATCTCACCATAGTCCATAGTACCCTACACCCACCCAATCAAAAAAATAACAACTCAACTCCAATCCACTACATTCCACTAACCTCAACAAAAACATCCTCCACATCATAAAAGACCGCCATCTCCAGTACCCCCTCCCCATTATGATTCAACACCAATTCCGTCAAGCGATCCACATGAACAAGATCCGCACTTTGAACAATCGGCTCTAGATTATCAAGAAACGTTTTATAGGCTGGAGAATCCATAAACAGTCTATGATGAGCGAGGGATGTCCAGTCTTTTTTTTTCTCCATTTTGAATTAGTATATGTATATATACTCGAGTAGAGTATGATGATCGGGATGAGAAGGGAAATTTTGGATATTGTATTGATCCGAATCTGAGGAATCCAGTCTTCTGGAAATGAAAATGAAAATGAACATGGGGAAATAAATATAAGTACTAGCAGAGATGAGAGAGAAAAAAGAAGGAAAAGAAGAACAAACCAATACACCAAACAAGCACCCCCGTATCCTCAAACTGAATCCCATAATAAGAATTCGTACATCCATTCTGCACAGCCACGGTTTTTAACGTCTCGTGCCCTATATACTCACAATATGATTAGTTCTCATCTCATTACTCGAGTACTTCTTTCTCATAACATAACATAACATAACCTTGAAACCCCCAACTAAGTAACTTCTGATCCCACCTAACCTCAACATCAACTCCCTTTCGTTTCTCTATTACCTCTCCCCCCCCCTCCCACTACCCATCACTCTCATATCCGGCCTAAATCTAACATTTCCACTTGTAAACGGTAAACAGTAAACCAGATATGTAGATCCAGATACATCATACAAGTAAATCAACCCGTATATAGTGGACTGGACTGGAAAGATTCAATCCCATACCATGTATACAAGCCCATTAATCGTATGATCATTGCTTCTCGAATTGTATGATCAAGACTTTGAACTTTAGCCTCTCCAATTGGAAATTGAGGGTTCCATATCTAGATCTAGATATAGATTCAAATCCAGATACAGATACACAAGTAAGTAACTATACTCTCCTCGTATCTTCACCTCTTTCCCCATCATCCCCATCATCCCTTTCTCCCCTTACACAACTCTTTCCCCTTTATCCCCTCACATACATACCTCATATCCCCCCCCCTCTCCTCTATCCCTCTCCCTCTCCCTCACCCTCTCTCCTCTCTCCTCTCCCCTACAACCAAAAAGCGTAAAAATGTAAAAATGTGAAATCAAACTCACAAATCCTCTTATAATCCCTTCCTCCTCCCGTTCCCACTCCTCCTCCCTCTCCACCTCCTCCCCCTTCCCCAACCAAATCCCCCCACCTCACTCCATTCCTCAACGCAATCCTTACGATTTCCGTTACTGGTGACATATTGTTCTTCTTCCTTTCTCTTTCTCTTTCTCTTTCTCTTATCTTCTTTCTTTTTCTCTTTCACTTATTCCTATCCTTATTCCTATCCTTATTCCTATTCCTTCCAATATCCTCAAGTATATATATCAGAGCTATCCTCTCAACACCTTGTCTATCTATACTACTGTACTGTAGTATCCAATCTTTTCAATATTCCTACCCAAACACAACTAATCTATCAACTATATATATACTCAATACTCAATATTCAGTATCCACTACACTAAAAAAACACTACACTATAAGTCGAGTACCTTACCTTACCTTACTTACCTCACTTTGCTATCGACGGAGTTACTACTTACTGCGGAGAAGGATGACAAATGACAAATGACAAGTTAGCCCAGTTCACCAGTAACCCCACATGGTGATGATGTCAGCAGCTTACTCGAGTACAAGTTCACAGCTCATAGTTCGTTCACCTAAACTCCTATAAACTCCTATTCTATATTCTATAGATCAGTCATCATCATACTCGAGTTAGTAGATCATGTAAGGTGTATAAGTCTCATCTATTCGCTCGAGTGCATCAAATCACCAACTCCTCCTACCCCGTCACTATCTTATCTCATACTCAACACAATCATGTTCAAACTCTTTAAAACAAAACAAATCAACTCATATCAAACTTATATCATAATATTGCAATTTTTCCTATATCTCTCTACTTGTCCTACCTACCCTACCCTACCCTACCCTACCCCCATCATTTGATTTCAGTAAGATCACCATCAAGAAAAATCCCATCAATAATGAGCTTCTCTCCCGTAGCATAATTAACTTTTGTTATCATATCCATCGGGACGAGATATTTCCACTCCCCACCACAGGGAATATACGCCGCCATCAAAAAATCAAGCCACCGCCAACCGGCCACTGCCACTGCCAACCATAAGAATTTTGATTTGATTTGATTGTTAACGAAGAATGCTAAAGAGACCTAGTCCGTTCATCACTTTGATGTATCAATTTAGCTTGATGCTCTGTGACGTTCACTCTCTAACCTTGAATAGAGCATGTATCTATTGATATATTAGTATGGTGATGTATATATTGGGTATTCAAATGGTAGAAATTAACTTACAATGCCATTTGATTACACTCTCCTGTTCCTGTAATTGTAACAAGTCTCTCATTCGAATTATCTTGAGGCTCATTGATCTTAATGACACTACCACTGAGTTGTCGGATTTCATTGATCTTGGCACCACCTTTACCAATTATAGCACCAACCATGTCATTTGGAATAAAGATTTGTTGCGTTAATGGTTGACCAGGAATAGCACCTGCGATAGGTTGACCTTGTGGGCCACCAGCTTGTGGTTGGGGAACACCGTGACCAGCTTGTTGTGGTTGTTGTGGTCCCACTCCACCATAACCACCCACGGCTGGGGAAGCCTGACCGCCGTAATGTCCAGCAGCAGCTGGTTGTTGATGAGGTGCTTGTCCTTGACCATATGGCTGAGCATAAGCATTTCCAGGAGTGTTATGAGCACCACGCTCACCACGACGATGATTGTCAGGGTGACCAAAGTTTCCACCAGCTGGTTGTGGCACATATGGGACCACCTGCATACCACCTGGGACTACACCTGCAGGTCCACCACTTCTCGATGCATAAGCAGATGCAGCGGGGCCACCAAATCTCTCCGTTAATTGTTCGAATAATGTGCTGCCAACATAGTAGGTAGCGATATGAACGGCATCTGCGACACCAAGAACGACAAGCGATCTCTCAGTTGAAAGCGGAAGGTATGAATCGGAAGCATTCAAACGAGCCCCTGAAGCTTCTTGAATTTCTCTAATGCGAACACCACCTTTGCCAATTATAGAGCCAATCAGAATATGTGGAATAAGAAGGCGGAGAGGGTATGTCTTCGAGTTAGAGTCTGAAGGAGCCTCGAGAGGTTCATTGTTCAATGTTCGAATAATCAAACCAAATGCCTGCAAGAAATTAGTTGTGTGCCTTTCACAATCTAGACAAAAAACATACCTTAGCTACTGCATCAACAACACCGCTGACAGTCAAAATTCTTTCCACTGCACCCTTTTGGTAATCACTGACGGTACATTTTGCACCAGAAAGCTTTCGGACCAAGGAAACATTTTCACCTCCCTTGCCAATAACGGTGGCAGCTTCGGCACTTGTAATCACAGAGCGAACGTGTATCCATCCGCTTTCATCGTGTGGAAGGGCGTTTCCAGACGAGGAACCTTCGCGTTTGAGAGCAGATATGGTGGTCTCAATTGGCTGTGGTCCTTCAGTAGTAGTAGGAGCGTCAACTACCACCGTATCCCCTTGAGCATCCTTTACTGCTGGTTTCGCTCCATTGGCTTCCTCGGGCTTTGCATCCCCGTTTGCATTGATGTGGACTGGAAGTTCGATTTCGTCGACGAGAGGTGTCTCTTCTACATCATCCTCATCCTTTACAATCTTATCTAAAGCAGGTCGCTTGGCATCTGGTTGATCGTTTGTTGCAGAAGGGGAAGATGGATCCTCAAGAGGACGCTTTGTAGATTGCGTAGGAGCTATGGTAGGTGAGGCGGACATTTTCGGTTCGTTTGCTATTTGGTTAATCTCTTCTTTTCTTTTTGTATTTTTTTTGGTTTCACTTTAAGTTGAATAGTGATCGGAACGGAATTGGAAGGTAAGTCAAATGACTATTGGATTGATCGCTTTTATGTACACCAGAAGAGTCTTCGAAGGAAAACGTGCTGGTGTTGGGGTCGGAGGAAGCAGGGAATGGAGCGTGTGCTTTGACGGGGACTGCGAACAAGAGAAGAGTGTCGATAGGGGAGGAAGCAGATGTGGTGTAAAACAAAAACTTGTGATAGACCTGTAAACTCTTTGGAAAGGGATATTGAAGTTGGAAGGAAGGCGAATTATTCTGTGATGGAATGGATGGATGTAGGGTTTTGGAGGTGAAATGGCTGATTTTGAAGAATCCTCTTTTTTTAGGGGAGAAAAAGCAGTATTATAAGACCAAAGACCTATCCTCAAACCTTAAGCTTTCCACCAACGATTTCAATTGATCGTTGTCTTGATCGTTTTTGTTTTTATTCTCTGGTTTGCGTCGTAGTTTTCAAGTTAATACTTGTTTATGTTTTTTGCTGTGCTTGTTGATCGAAAGTTGCAGGAGATGGTGGGAAAAGCAACAAAGAGTTGAGTAGGTAGGTAGAGGTAGGTAGTTAGTGGAGTAGAAAATCGAAGGTTTCGATAAAATCGCGTAGATGTAGATCTTTATTTCCTTGGTATACGTAGTTGACCGACTTTAATTGAAGAAGAAGGAAGTCAACAATGATTGAAGTAAGATGAATATGGGTATGAAGATGGAGGATTGATGAGAAGAGAAGAAGAAGAAGAAGAAGAAGAAGAAGAAGGATAAGGAGTAGAAGATTTCAATTTGATAGTTGAAGTTACCTAGGTATGATAATGATTCAGTGAAAGTACTGGGGTGAGTAGATCTGAGATTACGAGGGAAGCTCCACTAGCGTAAAAGAGGTATAAAAAAGTGTATTTGTGCCTCAGGCATATATAATATGTATCAGCAGCTTACCTACTTCAACTTCACCTCATTCATAGATCTCGAAACATTTTCTATAGTGAATACCTACCTAAATAAACATAAAGAAAATCATCAATTGCTCAAAATACGTTAGATAAGCCTCCACGGCCTGCTCCTTTTTTAATCACTGTGTTACAATTTGTCACTTGCTTGCTTTGTTTATCCGTGCACATATAAATTCTATTGTATTTCACGTGTTTTCGTAGTCAAAAACGAAACACGCTACATCTCAACAATAGCTTGTTCATGTCTCAAAATATACGTTGAAGAAAAGCCCGAGAATATAATTTGAAGAGAGACTCAAAAGCCATCTTGACCAATCCTCAAAAAGAAGAGTCCTTAAGAAGAGCCCCTAACCCCTTACACACCACCCATCATGGACAACGATCAAGACACTCGATTTTCCACCGCATATACAACGCGTCTAGACCAAACCCTCCAAGATCTTCAAGACCGAGTCCAAGAGCAAGAAGCCGCACTTGAAAAAGTTTGTTTCACCCCTCCTTCCCCATCCCTTACTATCTCCAAAATCCCAACTAACAATCAACCTAGCTCCGAGTCACCACATCAGCCCCCATATCTGAAGGACCATCACCAGATCCCAAAACCCACCTACACCAACTCCGCGCTCTGAAACAAGCATATGAATCCATTTCCGCCTCACCCCCATACCTTCCACCCCCCAACTCCGTGCTCCCCGCCCTCCTCGCCTTCCGCACCACCTCAACCTGCATCCAAGAAACCCAAGCATGCATTCTCAGCAGCACAAACGATTTAACCAACACCCTCACCCTCCTCCAAAAAGAACAAGCCGACCACCAAGAAGCCCTCGCCATCCAAACCAGCCTTCAAAAGCGCATCAGCGCCCTCCACTCCACCCTCCGCCACCAAACACAAAAGACCCCCTCCCAACTCGCTTTCGAGCTAACCAACACACTGCAAACCGACAAAAATCACTACGATACCGAAACCGTCAAATTAGTCCGCGCATTAAATTCCTTCATCGACGAACATCTCGCCTGCATGCTAGCCGCCGAAGAACTCGGCGGACCCATCGTCGGAGAAATGCTCTCCATCACCCCCTCAACCCTCATCTCCGGCTTCAGCACGCAAGGAAAACCCAAGAAACCGCGAGAACATCCTAATATGGACAAACGCCAACGAAGGATAGATGAAATATGGGGGCCCAAACCTTTTGTCGAAGGAGAAGGAGAAGAAGAAGATGAAGATGAAGAACCATGGGACGAACAACATGCTGCTGCAGCCGAGATGCGAGAATTGGCCGAGCAGTTGTTAAATGGATTATTGGAGGCCGATGAGCATGGCGAGGATGGATATGTGACGCTCGAGAGATATAGTGCGGCGGCGAGATTTTTGGTCAGGAGTAAGGTTGCGCAGTATCATTATAGCGATGCAAGGAAGTTGAAGTTGATTGATTTTGAAAAGGATATTATTTGAATTTGTATCGAGAATTCCCTCTCAATCGTATATATACGGACTCTCATCCTTGTTTCTATTATACTTTCCTTCTTCTCTCTTCTCTCATCCTCAGATCTCACCCTCACCCTCACCCTCATAACCTGGTACTACCTACTAGGTAGTATTTCCAGCCAGAGTCAAGTCAAGTCAAAAACCAGGCCAGGCCAAACAACAATCAACCAAGTACCAACGCCAAATTAGGAGAAAAAGGAAAGATTTCCTCTAGAAGAACAAAGATTCCAAAAAAATAGTTTATATTATATTCAAGTTTCCACAGGGGTTTCATATATATACACATATAGGAGAATTGAAAAAATCATCAAATCATCAAATCATCAAATCATCGAATTTCTAATCAAATCCCCCAAAAATGAATAATATATCTAAAAATGTGAAAAACAAAATTACTAATCTTCCTTTCCTTCCTTTCCTTCCTTCCCTTTCCTTTCCTTTCTTTCTTTCTATACCTTTCTTTCTTTCTATACCTTTCTTTCTCATCTCTCCTTTTCAATAAATCAAAATCGATTTTTTCTTCAAAAAAAAAAGTATTAGACCAGCTAGATTAGCAGAAATAGAGAAATACAGAAATTTCACAGAAGAGTAGAAGAATAGAAGAATAGGAAGGAGTACAAGGATTTTTAGAGTTTAGGAGAGGAGAGGTGAGGAGAGAAGAGGGGAGGGGAGAGGAGGAGGGGTCAATCTCATCCATTCACCCATCTATTTCTCCCCAATCCATGCGTCCATCCATCCTCTCACTCAAGTATATATATATATACACACACGCACATAGACTCAAACCCATGATCAGTACCACAACCACATTCACAATCCAAAGAACACCCCCTCCCTCACAAACATCCCTCACACTCAACCTCCCTCAACACCTCCCTCATCTCCCCCACAATCAACCTCCCTCACCTCCCTCACATAACTCCCTCACAATCTACCTCCCTCAAAAACATCACTTCCACAAACATCACTCCCACAAGCATCACAAGCAGCATAGGTCACATAGACATAGACATAGACACAGTATATATAAATAGATACTCGAGTACAACACTATACAATAATCCCATCTCTCAAATATTTTCAACCATCCAGCCATCCATCTATCCATCCATCGATAGATGCATGAATGCAGTGCTAGAAAACGCCTACCAGCCAGCCAAGCAGCCAGCCAGCCTACTAGCTTATCCATATAAACGCCTACCTGTGAGGAACAGAGTCGTTAATGTACCCCCTTTATCTCCATCACCCTCTCCCTTCCCGTATTTTCAGAAACTCAATCGAGAGAAAAATGTTCCAAGAGAAGAAAAGAAAAGAAAACTCAAAGAAATTTTTTGGTAAAAAAGAGAAGAAAATCGGCCTCCCTCATTTCCTTAAATATCAACACCGCTTTAATATCCATATCGTTTCAATATCCACAACGCACTAAACCCCCTTCCCAAATCCTATTTAGTTCTCCCAAACAAATGTCTTTTATGACCATCCTTCCCACCCTTCTTCCCACTCGGGGAACTGCCTACTTCATCTTTTCCATCGTCATTGTATTTTGATTTGTAGATCCTGTTTTTGTGTGTTAGAAATTGATCCAGATATCAAACAACAGTCCACTAGATTCCACTCCAAAACCCTTCTACCTTTCCCGCTACTCTCCTGCCCACACCTCTCAACCCCAAAAAGAAAAAAGAAACATCAAATATCAAATATCAAACATACCAACTATTTCCAATCATACTAATCCCCTTACTCTCCGCCGCCCGATAAAACTTCGCACTCTTTTTCAAATCCTTTTTACACCCAACCCCTTGCGCATAACAGAATCCGGCTTCGGCTAACGCATCAGCATCACCCCAAGCTATTCAATCATATATATTAGCATTTCTCTCGACCTCCCTTTTTTATCATCAAAGGAATAAGACTTACATCCAGCAATCTCAAAACATCTCACTGCAAGAATCTTATCCTGTTCAATGCCCCAACCATTCATATGGCTTACGCCAAGCTCATAAATACTAAGCGCAAATTGAGCCTTTCTGGTCTTTCTCTCCAGTACATCAACAGTCTTCCCATCCTTTGCTGTATCCTCATCATCTGCAACTTCAAGACTAGCAGAATCGGCAGCTTTTCTCAACCAGGCTACACCTTCTCTTTGATTAGGTCGCATACCCCAGCCATGTCTACATGCAAGGGCATAAAGAAGCATGCCAGTAGGATGGTTTTGTCTGGCGGCTAGACGCAAATGATATGTAGATTTAGTCAAAGATCCCGCTTCATGATATTCGATAGCTTTCGCAACATGTTCCTCTCCAGACCACTCTGCCGATGGAGCTAGTGAGTGTTGCGATCGAGCTTTGATCGTAGTATTGGAAGAAGAGGCGACTGACGGTGCACGGTTATCCTTACGTGCTTTATCTTTATGTAAAGAAGGAGGCGCATCAAATGGTCCCGGATGACGACTAGGGTCTGTTAAGCTTCGTCCTCTTTCGGTCAACGTTGTGGGTTCTAAAGTGCCTTGCTCTAAAGAAGGGCGTAAATGTGAGATATCTAGTCTGGCAGAAGTCGATGGCCGAGAAGGGGGAGATGGGGGAGGTCCGCCTTCAATAGTTTGGGCATTGCTGAAAGGAGGGGGCTGCTGCTCAAAGACAAACTGAGCTTGACGTTGACCTTGCTGAAAAATTGCCGAATTTCTTTGTAACATTTTACCTCTTGGAAGAGAAAATTTTGAATATACATATGAAGGTGCAGCCCCCTCACCAAGGAGGTTGTTGTCTGGGAATTCATCACTATGCATGCTGACAGGGGTATGAGCAGTATCATCCGTAAGAATGAACGACGGCTGACTGTCAGAAGACGCCTGTCGAGAAGGTGCTAGTGGTTTGTCCTCGGTTGGGTGATTACTAGACCTACTAATGGGTCGAGAGAAATTGAATGCGGGCCTGGGTAGATGTGCATGATCCACAGAATAGTCGGAACTTACTGATGGAGAGCGTGGCACTGAAGAAGGGATCGAAGGAGAGTTGGGCGTGCTTGACATGGCAGTTGTTGAAGACAGTTTGCGCTGTGGAGAATCATGTGATAATGAGTGGTCGTCGTCTGAGCTCTCCATTGACATAGATCTGGAACTAGGTGCTCTTTGCGCAAATGGTGCTCGTGGTGGTGCCAAAGCTCTTGGACCATATCCGCCTACGGCCAAAGAGCCATCGGGTCCTTTGAGTGCCCTCTGGCGCATTGAATCCTGGCTTGGTCGAGATGGGGCATCGGAAGGTGATCGTCCAGGTCTGGGTGACCGTGGCCCTCGATATGGACCATCTGATGGAGATCTACCTGGTCTGCCCATACGCGTCTGCTGGGGATCAGAAGGAGAACGTTCCGGCCTAAGTGATCGATCATTATGAGGACCAGATGGCGATTGACCTGGTCTGGGTGATCGTCCAGGCCTGTTATGAGGAGCAGAAGGAGAACGCTCTGGTCTAAGATTATCACGCCCCTGGTGTGGAGCAGAAGGGGAGCGAGATGGCTGTGGAGATAAACGTCCGCGATATGGCGCATCAGATGGTGACCTTCCAGGTCTATGTTGAAGCTGTCGACGATTTTGATCTATAGGTGCTGGCGAAAGATCCCTCCTAGCTCCAAACATACTCTGTTGTTCCTTTGCATCTGATGGTGGCCTCCTGCCTCGAAATCCCTCGTCCTTTTCGTGAATGACATCGAATGCGGGAGGCTCTGGAATCCCTCCCACCTCAGGATATACCGAAACTGGTCTGAATATAGGTGCCTCGACCTCTATTCTCTGTTGTCCGAGGCCAGCAGAAGCACCAGGAGAATCAGTAGGGGATAGCTGGGACAAGGGAGATTCCGCAACTCTTTCACCAGACGCAGATCGAAGACTTCCAAGTCGATTTTGGCCAAGGGAATTCGCAATCGTTAGTGGTGGCAGACGACTTATGCGCTTTCCTCCATTTGTACTTTCATTCAACTGTCTAGCCAAGAGTCGACTTTGCGCTGCGAAAGCATCCAAGGGTGAAAGTTCGGGTGGAACATCTCCAGCTACGTGTAAACGGGGTGATGGTAATGAGCACAGTGATGGGGTTGGTACACCACTACTGCCATTACTCATTTGTCCATGCGAATGTGACCGTAGGTCAATGAAAGTAGGTCTATTAGCCATATCGCTGATTTGTCGATGACTTCGTCTGTCCAAATTGTTCTATCCTTCCCATGAGTTTTTTGATAATTTCCAGAAATCTTGTATTGTATTTTGCGATTATTATGCGATTCTTTCGTTCAATATTATATTGTATTGTTGATTCAGAGTAGACGACGTTGTGGCTGCAGTAGATATGATCAACGGGCATCAGCGTTTGAGAGATGTTAGTGAATAAGGAGGCGCAGTCAAACTTCTCGTAATTGTTGGGTTTGAGGTTGCCAGATGTGGATTTCGAATTGTATGCGACAATGTAAGGAAATGGTGATGGGGCCGTGTACGATGGATGACTTTTGAAAGTCGAAAGAGCGAAGTCGTTAAAATGTTTGAAAATGACAATATGGTATTGAATTGAATTGAATTGATTTGATTTGAAGTGAATTGAAGTGAATAGAACTGGTATAATGAAGGATTGAATGGGCGTTTACGATTGGAAGTAACGCAAGATAAAATGAATGTATTTCGATTGAGCAAACTGGATTGATTGATTGATTGATTGATTGAGCGAATGGATGGTGAATGGATGATAGAACGGATGGATGAATGCTGTTCTCAAGGTTTGGCTTTTTAATTGATAGACTTGGCGATGTTCAACAACGAAAAGGTAGCAGAAATGATATGATGATGTAGAGTATGTACAAGCATCATTTGCAGTTTCTCTTTCTCTTTCTCTGCCGTTTGGTAATTCCCTCTTTTTTTCCTTTCCTTTCTCCTCCCTCAAATTGTTGTGATCCCCGAGACGCAGGAAAGAATTGGCAAAGATGGATCGTTGATTTCTAAGGGATATCGTATTGTGGAGTTGCCCCTTGGTGAAGAAGAAGAAGAATAAGACTTTGATGATATCAAGAAAATGTAAATAGCAACATAAAAAAAAAGACAATCAATCGACAATCAACAAATCTTCTCGTATCCGATTGTTAGTCGCAGAGACTAGAATAGATAGAATAGATAGAATGAAAAGAAGTAGAAGGAGAGGTATTGGCCAGGCCGTTCAAAATACGTACTTGGCAGATCACAAAATGGATGTCAAAGGTGGAGGAGGGAATACGGGATAGATGAAGCCCCAAAATCAAGCGAGAATCCCTCTTTTAACTTATTAATAGAAAGTATACATTTTATAGAGCTCAAACTTATCAATATTACTTAAATTTACTTAGATGTCTTTCTTATTTATTAATTCCTTTCATATAATATTTTTAAATTCTATTCTTTTCAGATCTACTTATATAGAATTAATCAAATGATTTTTATAAACAACTTTTAGAATCGTTCAAGTTCTAATTAAAATGTTTTTTTTTTAAGCTATAAAGGTTTTATAGGCGTATTTATATAACAAGATAATTTATTAAAATTTGAGAATATCTACTCGAGTATTATATTATATATTATTCGTTACTTGTTTTATTCCATCGATATTAAACCCTCTCTACCTCTATATTCTCGACATCAAACCTTCAACTTTGTTTAACAATTGATCTTTCTAGTTCTTGATAGGCTATATGACCAATTTTATATCTGGCCCAGGCATTGCTGCCATTGTTCCAAGTCCTGCCGTCCTGTCATCAAGGTATGGAAATTCTCGATTGGTGGCATCAGTATCAAAAGCAACTTCATATCGACCAAATAGAAGAGCTGCAATGGTATAAATTGTTTTTCAGGCGAGGAAGTAACCTGTACAAAGTGTATACCCACCTCCGAATGGTCGAAAACTCGGATGGCATGAAAGGCTTTTATCCCTAAGAAATCTTTCCAGGTCAAGGTCAAAGTAGTGCTTGGACCCCACACTGCTTCATCAAGATGAAGTTGACAGTATGAAATCTAGGTCTCAGAATTAGTTATGAACTGGAAGAGAATATTTTCCTAATTACCATAAATTTGGTACCTTCCAGAAGCATCTTCCCATCGAATAATATGGGCGCGATGACTTCATGTGCAAGTGCATCTGCCGAATTTACTCTCAGAACTTCGTTGAAGAGATCTAGAGCTTCGAGGCGTGGACATTTCTCTGTAAGATACTTAAGATTCACGGTTTCTCCATCGATATATACGGCTGGGGCAACTTCTGCGCGGATACGACCAGGCAACTCTTGGCTGTGGATGAGATAGGCTATCATCCAGAATGTGACTATTTATACATTCGCTGTAATCCTGCCACTTTGTTAGCTGTATGTGGATATTATTCCCTTGGGTACTGGCGCACATAAATGTAGCATATATGCCCTCGGTTTCGCAGTTACTCAGACCAACTGCCCCAGTTCGTCCTCCATGGCCTTTACAAAATACAGTACATCAGACTGCTCTTCCTTGAATGTGTCGAAGTATTTGCACAGCGTATCAATGATTTCATTTTGGCATCGGTCATATCTCGTGTCATGAAGCCAGGAAGCTTATAGATGAATTTCCAATTTGTGGTTTCTCATCTCATCATTGCTTGCAGGAGATTTGGATTCAACAAGACTTTGAGTCTGTAGTATGCAGTGGTAGAGCCCTGATGATAATTTCATTGCACTATCCCCAAGAGAGTGTGCCCGAGGCCTCCAGACTTACGAGCGCATGAGAGATGTTGGCTCAATGTGTCCCAGGAAAATATTCCTTCAAGACTGGGGATTATTTCTCAAAGTTGGCTGCGGAGATTAGTTGGTACCGATGGTATTCGAAAGCATTTCGTATGCTGATCGAGTGGGAACGTTGGAGTCTATGGAGGCTGGCTTTTCACGATCTTCTCTAAACATGCTGTCGATGGTTCTAGGAGATAGACCCACGAAGGAGTACATTTCCTTATTCAAATTGTTCAATGTTATTCTCGAGCTGTTTCAGTAAAGTTCTCCGATATCATGTGCTCCAGTGAGCACACAAAGGGTTTTGCTGGCGAGTGTGATTGAATACAGAGCTTTGGTATCACCAAAATATAGTCTCACCTCTATTAGTAGTTCTTTCGGCATGTGTAGGGTTGTTGGATTATCAAATGCATGCCTCCCGCGTTGCAAATCATCATTTGCATTTCTATAAAACCCCTATGCGTGGCCTTGCAAGGTCAGTTGTTCGCTCGTCAAAGCTAAATACTGGGCACATTTAAAGTTGTGCTCAAAGACAGCTTCGAAGACTTCTCACCTAAATCTACACAGTTGAAGAACAGTACTTGAAATTTGGCATCAAAAACGTTCGTTGGTAGGTATGACTTAATATTATTTTCCTACAAGAATGCTTGTCTTTCGTCCTCAAGAAGCTTCTTGTCATGTCAATCTCGAGTTAGAAATGGCTGCCTCTATTCCAAACAAGCCTATGGACAGTGTCAACTATTCTGACTGCGAATATAGCAGTATTACCGGGGTCGAAACCTGCGCTGGGACGAAGAAAGATGGAAGCAAATGCGGCAAGATGCTTGCCGTGGTTGTCAGATAGGAGAATTCCTTTCTATGTAAGTATCTATTGGCTACGTTTAGGACCATTTTCTAATAATCTCCGCCTTCAAGTATCCACCAGATTGAAGTGGCATAATGGAGCGGATTAGGGGGCAAACTTCTCAAGTATCCACCAGATTGAAATGGCACAATGGAGCGGATTAGGGGGCAAACTTCTCTCTCAGTTGTACCTGTCAGGGGACAGGAATCTGACATGTCACGTGCAAAACGTACAAGAGAGCTACTGCGTTTACAACCTCACAATTTGATATGGAGGGAGGAACTTCTGTTTTCTTTTCCTCTCTTGTTCAGCTTAGCTTAGCAATAAAACATGTTACCCCGTAAACTTTTGAAGAATTCGGTTTCGCTAAACAGGGTTCTGTCTCTTGGAGTCTTGGTACAGGGAAAACTGGATCAAATCTGGTACATTTCGATTTCAAATAGTATAACGGCCAATCAGATAAAGGATTCCTGCCAATGGGTAGCCATCATCTTCCATCAGAGCACTTACAGTACCTATAGTAGTAAAGTCATAATCGATTTGATCTATCTAAGTAGTATTCTACTGACGTGACCATGCGATAAGTATATGGGTTTCTTCGATATATCTTGGTTAAGAGGGAGAAACCTTTATGAGTGAGATAAGGACTAAAATTCCCTCTTCCCTCACTCCTTTTCGTAGGGATAAGGCCACCTCCTTCGATTCCTTTTTATCCCCTTTCGCAGAAGATTCTATAGTATGATTCCGTATCATCTAGATTAACCTTGTCTCTCCATCCCAGGCAGCCCTCCGAATACCCTACGTTTGTTACTCTGTTTGCCTCCTCTTCGTCTTCCTACTCTATTATTACAGTACCTATATGTTAGAAAGATCTTGGAAGAAATAAATAGAAATGGTTGTTATTAGCCCTTTACTACTTAGTTCTCATTGATCCACCAAGTCATCCACCGGTCTGCAATCTCAGGAAAACCCTCCTTCTCCAATCCACTCTGGATTCTCGGTCAGTACCTGGTAGGTCCATCCCGCTTGAGATACAAAACTTTGTCCTTATCCATTCTTTGGGAACAAACCCGGCAGTTTCCCAGTCAATAATTCCCATCGACCATTCTACGGGATTCACAATGATATTCCCAGGCCCCAAGTCGCAGTGATAGAAAACAAATGTCGAACAATCCATTTCTAGATCCTTGCAATTATTCAACAGGTTTTGAGGGCTACAATCCTTGTGTAACTGAAGCCGAGTCAGAAATCGATCCGACAGGTGCTGGCCATCGACGCCGCTGATTCCATCGCTCTGCCATACTGCCAGCTCCTTGCAGATATCCGCCACTCGAGAAACATAGTGTTGCTTCATCGTCTCGCCGATATTAGGCCATGCCTCATTAAGAGTTTGCCCAGCCAATCTACTCAGAATGATATAGTATCGACCATCATACTCTGCATGGTAAAAAACATCTGGAATTGCAAAGCTGAGGGCATTTTTCTTGTGAAGATAGTCTAACGTAATGTGTTCTCGTGTAGCATTAGGATCCAGGATTTTGACTTTGCACAAGGCGTCGCAAATACTCCACACGGCGGATACCCCACCAGCATCATAGACCATCTCGATATGGGTCGTCGCTGGCAGGGGTCGAGGTGCTGGTAGTGGGTATGGGGCTTCGGAAATGACGTAAAATAAACCTTTACCATCACTCCATGTATAATTGGATGAAGGGGAGCGTTGTCGAGAGAGAAGGATTCTGTTCCCAATAACCCAGGAATTTTCGTTAATCTCTTGTATTGATTCGTTGACAGGACCGACTTCATTTGACATTCTTTCCATGTTGAGAGATTAGATTTATAGGAGAACAGTTGAAATAAACAAGACAAAGTGTGTATAGGCGACTGGATTGTTTATACAGATGCTTTAGATTCTAAATGGGAAAAACACGCCAATCTAATTTATCTCGCTTCAATCTACTTGAGTACAATAACCTAAAGAACATTAATAATATGGCATCACCAATATAAAACAATTAAAACACATCATTAATTAGCGAATCTAAACCTATACTTCTAATCTACTAAAGATAGTATATATAGTTAATATAGAAATATAAATTCACGAAAAACTTTTAAATAGTATAATTAAATTGTTAGAACCAAAAGTTTGTGTATCTGTACAATCACTATACTAGTTGTGACGGAAC